TCACTGATTAGGTGGCTCACCCTTGATCACTAGTGATCCAAGGTGATCCTGCTCACTAGATCACCACGGTGATCCAGTGATCTAAATTCTTAGTCAAATTCTTAGTCACGTGACCCAGGTTCTGCTGGTCACGTGATTTGTGTACCGTTGCTCCGTTGCTCCGATCTCTCCACTGATCAGGACCCCACTTTCTGGTCAACCTGTTTCCAATTGTCCCCTCTTGGCCTGCTATCAGACCGCAATGTTCGTTGGTTCATAACAAAAGTAATAGAGAAAAAGCTTAAGAAATAATACGATTACATAAATTTATACTTTCGACGTAAAGTAAAATATAATCAAGGTATTAATGTGATGGATTTGCCATCTATCAGGATGTGTGCGCTCCCACCACGTTGTCACGAAGCGTAAATAGGATGAGGACATAAAAGTCCTGATTGTACTACCTACGTGTAAGAATCTCTTGGTGGGAAGGGAAAGAAGGATCTGACCCGCCAGCCAATTCTGGTGGGATTAATGATCCTTCCATCCGCCCCACTATTACCTAGCCTAGTACAGTTGTAGCCACACGTCTTGTGCGCAAGGTCATGTGATGCTGCGCACAAGCCACCCTGATGGGTTGACAGACTTCCAGGAGGTCAGACCGTCACACACGTGTTGAATGGGAGCCAGAGATAGACACTGAAAGATCTCCAGTGGGGTAGAGACGCACAGGGCATCTGACCCACCAAGAAGACAGATGATCAATCTCTGCACGCAGAGCAGAACAATCAATAGGACCAATCAACATCCGTATATTCCACATATAAGACCGTATGTAGCCTTTGAAAACGAGCTCAACACATCAACTATTGATGTAGGTAAGCTTCCCTGGTAGTTGTCACGATTCTGTAAATGTATTGCAAGGATACAGTGACCCTTATTAACTATTGACGTATAACAAACTCTGGTTGAAGGAAAAGAAAGATCTGGAGATGCACCCAAATTGGTGGGCAGCTAGATGTGGGCAGTCGTCCCCCACTAGACCCACTAGGGCATGGATCAACCTATCGTCCAATCAGTCAAGTGCTCAGTCACGTGACCCAGGGACCATAGGGACCATTGCTAGACCTGATGGATGGTAAAACCATCACAGTGGTTTCTGATTCGATTCCAGATATAAACCGATTGGTTTACCGCTTTGTTAATAGTGGTAGGCGTCTTTGAAGTCTAAGTAGTGGGTAGCAGATTGGGGTCTGGTGACGGTGTTTGTACGACAGCGACAGCATCCAGCTATGAAATGATACTTTCTGGGTCAAAAAGAACAAGCCTAGTAGCACTGAAACCTGCTCGAATATTTCCTAGCGTCATAACAGCGTTATGTGTTTCATAAAACGTTGTAAAGAAGTACTCTTTTGAAATATGGGTTATATGACACCGGATGAGATCCTTAATCATGCGACTGTAAGCTCGTTTGAGCGGGCTAAAACAGCTGACATGTAAAGGCTAAAACCTGTGTGATGAGTGGGCAGGCATATAAAGGGTAATGATACCATTGTTCTGACAATAATTCTGAAAGACCTGGGAATGGTGGCTTTTGTGGCCATCTAAGATGAGGAGGTGTTTACCGACAGTTATACATAGTCTGGTATACTTATTAAAATACTGAATCTATTTCAAACCGATCTCATTTGTAGTCTATCCGTTGTCAGACACGGCCAGTTTTCAATCGCGTGGTAATGTTATGTCGCGATACCATAATGTGAGGTAGGTTTTGTCCTATAGAATGATGAACGGCAAGACCACCCAACTATCATCATTGATAGCAGAAATTACTGTAGACCATTCTTTGTTACCTTGATGAACTTGTCTAGGCCTGTCACTTCTTTTGGTGCTTATGACGACTATGCCAGACCCAATAATGCCCATCATAAACCCAGTCTCGTCAAAGTTATAAATATCCGCCTTTTGGGTACCATGTTTTGCGATTGCTGCTGCAATTTGGCAAAACCACGCGCAATACGCGTCTGGATCTTTGTTCGGGATCCTTTGATAGTCTATCTTTTGATAAAAACACGTCTAGAGGCCTGGTATGCATTTAATGAAGTTCTGCATCCAGTTCTTTCCAACGCGTCCAGTTTCACGTGCCGCCAACAATTGATTTGCCATATCTTTAACATAAATGTGCTGGGGTGGAAATGCTCGCGCATCCAGGTCAAGAATGAAGGAAAGAATGACATTCTCTTTAGAAACCGTAAGTTTCAAAGTATTGGTCATGCTGTCACGTCGTGATAGTTGGCCGGCGATTCTAGCCTTTATGGTATTATATAGGATGTGAATAGTCTTAGAAAGCTTACCAATGATAATATAAGGGACGCGTCATTTAGCTTGGATAGTAAGCTGTAAGTCTGATTCGCTATAACACAATGCCATTATTGTTGGTTGACCAATTAGGAGCCTTGATGAAAAGGTTAGGTGGCTGGCGAAAAGTTGCCGTTCGCTTGTAATTGCCGCTTGCTTGTCATTCACGTTAATTGGCAGTAGTACTGATTGTTGCCTGTCAGGTCAATGCATTGGCGCCTGGTATAGAGATAGGTAACCTCGTTGTGACGTGGTGTGAGGTTTTATATGTCCATATTAGAGATAAAGCTATCATAGGCCGCGCAAATGTGCATAGATGGTTGATATAAGAAGTGACAAAGGTGAAGAAAAGGTGAAGAAGACTATACTCTTAAAGCAGACAATATTGCTGTCTTGTATGCCACGCATTTTCGCATTTACATTGTTGCGGTCCTAGCGAGCCCTTGCACATGACAATACAATATAGCCACGTATTGAGTGCTTGTACCGCATGGCAGTCTTAGAGCCCGCCGTTTACTCACCACAACGGTTGCCTTGTTTGCATAATGTTTCTTATCCAATACAGCAGACTTGCATCCTTCTGGCCTTCTTGCTATGCAACACATCCTGAACCCAAGCTCAGACGATTTTGCTTGGATGTCAGAGCCTGATGACAAATCATGTCGGTGTGCGAGTTGTGTCCATAACATGATCATGATCTTCCACCGCCTCTCGATTTGTATTATTTAAGGCCTGTAATAACAAACCCAGAGGCTGGATACTCAAGCGAGGGCATTATTAACATGACTTATAGGCAGACGCAGAAGGATCAGGTTTGAAAAGCCTCTCCTCCACGTCGACATTTGCAGCAAACGAACTATCTAGAAAGTAATTCTTGGGCCAGATTAAACCCTTTACAATCTGGGTTCTGCTAATTGGTTTCTTTGCGCAGATATTGTTCAGCAGAGACATGCTTGTCAAGGTCTCATAGTTTGTTGGCAAGATTATAAATAAGGTCGCAGAGATCTTGAGCGAAGATTAGGTCCTTGCATTGCTTTATTGCTTGTTGTGCGCTTGTATAATATGCTAGCAATTCTTTAAACTTACCTTTAAACTTTAAACATTCTTTCGAGTATTATGCGTTTGCAAAGCTCAATCCGGATTTAATTCTTAATATAAAAGTCACTTTAAGCTATTTGCCGCCATTTAATCTTATAAAAAAGAGATAAAAATAAAAATAAAGTTTTATATTAACTTATTATATAGTTCCAGGCTTTTTAGCTTGTACACTATTATTATAAGTAATTAAGTATTAAAAGTGTTATCGTTGAATATATATAACATAGTAAATGCCGGCTTTTTAAAGGGCTATTATACAAACTATATTAATAAGGTTTAAAGAAAGTATTATAATAAAGATTTTAAGATTAAAACTTACAGTAACGGAAAGATAGTGGTTATCGTGTAACAAACAACATACTTTACTACGACGGCAATAGCCGCGGCTATATTCGACCGACCGAGGCAGATATTTAAAGCTGTGATACGGGGCCGTTTGTTGTTTTAAAAGAGGATAACTCCGTTTACCGGGCAATAATGCCTGTTTTATATGCAGTATTTACTCGCAATATGCTATTAACACTTAAAAAAACTATATAACCGTCTACTAACCGTAGTTTATACTACGAAAAAAAATCTTATAAACTATTATAATCGCATTATTTATAATCTTTTAGCAAATAAAAAGGGCTCTAAGTTTGCATATAACAATATAAATATAAATAATATAAACAATATTAAACCGGTTTTTAAGTTTAATCTTTTACGCTTAAAGATTAATATTAAGGGCTAGATGTTAATATAAAGATAAGTAAATTTATCGTAATTTATAAAAGGTATTAAAAGATAGCAGTGCCTTAATAGTTATACCTTTATAACGAAACTATTAAAATATTTCGGCTACCAAGCTTTAAGATAAACCTTTGAAAAATAAGACAGTTTACTTTAAATATAACGATTAACGCTTTATTTAAAAAAAAAAACCTTATAATATAAATATATTTAAGATTATTGTGACGGTCTGACCTCCTGTACGTCTGTCAGCCCATCGATGTGGTCAGTGCGCTGCATCAGGTGACTTGGCGCACAGGACGTGTTGCCACAGCTGTACTAGATTGGGTAATTGTGGGGCGGGTTGAAGGCTCTTTAATCCCACCAGAATTAGCTGGCGGGTCAGATCCTTCTTTCCCTCCCCACCGAGAGATTTTACATGTACGTAATGAAAGCAGGACTGTTACGTCCACTCCATATTTACGCTTCGTGACAATTATTTTATATATAATTAATATATATAAGTAGTAGGTGTTCTTATAAGTGCCGTTAAATTTCTTATATAATTGCTATAAGATAAAATGCTATTAAAGCTAGGTTTGCTAGGTTTGTTTCTAAAATTACTTTATACCGCTTTTTACGATTCAATTTTAAAGCCGTTGAAGCGAGCAAGTATGGGGGTCAAATATGTTGTTGTGCGTGGGTTGGTTATCTAGCTAGCTAGGTAGGTCTTGGACTGTCAGAGGAAGAGTACACTTTCCTCGCCAGACACACGCGCCACGTTGTCCATAACGCATGGCCTATGTATGAGTGGTACGAGGCCGATGCGTGCGTTTGAGCCACAGTTTGCGGCCATGAGAAACCTGATTGATCTCGCAGCAGCTGCTTGGCGTCACGCCGGTGTGAGGCCAGTCACCTTCCAGCTGATCTCTGCGATCGGCGTCGTCGGGCGCTACGCCGTTGATTCCGACAATATGGAAATCCCCGAGCATCGCGTGCCCATGGCGGCGGCTCTTCCGCTGGGCTACTGCGAAGCCAAGTGGATATGCGAGCGGCTCTTGGATCAAACGCTGCACCGCCAGCCGGCGCGTTTCCGGGCCATGGTGGTGCGCCCGGGACAGATTGCGAGAAGTCGGGAGAACGGGTATTGGAATCCAACGGAGCATTTCGCATTCCTCGTCAAGTCATGTCAGTCGCTGCAGGTCCTTCCGGCGTTGCAGGGCAGACTGCAATGGGTGCCCGTTGAAGATGTCGCGGCGACGGTGGTAGAGCTTGGGCTGCGCGAGGGCACAGTGTACCCCGTCTACCACGTCGACAACCCCGTGGGCCAGCCGTGGGATGCCATGCTTCAGACACTGGCGCTGGAATTGGGAATATCCGAAATCGTTCCGCTCCGGGACTGTGTGCGCAGAGTGAGACACAGTCCGCTGTCCATGGAGACAGAGAATCCAGCCTTAAGACTCATCGACTTCCTAGCCGATAATTTTGAGCGCATGTCGTGTGGAGGACTGGTACCAGGTACGACGCAGACGAGACAGCACTCGGTGACATTGGCGGCGCTGGGGCCAGTGCCCGAAGAGCTGGCGAGGAAATACGTAAGGGCATGGAAGCGCAGTGGCTTTCTGGCTTGCTAAATACCGAAGTTTTTTGGTTTGTTCTGGCGGTGCTTCAAAAGGCGGCTATCCCAGCTTCGGAAGACTCTTGACTTTGAGACCCGTGTCAATTGTGTATACAATTGCTCGATCTCCTCAAGGGAGTAAGCTTTTGGTCCATTATGTCACAGATATCCGACAGAGCCCCCGATCAAATACAGCAGGGGTTCGTTCGGATCTTGTTCACAACGACTGGTTGTCGGTTGGAATGAGGTGCAAACGCGAGATGTGGCTCAAAGGGAATTCTTATTCTCTGGCTACGCGCCGTAGACTCGCGCATCTGTGTCGATCTCTCTCCATGGGTATCTCCAATTCGCTCCGATCCTATCCCGTAGGAGAGCTTCGACTGCGGTCTGCTCGCGGATCAACCGGTCGGCACCACATGCTTTCCCGGTACCTTTCCATTAACGCCTCGTCTCCAATGACACATCCCCCCACATAAATAATGAATGCTTCTGCTCATACATCGTTACTCGTGTATAGATAGAAAATCCCTACGAGACTAGCTCGTGCGCATACAGGACTGCGCCTCTGCTTCACAATCGTAGCTCACAACGGGGACACCACGAATAGATTCGTCTGACCAGGGAGAATAATCGCCGCCGGGTCGGCGAAGATGACGTCGATGGCAGGAGCCGCGGCACCGATCGGCATGATCATGCTTTGGTTCACCTGGCCGAACGGTGCATTCGGGTCGGCGACGGCAATCTGTGGTACAGCAGTAGGTGTGCTCACAGCACTGGCAGATTCGATACCAGCGATGTCGACTGTCTGCGACGCGCCGATGGTCATAGTCTCCGCGTCGGAAACCATGACCATGATCTGCGAGTCGGGCTTCCCGTTATCGGCCAGCAGCTGGTTCACCATGTATCTGTTCTGAGCGCCCTGATCGGCTCGCGCGTCGACCATCGTGGTGACAGTAACAATAACCGTGTTCTGTGCAAGTTATTAGTCAAAACTGAAGCAGTCGCTGGACCGGGAATCAGGACTAACCGCTTGGGAGAACTGGGCTCGGAAGTGATTGACCCGGATATTGTCCTTGACGGTCTGCAGCTGGCTGACCAGGGCGAGCTGGGCCTCGATGAGCTGGGCGAACTGCTGCTCTGCCAGCTGTTGTAGCGCATCCAGCTCCGCTTGGTTGTCTTGCACGACTATGATGTTGGTTTCCTGAACTTCTTGTACAATGGTGAGCGGCGAGCGCTTCGACTTCCACTGTAGCCCGCGTCTGGCGTGGAAGTTAGACAGGCTATCACTTGGTGCTGAATGGCATGTTAATACTGAGGCAAGGGAGTGGCGAGGATGAGACTTGCCTGAAGCTGCAAGAGACAGGAGACCCATGAGGGTAACGCAGGTTGATTGGAAACGCATCGTGACCAATGTTATTTTTGGCCTTCCAGAAGCAGGAATGAGGGTATAAGAAAGCCTTTCAAAGGACTATGGATTAAAATGACGGAACGAAAAGAACGATGCTGCCGCTGGGGCGCTGAAAGAAGGAACTTGGAAGCACGACACGAGAGATCGAGCAGGATACAATCATACGATGAGCAGTAAGTCGATCTTCTTCCATGCGAAGGGGATCATTCTGCTATATACTCACCTCGAGGGCGCTCCGACATGGCAACATGGCAACATGGTTCTCGTCACTCATCACCGGAATGTTCGTGATCCGGTCAACCCTGAAGGCGGCATCTTACAGATCTAGACATCGACGTCCGTAGCTTAAGTTGCTTAAGCACAGCACGGGGGGGCCACTCTGAGGGACTTGGCATTGGAAGCCGAAACAACTTGCGGAGACTGTCCAATGTTCACTGTACATTGACGAGGAGCGTTGGCTTGGAGGACCACATCGTAGCCAGTACTCACCATCATTCTACCTCTAGTCGAGGTGGGAGTCCCCCAGTTTGAGCAGCGACATGGGAGACGTCGAATTGAGGTTGCGCGACCGAAGCATCGACTGCGAAGATTTTGGATGTCAGCAACTCCAGCCAATCAGCGTGGAGAATCACCCCCTGGCCTTCTTTGAGCGAGAAGGGGGCTTTTCGAGACCCACGCGAAACGCCACTCGACTTGATCGACCTCGCCGCATCAATGGAGTGACCACCAAGACGGCATGCGGTGCACTTCGATGGCCTGAGGTCTGACGGCTTCGCTGGTCAGGTCGTGCGTATCTTGTTAAGTTAACCAGAGCACATCAGGAAGAAGTGCCTGGCTGCCCCACTTCAGAGATACATGCATCATCTGAATCTGAACCGTGGAAGGGGCTGAGTGTGAGTTGACGAAGCTCACACATATCTGCAGCTAGGTATCAAGTTCCAACCGCCTGCTGGTTTGCAGGCGCACTTTCACTTTCACTGGTCAGTCAACTGCTGGAGTGGCTTCGCTACATTAACACGGCTGTCGACATTGGAACATGCCTTGACTTTGAAACACCGAATCCTTATCTAGCACAGGAAAGCCTGAGAAACCCCGGCTGGCGGATCATTCACCTTCCAGTCCGTAGAGTGGTACTATGCGTGGGTCTATACCAGGTACGATTTGACTATTCTGCCACGAGGCCATCATTAATTCGATCATATTCTTAAGGCTCCCGTCCACTCGAAATACTCAAGAGAGGCTGTGCATGCATATCAATTGTTGCAAGAGCGCCAGCATCATCCCGCTACCGTCGCCGCGGTCATAAAACATCCCGTGCGGAGAAGACATGTGCTCAATAGGTGCATTTTACTCCCTGTTGACCTGGACCAGAGGAGCACGTCTCGCAGACCTCCCTGAACAGTGAAGACCAGGTCCGACGACCTTCCCCGAATCTTGCATCCATGAAGCATCCTTACTCAGCTCCAAAAATGCGATTCCACAGCCGATATTCCGAGGTTCGAACCTGCAGCTAGTGGACGCTGGTTTGCTCAAGGTTGATATTGGTACCACCACATAAGTTAACGTTACCTTGTATCCAAACGATAGGGTCTGGCTTTTTGATACGCTCCGTTTTCGCTGGGGCCGAGACATGATACGAATTCGAAGTAATGATGGAAGTCACGGAGTGGGCTGATTCCTCTTACAGTCTTCTGGCCCTCAAGACCAAATCGAACTCATCATCAATAAGAGGTCTAAATCTTAGTCCTGTTCCGGCAGCTCAAATTCGGAATGAGAAGCGCGAAGGTTTCCGGCTTGTGCATTCGATTATCGCTGATAACTCTTGAGATGGCTCAAGGGGTGTGGTGACCGGAACTTGTGGTGAGACTCGCAAATCCCCCTTTTTCGTGACTGCGGAAGGCCATCGTCAGGGCAAGCCAATAGTCATCCCTTTTCGACGTGTAACAGGTAACCAGCTTCCGCGCTTGGATTTGCTGGACGAGGCTGACTTCACTTTAAGGGCCAGCGGTTCAGAATACGGCCTCAACGCGTCTATTCGTACCTGGGTACTCGCGTAAGCTTAGCGCATGGGAAGAGGCTCAAGATCGGCATTGTTTAGGCCAACACAGAGAGATGCAGCATACGAAGGATCCCCCCGATTACCTCTGGCTTTTTGCCTCCTCTATGGCGACTCCTGAGAAGCCACCAGAATCCCACGTTAGTCGTTCAAAGGCTCATTTCATATGTACTTCCCAACAGCGGCCCAAGCACCGCCGACTCCTACTTTCGTGTGTACCATTCCAAGCATCGCCCAGAATAATCGTATAATACTGTCTGATGTATCGCCTAGCAAGGTCGTTTCTGCAATGCTCTCGTCTGCAGAGCTGTCGGATCATGTGCAATGTCAACGAGGTGTCGGAAATGGATGGGACTCTGGGACTCAGCAGTGTACATTTCTGAGGTACCCCTTTCTACTTTGTCACTCTCCTTTGTCACCCCTTTTTATCACAGCTTTTGACATCAGGTCTCCATGAGGTGCGTGAAGGGGAGAGGTGCACATGCACCCTTGAGCTTCCATACAAGGACTTCAAGAGCAGCCTTTGAACTCATATGCTCAATAATTACCCCTTTTTTGCAGCCCCTATCTCATCACCTTCCGACTTGCTGTCAGCTAGGCAACAGCTAGCCAAGCAGCCTTGGGTGCTTTCATTTGATCTCAGGTGACATTGCCACTGCACCATTTCACTCAATGTGCCTCTCATAGTTATTATGTACTTCATTCGATGAGTGTTTGTCGCCTTTCTGCTACCCACTGCCAATCCGCTGCTCCACTCTGTGGTCCTTTTCCGAGCTCTTGCCCCTTTTATATGCACTGTCACACCTGCACCTCAGTGACAACCACATCTACATCTGCATCCATTTGTCTTTCTATCCCACATGCAGCCACTTCAATGGAATCATTGCTGACCAAGGTGACCCAAGCCCCACCTCACAGACTGACTCAATAATTGGGACAACCATTGTCCACTTGATTATCACACCCGATAACAGCCCTTCATCGAGGGTTTCGCCCTCCAGGCTGGCACCCACACCCGAGGAAGGAACCTACCTAAGATACCTCGGGTATCTTCAGCTTCCCAGACAACACATGTGCCTTCCATACCTTAACTGTGCCCTTGACTACCTTACGTCACCCTGCGTTACTGCTGCACCTGGTAACTGCAGGTGCAACTGGAGGACTAGCAACATTTCGCACCCCGCTGCTTCATCCACCAAGTCCTCGCTGTCAGTCATCACCTGCCAGTCTTCACTCACCCATCTTACGTGAAGGCAATCATTCAGCATTCTGCGTGCCTGTGCATCTTGCATCGCGTGCTGCTGTACCGACTTCACCATCTCGACAAACAAACAACCAGCCGACCGATCTCATTGACTTCCTCCTCGCGCGACCTCATCCGTTCCGGCACGATCCGAGATTCCCGCAAGATCAGAGTCGTTCAGGACGATCGCCGATCACCGCCTGTTGCCGGTCTCCTTCAGGCTCATCAACAGCTTGACAGCCTCGAGCAAGCCTGATATCCGCCGCGCCACTCTGCTTTCGTCTTGCGATCACGTTCCCAAGTTACTGAAGTTCTGTCGCTTGTGTGTGCTGCTGTCGCAAGTCTGAACGACCCCAGGACTGACGGCGCCAAGCAAGACCGCCGGTCCAGTCATATACACCTAGTGTAAGAGGGCAAGGAGGCTACGGCACATCTAGCAATCTGCTTGTTATCGTCTGAACTGTACAGAGGGGCTAGCTGTGGTGTACGTGACGCGACGTGGCGCAAGGGCCACATTTTACCAGTTCTTACGGCCTTACCACCTGTGGTGTGCCTGGACCTCCCTCCTACACACTCGCCGACCTCACAGACATCACTGTTCTCGCTATTCACACGGAACCTCTTTTATTCATTGCTCAACCAACCCGAGGTTAATTGGCGACATCAACCACGTCGCCGATATTAGCGAGGTCAACGAGTGTCACCGATATCAACCGGGCAGCCGACCAGTACGCTACGATGGCTACATTCTATGAGCAACGGATGTTCAACCTCTTCGAGCGTTATGGCATCTCCAAGAATGCCCAGAACATGCTGAAGCAGTACGAGGACTTCATGACTGCTCGAGTTGACGAAGCCGCTGTCGGCCGCCTAATTCGTCTGTCGCCCAACAATCGGGCCGCCCTTACCACAACCATGGGGAAGTGCGCCAAAATGGCGGGAAAGGAGCCTGGCGAGTTGAAGCACTGCCTTGCGGTACGTATGAAACAATCCATACGAAAGCCCAAGCTTTTTGTTCCCTTCAACCCACTTTGCCCCTCGTTATCCATTCTTCTTTCTTCTGGCAATAGATTCTCATCAACATCAATACAGATCATCGACAGCTGCGTCAAGATGCTCCAGATTGCAGGTGAGTCTTAATTCCACGTTCTACCTGAGGGTATCTCAACAAGCCGTCGATGCAGCGACACATTCCCGGAACGCATTTTGATCCTCTGCCTATTTCGGGCAATTTCATTATCAGCGAAACATCCTCCCGTCAAAACACAGTACTGATGCCTTCTCAAGACAAGTCTCCTGTTCAGGAAGGTTTTCCTTCCTTCAAGAAGCTGCCGTCCGAGATCCGTAATCGCATCTTTTACTTTTACCTCGGTAACCATTCCGAAGCTGCTGCGCTCATCCCGTTCCCCAAGCACGGAGAGTGTGTGTGCGCTCCCCACGAGCCTCCCTTGGGTGTGCATTTCATCAAGAAGAACATCTCCGCCGCCTTCACTTCCAAGGCGATGAGAGATGAGGTCCTGGCCTGCTTGTACCGCAAGAGAGCGTTCCATTTCCCTTGCGCTTGTGAGATGCACTACCATCTGACTACCAACGACGCGCTCAAGGAGCTCATTCGAACCGTCAAGGGTAATTAGGATACCGATGCCCCTATCGTATATTCAGGCTCGCTAATGTATTTGTAGTGCGCGACGCCCCTATGTTTTCAATCAACCTCCTTTTCTAGTCCAGCCTAACATCCGCAACTAACTTATTACAGTTTCACTGGTGTGGTATTGAGGCAGACAAGGGCATCCGAGGACTTCAAGACATGAAGCAGCTTGAGTACCTCACCGTCATCATCTCCAAGAGCACGACGAAGCATGTGACCCAACGCGAGAAGGAGATCCGAAAGTACTTCATGCCCAAGAGAGGCACCAACGTCCTCCCTGAGGCCCTCGGATTTGACGAGTTGATTCAGCTTCGTGGTCTGTCGGTTGCTGTCGAGCATGTGGCGAAGCGCAAGGCAGACAGACGATCGGACGACGAAAAGGGCAGCCTGAACGCTCTGCTGCAGTCTCGAGTAACGAAGCCTCGCGAAGATAGCGACGAGGAGACGGGATAAACAGCTATACTGGCTTATGGCCTGGGAAAATTCGACGACCTGGTGTGCATCCGAGAGACAGGTTAATGACTGGCGCTGCTTACTACTGCTTTAAGGGAGTTCGGTGCATTTGCGGTTCATGATACCCCACGGAAGAAAATAGCCATCGATACAGATGGAAGATGCTCAAAGGATACCGGATACCTGGCTATGACAAGTAGCTAAGATGCAGAAGAATCTACTTCTCTACAAGACCAAAGTTCTTGTGCCTTTCCATGCTAGAGCCTATCATGATGCTGCGAAACCTATGCTCCTCTTTTGAGAAGCAGCTGAAACCCCCTTTCTTTCAATCCATCCATGGATACGCAGTTTTGAGAGCCGCCGAAGCTCAGTTATCAGCCCAGTTGAAAGGTTTATCGAAGTTTGACATCGACTGTTTGAATCAACGGCATATGCCTTCCATGTAAATGTACCTTACGCGAGTATGTAAGTCATAATGAATAAGGAGAGCCATCGAATCGTAGTCGAAGCCATGTGGACTGACAGTGACACTGTCTCTAGACGAGGGAATCCGTGGTGAACGTACCTATGATGACACCGGATCGGCGCCCTCAGGGGACCCATTGAATGGAGTATCAGTAACTCAAAAGAAGCCCTACGCAAGACTGAGTCATGTCAACTGGTCAAGCATAGGTGCATGCTGCAGCATGTGTATCCAGTATTCCAGAGATTTAGATGGTATAGGTATTAGCAGAATGGCCCATTCGAATGGCCATGCTCGCCATCGGTCCGGGTAGCGTGGTATTTATAGCAATGTACAGCATCTGACATTGGATTAAGACTAGGACGAGTTACGGGGTTAAGGCCTGGCAGGTAGACGAGCCGGTTCGCCCCTTCCGTAGATACGGCTGGCGAGCTGAACTAAAGGTGCTTGTTGATTCCTTAGGTATACCCTCTGCATTCTTCAAGTCTGTCCCGGGAAATTTTGACTGTCACAGTTTTTCTCTTGTTGACGATTCGTTGAAGAACGTGGACAGTCGCATCCAATATCTGGTGTCATTCATTCATCCAAATACGGACTACGTAGGTAGCTACTAAGTACGTATGCAGATAGAGGCTGGTGAAGCTTGATGGGAGTCGCCCCTTTCCGTTAGTTTACAAGCTGAATAGCTCCTTCATGTGCCCGATTAGGAGTGCTCACGGCAATGCTCTTTCATGATGCAAAGTTCCTAGATTCTCCACCGTACCTAACAGCGGGCCCCTATTAGCTGTCTTCCAGACTTGAAACGTTCGTGGGCTTCCAGATGGTAGAAAGCATGTCAAGCCATTGGGGCAGAACTTTCTTGAGTGATAGTCGTGATAGTCATAGGTAGACTTCACATTGGACGAGGTAGGAATGGCATGGACGGGGCTAATGTACGGAGCACACAAGGTAGGCCACGGAGGCACTGCAAAGGCCTGTCATGATACAAGACTGGATGGGGTCTGAAGATAGAGGCAAAATGGAAGTGGCCAAGAGAGGGAACGAAAACGACTACTTCGACTTCGAGGGTCGACATAGGGGCCTCGATCAATACTAACATGACAGCTCCCTACTGCCAAGTGAACAAGCACATTCTAGTTCCCAGTTTGAACCCGGTTCTTTGCACGATCATTCAAAAACGCGTACCACTTTGTGTAGAGGGTTCAGTATCGTCAACTATCATCTCAGGCCCTGGTCATTGGTTTTTCTAGGCACTGGCTAATAATTCCTGAACCCATGTCTAGATTCGCCCAGAAAGACCAAGCCTGCTCGTGTCGAGGGCCATCACGTTGGTAGCGAAAAGACCATGACTGCCTTGATAGGTGTCCGGGGATATATGCTATCCTACAAGCCAAAGCCGTTGGGGGTGATCTGTTGTTGATACGATGATCGGACCTTTCCAGTGCCCGAAAGGAGGTCGATACCAGACAGTCTATTTGGTGCCTGATGAAGCATGCTTGGCGATTCTCGAAGCCTCGCTTGACTATGTCGTTTGCCGCTGTTCTCCAAACCCAAGCTCATCGCACGTACTTGCTCATGAAACGTTTGTGGAAGTCGGATCGTAGCAAGTCCTACACCAAGGTCAGCATTTTCACCAGGAACCTTCGCTTCAAGCTGCCGTAACTTACGTTGATAAACTCCTTCTTCTTGCCCTTATCTTCAGTCCCTCTGGCCTGGTTCTTGAAGACAACATCGTCGTCCCATCTGTAGTAGCCAAGTCAGCCCCATAAACATTGCGCTTCAAAGACATCTGAACATACCTCCGCTTCATATTAAAGTTCTGCTTGGGATTCAACAGCGGGTTACCAAGCGCAATATCGCGCTCGCGCTCCTGCTCCTCGGCCGCCGTCTTCTCTGCCTCCTCTTTCTCCCGCTTCTCGGCGCGCTCCCGCCTGATCTTCTCCAGTTCCCGCTGTAGCTCTGCCTCGTCGTCGTCGCTCTCCTCGTCGCTCTCTTCTTCGCTGTCATTATCGGAGCCGTCCTCCGAGTCTGCATCGATGTCCCTCGACTCCTCTAATATGCGCCGCCGCTTCGCCTCCGGGTCTTCCTCTCCGTCAGCTATCGCCAGGGGTCGCTTTGCGTTGTTGATGGCGGCTGGTGACGTATCGGTCTCGTTGGCGTCGGGCAGGGCACCGCCGTTCTGCTTCGCGAAGTGGGCGGCTTCGGCTGCGAGGAGCTCGGCTCGTAGGTCACGGACTTCGTCGGCATCTCCTCCTTGACCGGGTTGTCTGGCATCTCGCAATTAGCGAGGAGGTGGCATTATAGACGATGATAACATACCGAAACTTAAGCTGTGTATGGGCGGGCAGGAGCCTTTGGTGATAGGCAGGCCCTCGAAGGGCTTCCTTTCCACGAGCCTGTTACGGTGTCAGCGCGCGTCGAAGAGTCGCAACGGATATGAGGCCGGACTCACTGGGTCGAAGGTAGGCCTGTGGGCGGTAGTCATCTTGGCTATGCGGCGTTGAAGATTGAGTAGTGCCGGGTGTAGAAAGACTCCAGTGGACGGTTCAATGTTCCAGCAAGTTGCCCCGAATGGTTAACGTCTACAGGTGATTGTACTTAAAGTGAGGCTGGTGAGCTGGTGAGGTCCAAAGTCGGCTTCGAGACCAGCAAAAGATCCGACATGACAGGGGTCTGTACTACACCGCCCGGCAGAAAATTAGTGGAATTCCAGAAAGCTTCCGTCGCAGCATCTCGACCTTTGGTAGCCCTACCATCCCACCATACACTCGAGCTGGAGATGAAGAAAGACGACACTCGATTCCTATCCGACAATTGACCATGCCTCGGGAGGCCGAACCTTCCCTCAACGAGCGGGCCTTCGTAGTGCAGGCGCTCCAGGAAGGCCTGCGCCTCGACGGCCGCGCATTCGACCAGTTCAGGGGGCTTGACCTGAAGTTCGGTGACCACTATGGAGTGGCCGACGTCACCTTGGGCAAGACGAGGTACACTTCCAACCGTACTTCATCTGGACACACTGCAGGTGGCTTACTGATTCGGTCACAGAGTACTCGCCAACGTCTCCGCCGAAGTCACAGCCCCCTACATAGACCGGCCCTTCGATGGCATCTTCACAATCACGACCGAACTCAGCCCCATGGCCTCGCCCGCCTTCGAAGTAAACCGACCGACCGAGACGGAAGTGCTGCTTTCCAGGTTACTCGAGAAGACAGTTCGGCGATCAAACGCCCTCGACACGGAGTCGCTGTGTCTCATCGCGGGTCAAAAGTGCTGGTCTATAAGGGTCGATCTCCACGTCCTCTCGCACGACGGCAACCTAATCGATGGTTCTTGTTTAGCTGTGGTGGCAGCGTTGCGCCATTTCAGGAGACCCGACACGAGCATAGAAGGCGAAACATTGACCGTCTATACGCCCGCTGAAAGAGAGCCGGTACCGCTGAGTTGGCTACATTCACCATTTTGCATCACATTCAGCTTCTACGGAGAAGAGGGGGAGATCATGTTATTGGATGCCACTCTGCTGGAGGAGCAATTGAGAGTCAGCAGCTGTATTATCAGTCTCAACAAGCACGGCGAGATTTGTCAGATCGCAAAGCTAGGCGGCACACCTGTGGAGGCTGTATCCCTGATCCAATGCGCGAGTGCTGCTCTCACCAAGGGAAAGGAGCTCTCGACATTATTGGATCAAAAGTTGGCCGAGGATTCCAAGCGGAGAGACAAGGGAGGCCTGCTGGCAGAATTGTCGGCCGAAAACGAGAGATAGAAAGCCATGATGGCTGTGAGATTACCAATGAAGATACCCATGATGGAGAGGCCACCCTCGAGTTGGCCTCATCCTCCCCAAACCTCAACGCCTGTCCTCATGCCGCTGCCGCTGAATGCAAGATCTGAAACCTCTTCAACCTAGAATCCAATATCACAGATGCTCTCTCTACCTCATTACCGGGGGCCTCGACTCCTTGTTCCATTTGACCCTAGACCTTATCCAGTCGATGGCTTCCCTCACGCCCGTCCCTGTCAGGGCACTCACGGGCAAGACCCTCGAGTCGCGGATGCTGGAGGCCTTCTCGCCCTCGAAGACCTTCTTGACGAGCCCCTCCTTTATCCTGACGACCTCGACGCAGTCCTCGCGGTCCTGCTTGTTGGCCAGTATGAGCAGCGGCACGCCCTCGGTCTCGGAGTTCTGCAGGACGTCCTCGAGCACGAGGCGGCACTCCTCGAGGCGGCCGTCACCACTGTCGTCCGCATCGAGCTTGCCGTCGCCGATGTCGGTGCTGTCGATGATGAAGACGATGGCGTGGCAGCTGGCGTAGTAGCTCTGCCACAGCTTGCGCAGGCTCAGCTGGCCGCCCACGTCCCAGATCTTGACGTACATGTCCGGCAGTGTTAATGTTGACACGTTCTGCCCCACGGTCGGCACCGTCTTGAGCTTCGGGTCCGGGTGCTCGGGCAGGAAGAACGACTTGGCCTGCTCGTGGAACGTCGTCTTGCCAGCGTTGTCGAGGCCCAGGAGGATCACCGAGTATTCTGTGGTTCGGGGAGGGGGAGTGTCAGACACATGTGTATTCGAACCTTCAATGATGTTGATACGGGAGTGACTTGAGACTGGTGGGTAGGTAACTTTGGTGGCTGGATGGGTAGGACTCACCCTCTTTGCTGGTCGCAAGTCGGTAGAGGCCCTTGGCCAGATGATACATCTTCAGGTGCAGTTGTGGAGCAGGTATCGCGATCACGGTGGCAATGCGACCTGCAGCACTACGTAAGGTTTATTATGGTAGCTGGCCGTCGGAGAATTGAAGCGACATTGATTGCGCGCGCGTGGCAGGTGATTGACAGTCTGGATGCAACGTGGGGTTTTCAATTGAGTTGAGATCGTGTAAACAAACAGTGAAGTACAGATACTCCGGCTCAAGTGCACAAGATAATGAATTGTAGCAGGCTCGGCAACAGTGACTCTCCGTGCTCAGTGGCTGACTGCTCGGTTCACGCCATAAAAGATCCAGGCCAGAATTTAGGCACACCCGACGCAGCTTCCCTGATGTCGGTGACTTACTGGTCTCTACATGCTGAGTACCTGGTACTTACCAACACGTTACATGCATTCCCTTCCAAGGTTGGTAGAATCAATTAACGCGGGTCTCTCATCCCCAGCCACGCGATTCTTCCATCATTGTCCTACCTTGCTGGGTGAGCCGCCCACATGCCCACCAACTACACCGAACCGTCTGCATCTGAGAAGATGCTCTTAAGACTACACTGAGCAGAGCAACGACGTCCAACACAGCTCAAGATGGCTCCGGTACCATTCCAGCACCCAGTCAGGTAACTTTTAATACGCTCCATCATCGGAAGTAGGTACCTCGATCATGGCGTGCTGACTTACATGTTGTTCAGATACGGGCCCATAGCCTTCGCTGGTGCTCATATCTATTCGGTTGTCTACTTGACATACACCGTCGCGGACAGCCTCTATACGTCTTATAAGTCTCTTGGACCTGCCGCCGACACTAGATCTCGCATCGCCCAGCGTCGGAGACTCGTGCCGGCGTTTCTGGGGCTTGCTGTGGCAGCCATCTCAGTCGCGGCCTACTCGTATATTGCATCGGCAAGGCTGTCGTATGGAAACTGGGCGTACGAGCATGGCCTGGACCTGCCTAGTCGGTAAGTATTCGTGGGTATAGCATGATTTGGAAATGGAGTCTAATGCAACTGTAGCTTGGTCGGCGAAGATGGAGTCATTCACAACACCAAGAACTCAAGTCAGCTGTACCTCACCCAGTGGATGAGCGACACACCCATCTACCACGATGCCCTCGAAATCGTCGCCGAGAAAGCACGCCGTTTCTGGTGGGGGCAGCAGATCGATCTGGCCACAACGGCGTTCAGTATGCTGCTGTCGATTGAGGGACGTCGGCGCAAGATACCTATGCTATCGGCTTTCATGGTGTTGGCACACCTCGTCAACCTGTCTTTCGCCCAGAACCTATTCTATGTCGCCGTGCTGCTTACCCCTTTCCCTCTGCCGTCAGGTGATGAGGACCTCGAATTGCCGGTCTTGCCCATGCCCAACTCGACGTGGACTCGGATCAGGAACATGCTGAGGTTGCCAAAGCCCGCAAACTGGCTTCCAAGTCCCGCGCTGTTGTTCGGCGCCCTGATGCTGAACTTCATCTCGACCTTCTTACTTCCGTATGCGGCAGAGACACCCTCGTTCCCGAAGGTGGTGATGCTCGCTCGTACTACGACCTTCCTGCCCCTCATCCTGCCCAAAATCGTGCCGGTCAAGTGGGGGGCTGTCCACGAGCATCCGCACGAGGCTTACGCCACGTTCACGAAGCTCTTTCGGTTCTTCTCTCTCGCCTCTTTTGCATTGCATGCCAAGGCCACCTTCGTGGGTCTGGTGTCAAACGCACCGAGCTCGCATTATCACCGACACAGCGCCTTCATCCCTTGGGACGTGGAGGAGCGCTCGAAGTGGGAACGCACCACGACTGCGATACACAAGGTCCTAGGATCAGTTCACGACCACCCGGTCGTTGCTGCTGTTGGCTGGGACGTCCTCATCTGCACACTGAGTCTTGGTCTCTGGGCTGCCGTGCGCGCAACCGACGTTCAGGACATCCTGAAGTCGGCCGTCCCGTTCTACGGATCTACTTCCCGCGCAGAATCTACTCCAGTAGAAGATGAGACGCCGAAGACGCCAGAGAAGGCCGAATTTGTGGACCACGAACACGGCATGACTCTGAGACGCCGTGGTAGGCCGACGAAGTCTAGAGTCGGCAGCATCGCAAGAAGCTCGAGTGGCGTCAGCGAGGACGTGACACCGGCATCCACGCGGAAGCGCGGCCGGCCCAGAAAGGTCAAGCAGCCAGAGGAGGACAAGGCGTACGAACCCACGCCGTCAGAGGCGGCGCAGCTCGCCGAAGGAGACGAACTTCCAGAGGAGCTGGACTGGGAGGCTGGTACCTTGGCCTGGGGCCTGGCCGCGTTCGGTGGACTCACTTCTGCGTGCGCTGGGGTCTTTGGCGGAGAGTGTGTCTCGAGATGAGCAGTTTGATAACTTGCTGGTACTGCGATTGCGAACCAGATACGCGAACTTTGGTTGCAGGGGGAAAGGGAGGGAAAATGGAGAACACACTAGGTAGTGGTTGACGGGATGGCGTTTTTCGGGACTACCCATAGGTTTTTCGTCAATGTGCTTGATGGTTTGCAGCTTGCTTCTCCCGTGATGGCCGCGGAAGAATACTGGTGCTGTTCGTCTGCCGTGCTCGTTCTCCTTTGAGATATGGCAATCTCTTCATGTTACTATTGACGAACGTGTGGGTAGGTGTATTTGGATGTATAACTGTGAATTGACCGCAATCGCACGTTTGCTTGATATACGTGAAGCACTGCGAGTTGAAGGAGCGCCTGGCCCAAAATGGTCAAGATCACGTCCTTCGGGCTTCAAGCCCTCCTGTCCTACACTCATTGTAGAAGTAAGTGTTTTGTCAAGATTTGTGGATTATTACCAGACAGCACATCTATCAGTCAACCCCAAGTACAGTGTTTACAACCCTGTTCCCAATGTAGAAGGCAGATGCGCCAATCACTCGTGAATCTACACATACACATACCATCGCGTTATCGTAACCGTACAAGAAGCCCCAAACGCCTCGATGCAACCACCCAAAAGCAAACGCTGACACCATATTCCGTTTTTTCCCCCGTTCCCCGACCCAGTTGCTTTTGTTCATCATACATACAGTATCGACCTGCCGCGTGCCGGGAAACGCAACCCGGGGCCCGGTTTTCATTAACTCCCCGCCTGCCGCGCTCTTCCCGCGGCGCCTCGATGTGGCTGTGGCTATTGCTATGCGGCGGCAGGGTGTGCTCGTTCCGGCCCCAAGCCGTCGTCCATGCTGCCCCTGGGACTGATGCCGCTCACGCTGCTCCGCCGGGGCGTACCGCCAAAATTCCACTCGAACGCGCCCAGTAGGCGTTGATGCTCCAGATTCTGGGCTGTAAATGGCTTGTGCAGGTGGGGGTATTCCTCGCGGCCGGCGAAGGTGTTCGTGGCAGACGACGAGGATGTGGAGTTGGAGTACGACGACGAGGACGACTTCTTGGACTTGTGCGAGCATAGATTCGAGGCGAAGCGCGAAAGCCGCGATGTGGTCTTGGTGAGCGTGCCGTCGGCGGCCGGGTCGTTGTTGTTATTGTCGACGGGGGTAGTGGTGCCGTTGGTTGTGCCGTCGGTGTTGGAGTTCGAGGACGAGGACGAGGTTGAGGCCTTCCTGCTCGAGCCGAACTTCCATCTGCCTAGTGCCATTGTGCTTGATGGGCGGGGTGAGTATGAGGGGTTTTGTCGATGTGTGAAGGGTTGGGAGCACTGTGGTTGCTGTGTGGTCGTTGCAATTGCGGCAATTGTTGTGGATTATAAAGGTATGATATGCCAGACTGTTCGTAGGTGGTAGTTTGGCATTGAAGAGAAGACGAATCGCAGACAGGTTTCCAAGAAGGGGGCTTGGGATCGGCGCGAAAGTCTAGATGGCCAGGGCATTAGTATATGAGCCTATTGAGCCGTCATAGGACGGCGCGGTTCGGCTCTGGTCAATTCGCACCACCACCACCTGCAGCCCGAGCACCAACCACATCCATGAGACGAGCCGACGGACGAAACCAAAGAGGACCCTGATGAAGGGTTAGGTACCTAGGTAACGCGGGGTCGCCGGGGGTCTGTGGATCGGGAGTCTGTGCGCTACCACTACGACGTCATCCCCACCCCCTCCAGACCGTCAGCTGCCCGTTCGTAAAACCGCGCTTGCGGGCGAACGAACGAACGAACAGCGGAGCCATCGACCAAATCCTTTTGGGACGAATCGTGACCATCGCCAGGCTTGGTCGGTCGTTGATAACATACTCCCATACGTAGGCAGGTAGGATCAAAATACAATGGATATATGGTTGCGTGCACAACACACATAGAAGCACACACTGCGTATGCAGGAAGCACGGGGGCGTCTGGGGAACGTCTCCTTCTGGCTCTACCGACTGATTTAAGTCCGGGGTAAGAACCTCTTTGATGGCTACTTCCTAGCGAGCCTCTAGACCTACCTAATTTGGTAGTCTAGGTGTAGTCAGTGAACCTCGTGCGTACGCCTGTGCAGGCAGGCAGGCCAGTCCGTGTCCCTCGTCGCTCCCGATGCCGGTGAGGACGGGTGGATGCCGTGACGGACATGGCTGTGCCGGTAGACGACCACCATCCTAATACTATACCGGTATCCATACCTAGCTGAATGAGTTCGGTGGAGAGAGCGGATAGTATTGAGTTTTGATACTTAAGGTTTTCCCTCGCGCAATCGTTCTCCGAAGTCCTGGGAACTGATTGCCGCAGTGTTAGTGGTTGCTTCCACTGTCATGAATCCCTTGTGAGTACATCTACAATTAGTCATGGAGATTAAGCCTTTAGCCCTTGCCCGCCGTTATGGGCCACAGCACCGGTTGAGAGCGCCGGCACCGATGGGGATTGGCCACGTACAAGTCAACAATCGTGGATCCTCAACCGACACCTTACACGAGCATCTTTAGTCGAGACATATCCAAGAGTAGGTAAGGCGCCGCAGGCTGTCCGCCTATTGGTCAGCTTCGTTGCGCCGGAGTTGTTGAACCAAGGCTCTCTAGAGTCTAGACTGCCGGGTGAAGATCTTTGACGTCCCAGTGCGCTTCAATGTCACAGCAAAGGAACTCCAGAATCGAAACCGTGCATGAGATCAGCAGTATCGAGACTGATTTTCAAGGCTTCTATCGGTGCAGCGGTGGCGTTCTTGCTGATGTTATCACACCATGAGCTGTGTTACCATTCCTCGGTCAGATGCAGCCTCATGCATAGTCAAATATTTACCGTGTCTTGGGTTCCACTGGCCACCGAATACAAAATGTACAATGGGGATGTAATGCACTTTGATACGGCATGGGCATTGATAACGAATGAGCAACAAGCCCATCGATACAAAGCTGCCACGAGTCTATATCCGGCAACCAGGCCCGGAATCAGACTGATATAAGCATCAAAGGTGATTGTCAGATCGAGATAGGTTATTCCAAAGCGCTGTTTCCAAAGGTGGCGAATACACAGGTATCTTGGTATGCTCTCTGTGTACAGGCGGAGACTTGTGAGCAGCGACTGTACGTGGTACCGATATCGAAGTACAACGCCATCATCGCTCTCATATGTCGTGCCCAGAAGGTTTCATGGCGTCGTGACTCACGATAATCTGGACCGGCAATCAGATGATGGATTCCTTATTGCACAAAAGATGTGTCTCCTTGCGACGTTTGCCCTCCCTCTTTCAGGCGTAGTGCAAAGTGGCTGGGGACGTGGATAGAGGGAATCGACCGTGAGGGTACAGATATGGGTTGGCTGGTGCTAGGTGAAATAAAACATGGTTGATCTTCGAGGCCTCAGAATTTTCAGTGTGAATTGATACTCATTGGAGACATCCATATGGAGATATCCTCATAGACTGTGTAAGATTGATCATCACTGGCCATACAGGTTGGGAACTGAAAAGAAATGAGGCAGCTATGGTTGGCAGAAGTATCTGGGGGGCAGGATGCCCTTCAGCCCCAGACTATCGACAACTGCAAACACGGAGCCTGCTCGGATGGGACGCGGATAAAGTGCCACTCGGCTGGACCTGGCGGAGCATCTCTCGACAGGCCAAACCGAGTTGCAGTTTGAGAAGGTAGCTTCGTCCGTCCTGCAACGACGCCGAGGTAAAATCTCGCAATGGCGATGGGCAGCTTACTGCAGCGTAGTCATGCATTTCATTCCCGGACGGGCCTTCTGACAGGAGCAATGGGCTACCTAATCAGTCGTAAAGGCGTAGAGATCAATGTCGAGGATGCAGTGTTGTCAAGAAACACGTTGAAGAAGGGAAAGAAAAGTTTTCAGCAGGCGAGCGATTGATGAGACAGTCTTGAATGCAGACGGGTGCCAAGTGGGTGCTACGGGGCTGATGGGTGTTTGGCAGCTGTCAAGAGCTGCTGCCACGGTCCGCGAGAAATTCCGAGGAAAGGGCACAAACCAGATGGTAAAAGCGGGTCCGCGCACACCTCCAGCTTGCCCCAACTTAAGCGAGAGTGTACCAGAAAAAATACCATTCCGCCTTTCCTTTTCCTCCCGCAAATCCAGGACTCACTCCCTATCGATATCCAGGCAACGCATCGACAAGACAGTTGCCCATCATGTCGCTCGTCTCGGGAGAGAAGTCGAGCTTCCAGTTCGTAAGTAGGACCCTCACCACATCGCGCGCGCTACATTGCGGCCCTCTGAGACCGATCTCGACCGTTGTCCCCCGCCCGGGCTTTCCAGCGTTCTCACGGTGTTACGATACCTTGACGCAAGGACTCTAGCTAAACAGTCACACCACAGATTCTCCGTTTACTCAACACCAATGTCGACGGCAAGGAGAAGGTCCTCTACGCTATGACCCGCATCAAGGGTGTCGGACGCCGATACTCCAACTTGGTCTGCAAGAAGGCCGACGTAGACTTGAACAAGCGGTACGACACGCGTGTCCCGAACAAACAAAAGCACAAAGCCCGGAAACTAACGTCGCAACAGCGCCGGTGAACTGACAGCTGAAGAGCTCGAGCGAATTGTCACCATTCTCCAGAACCCCACGCAATACAAGATCCCCACCTGGTTCCTCAACCGTCAGCGCGATATCACCGATGGCAAGAACTCCCACCTGCTCGCAAACGGTGTCGACTCCAAGCTGCGCGACGATTTGGAGCGCCTGAAGAAGATCCGCGCCCACCGCGGTCTCCGTCACTACTGGGGCCTCCGCGTTCGTGGTCAGCACACCAAGACCACCGGCCGTCGTGGACGCACCGTCGGTGTGTCCAAGAAGAAGGGTGGTTAAAGAATTCGTCACCGCGACGGGACGGGTTCGCTTGGTTCAGTGGGTCATCAGGTCATCATCCAATTGCGGATGGAACGGCGTGAAGGCTGGACTCTGGGATTCCTGCATGGTTATAACGCATGCTTGCTTGCTTGACGAACGGGGACTTCGCCAATAGGACATGGCAAGTCATGGATGTACTCCAGGTCAATGAACAAGAGGCATCAATCACGAGAAGAGCATTGAGAGACCAGAGTGAAACGATTATGAGTGCAAGTGAATATGATCTTCGTCAGGTATTGGCTTTTGTACAGTGGTACAAACTTCAATTTTCTCTATGCCGTGATCTATGCTGTAGCTTGCATATATCGGATATGTTATTCTCATCAAGATCGTGAATTCATAGCGCCAGCCGGTGCCTCATTTTCGTGGTGAAAGGCCGGGGAATCAGTAAGCTTGAGCTCAATCCTCGTGGGTTACTGCCATATCAAGCACCTCGACTCGTCCTTGCCCTTTCGTCTCATTCCCCACAAAGTCAGAAAGGCCCTTGAAGGCGCCCGGCTCGACGAACCCCACCACTTCCCACTCAGACCCCAGCACGTCCTGGTTTTCGACCTGCTCTACGTAACTCAGGATCTTGTCCTTCACCGTCCCTGGTGCCTTCTGCTCGCCCTCCCCATCTTCGCCCTTCGCCGCCGCCGGAGCCTTGACCGCCTGCTTCAGTACGTTGGTCGAGCAGGTAATCCTGAGCCGCATGCGTGCGCGAGAAACGGGAATGGGCTGGTGGGAGATCAGGGCCTTCATGGCCTCGAGGGCCTGGCTCTTCGCGCTCTTCGTCGTGACGACGCCGGTCCAGTTATGCTCCTTGGCTCTCGGCTTCGCCTCGGCGTCGTCGCCCGTGGCCGGCGTGGCGGCCCCGCTGCCGGCGGCGCTCTTGTCCACCTGGTGGGCCTGCGAGCTCAGCATGTCGAGGGCCTTCTCGATCATGCCGGTGGTGTAGACGCGCTTGGTGCGCGGGTCGACGAGCTTGCTGGCGACGATGCCGATGACCTCGTTGTGGACGCGGTCCATCTGGGCGGCGCGCTCCTTCTCGCCGACCTGCAGCTCGCCCTTGTTGAGGATCTCGAGGATGATGTCGTTGGCGGCGCGGTCCTTGCCGAAGGCCTTGGCCAGGTCGGCCGCGGGCGCCGTCTGCCCCTTGGACACGTTGAGGAACACGTTGGGGATCTGTAGTACCTCGTCCAGGTCCGTCTCGATGCCCGACCGCCACTCCAGGACCTTGTTCTTGTAGCACGCGATCTCGAACCGCTTCTTGCCCTTCTTCAGCCGCACGAGGGACACGTTCGTCAGCCGTATTTGGTTGCTCGGTTGGTTGATCTGGCGAGACCTGGGGACAGTTTTATATCCGTCAGTATGTTGAATTCGTGCGGCGGGGTTGGATAGCGAGCGCTCTTACATGTCTGCAGAGATGCCCACGACGAAAGTGTCGTAGCAAGTCTTCGAATAGTAGGGGAAGTGGTCGTGCGCTGTCGATCTGCTGCTATTCTCCTGTCTACCTGTGTCGCGCGAACGTTGTTATTCCTGGGGGTTTTAATCGACTACACGGCATGGAGGTTTGTCATCTACAAACTTACAAACCCAGAAATATTTGCGAAGGGCGCTACTGTATTGACGGGAGTCACCGTTGCGACGACCGAGATGTCCCATTGCGGATGCTGCATGCAATGGGATGGAACCTAACCTTCACGCAGGCACAGCTCTGTGATGAGCGACTGCATGTCAACATCATCCACAACCTATTTTGTCATTACCATATTTTGGATCGAAGTCATCCCAATAGGAAGAGTCAGAAAGCATCAACAGACTTTCTTGAAAGCCTCCTTCGTCTGATGCGCAAGGTGGCTGGATGGATGGGCTGGACTCCCAGATAGAGGCACCCTAAGGTATGACGCTAATCGGTTCTGACCCCGCCTGCTATCAGACACAGGCGGGGATCAGGCGTCAGGCGTCAGGCGTCAGGCGTCAGGCGTCAGGCGAGCCAGCTCATCAAGCACAACTTGCTCAAGCTGCCCCCGTCAATGCATCAATGCATCAATGTCGTTGTTATGCCATGCCAGTCGCAATCCCACGCATCCTGAATCAGGAAGCTTATTCTGTAGCGTGACCAGCTGATTCCCTCATACTGAATAGGTGTGGCAGCAGCTCCTACCCATTAAGGAGAGACAAGAGACATGACCGACCTGGGAGGGAGCGAGGCACGGGGGCGCTACTGGTTGGCTGGGCAGCTGGGCAGCTGGCAGCGGGCTGTGGCTGTGGGGCCTGGGCCAGTCGGGTCCTCCAGTCCCCAGAGCAGCTATCGGGATTCGGGGCAGGCAGGCGCAGGTGACTCGCGTTTCAACCGCATCATGTCGGAGCTACCTTGATAGCTGTTCCTCCTCCTCTTCTTCTTCTCTTCCCATCATCATCAACACCCCTTCTCCTGTATCTCCTCTTCACATCTTAACTGAATCATCGTCGTCAACACAAACCCATTGCTAAGCTTTGGGTCTTATCACCTGGCTGCCCACCATGAGAGTCGCCACCTCAACCTTGCTGCTGGGCGCCTCGGCTGCCTTTGCACAAGAGCAACAGGTGCTTGGTGGCTTCCGCGACAGCATCAAACAGCTTGAACATGTCAGCGACGCCCTGGGCGAGATGCCCGCTGCCGCCAAGGGCCTCTGGGACGAGATGAGCCTGCTGGTGCCCGGCTTCGTCGAGCAGGCCTCTAACCTCATCTCTCGCCCCAAGCCCCATCAACGCAAGCCAGACAGCCAGTGGGACCATGTTGTCAAGGGCGCCGACGTGCAGAGCATGTGGGTCGAGACCGACGGCGTGAAGCATCGCAAGGTCGATGGCTACCTCGAGGATTACAACCTGCGGGCGAAGAAGGTTGATCCTTCCAAACTCGGCGCCGATAAGGTCAAGCAGTACAGCGGTTACCTCGATGACGAGGCGAACGACAAGCATCTGTTCTACTGTAAGTTGTTGACGACTCATCCATCCCCGGCTTCCCACATCCACTGACTGTTGTCTAGGGTTCTTCGAATCTCGAAACGACCCCAAGAACGACCCCGTGGTGCTATGGCTCAACGGCGGGCCCGGCTGCTCGTCCATGATGGGCCTCTTCATGGAGCTGGGCCCATCCAGCGTCAAGAGTGACGGCAACCTCAAGTTCAACGAAGCTTCGTGGAACAGCAACGCCTCCGTCATCTTCCTCGACCAGCCGGTCAACGTCGGCTACTCGTACAGCAGCAGTAATGTTTACAACACCGTCGCGGCCAGCAAGGACATCTACGCCCTCATGACCCTCTTCTTCCACAACTTCCCCGAGTACGCAGAGCAGCCCTTCCACATCTCCGGAGAGTCTTACGCTGGCCACTACATCCCCGTCTTCGCTTCCGAGATCTTGTCTCACAAGAACCGAAACATCAACCTCCAAGGCATTGCCATTGGTAATGGTCTAACCGACCCATACAGCCAGTACAGCCAGTACCGCCCAATGGCTTGCGGTGATGGTGGCTACAAAGCCGTACTCGAGCCGAGCGAGTGCGAGTCGATGGACAACGCGCTTCCCCGCTGCCAATCGCTTCTTTCTAACTGCTACGAATCGGAGAGTGCGTGGACTTGCGTTCCTGCGACCATTTACTGCAATAATGCCATGATTGGTCCTTTCCAACGCACTGGATACAACGTCTACGATGTACGTGAGAAGTGCAAGGATCAGGAGAATCTCTGCTACACCGAGACGGCCTGGATCGCCCAATACCTGAACCAGCCCGAGGTAATGGAGGCACTCGGTGCTGAGGTACAAGATTACGAGAGCTGCAACACGGACATCAACAGAAACTTCGTGTTCCAGGGTGACTGGGGGAAGCCGTTCCACCGCCTTGTTCCGGACATCATCAAGCAGATCCCGGTGCTGATCTACGCTGGTGACGCCGATTACATCTGCAACTGGCTCGGCAACCGGGAATGGTCGAATGCGCTCGAGTGGTCGGGCAAGAAGGGTTTTAACGATGCCAAGATGGAGAGCCTGGCTCTCGGTGATGGCGACAAGTATGGCGAGGTGAAGAGCAGTGGCAACTTCACCTTCATGCGCATCTACGAGGCGGGCCACATGGTCCCGTACAACCAGCCCGAAGGCTCGCTCGACTTCTTCAATCGATGGGTCGGTGGAGAATGGAATGCGTGAGGAAGGAATCAGAGCTGAGTAGACTGCGACGAACCGTCGTATGTATGATGAGAGTGTAGTCATTGGAAGGGAATAGGCGGTGCATCATTTATCATAATGGACCCTGGATTAGAGATGGCCCTCCCAGTGTACGCGTTCTTAGGATAACGCGAGAAATCACTGTGTTCAACATGGCCTAAAGTTGCATCCAACTTGTGTGAAGCTATGACTGCTTAGACTCTCACGATACATGACGGCCACGACCTACAGCAGCAGCAAGGAGCTACGGTCATTTGATCAGACCAGCCCACTGGCAAAAGACTCCAAGCCGAAGACATCGATTGTGAACTGCGTGCCGAAGCCGACCATGGCGATGGGAAACAATGCATAAAGTCAAGTCTGTACATAGAGATGTCACAACGGATAAATTACGAAAGCCTCGATGCTGTTGGCCAAGGAGGTTCCGTACTCAAAGATCGTTGGATGTTGCTCTCGTCTGATACAAAACTCGCGAGGAGAAATGTAGCCGGCTCAAGATCAGGTGTGGAAAAGGTCGAGCCTGACCGAGCATGGCAAAAGACCAATTTCGATGACTACGGTACTACGTGTTTGCGTGTCTTCGTAGTGCCAGTATCCTCACGGCCGATGGTTTCCAGATAGTCGGTAGACATCCTTGCGGCGATGGTTCCCAGATAGTCGGTAGGCATCCTGGCAGTGATGGTGACGCCTCCATCCGAGGCGGCTCAGAAGGGCCTCCGCGGCGCCACTTAATAGGGCTTACCTCGTTTCCTACCTGCCTGTTGATTTCCGTGATGGAATCTTCTCAATACGTGCAGTTGCTTGCGTGGTAGGAGGCACAGGCAGAGAGAGAGATGGGTGCCGTCATCTGTAAGGTAGGTAGCTACAGAGTGCAGGTAGACAGACGGGATGGTGAAAGTGACAGAGAGGGCTGACAGGCAGGCACGCAGGCAACGAGGCGAGGTCAGGCCGGCCGGTGTTGCTATAGTGAGTGATAAGTCGTGACTCAATAGGACCATGTAAAGACTTCTTGGTTCAGATTGTTTGTTGTGGATATGAAGTGAGTGCGCTGGCACTGGTGACACGCAGAAGTGGAAAGCAAATTACGATTTCGAAGTTCTGTGTTGCAGTGGGGATAGGTAAATTTTGGACAGTAGCTCCAAGTGCTGTGGGACGCGCGGCCGTAGAGATGACTTGGATCGGTGCACCAGCCACTTGCGGCTGGCATTGAATCGCCAGCTTCCGCCCTATCCGGACTGGAGTTAAATTGCGACTGGATAAGGAGTCAAGGACGGGATAGGAGGCGGGGAGCGGCGTCGATTATTAGTGCATGCATAATTGATTAAATGCCGGGTGACATTAATCAGGTACTAGTGCCTTTAAACTTCGTTGACGTCTGCAAATCTGAGATAAGAAAAAGGCAATTCTGCCTCGTAGGGAGAGACAATACGGTACGTCGTATCATTCTGGATGTCTGGTAAGTTGGTAACCGGGAAACAACGCTTGCGCTATATTGAGGCGATCTTAATAACAACGAACCGTCGATTCCGTATTGTTGTCCGACTGTCCGAGCAATGAATGTACTTGCCACACATGCACAGCGCACAGAGCACATGAGCACCCGGAAGCAATGGAAATTCCATGAATTATGTGAGCACACGACCTGGATCCCGGGCACACTGCTCCAGCGCATCCGGGGATGGCACTGGGAGAAGCGCGAGAAAATCGATGATGATGAGCAAATCTCGGAGCGTCGGATTCTCCCAGGAATGCGAGAACCCATGCAGTGCACGACTCACCCAGTCCACTCATCACTGTCCGGCATCCCCTCCCCATTGCATGTCATGTACCCCGTCACCGTCACTTGCAGACCGACGGCCTGGCCTATCGACACACTGGACATTGCATAGTCCGGGTGACTTTGATGCGACGATGCGGGAGTGCCAATGCAGCGGCGGTGGGATTTGTCATGTCGCCTCGCATTGCCCATCATCAGGCACTTGCCCGCACGCGGACAATGGGAAACGCAAAACCTGAGGTCTGCAGTGGACGTTTGGATGATGCTGTTTCCATTGTGACTCCGAGGCCGTTGGTTGGCGTTCACTCCCTTTCCAATGCGAGATAGTACGGATGCCAAGACGTTATGGATGCTGCGGAATGGGCAAGGGATCCGGATAGCGATGCTGACTGCAAAATCCCATTCCGATGGTACCGGCCGGTGCAACCAACCGATTCGCGTGACTCCACCACTCCTTGCTTATATTATTATCATGTGAGGCCTCACCCTCATCAGATAAAAAGAATAGTGAAAGAATACGCCGTGACTCTCTGGAATGAGTACCATACTGTAGGGCCCTTGTACAGCCTATTTGTAGGATACCTCACAGTACAGCACGCCAGCACACCAACAACACTCATCACCGCCAGCACACCAGCACACTACCTGTAGATACGCCGCTACCTTTACGACTACCGGCAGGAGCTCATTGCATACCGTACGTACTTGCGCACACGCATAGTGAATCAGTTCGGGGTGAGGATATACATAAGTAACAAACTTGATTACCTAAGTGCACACCCGTACCGTAATAAAAGCTGTTATCCTCGAGCCCGTTATTCATTAATAATTCTTAGTGTCAGTGCAGGTGACGGCGCGCAAGATTCAACATTGCACCGAGCTTCAATTTGCTGGCGTCCTCGGGTCTTGCTCCGTCACCTCTGCGTGTACATTGGAGGGTCTGCTTCATTTCACCATCCATGAATGCCAAGACGATCCAGTTAAACCAGTCGCAAATGTAAGTTTTTCCCCCTGTGTTTCTCCGGCTCCCAAGCTTTACGACTCGCGTGCTCGCTATCATTCAACCAATTCCCGAGTCCCAAATGATTGACGTGCAGCCAGCCCGCCAGGCAGGTATGCATGCCCCTAACATGAGCTCAATCTACCTACCTAACCTGCACCTGCACCCATCTGCATCGTACATAACTTACTTTGCCTCCAGTATCTCTTCGATCATATCTAGAAGCAACACTTGACAGCCAACGAGCAAACGCCGTCATCGCGTAGACCACGCAGCACAGTCCACGGCCCACAGTCCACAGTTTACTGTCTGCCACCGTCTCCCACCGTCTACCGTCCGCCTTTTCACTCAGTGAACAAAAAGCGTGCCGCCGACTACTGCTAGACCGGCAAGACCGTCAAGACCGTCAGGAGTTGATCCTGCCGAATCATTATCAAACCCGCTGTGGACTTGCAGGGATCCTCGCGTGCAGGTGGCAACCACACCAACAAATCCCACCCTCTCTGCCTCTGTACTGTGTACCCAGTACTGTACCTCGGACAAGGACCCTGCAGCACCAGGACTGGCCCTTATCTTCTCTCGTCGCTTCATGGTCACTCTATCCCATCGTTCTTGAACCTCCTTCAACTCGCATCGGCTGCGGATGAGGAGACCCTTTCTACTTCATGACACAATTCCGGAGATTCGCTGCCTCGTGGCATTCCCTCAGTACCGGAACATACTCCCTCCTAATACTGGTTCTGATATGGCTGAACTATCAGAGATTTATCATCGGTGAGACCTCCACCCTCGCCTTGCCTTGCGCGCCTCGCCTCACGCCAACCGCCCATCGTCACGTGCTCGACTGCGATACCATGATTCTAATATAGCAGCAGGCCGCGATGACCCTAATAGATGTCAAGCGTTGCTGAGTGATGGCACGTGGTCGCATACAACCTCGCGCCATGCCACCCAGCGATGGGAACCCAGCGGGTGTCGCATGGTTGAGTACTCGACAGAGGATTTTCACAACTGTTTGGGTGGGCAAAAGGTAGTCCTGGCGGGAGACTCCACGATTCGACAGATTTTTTGGGCAGCTGCCAGGAAACTCGATCCTGTCAAAGCAGACGTCGGTTGGAACGAGGCGAGTGCGACGCATGAGAAATACCAAGATCTCTCATTTGAAGCTGAGGGTGTGCGACTCGAATTCATCTGGGACCCGTGGCTGAACTCGACGACATTGGATGACGCGTTGAAGACTTTTCGTGCGACCCCAGGCACGCCGGACCAAAAAGATCTTAGGAAGAAGGATGAAGTGTCTGCAGCTCTCATGCTTCTGGGGTCACCAGGACTTTGGGCTGCGCGGTACGGTGGAGACGACTACATGAGTCTGTTCAAGCGAGGGATCAGCGCCATTTCGACGTATCTACCGTCGGCTTCAGATGAGGAGACCCTGTCTACACCGCCAGACGCGAGCAATCACTTTGATCCGGCAGCAAGCCAGATATTACTGACCCCAGTCCAAAATCCAAGATACAGCACGCTATCGCCTAGCCTTTCCGAAAGCATCACCCCAGAGCGGGTGGTCAAGATGAACGACTATCTGGCCCACTTGCCTGCAAACCAAACATCTCACGTCGTATGGGCATTCAATCGGATGACAGATGACTCGGAGGATCCCTTTGAGAGTGACGGTCTTCATGTGGAGGACAGCATTGCCGAGCGCAAGATCGATATTGTCCTCAACTCCCACTGCAACAACCCGGCTGTTTCCCATGACCGGGCGTTCAAGGGAACTTGCTGCGTCGCCGAGCCTCACAACACTCTCTACGACCTGGCACTGGTTCTCGTGCTAGCTCTCACAATGTACCTACCGCGATCTACCACAGCCTCGAAGCTGATGCGCCGACTGCCAATCTCGCCCGAGATTGGGGCAGCTACCAGGGACCTGCTCAACGTACTCATTTGGTGCTGGATTTGCGACGGAACACTTCAGCTTAGCAAGTCGCAGCGTCACTATCAGCAAGGGCCTTTCATCGTTCTTTGCCTGTTCTGGCTGGCAGGGAGCTTTTCAGTCTTGAGCAAGATTATGGATCCCGCAGCCGAAGCTCCGTGGTCGACGGCCAAGAAGGGAAAGCCAGACCCGCTAACCAATTACGACCAAAGATTCATGTGCCGCGACCAGTCAGACGAGATCAAGGGTTTGATGCAGGGACTCATCCTCCTGTCTAACTACAACGATGCATCACAGTCGCTATGGGTGTACAAGATCGTTCGAGTGCTGGTATCAGCATACTTCTTCCTGTCCGCGTATGGCCATACGCTCTACATTCTCAAGACCGGGGACTATTCCTTCCGACGAGTTGCAGTGGTCTTGTTCAGGACGAATTTGTTGACCGCCATCTTGCCCTACATGATGGGTACGAGCTACAGCACGTATTATTTTGTGCCTGTGGTCACATTCTGGTACCTAGTGCTATATGCCATGCTCTTTCCATTTAAGCGCAGCAACCAGGATCCGTGGCCGCTCGCTATGAAAGTGCTGGCAACGGCCAGCTTCGTTAGCGTTTTCATAACAACACCCGGCTACCTGGAAGCAACCACGGACTTGCTATACAGGGTATTCCGCATGTCCCTTGACTCCCAGGAAATGCGGTTCAGGCTGCGTCTCGACCGATATATCGTCTTTGTTGGGGTCATGGTTGCCAGCCTCACGCATTCGGCCGGTGTTAACGACGCCCAAGAAATCTTCACAGCGAAGGGTTCGCCACGTGCGGCGGACCACGGACGCACACGGTTTTATGTGTTCTGCAGCGTCAGCTTGGGACTCTTCTTCTACGTGACGCAGATGAATTGGAACACGAAGGCGGATTATAATGCGATACATCCCTACATATCTTGGGCACCCATTCTAACCTTCATCACTCTCCGAAACCTCCACCCGCCTGCCCGCAAGGCGTACCTTGCGCTGCCTGCCATGCTTGGTCGTATCTCTCTCGAGACCTATGTGGTGCAACACCACATCTGGCTCGGCGGCGACGCGACAACCAAGCTCACGCTGGGCTTCGACAGCGTATATGGCGCCTTTTTCGAAAAGGCCGTACTCTCGATCCTGTTCATTGGCGTTGCTGCGCTGACGCACCGCGCAACCCGGGTGTATGCCAACTGGCTGTCCGAAGTCGGGCTCCTTGTTTTCGGTGTAGCCCTGTGGACAGGCAGCATGGTATATGGTTAACTCATCTGCTGCCAGGAATACCACAGATGTATCGATCCGTGTTTAAATAGGCGGGCGGTCAAGGCCCGCGCTCCCACCGAATGAAATGGGATGTGAAGGGACGGAAACGGAACGAGCCGAACCTAGAGGCAGGCCCAGCCAGAGATGGAGGCTGCGGTACCTGCCCATCTTGCCCTGCGAGGTATATATAAATAATTCCGGCCCACGTCTGCATGTCTGTCAGACGTCCCGGATGGACACGGACATACGGACGGTAATGTCAGATTAATAACACTGGTATAAGGTTTCTGGTGGGGGCGCACCGGACTCGGGCAGGAAGCGCTGGCATGACAGCATGCGCAGCATAGGTAGCTGGCTGGCTGGCTGGTAGATTTGGTTGCTTATGACATAATGTAATGAAATTAGACCATTCACACATTAGACACAAACCACTCAACAGAGAGAAACCACGGGGTCCGTGGTGTTGAGCTTCACATCATGAAATTGAAACGCGTGTTCATTGCATTGATACCCTTTGAGGGACGGCATGTTGTAAACGAGCACCAACCCACTATGTACGAATGTACCGACTGGAGTCTGTTGTCGTATCTACCATGATGCTGTTGGACTCTTCTTTGTCCTCGCCAGGCGCTGCACAGGGTCTCAAAATACGATACGATACGAAGCTATATTATCGTATACGATAGTATTAAAGAGGGGAGTAAAAATGGGACTTTTGAATATAACTTAGATATTTTTTAAAAAGAGAAAATTTAATAATAATAAACCTATTTAAGCGTTTTTTTTGATGTTATTATTATTTTAATAACTATTAAGCTTTAAATATAACTATTTAAAACTAGCTTTGAAACGTGTTTAAGTAAAATAAATAAATTATATTAAAATGTATAATATTATATAATATACTATATAGTATTAAAATCCCATACGATACGATACTATATGATATAATACGATACTAAGTACGAATACGAATCGTATTTTGTAAGACGACCCTGGCGCCGCTGCATCAGCGTTGATTATACGAAGCTGCGGCCAACCCTAGACTAGCCCAAGTGCGCAGCAAGATTGAAAGCGGTTTTCAAGAAAGAGACCGGGCTGGTAATCAGGCATACGTCTTGAACCGTGCAACTTGTTTAACGCTGGTATTAGGTATGGGGATGGTAATTGATTGATTAGGTGATGAATGCCATAATGTTAGCCGGTACATCTATTGTTGAATGGGAGCCGGAAATAGACACCGGAAGATCTCCAGTGGGGCAGAGACGCACGGGGCATCTGACCCACCAAGAAGACAGATGATCAATCTCTGCACGCAGAAGAAGAAGACCATCAAGAGAATCCATCAACATCCGTGTATTCAACATCTATCGACCTATATCACTTTTGATTTCATTGACCCGTTGCGTACCGGAACTGCCCCTTCTTTCGGGCGATGCGTACTCGACGACAGGTCAGGCGCCCTCATCGCTCGCGTGACGGTCCGGACGCTATCGAGCAGGAGTACTAATGAGGAAGTCAGCACTGGTCAGTTTATCTCTCCCCTCGTCTCTCTCCAGGCCCCCCTCCAAAAAAAGGTACTCAGGAAGGAGCCTCAGAGGCCAGTTTCGGAATGGAATCAACTCACGGGCTGGGATGACCGCCCACGGCAGGTTGAACCCGACGTAGTAGACCCAGAAGTACAAGACCTCGGGTCGGCTGTGCGAGCGGCCGGTGAAGTAGGTCGAACTCAGGCTCGTCGCGTAGTAGAGCGCTACGCCGTACAGGTGCGCCATGCTGGCTGTGATGCGCAGGCTGTGCCGCAGCGGGCTGGTAAGGACGATGGATAGGGCGGTGGCTAGGCATAGGGGGCCCCATATGAACTGTGGGTAGCGTGAGTATTTATTCTGCCTCGATAGGGGTCGGGGGCGGGACTGGGGCTGGGGGATTGGGTGGATGGGTAGATTGGGTGGATTGGATCATACGTACAGCCGTGATGCTCTCCACGCTCAGCATGAAGACGTCAGATGTCAGGTACCGCGAGTCGGACAGCGCGTACTCCTTCCAGAGCTGCGCCAGCAGGTTCTGCGACGAGGCGACGGTGGCGTGGTTCAGGACGAAGTAGCCTTTCAGGGTAGACGAAGTCAGCTTTCCGCGTCCCGGGCGAGAACAGCCGGCTCGATTAGACACTGCTCAACGAGCCGTAGGGAACTACTCACCCTCGAACACGCAGTGTAAGCAGCCGTCTTCGATATCAAATTAGTTAAAAATTTAGTCTCTGGAGTGGTATATCCGGGACTTGACGCCGCCTAACAGCCTCACTCACTCATGACGAACCAGCAGAACACGGCCAGGTCCGTCCTGCCCAGGTCCGGGTTGGCCTTTCGCGCCACGACGGACGCGAGCAGCAGCGAAAAGCCCAGCATGCCGCCCAGAGCCGCCAGGAGCACGGGGACCGGCGCTTCGTTGGGCAGGTAGTCTGGTATGCTCACGCCGAGGGGGTAGTATGGGTGTGGGTTCTCAGCCGGGGCATTGTTGCCCGTCAGGGGCCACGAGCTGTGGCCCATTTTGCTATCCTGATAGACAGAAACGCTAAACAATCCCCGAAGTGAGCTTCACTGTTGAAGGGTTTGGACGTAAGAATTGGATCGCGTAGGTATTTAAGAATCCTAGACCGCTCCTTATTTCCGGTTGGATGGTAGCTGCTCCAGCTGTTTCTGTCTGTTGACGACAAAAGCGAAGAGGCTCGAGCTGTCAAATGGCATTGGCGGTGGGTCAGGTAGGGGAGAGGCTTGGCGGCCTCTGTGTGCGCTTTCGGCTCCGATGCGGGCATCTCACTGGCTTTCGGCTCAAGTGCTACGAACGAGACCTCAATGTGATTCAATGTTACGTTCGCGGCCATAATCTTACTTCTTGTTTTTCTAATTACATTTTGAGAGACTAATCTACTCATTCTATGTACCTAAGTCATGAAGGTCAAGTCGACAAGCAACACATCATCTTAGAACCTCAGTGCAAGCTACTCATCCCTTATAGATACTAGGCCACATCGCAGTCCGCTTTCGAAATTACATGCGCCTGCCAGCACACCTGCTTCACATCTCGTACCCAAAGAATCCAGCAAAGCAAAGATGACGGCCATGCTCGAGGTGTCCCTGGCCTGGCTCTTCAAGAACGCCAAGGGCCGAGACGCCAAGGCCTTCTACACGCGGCCGGCCCTTGCCGGCTTCGCGGAACAGACCATCACCGTCACGTCGCCGGACTGCGGAGCGACGAACGCGACACTCGCGGTTGACTACACCGCCGACGGTGCCGGGAAGTTTCCCGCGCTGCAATGGGCTGCGCCGCCCGAACTCGAGGGAAGGGTTCGGGAGTGGTTGCTCGTGAGCGAGGACCCCGATGCGCCGCTGCCGACACCTATCTGTCACGGGTATGTACCTTACGGTCCTGCTATTATGAGCTGTGACAACGCCCGTCTGTCACGGGGCGGGAACGGAGAGAGGAGAGAGGAGTGGCTGGCTAATCTGACCTACGCGGCAGCATCTACACCGGCATCCCCCCCACCAAGACCAGCGTCGAGGCGGCGGACTTTGAGGTCGCCGACAAGGCCAAGGCCCTGTTGAAGGGCGGCTTCCACTACGGCAAGAACATCAGGGGCTCCGTCTACGGTCTCCCGCGCCCTCTCATGAACCACGGCCCGCATCGGTACTTCTACATGGTGGTGGCGCTGGAGGAGCCCCTGGACCCGAAGCTGCTGGCGCCGACGGCGACCAGGGAGCAGATTGCGGATGCTATTGTTGGGAAGGTCTTGGGCTGGGGTATGTGGGTGGGCGTTGCGGAGAGGAAGTGGTAGAGGGGATTTTGAATGTTGTGGGATTTCTGGGTTTCGTGTCGGTTTCGCGAGGTTTACATGCTGGTGTTGGTGAATCGGTTGTCATCGTGGTCTCTACCTAAGCTAGTGTATAATCACGATGCTAATTGTCCAATTGTATGCACCTCGCGTTGATCACATTGCATACCCAATAACCGTAAGCAACGCAGTAATGATACAGTAGGTAGGTAAGGTGAGTCTGGCGACCTATGATCTATCCCTTGATCTGTCCCTGTGGGGTAAGCATAGCCGGACTTAGCCGTAGTCGGTTCCGATGCCGGCAAATCGCCCTTCTGGGCGTGCCAGCATGTCTCCCTCTTCAACCAGGATTTGACGGACTTGCAACTCACCTCCACAAAAATAAGCCGAGACGGATATCTTGTGTCCGTCCAGCTTTGTGCGTCGACGGCGAGACTTCGCCTTCGACCTCGAAGCCGCCGTAACCTACCTTGCCAATGGCCGACGCTGAACCAGAGCCGACCTCAGCATCCAGCCGGATCAAACGAAACGCGGCATGCACTAGCTGCCGCGACGCCAAGGTACTGCCAGCTGTGCCTCTTCCCGACTCATGTTACATTCCGTATTGATAGGCCTACTACAGGTACGCTGCAATCCGAGCTCCAACCCCGAGACGCCATGCCAGCGATGTGCGAAGTTGCATTTGTCCTGCGTTGTAGACAAGACTCACAAGAGGGTGTCACGGAAAAGGCAAGTCTCTTGCGTCTTGTCTTCATCCTGTCCCATGTGCGCAGTTATCATTTCATCGCTAATACAGGTAATCTATCCATGACGGACATGCACTGACCGCGACTCACAGCAAGCTGGATGAACTCGTCCAAGAGATCCAATCCATAAAGCAGTCGGTTGGATCGGTTTCGTTGCCTCCTCAGGGCACCACGCAACAGCACGATGGTGCTACCTGCCCGCTCCAGGGGCCTGCTGTGCCACGGCTAGGCCTGCCATCTCCAAGTTCTGGCCCGTCCGACTCAACAAGTAGATACAGTGGCCCTGAAGCTGCGAACGGTGTAGTCGTCGACCCATCTCAGATCTTGCATACACCTGCAGTCACCCTACCCCAAGAACCAGGAATCAAGCCGAGCCTGTCCAGGGCCTTGGGGTCCCATCCCTTTTCTGGCGAAGACATCGACTACTACTTCCAAAAGTACTTCGAATGCTACCATCCATATATGCCCATCGTACGGGAAAGAGACCCTAACAAGTGTTATGAGTCTGGACCACTCTTGTTCTGGTCGATTCTCTTCATCGCTTCGCGCCGTTATGCTAGAGATGGCACGGCGTTGCCTTTTTTGTTAGACTCGGTCAGACGCGAGATGTTTACGGCTATAACTATCCTCCCCTTGTCACTGTCCTCTATCAACGCGCTCATCCTGGTCTGCTCATGGATATTTCCGGACGTGCGGTTCGTTAACGACCCAACGGCCCTGTTCTCGAGTGTCACTGGGAATGCGTCTATGCTGTTAGGGATTCACACGGGAAAAGGCGCGCACCCTGAGTTCAGCCATGGTGCTTTTCAGAACAGCTTCACCGACGAAGAGGCCGCCTTGACATGGACGGGGTACAATATAATCGCCCAAAGGTACCATCACTTGACTCAGCTGTTGTCCACATTACTGACATTACATCCCGCAGAGTATCTTCATACCTGGGACTCCCCCCTCTGGGGAGCCTGTTCAACCAGGCTGTCCAGAACGTCATTGATGGTCGCGTACCTTTTCATGTTCCCCCGGGATTCCGGGTCCTCCTGGAGTGCCAGAAGTTTTGCAATCGAGTTAGCAAGACAATGGTAGCCTACCTAGAAGAGTCGCGGGGAGTGTCCGCGCATGTAGTGCAACTACTCGAAGACGAATGGGACGCTGTCAAGGGGCTCGTCTGTTCTGAGCGAGCAGGTATGTGATGATGCTCCCATCCGCCAGTCTAACATCCCCCTTCTCTCACTCCGCGCACCTGGCCGTTTTGCAGACGACTCCCAGACTAGATGGCTGACGGAAAGCAGACGACCTGGACCGATTCAACGCTCTGCTAGCGCAATTCGAAATCCAGGTCTACTACATGCTCCCTCTGCCTGGCTACAACCCAGAGAATCTGAAGCGCTACATTCTGCGGACATACACCACAGCTCAAAGCGTGCTGCGGGACGCCCTCCAGCTGGAACGCAAGATGAAGTTCATACACCACATTCCGCATTTCCACTTCCGGGCTCTCCTTCTGGCCAGCAGCGTCGTGCATAAGTTGCTGCGATCCTCGTACATGGAATTCGTCGGCTGCAAGGCGGCAGAGCAGTCTGCATCGGACGCGATCGCGGTCTGCAAGCTTGCATCCGTCAGTAAGTAGCTTTCACGCCTGTTGCTTCTCTATTATATGACAGAAGAAAGAGCCCGGTGCTCGAATTTTGCTTGCTTGTTACTGGGCCTTTTGGATCGCCTTGCACTTCCCATTCCGCCATTGGCCGAATCAACTAACCGGCTGTACGTCACAGTGGAAGGCGATCTCCCGGCCCGTTTACATAAACTAATAGAGTCCTTTTCGGACGGGACACGGAAGTTGCAGGGCCCTCAATCGCGCGAAGAGCCTATATCCATGTTCTCGCACCGCCTCAGCGCCAGCGCTGCCCTCGACTGGCTCATGCGTTGGAAGCACGACCATGTCGCCAGCGGCGCCAAGTGTCCCGCGCAGCAGCAGCAGAACCAGCAGGACTCTGTCGCCCACGCTGCTGGTGCTGGTGCTGGTGCTGCTGCTTGTGCTGAGAGAGTAGACACGCCCGCGCTTCTGGCGGGCGAGCCGATGCAGAATATCGACTGGAGTTTCATGGACGACTTTGATTGGAACCTCGAGCCTGGGGTCCTCTGGAATGGGACCCCGCGGTAGCTGCTTCGCAGATGGAGCTCGCGAGGCTTACAGTGGTGCCGTTTCGGGTCTATGTTTTGTCGAACAATCTTGCGTCGGTGACTGGACAGTAGACTGGTTGACTAGGTGCGCTTTGTTTTCACGATGATGTCGGTATTCCTCGCAGGTGATGTCATGCCTTTTCCCAGCTTTCTGACGAAGAATGGTATGGACCTCGCGATAATAAGTACTAGCAGCAAGGAGAATGGCCACTGTTAATCCATTAAGCGCACATCCGGGTATCGTAATATCTGCACGCCGCCCCAAAACAGCAAAGAAGAAACTGCCCTCTACCCGTCCCTCTCCGTCTCGAACATCTTCACCCGCAGGCCATTCCCTCCATCACATCGCATGCCCGACCCGATGCTCGTTCCCCAGCGTCAACACCACCCAAGCAACCTCATGCCCCTCATCCTTCAGCGGCGTCCAATGAGTCGCAAACCTCTCAAACCCCATATAAGGCCTCGCACACAACTTCAAATCCACACTGACCGCTTGGCCTCTACTCAGCGGCGCCTTTACACTCTGTTTGAAGTCCCTTCCCATAGAAGAGCCGCCATTCGGGGTGTGGTTCGCGAGAAACTTGAAGACGTCTTGCCCAACAGGGGATTGTCTCGAGGCGGCACCGGCGGCTTTGATTGGGAAGAGGAGGTCGATGATACCAACCGAGATGAAGGAGATGAAGAAGGTGCTGTAGTTGACAACTATGTAGTTGGAGTAGGCGGTGTAGAATGTCCTCATCTGGTTCTTGAGCGGCATTTCCTCCAGGCGATCGACGAGCGTATGCTCCATGCCTGGGATCCGCGGTGGTGTCTGCTGCGAGCCCGTCCGGTCCCTGCTGCTTCGGAGGGCGCTGAAGAAACTTCGGCTTCTAGGTTTAGCGGGTGGGGGCGAAGACAGCTGAGTTGCTAGCGTCTCGTCTTTCGGCTCATCGCTCGATTGCGCGAGGATGCGGAGGACGTCTGAGGCGCTGTGGACGGAGGTCGAGCAGTTGATTTGACCTCCGAGGAAGAAGACGAGGTTACCGTTTCCGTCGAACAGAGGAGTCGTGTACAGCAGATTCCAGAACGGCTGTCCGTCCTTGCGGTTGTTGAGCAGCAGTTCCACGCTCTCCTCCCGCTTGTCGACACTCGTCCGTAGTCGCCGCACGGCCGCTCGATCGGTATGTCGAGATTGCAAGAACCGGCAGTTGCGCGGGATGATCTCGTTCCGAGAGTACCCAGTCACCTTCACAAACCCATCGGACGCATAGACGATGGGATTATCCGCTTTCGCCGGATCGGTAAGGACGAAGCAATCACCCAGCCCTGCAAACTTGCCCCTATTGGTGCCCAAGGCTTTGCCAGCGGAGACGCTCATCTGATGGCGGACGAATTTGGGGTAGACGTCTCCGTACACCAGCTCTTCTATATTATTTTGAGCGTCGGAGAAGATGTTCTCCAGCATTGGTAGAGTGTTTGAGAGCGCAGATCGCATCTCGGTATTGACCTTGATGAGACATTGCTGAGGTATGTTTATCTGGGTCGGAGCGCTACTGGCAACGAACTCTCTGTGGATCTCATAGATGGTCTTCGAGACTTGCGTCAGTAGGCTCTGGTACCCCTCGACTCGGCCGAGGAACTCCATGTTCTCGCCGCAGAGTCTGGAATGTGCAAATTTGAGAAGCTGGTGGGAAATCGTCGGATTGTGCAGGATGGTTTGGAAGACTGCACGGCTGAAGAATTCGGGCATTCGGCTTCCAGAGGAGCGGGAGCTGCTTTGCGCGGCTTGGGAGAATACGGAGGCAGAGTCGACGGATGCCGTCGTAGGCGTTGCTGTGCCGCCGCGTCTCTCCCATGGTATAACTGGTCCTGGCGCAGCCGTCAAGTCCAGGCTCTGGAGGTCGCTTGGCCTCTCCTGCTGGATGTGAGGGCTCATTGGGGCTTCTCTGTAGTAGGTATAGAGCCTAGAGTCGTCCATCTGGTCTTGATGAAGGGTTGGCTCTTGGTGAGGAGGTGAGGCCGTAGCGCTGAGGCCGTAAGCAGTTACTTCATCTTCAGCCTCTGATGGAGTTTCGCTCAGGATACCGGCGTTCTCTGGTATGCTACTATACGCAGCGCCGTCAAGGTTGAGGCCCAGGTCGGATATCACTGGACGTGGCGGCGCATGCTCATCCTCGGAAGACCGAGGAACGCCAATAGCATGCTGAGGCCTGAGGTCGGAGATAGCTATTCGCAGTGGCGGGCGATCGTCGTGTCTTGGCTGTGCGACGCTGCTGACCCCAGCCCTGGGGCGGCCGCTTCCATCGCGGGTGGACGGCCTGGCGAGGGAGTTCACGATTCGTGGCACGGCTGGTAGTTCGACTGGTGAAGTTGGCGGCTGCTGCAGCCTCGCGGAGGATATGGTGCGTCGCACCGGTGTCTCGAAAGACTCTGCATCGGAGTAATAGTCCCGGTAGAGGCGGCCTTGTGCCATTGCCGCGGGCCAAAGACCGTTGCGGTGAGTAAGGTCAACTGGTAACTACAACGCAGCAGGGACGGATTCAAGTCCGCTGAGAGTGTTCCGAGCAACTGCGATGCTGTTCAAGAGGGAATCGCCAGCATTGTTATCCTCCAATAAAGCCTGTCAACCCCATGACGATCATGGGGTCCGACCTTGAGGCGTGTGGTGGAGATTCGAGTTGCGGGCGCGACGGTCGTTGATCCCGATATGGCAAGAACAATATACCCGTGGACAGGGGTGGCTTGCATACGTGATCTAGATGCAAGCTTGGCGAGCAGATCACCAGATGTAACCAGGTTGCAGCGTCAATTCCCTCAATATCCTGGCAATCGGAGAGATTACAGTGTTGGTAGACGCAGTGGCCAAACGTTGGCGGTTTGGAAGACATGGAAGTTCTAGAACTAGACCGGACGGGGGTGGAGGAACTCATCGGCACCTTTAGCTCCCTGTCGGCCTGTATGAGATAAGGCAGAATTTGATCTGATCGCAATGATCGCCGTTACCCCGACGTAAACTCTGCGATCTGATTGGTACGGAGGATTTTGATCTCGTTCCGGCGTCGTCTGGTCTAAGGTTAGCTGTTTCCGCGCTTGGTATTACTCCTCTACTCCTCACCACCCCAGCGTCAGCTCTGAGCGTCTGCGTCACCATTGGCGTCTCCCCTGGCGTCGTCTGCTTCCTCGCTAACTTATTACGGGCTTTACTGTCCTTATTTCTACAAGGGCAAGAACAGAGGAGCAGAAGGAGATAGGCAAGAGCGGCAGATGACGAACGTCGAATGCCGAGGCGGTCGAGCTGCACGGGAGGACTATGCCAAAGTAGCAAAGGTCAGGGCGCAACACGGGGCCGCGGAGGAGCGGATAGGTGATGGAGAGGCTATGCTATAATAAGACATATCACTGGTCGTGTCGATTTACTTTGAGTACTCTAGTAAACTTCTCGAGGTGGAAGACCTTGGCTTTGCCGAAAGGAGGAGCGACATCACTCTTAAAGAGCGCGTCTTTGCAGCAATCCAGGGCTCTATACTTACCTTAACAACTGCGATATTTAAAGGCGCCGATCGGACAGCAGCGCTTTATATTAACCGCATAAGGCGAGTGTGGCAGGCTTTGGGGAGGTGTAGAGGTATAGGTTATATTCACACAACTTTCTTAACGCGCTTTTTTAAGCGGTCTTTCCTTATTACGCGCCGTAGTCGTTTTAATGATTAAACGCGCGCCGTGGTTTTCTCGAGGTATTACGCCTTATAGATAATTATTAGACTAGGTAGAAAACAGTGTTTTATGTTGATTTTACCTCACCTTATATCTAAGATCTAACACTGCTCGGGAAATCCCGCTTCAGCCATATATCTGGTGGATGGGGTTAGAGCGGAGGGCTGAGCAGAAAAGAAGTGATCGATCGACCATCTAGCCGGCGGCTCCTATATACCATCTAGCAACTAGATATATCCTAGATGTGTGCTCCTTGCTGGAGTACCACCTGCATGAGTGGAACGAGAATGGTACCGAGTTGATGGCGGGACACCGGATTGGAGTTGGTATTCAAGGCAGGAGCCTGACGGGAAATGCATGTCTTGGATGGTGTAGCTAGATCCGATATCGACGGGAGAAGAAGAGAAAGTCAGACATCGCCACAACGGCTGACCCATATTCGTGAAGGCAGAGAGGTACATGGAAGATGTGGGCACCAAGTTCAGTGAGCGGTACTGGGTGCGATGATCTAGGCATATCCTCCCGCCCAGGGGCGCCCGTCTCACTTCCCCAACGTGACTCGCAAACGAGTGATGTAGATAGGCGCAAGGCAAACAGTGCCACTGAAGAGCAGACCACAATGTCCCGTTGGCTAGTTCGAGCATAACATGCAATGACGACCACACGTGTACGTAGAGAACAGATGGTTGTCTTATTTCATCGATTCTGTAGAGAAGCGTTGGTCCGCTCAACTCCAGACATGCACCCATCCCAGCCTCTGCCAATGTCTCCATGATCTAATCAGCCAATATAGTACGGGGTATTATACAATCGATGGGGGAGGGGATATCAGCTCGAAATAAAAAAGATAACATATTCATATAAACCGTCGGCTCATCCGCCGGGAACCCGTATCCCCCAATGCGCCGCGACTGACTGCTCCGGAACCCGTCTAGTCAGCGCCCAAACCCGCTGGCCCTTCATACGCTCCTCTACCGGCGTTAGTATTCTCTTCTTGGCCCTGTTGGCCCATCACCCGTGGTGCCCACGCCCATATTCGTGCCAAGCGCCTCCCAGTTCACATCTACACCATCAGACGTAGCAAATTCAAACGGGGCGCCCGCCCCGTGGCCGCCCGTGGCCGTCCCATTGTCGGTGAACTGCGCGTACACGCCCATGCTGGCGGGGTCCCAGGAGCCCATCGCGTCCTTGACCGCCGTCTCGGTCTGCGACTGGCCGTGGCCGGCCGTCGTGAACGTTGACGGACCCATGTTCCCGAGGAGGCTCGGGTTGATGGTGACGCCTGGGCGGTCACTATTGTTGCTGATGTTGCCCCGGGGCAGATTGCTCGATTTCGCATTGGTATTTCTGTAAATGGTGTTGTTGGCGGCGTTGTTGGCCGGCGCGGGAGATCCAGTACGATGAGGCAGGTTTACGTGCTGCTGGGTCAGTATCCCGGGAACACTGAAGCCGGTGACAAAAGGTTGCGGTGGAGCTCCCGCGCTGGCGTGGTCCTGGGGTGATGAATGGGACGAAGGCGTGCTCCCTGAGAGGGTATCCGCAATGCCGGTTGCGTTGCAGAACTGCTCAGAGCTCTCAGAGCCGCCGTCCAGCGTCGATGGGGCGGTGCGCTTCCGCTTGTTCGCGTTGGCATCCGAGGAGTTGCCGTTGCTCTCCCGAGGTGAATCTTCGTAGATTTGCCTAGGCCATCCAGAGTGGAGGTTGGTGTAGTTTGCTGGAATCATACGTCCAACCGGCTTTCCGAGGGGCAATCGGCCTGGCAACGGAGGCTGTACTTTCGAGTGGCGTGAGATCTTGGAACGTGCGAGTAAGGGGATGTTCTGGGAAAGCTGGCCGCAGAAACCTTCGCCAAGGCTGTCGATCCGAGGGATCTTGACGATGCTTTGCAGCCCATTTTGCTCGATGTCCAGTATCACTTGACGCAGGAACACGCGTGTAATCAGGTGATCTCGTCCAATGGCCTCCATCGCAGAGATGATGAAGTCGAGGTTGTCGATGTTGGTTGGGGCTTGCGCCTCCTTGCTGAGGTAGACGTAGACCGAGGCAGCACAATACAGCGATAAGGCCGCTAAAGGACTTTTCTGCTGTGCGTTAGGAGTTGGCGATATGGAGATGGGCAACTCTAACTTACTGGGTTCGTGGCCACGTGACTGGTGAGCTTGATGATGTTGACGATCTCTTGGGCTGCGGTGGTCAACCGATTCTGGCTGGCTTTCTTAGCACTATCTGGTAGCTTATGAATGTCGATCTTCTCAATGGCTGCATGGTGTAGGCATATGATGGATGCATGAAGATTCAGGTTCGTATGAACAGCCGTCGGATCACGATAGTTCTCAGGCAAGCGAAAAGGCTCCGGGAGGAACATGAAGACACTGGAGATGGTGTTGTCGATATCGCGGTGTCTTTGCCAGAACTCGCCGTATTCGTAGTTATCGGGTTCGTCATTGGGCTGAGGTCGATGGACATGTTTGAGGATTTGATTGAACCTTCAGTAGACATCAGCAAAGGACGCACAGTTCTGCAGGCGGACCAAGAACTGACAGGTGGCAGATCACGACGTTTCCAGCAAACGACGAGTATGGCCGCCCTTTCAGGGCCTCGTGAAGACTATATGACTCCCTTTCCTCGCCTTTGTGAAATGCGGACTCATTCTAGAAAGTCTGAGGTCAGTAAACGCTCATTGCTGAGTACCTATATAAGCCGTCACGAGTAGGAATGCCTCCGAAAGAGGGCAATGGGAACGCCGCTACAGGACGCCGAATACAGTCATCGGGGCATGGAGAATCAGCCGTTAACTTACAGCAGGCAGATGAGTAGTGACCTGCTAAGTATTAGCGATAGACTCATATTACACCTGTCCGCGGCACATTACCTCTTTGTGGTCTATGAGATGTGGCCACCCAGTCGAGATGGAGCAATGGCTATCGATGCAGAAGATTCCCCAGAACGTGCGCCGCCGCTCCTCGAGTTCGGCCCAGTCCTTCGGTGGTAGGAGAGTAGGGCTCATCTCGTCGGGAGGTCCGTCGAGCCGATGGAGCCCCATCATCTCAACCAGTCTGACTGCACGAGCGCAGCTCATTGCCGCCCGCGTGAACATCATCCCTTTGGCTTCATTGACTGCTATTATGCACCATGCTTGGGCATGACGGACCGTGATGAAGTGTTCGCCATAGCCCTTGGACAGTTAATAAGGGGCTGACCTGAGATGACGCTATCCAGGGTAAAACATGGGCAATACATACTTTCATCTCATCCGATTCAGCATACTGCCGTGCACGACGATAGAAGACGTCATGGTAGCCATGGTATTTCTGGTGCCCATGACAAGCAAGAGCCCATATGGCGTACTGAAGGCACATCGGGGGCTTCATGTGTGGGGGCGAGTAGAAAGCCTGCATATATCGAGCGGGATGGACAGCAGGCATAAAGTGTTGTTGGCGCTCGAAATATATGCGGTTGCTATCACCGTGAGTGACGACACTACAAGCGTTGAGATACGCAGACGACTTACAGTTCTTCCATGATCTCAAAAGGGGGCAGAGTTTCGAAGATGCCGCCAAGATCCATCAGCTCGCCATTGAAAGCGCTGTTGCTGGCCTCCTGCTCAACTGAGGGCCCTGACAAAAAGGGTGTCGAGTCCTCCTGGTTATAGGGGTACGTGATGTTCGGGTCAAAGGACACGTCTGCTTCTGTAAAGTCCATTCCCTGGAGGAAGACTTCCTCGGTCATGGGCACTTCGATGCTGTCGAAGTGGATGGGCTCATCAACATCCTCTACAGTCGCTTGCTTATCTCCTGTGGGCCTGCTGTCGCCTGCTTCCTTGAGAAGGACCTCGACTTGCGCTGCCCGGGGTTAGCTGCGGTCTCTCGTGGCGATATATCGACCAGCTCCTGAATTACCTAAGCGTGCCTCGAGTTCTCTCACATTCCTTCGCTTGAAGGCCGGCTTCCGTCGCGATTCTGGATAGACACAGTCCCCATTCACTTTGGCACATCTGGCGCAGATGGGCTTGACTCTGTCGCACTTGAGCTTCCGGTTCCTGCAGGCGACACATGACTGCATTGAAAGAAGTTAGATAGATATTCAAGGTTCGGATGAGGAGCGTGACAGATTTTACCAGGGTCTCTCCGGTCTGACCAGCAGATTCATCCACAGTGGCCTCGTCTTCTGGCATGATATCAACGCGGGGGAACTAGAGTATGTTCAAATGGTTGCATATAGTCGGATGCCTTCTAGATTGTATCACGGGTTCAGCCTTACGGCTCCGGACAGGTCTCAGGCTCTCAGCATCTAGTTTGACAACCAGGCGACCAGTCCGGCAGGCATCCACTGTGCCGGGCTCTGGCGTAGAGCCGAGTCATAAGCTAGATCGGTGAAGCGTTGCTCCGACCACCGATATGCCCCCTGTCGGAGTTCAGCTGGGGAAGTCAATGACATAATTGACTTTTCATAAGGTAATGCTTCATAATTCCTCGATTTGTTCCGAAGCATCGCTAGACCCAACTCCACCACACAACTATAATCAGCCGTGATCTTGACATCGTCTGACGGATTCAAGACCCCCCTCTTGGGGACTCTCGACCAAGCGTCCGTGGTCTGACAGACTTTGGTTCCGCTAATAATAAAAGAAGCCGGGCAAGCCCAAGGAACCGGAACAAGTGACAGTACCAGCAAGCCGTTCAACGGGGAAAGGGGGAAGGGAGGCTGCCCTGTTAACACCTGCAAAGACACCTCAGGAAGACTCTTGACATGAAGAATGGATAAATAGGCAACTACCTAGAGCAACAAGGGTCTCTCACGTCCGCTTCAACCTTGAAAAGCCGACAAGGCATCCTCTCTATCGTATCCTTGCTGGATGCATGTGGTACAGGCGTGACTGCAGAGGTCTGCGACGAGTTGCATACGTACCGTAGCATTGGACATAATAAGAAGCCCGGTCGGTGGATTGCTGACGACTGCTTACTCACCTCATCCGGGCAAGGGACCCTAGCGAGAGCGACTTGCCCGGAGATATAAGTTTCACTAGTAGATGCCGGCCGTGGCAGGTGCAGATCCGCCTACTTTTACTATTTAGACCCATATCGGCGACCGATAGGAACTTCGTCCGGGCACTTGTTCATCGCTTGGCTTTTATCATAGTAGCAGAGTCTACCTACTAGTCGACAGACCGGCCGGTAGTGGTTCACTGGTATGTGGCTTAACGGTACAGGTGCAATAGTATACCATACTATATCATACTATAGACAGGGCCACGGCCTGACTTGTTAGAAACGGTCTGGTCTGCTTCACCATGGGGTACTGAGCAGAAACCGCGAGTGGCGTTGAGTTTCCCGTTGGGGCTTAGGAGGTACGGTAGGTGTCTAACTCGCAAATCGCATGTAGATGTCGGTTCTGATCTGGCACCACGAGCTGGCGCTTCTCTTTGCTGCCCGACTTCCCAAGTGTGCTGGTATGTGCTGGTATGATACTGACATTAGCAGCAGCGGACCCCTCGCCCCTCTGCAGGAACATAGGTACAGAGAGGCTCCTCGATGCAACGTTTGCGCATCGCAGGGAAGTTCATTGGTGACCCTGACCCTGTATAGGCTCGAATGGCACCTGCCATAAGGTACACATCGCGTAGAGTATGTATTCATGTGGCGTGATATTGTGAGTACCTACTAGGTATTGTGAGGAGAACAAGCGAGCAATGCGGCGACACATCATACTGCGTACAATCAGCAGGGAACATTCCGTCTTTGATAGCTTATTACCTACCTAGTATGATAGGACCTCGTTCATCATGTTGACCACGGTACCGTATATGTAAGTAGGTAGTATGAACCTGACAGGGCTTCTTAAGGTGGCCCCTGTAAGTTGTCACAGCCCCCCTCAACTGTCAAACGCACTGCTGCAACCAGTCAACGTCACCGTTCCGACAAGCCATTACCCCGTTGGGTATTTGTTGCGGGGGAATGCAACCTTCCGGGGGTCCCTCTACTACGGTTCCCGCACTGTCACAACTTACAAGTCGCTTCCCCCCCTCCAGGCGGAGACAATTACTCGGTAATAATTCCTACCTCTCCGTGCATGATACAGGGAGCCTCATAAAACACCCCTGAAGGAACAAGAACGAAAAGCTACTTACCTCAGCAGAGCATTCCCCGAGAAAGGGGTTCGATCCCACTGCTCACTGCTCAGGGCATCTGCGACGAGGAGACGCCTTAGGGAGCCTTTCCCGCAGGATGGCCTCCGGTATGTCGAACCGAAACGGTATTGGCAGGGAGCCCACGTAACGTAGGGCATATCAGTAAAGGACTCAAACCAATCTTGGTCCTGAACCCTGATGAGTGATGAGTGCTGACTGACCGCACCTTGCCTGTCCAGAGAAACTCTGATCAGTCCTCCCGACAAATCCAAAATAGGAAACAGTCTCGTGGTCAAGGTGTCGGCTCTAGAATAAGCCCTGAGGTGCGACGACTTCAGCGACCCATGTAGCTGTCGTCGTCTCATGAGTTTGGGTTTCGTGGGAACGGGCTTGTCGTTCGGCGTTCGTCAGTGCGGCTCAACTGAGACGGTCCCATCTCAACAGAGTTCTTTACCTGCTTGCCGGACTCCAGTGGTCTCAGACACCACGAGTGCGCAGACCGGGACCAGTTTCCTGTATCAAGACATCACGAAACGGTGACAAGTCACAATATCGTCTGTGGCCGGAACATGCCATCTGAAAACAGGCACGAGATATTTGACTCGCGCTATTGTCCGAGAACCACCACCTAACAAGCTTACGTAGATAGTACTAGGTATGTCATGGACACACGGTCTTCGTGGCACGGACCGTCAGTGTGGTGAAGAAGTAAGCTGCCACCTCCTACACCCAGAAGACAGAAACACAGACGCCAACTTGCCGGTAGCCTGGCAGAAGGTTGAAAGGCGGCGTGCGCACGGCGATGGTTACAAGATACAGCCTACCTTGACACGGCCTTGAGAGGTAATAGGGGTAGGAGTAGTAAGTAGTCTTGGCCGTCAACGCATGCCGTCCGATCCCGCCGTAGCCATTCCAACGTTCAGATCTGACTGACGCGGAATGCGGGATGCTCCGCTCGAGGACTGCGCTGACAGTAGCCTGTCGGTCCGTCCACACCACACACACGCATCTATGCATCCGCACCGGCGGTTTTGTGTGTTCGAGAGGCGTCCGGCCAGAACCTCTGGCACGGCCGGGGCAGGAGAACGCGGATAGTGGTATGCGTGTGTGTATTTATGACCCTTCGTTCAGAGTTTCGCCATCCACGACGCCCGCCCCCGTCTGAGCGTTCGTTGGCATGCATTTGCGTAGGTAGCTCGAGAGGCACCTCCTCATTCGTGAGCAGCGGCTCATGGCTCCCGATCTTGATGAATCAGGTACGAGGCCAGAGAGACGCAGTGTGACAACAACAACAACGATCCCTCCTCTTCCTCGTCTTCCTCCTCCTCCTTCTACTCATACAGGTCCGATGGCCGAGTCGCTGGAACTTGGGATCACTGGTAGACAGATAGATAGATAGATGGATAGCTGGATGGTTGGATAGATACAGATTCACATGACACACGGATAGATTGCATCTGCATTTACTCTGCATGATGCATAGGCACAACCCGCAGTAGCGGTCAGCCCAGGAGTGTTTTTCTTTTTCTTTTTTCTACCACCTATCCTTCACCCGTTTCTCCTCGCCTCACTTCACCTGCCCAGTGCCCGGTCCCGAGATCCCCCCAGATCCGTCCAGATCGCTGCCGTCATCCGATCGATTCCCAGATGGTGGCTGCCTGCCGCCGAGTGGAGGGCGGGCGTCAGTGCGTGAGTGCATGCATGCGTGCAGGCGTGCAGGCGTGCGTGCATCCCGCCTTCTCCTCCTCCTGATGAAACCCATGTTATGTTGTGATGTGCTTGCTGTGTTGTCTGTGTTGTCCTATGGCGGTGCCGTGCAAGGCGGCCAGATCCAGCGGCCGGCGGAAAAGTCATCATCACCACGCCAACATCCCAACCTCAACCCATCGTCGTCGTGCCCTCCCCCGATCGTCGGTACCCAAGCAGCAGATTCGCTCTTCTCCGCCGCCGTCTTCCGGGCGATGGGTCGATGGATCTGCACGTTTAATCTATCGATCGGAAGCTCATGGTAGTAATGCGTTATGTTATTCGTATGCAAGCAATCTATCATGTATGCCGTGCGCGATAGGCATGATGGGATGGACGTGGTCAGAAGAAAGCATGGCGATGCGATGCGGCAGCCGCCGCCTAACAGGCACACAGGATCGCCAAGCGCCATCGTGTATCTGTCGTGCCCTTCGGAAACGACCCCGGGCCCCCTGCTGTGGTAAGGGGGTTAGGGGGCACGAGCAGATGGAGGGAGGTGTGGGTGTGTGTGTTCGCCTCAGGGAAGTTGGCAACGATCCGAGTCGTTGCTCATGCTTCATGCTGCCCATGCATCCGTTCTAGCATGTGCCAATCACAATATCAGACGTGCCTCACAATATCAGACGTGCCGGCGACCAGGTTATTGGTCTTGATATTGATGTTGCACTTCATTTCCCTGACGGTGATGCCGCATCTTGCAGTCACGACTACTCTATATATGTACAACGATGCTCTGTCGTGTATCGTTCTCGCTCTAATGATATTCCTCCGCTGCTGGTGCCGTGGGTGCTACTGTACAACCCTAAATCACACCGTGCCTTGATCCATCATGCTCTCTTCTCCGAGAGAGGCTGTCCCAGAGAGCTGTCTCGTCACGTCGAGTAACAGCAGTTCGCCCCGTGAGAATTGTGATGATTCTCCTTCCCCCTGATGATTTTACCAGACCCATCCATAATGATGCTGTCAAACATGATCTCGTATGCCAACGCCGCTTAGCCCTTCGTGGGAATGGAAAGTCGCTCTCGATAACCCGGCAAGAATACAGGTGTCGAATAGTAATGCCGTAATGCCCGAAAATAATACACACGCTAGTAACTTTTTCTCATATGCTGCCGCGCTTCATGTTCGTGGCTCTGCATCGTTTCGTGGCCTCCAGGCCGATATCATCGTAGTTGGCTCCCTCGCCATCGCTGAGGTGTCTGCCCTCGTGATCGTACTCGAGCCGTTCAGTCGAAGTGATGATCTTGCCATCTCCTCCTCGGCCAGTCATGGCGTCAGACTCGGCACGGGCGTTGCTGATCATTGTCGGCAGTTGCCGCCGTCTGGCGTTGATGAACCAGTTGGATATTTGGTCTAATAACAGCAGACTTGTCAGCCACGAAGATCACACACGTCCAAACTCTACGCGGTGCGCACAGACACCTGAGACCGGAGCAGATGGCACGTTCGGCCCAAGCTCCCAGACTTCCAGGTGTCAGTCGGCGCTTGTGTGGGTTCACTTACTCATTTGCAGACCAGTTTGCCTCATGAGGTCCTGCTTCTCGTCCTCGGTAGGGTATGGGTGGGTGAGGTGGCCAACGAACCACGCACGAAGCTTGTCTGTAGTCTCCTTGGGAAGGTTGCCCCGGCGCTTCCGTTGCTTGCTATCGCCATTGATCCCCATGCCATACTCGCCAATGCGCATGAACGTCTCGTGGAAGTGCTGACCGTATGCCCCCGGCGAAAATGGCGTCCGGTCAAACGGATGGACCGAACCGACGGACAGTGACTGGACCCGGCTGGGGTGATGGAAGCCGTACCCATAGTTCGCTTGTTGATACCCAGGTACGGCCGCTTCCATTCCTTGGCCATTGCTAGGCACCAGACTAGGTCTCCTCGTCGACTCTTGGACATAGTCGTCACCCGAGTGGCTTCGAATCCGGTGCATCTCGGGAGCACCTCGCTCCAAGTTTAACAGTGGTAGGCTCGGCAAGGTGGGGCGAGCTTCGGCTCGTTCATGGACTTCGACTCTGGCTGGCGACCTCATAGACGGAAGAGCGCCGTTTCCGACATAAGGGCTTGTCGTGCTCGATTTTCCCCATCCTTCCGGAGTTGGCCGCGTTGCAGAGGGCGGAGATTGTTGCCTGGACGCAACTCCTTGGGAACTGTTGTAAAACCTCGGGACCTGATTCGCTCTCTCGGCTTCTCTCTCGTCGTCGAAAGACAAACGCCGTCGCTTGGAATGTGTCGGGGAATGGACATATTCCGGTGGTGTCATCGTCCCCGTGAACGGCCCACTAACTGGGGACGTTGCGGCCAGTGGTGTTCCGACTGCGCCGTCCTGTTGAACTTGCAGCTGTAGTTCGGGGAAAGTCTACGGTTCGTTAGCAAAGCTCCTCGGCTGGTGATGAACTGACGTACTTGTCGGATCGATGGAAGAGCCACCCTTTCGTGATCGTTGCGTGACCGTGATGAAGTCTCGGGGCGGGTATCGAGCCACGCAAATTCGCGATGGAAGCCAGGGTGGTGGTAGTGGTGGTGGGAAGGCATGGTGAGAGTAGACATCTTGTTGATATCCCGATTCCGTCGATCTGCAATGGTTCTTATTGCAAGTCGTGTAGAACTATATTCCATAACATAACAAGCAGCAGTTACCGATGTGTTCCGCTCAACGGTTGCGCCTGTGGCGATGTCAGCTGCGAATCCCGGAGACATGGTGTCATTGAATGCAGATTGCCTCGATAAAGAAGTGCGTACCTTGGCTTGATCTTGATCAAGGAAAAGAGCAATGAAAGACCAATCGGTTGTTACATCGAGTAGCCAAAGCGATGGTGTTGACTGGTTCCGGAAGACCAACGAAAGTGTATGTTGGTCCCCTAGGGTATCCCTGCCTGGGCAGGTCTGGTCCGAGGACGGCAATTATGTATTGTATGTACCGTAGACCGGAGGATCTTGTGTATTTCTAGAAGGCAAAGAAGGCAAAGGAGTCGAAGACTGGTTCTATCGAAGCCTAGTCGGCTGGGTCAAGTAACAGCCACTCTTTGCTAGTGATTCTGACCCCTCGAGGGACTTGATGTAGATAAGATGAAGCGAACCCGCGGTATGACCAGAGCTGGATGGAGAGATGAGGTGACAGGAGCCTTTGTAGTATCATATGAGTTGTGACCTCCAGATAGCTTCAACGGTGCTCAAGCGAGCGCACGGATGGCGTACCCCAAATTGGCAACAGGCGGGGGATCGATCAAAAAAAGAAGCAATTCAAGGTCAGGCCCAGGTTCAGGGAAGGTGATAACCTAGAGAACTGTGGCGAGGGGAGCTTCAAGGGAGGAAGCAAAATGACCGGCCAAAAGGAAACCTGGGCGGGGTCTAGTGATGGTGAAGAGAATGGAAAAGGCACATTCATAAGGGGTCTAGAATGCATTTCCAATGTTGAAGTTAGGATTGCCGTTCAGGGTGTGGAGAGACGGTGTTGATGGGCCTTTGGCTAAACCATAAAGAGCCCAGGCATGAGAACGAAGCATGAGCAAGGATGACATACATGTAGACGCCAGGACAACGTTCAGGGTACGATGAAGAAATACCACCCGACTTGTCGTGTGCCCACCTCCCCACACACGAGACTGACTGGTGCTTGCTTGTGGCGTCGCCCTGTGCGGGCAAGGACTGATGGTCCTTGGGTGGTACTATACCGGGACACGGAGCATGCCATGGTCAGGGGTCTGACAAGAAGACAAGCTTGGCTCTCGATAGCGACGGCGGTGGAGTGTGCTGCGTACATCATCGACGCATACCTCCCTGCAGCAGCAGACAGGTCACAGCGGCAGAGCGGTCGTAGTAACACAACCAGGTAGGCAAGTGTTGAACGGTGGTATCTGCAGGCAGGGGTTCAAGACCCCGGACCGCGACGGTTGCTGCTTTGGTGCCAGATGAAATTGCCCGATGGAAGGAAGATGGTAGTGGTACCGGGGTCGACCTTGAACACCAAGGTGTCATTGCATATGGTGCGTGCATTCCAAGGCCCGATCGAAGTCTTTTGCCTCCGGATTTCTGAACAAGGGCCCAGTGAGCCCCTGTTCATATTAGACCATAGGAGCCGTCAGGTACCTGTTCCACCTGCCGCTTGGGCTGGACTGCCGTCCCTGAGCCGCGGAGAATGCAGATATGCATACTTGTGAAGCGGGCCGTACAAGACACAAGTTCACAACCTGCAACTGCAAGCCGATAATTAGGTGATTGAGAGGCAGGACTGCTTGCTTGTCTGTCCCATTGCCATGTCACGTATGTATTAGTTGAGGCGCGGGCGTGGCGCACGGCCAGCCAGCCAGCCAGCTGTGTAGTAAGACGAGGCCGTCGCACGCAGGATGCCCTTACGAGACCAACCGTGTCGATGGCTCGTCCCACTGCAGCGGTGGTAGCAAGATCGGGAGGGCATTGGGCCAGTGGCAGGACTTGTCATACCCGGTGGCCCAGGCAATGTCCCAACTGCAGGCTGCCGGCCCAGAAGAAGGTTTCCGTGCATCTGCACTTAGGCACTGGGCATGGCAGGCATGGGGCATGGCGGGCAGCCAAATGATATGACGCAGCCGCGCCCGAGGAGACGGCACCGTCGAAAGGTTGTCTTTATTCGGAACAAACGGTGTGGCCGTTAGCTGTTCGTGTTCGGACGGGGAGGACGAACTGTCAAGTTTGTGCCCCTACTAGTCGAACCAAGCACCATGGCTACGTACCTAGTAGATCTCGAGAGTCGAGGCCCCCACAAGGCGAGGAAGATGGAAGATGTGTGCGTTGCACTTCTGCACAGGTGGCAGCAGCGCTTGACGCTTGACGCTTAACTGGCAGACTGGGCTATTTGTCAAGGTGATGCAATGCGTGCAGGCTGGGATGCCGAGGCCGAGGAGAAAAGGTTGTGGTCGAGCGGTCGAGCGGTCGAGCCACGCCGCCACGTCTACCTACCCTACCTAGGTAAGGCAGGTACACAGCACTGGAGCCAGCCTGCACAGCCCGTGAACAGGCAAGGTCATTAGATAATAATATCCTATGTCAGCGCTTAGAGGCGGCTGTGGCAGTGGCTTAGCGATCCGGCTCCAATTGCGGTCCTTATGAGTTTCGCTCCTTCCAACATGATACCTTCCTGATCTTCTTCTTCCTCCTGCGTTCAATATTGTTGAGGATGGCAGCCAGCCTCCAAGTACGGCATGCATAGCGGATCGAAGTGCTCCGGCATGGCTAAACACTGAAGCCGGCAGCACATCGACTTATTATTATTATGATTAGACCTTGGCTCGCTTGGAACCTTGAATCGTCAGATTGTCAGATTGAGTCCCTGTGCGAATACCTATGGCCCATGGGTGCCTGGCTCTCTGATATCGATGATGATAACCAGAGCACAGACACTAGAAACCCTGGTCCCCATTTCGGCATTGAGCCTCATGTAAGTCAAGTCGTGTCACAGTTCAGCCGTTCTGGTAGACGTCCTCTTATGGTGGTGATACGCGTCGACTCGCGTGGTATAGAAGCTGACGGCAGTTGCCTTTGGGCCATTCGGCGAAACTACTGAGACCATGTAAGAACGCTCTAGCTCGTCACGCTCGTCTCCGCTGCGGTCGAAGTGGATGCTTGAGCCTTGATGATCATCAACCAGGGCGGCTCGGCTGTCAAATCTCGTCGAGGTGGCATGTTTTGGGCAAACCCCCCGACTGCCGCTGTATTGGACTGTTTTGATTTCTTGACGCCTCCACTAGCGACTCTGGCGTCCTGGGCGGCCGGGCGGGGCCCGCACGGGGCATACGACGCCGCTCGTTGTTGTCGGATTGAATTTTATTATTATTCACGGACGGCAGGAAGCACTACGCATAGGCACTACGATGCTCTTGACAGTTGCGGAGAGACGATGCGCGTTTGGGGTCGGGGGTTGATGGGACGAAGGTGTTCCCGTCCGACAGCCGGCCGAATCGGAGCCGAATCGGAGCCGATTTGTGTCTCTCCCCCAGCCCCGCCTGTCAACGTCAAAGGCCAGCTCTCGAATGCGATTGGTCTGTATATCAGCCCCATTGCCTCTCCTCAAGCTGCCGCTGCGCCTCAACACCATCGACCCTGCAGGCAGAGGACAATGAAAACCATACATAGCCTTCAATCGAGATGCTTCAGTACATAATATCCTTAGATCACCAACGTTAGTACTTATTAAATAAAGCAAGCAATTCTCTACAATCACATGTGCGTGTTGATATTTACTTAATTTTCTTTTATTTAATTGTGAAGCGTTGAAAACTGAAGGTAGTAAAATCCCTACCAACAACGTGTGCTGGTGTTGGTGGTGGGGCTGGTGGCTATGTATGGTTTTCATTGTCCTCTGCCTGCCCTGCCACCGTCCTGTCACGAATCGTTCCAAGTAGGACGGAGTGGTTTGGTGAGCGAAGCCTTGCTGATTCTCGACAATCTGACGTCTGACGTTTGACGTGACTGCCAGCGCCTGCGGACACTGATGCGGACGCCTCCCGAGTCAAGCTCAGCAACAACGCAGTTTGGAAAGGAATCTGATGGTGGTGTCAGCCTGTCACGATCGACAACATGAAGCGGTTAGATTCACTGCACGGCAGGTATGATGTGCGTCGTGCATGCACGTTCGTCTTGTCTAATTATTAGTAATGGGCATGCACGACTTATATGATATAATTCCGGACGAAGGGCGGTTGTGTCCAGCGGCCAGCAGCCCATCGGTTTTTGGCTAGAAGCCTAGAACAGTCGCCGACTTATCGGGATCCGTCAAGATGGCAGATGGGCAGATGGGCAGATGGGCTGACGAGCGGTTCCAGACGGCGCCCCCGAGCGGTCCAAGTGGTGGAAGTCGGTGCCCACTTGACAGCGCCGTGACTCCCGTGCGGTTGCCACCTTTCAGCCATCTGTGGAGAGACTGGCGCTTTTACTAACTACAACGGTTGAGATCCGGCTTTCCAACTGCCGTGTATCTGACGGACTGCGAGATGGCACCACCTGGGATGTGGCTGGTACCATCCGGGGTCTTTGCCACATCTCCACACAGAAATACCAATCAAGCTGCAGTACATTTATTCCAGGCAGCTTTTTGCCTGTGCCGCAAGTACCAGCCCTTCTCAGAAATGCAGTAAATTAGGTGGTGAATACCCTTGTAATTGTTAGCCGGGGGAGGTTGTAGGGCAATTATGGCTGCAAGGAGTGGTAGCTACCAGCCACATCCAGTGGTGCCATCTCGCAGTCCGTCAGATAAGTGCACGAGGAGGATCAGTAATCTCTAAATATGCCTGTACATACTATGTATAACAGGCACTGGCGTGTCGATCATTTCAACTTGGCGCTGCGGACCGGTACCGCACGTGCATAGGGCAACGGGCTAGTCAGCTAGCCAGACATGAGGCAGTGATGGGTTGATGCTAGCCTCTAGGTACTGTTAGTATGTATCGTAGACGGCTGTTCCGTGACATAAGCATCTCACATTTGGTTGCATGCATAATAATGAATGCTTATTTCCGCTCGGTTCATGAGGCAGATCTGAAGACTATTGTCCAGTTGGCAGTTGTGAAGAGCCGCAGATCTCTAACCCGGAGAAGCCTCGCTCTGTCACCTGTCACATATCCGCCTCTACCCCCGGTCCCAAGATTTAGATGGTGGCTGATCCCATCCCTTGCGCCGCGCCGGCGCCTGCTAAAACAATCAAGACCGGCCAGAAAGCCAGCGGACGCCAGCGGACGCTGCAGAAGCGCAGATGGTCAATCCCGCTTCGTGTTGATCCGGCTCTAAGTTGCAAAGTCCGGTTCCTGGGTAATAGTAGTATCATCACGGATGATCATCTCGATCGCTGTCACTACAGTACCTAGGTAGAAGATGCATGTTTTAGTCAGTTCAACGTCCTCTAGCTTTGGTTTCTCACACTCCCGTCGACTCCGATGTGTCGGAAGAGACATAGAAATCAGGCCACCATGTGGCGGCAAGGTATCTGTCGTGCTCTGTTGCTTTTTCCACTGTGAGGCTGTGCTGTTCGTCACGCCCAGAGTGAGATGTGGCTGCGATAGACCACTTGTCATGTGTCTCGGGTACGGTACACCTGCAACCATTAAATAGTACTGTCTACCAGCTGGCATCCAGCTGCCTGTATGGTTTGACAAAGCACTCTGATTATGCCACTCGTGCCAGTCTCAAAGCTTGACGACCCATCGACTCTCAACAACCTGCACGGGTTTCCCATGTTTATCACCTGTACATGCACGAAGCATGCCGTGCACATGTAGGCAGATCTCAAACAGAAGATCAGCAATGCACGCAGCAAAAGATCCCGTCTCCTGTTTGAGTGTCTTACATATTTCATCGGTGAGCATCTTCAACCCTCCAATCTTCAAGCATACCCCAGGTCAACAGCCTGCCACAACGGCCTCCTGCATCTGGAGTACGGTCACGTCCTTTGCCCGCATGCCGCCATCCACCAATCGAGGGCCAATCGCAGCCCTAATGATGACCGCCTGACAGGCACGCCTTGCTATGGATGCAACCAAGACTACTTGCCGCCTTCTCTTGCCTGTTCCACTGTGACAGGAGAGAGATGACGGGGCGTGGCTGACACAACGGCACGACCGCCGTCAATTTCGGGACCGTGCTGTCAGCGAACCCTTGGTCCTGGTCCATGGTCCGGTTCATGGTTGGACTGGTCCATGCATGGCCTATCCATGGCTTGATCTCTTTAGATTCCCCTGTCAAAACAACTTCCGACCCGCTGCCATCGGACGGCCCACAACCCACTCACCCCACATGGAACCGTCGTTCGCGACAATTCCTTGAAGAGGAAAAGATGTGCTGGAGTCCGAGAGTCCAGACTACAGACTCCAGAGCTGGTGCCATGCACCTGGGCTGGCACGGCTGGTTCCGCAGTCACGGTACTGCATACACCCTTGACGCCAACCCCTGGCGGCTTCTCCTCCCTTGCTTCTCGAACGACATCGCCGTTTCTCAAGGTCTTAATAAAGAGCGTCCGATATGTTATCATCAGCGAGCGATTATAGAGATCTCATCCTGATCCGAAATGCCGCGACGTTTGTGGGCGTTTGCATACTGTTTCGCCCTCTCCATAAAACAAATATCCGAGGCTTCCGGTGCACAGGTGGCTCGGGTTGCCTTTCTGCAGACTCGCTGATCCAGCCCAAGACAGCGCATGTTATCAGATCATAGTAATAACTGGGCTGCCTTGCTCCATCTGCCGCACTTGCCATCCCGGCCGAGTCGACTGGGATGGTCCTGCTTCTGGCTGTCGGCTGTCAGACACTAATGATTAACAGCGCCCAGGCCGCAGTCAGTACAGAAGATTCAGGGGCAGCTAATATCCACGCTGGGGTTTTCCCTTGCGAATTGGTCTGGAGCAACGTCTCGAGTATATTACACCTGTTGACAAGCTCTCTTTCCTTCCATGGTGGTGTCGTACTAGCTACATCGCAGCCTTTGGGAATGGATTATGGAATCGTTACCGATCACGTAGGCATCGATTCATCAAGCTCCACCTAAAGAGGAAGAACTCAAAAAGACGGAAGGTGTGGGAACACAGAGTCAGCCACAGGACGTTGGCATCGCGTCGCCAATCTTGCAGACGGGCCGCGGACATTCTGCAGCTTCCAAGAACAGCAGCTGCCGCTGGTCGAGTGAGGAACCTGGATCTGCTCACATCATCGTGCACTGTTAGTTAATTATTCGGGATGGCCACTGCCCATGTGGTTCCCTGATTAATTGGTCTTCAAGGTGTACTGTAAGCGCTCCGTTGTCCCGGGTTTCGGTTTCGTTGCTTCAAGCACTCCCACCGCCATTCCACGCAGTACAAACGGCCTTGCGCATCTCCTAGCCGGGTTGTTCGTTGCTCGAGAAGCAACCGCCCGGTTATGTGTCTCGTCAGTATCAAGGAGTTGGGAGCATCTTCTACTGGTAGATCGCGCCGTCATACAAGTCATGTAGGCCATCTAGCCTCCCTCTGAAGACCGCCGCCTTAGATGTCGTATCCCGTGCAATGAGGCACCTGCGCTCTTCAAATGGACAATCCACGCCGATCCCGGCCAGCTTAACACGGCAAGAATGACTCAGGCTCTGCCAGAGAGGTACAAGTTGGGCGGCTTTGGTCTGCTTGCATGTACTCTGGTGATACACCTACCGGAGAGGATCTAGATTCGCCAAGGTCTTCCATGCCGACAGTCTTGTATTGACAAGTGAACCCCCCCCCCCCCCCCCCCCCCCCCATGGCAAACACGTCCACGAAATCAGCGCGGCATGCTTCACCTTGGTGTTGCTGCTCACGACTTACCTATGTCAACCTGCTAGATACACTCAGGCTGGCAGGCAGACTAATGGAAGCCATGTCGCTTGACGGCGGCGCTCCTCCTCGGCGACGATCTCAACGAGTCTGGAAGCCCTGGATACTTCCGGCCCATTCGAACCGGACACGGGGCGCGGGCTATGAGACCTGTCACATTTCATTAAACGCTCGTCGAGATCTGAGGCTGTCACATCGGAATAATGCAGCTGCATGTCTTAGGCGTTCGTCACCTGGCCAAGGGGCTTTTACTGCTTTTGGCCGCGTACATGACAGGCAGCACGCAATTGCCTGACTGAACCCCAATGTCGGTCGACCCCCATCTCGGATGCTCCCAGTGTTTCGTCTAATCCTACATGATGGCCCTGTGCCTACAGGCAAACTGCATATCATATCTCCCACCGCCGCAAGATCCCCCCAGAGGAGCAATGCAGGCGAGCAACTCTGATGGTACTGTGCACGCGCGCGAGTTGCCATCCAAGAGGAACGAATTCGGCTGATTTCCGAAGTAGAAGCCGTTTGGCTTGACAGTCAGGTAGTTGACATCGGCGTCGTCGGAAGTCAGCGGCCGGCCCCACTCCCCTTGACTCTTGCGGATGCTCCTGCGAATGCTGCTCTAGACGTCCACTTCGGTCGTTGGGAATTTGAGCCTCGGCCACATTCCGGTCCAGGGAACAGCGAGGAACTACGCGTTCCCCAGCGCCGAATCCATACGGGAGCGGGAAAACGGAAAGGGAAAGACACTGGCACTTGCTGGCCTCGCTGTTTCGGAGCTGGCTCGAGCATGGAGAATTGAATGATGGATATCATCTTCTCCATGATCCAACCCCCTCCTGCCGGCTTGATACTTACACGTACAAGAGGCCATTTCAGGTTCAGAGGCAGGTTACTCGCCCGAGCCGTTTCCAATTCGCAATTCCACTCCGTCGGCATATCGCGTTCCTTCTCAGAAGCTGATATGGCCAGGGTCAGCCAGTCGATGTTACCTTCTGACTAGAAGCAGACAAGACTCAAACTAGAGGTCGTGAAACATATTCTCCGATGGATAACTCCAGGCGTACGGTGCAAATGCCAAAGGGCCGAACTGTGTGCAAGGAGCTTCGGAGCTTCGTCGTCATGGACAGACCACCGAACGAACAGCTTTCCTCGAGCGGCCAGCAGCTCGGTTGTTACCCTTGACACAGAGGACCCGGTCAATAAGCTATAGCGCATGGTCTCCTGCCAATATCAGATCGTCAGGCCGTGCTGACAAAGGAATCTGTCAAGTTTGACAGATGCATGGGTGAGGCGATGACTCATGAGGGCTCTTGACAGGGGTGTATCGCATTGTCGATTGCAGATGCCATTTCAATGCCGATATTGGCAGGAAGCTCGAATACGTGGCCAAGATGGTGATGATCAGGTGAACTGCCAATAGGGGCAATCAAGGCGGCTGATGGTAATCCTCCGTGAGCGCCCACGACCCGGTTGCGGCGACTGCCGTTCATCATTGCATCCAAGCCTGCCAGGCTCTCAACAATTACCGAAAAGCATCCCGCGCCGGGGAAGCGGGCCCGGCGTCGTATCCTTCCCAGCATCACGACCTCCCTGTCAGGGGGACGTGATCAATAATCAATGGAACCCACCATCGAGCGTGGCCCAAGCGCCTGTCATCTCATCCCTGGATGTATACTGCGTAGGAGATATGGGGGTTGGGGGCCACCACTGCGAACTTTGCCGGGGCCCCTGGCCGTCACATCTCTGACGGCCGAATCGCATCTCAGAACGACTCTCCCGACCCAAGATGCGAGGGGGGCCACCGGGGTAAGGGTGGACAGAGGGTTAAGGTCCCTTGTCCTCGCTTAAAAGGGACCCCCGCCGCCCCGTGGCTTTTCCTCGATGCACAACAAGATCGGTGCCCGCGTCCATCGCAAGGTACGGTAGCAGCAGCAGTCTGACAAGGAACGCACACCCTCCTGGTTTCCATCGGGATGTGAATGCCTATCGCCTATCACCTAAATACGGGAGTGGCTTTCTGGAACAGGGAAGGACTCATAACCTCGTCATGACACGTGCCGATCCCACCTGCCATTGAATCACGGGAGTCGGGTCTTAATCCGAACGAAGACGAGTTTTCTTTCATCATTCATGTGGTTGTTTCTCTGCCGTGTCTATGCGGCCCTATGCCCCAACCAGTAGGTTGTCGATATCGGGGTCACGGAGGCTGTTGCAGCTGCCATCACCGCCAGCTTTCCCCAAGCGAGGCTGCCGAATGAAGGGGCGGCGTCAGTCTTGTTCCACTCCTTCGCAATTCACTTGTACACTGCACAAGTCGACGTGACAGTTGCTCTTAAATTCTTGATAATAATTCCTTAGTAAGGTTGGAAAGTAGCACAATGTCATACGGCGCAAAATGAGTATACCCGGTGACCGAACCACCTGTACCGGGTGGCCAACACCGGTACCGAGTCAACAGGGTGTCCAGCACCGCGGCGCATCATAGCGTAGCGGTCACCACCTTGGGTTGCTTGACCGTTGGAGGCCGTGGGGGAAGACCCGCCCGCTGTTGATCGAGCTGTCACAAAGCCGTTGCAGACGCACTGGCGATCATTAGTACCGGTATCTCCCTTCTCAAATGCCGGTGCGCAGTGTTGGATCTCTTTGACCCTTACATCGAACGGAGTTGCTGCGACTGGTCGTGACCGAGACTTGCGTCACATCCAGTTCGGCCATCCTTTCTATTCCCGTACTAGATCAGATGGAACCCGCGGCGCTGCACATATTGCTGACTTGTCGAATCTGCAACTGCCAGTGCGGTAAAGAAAGACGTCGTACAGTAACTTAGGCTCAGGCGCCTGACGAGACTGCACGGCCACGGCCACGGCCATGGGTATCGACTAGGTACGGTCTCGATGGTGATGACCACTAGGTTATCTGACTCGTCGATAATCGAGATGAACACCCTTGATATCTCTCTTGAATGACACATTTGATCAAGCCTGTAGTTTTGGAAGTGGTGATCGTAACATCCACCTTGTGATATACATTGCTCTCCTAAGTGAGGCGCCTGCCGCAGATACTGCGTGTCGAAGTTGTCCACCAAAATCTGAACGGCATCGGAAGAGGGTTACTTTGTTTGAATCGCTGGCCATGTATCAGTACTCTCTGCTAAGCTTCTAGATGAGATGCATCAGCATAGTTCATCTATGACGGGGAAGACAGCCACAAAGCGTTTCTCAGGGCGCCTGATGGAACACCACCTGTTCCGTGACGTTGGGAAACTCTTCACCATGGTAGAACACGTGGGGATGAAGGCCGGCCGGTCGTTTAGTGCTCTAGAATCTGTAGATCGAAGCGCAGTGATGTCCAAAAACTGTACGTCACCCCACCTGGAGATACCCTCCGTGGTGCATCAGTAGATGCCGGTCGAGGGCCTCGCAAGAAAAGGTACTTCGGGATGCACGTAACGAGCAAGTTCGTCTTCGAGCCATCACGACCATCGTCATGCGCTGGGGAGAGAAATCGGCTCATGTGGCTTTTCACGTATTGGTATTTACTCGCAGATCACCTCGACTCTAGGTGTGGTATATGGTATAGCCACCATGGACGTGTTTGCGTGCCAGAGTCAGCATTGCAATAGCCACTCGTAGGGTCCATACATGATAGTCTCGACATCGTCTCGTCTTCTCCAGTCCACGCAGCCTGTCTCTTTGCCTTCATCTCCTTTCCGACTCGTTGCCGTCGTGGTAAATTGGATAACAAACGGACGAGGTGGCTTAGCTGCTTCTGGGGACTACTCACGCAGGGCACTGTCTCGGCGGGCCCCTTTTGGGTGAAACTGAGGTGTTGTGGTCGGGAGCTTTCCGCACGGGGTCGAGGTAGGCGTTTTGCAGTGGAAAATATGAGGGGACTGTTCGTCCAGATGTGCTGTTGATTTTTAACTGTGCCGCGTGCGTTGGTGTGCGATCGATGTCCGTGACATTTGTTTAGATTGCGCCCTGGCAGGTAAATACGCGTTTTAGCTGTTGACCCCTGGCACTTCCGTGACCTCAACGAGATGGGACAGGTCTGTTGTTAAGGCTTGAGGAATACAGCCGGGTTATGCTGCTAGGTAGTCCGTATGTCCTTCCTGTCAACCAACCCTGAGTCTTGACGGTTTTAGCATCAGCCATTATTCTACGTATCTCAGGTCTCTTGTTGGATGCGGACTCTCGCGCCCGGCACTATATGGATAACTGGATGTGTCTCTCTTCAAACTCTGGCCATCTGACGAAGGCATTCAGGCAAACGCTGCCTTACCTAGTCGCATGAATTTAATTCCTCCAGTCAAAGTATCCAGGTCATAATCTCGTTCCATATCCAAAGGCATAATTTCCAACCGGACAGCCCAGCCATAGCCCTAGTAGTCCACTGGCTGCCTGATCTAGCCAATCAGAAAAGCGCGTCCTTTCTTCCTGGTCTTCATCATCGTTAATCTTACCATCCGTCGTTATCACTAGCCTGGGGTCGGAACGAAGAGACACGCAGCGGAAGTAGTGACCAGCAATATCTGTGAGAGGCTTGAGACTATCTAGCCACGCCTATCGACACAGACATAGGCACCTTACAAGCCTGTGTAGACACCCTTAAAGTCGCAAGAGCCATAGTCCGGACCCCTTTTCAACTACTGCCATGCAGAAAGCAAGTCCCCGACTTCTCGCCGCCAACTCACCCGCCGCCGAGGGAAAGAGACAGCGACACCCTGGACTAGCAGATGCTTTCCAAGAAACCGAGGTCAGTGTTATGAGACCACGACGGCGTATCGACCCATAAAGAGGCGTTCCCGCCAAGCACCGCCAGAGTTGTTGTCAGCACCAAAGAGGAAAGTCACACTTATACTCATTTGCATCTGTGGACTTGTTCCATGCCGATCACAGCCGCACAGCGAGACTTCATTTTCTCCGTGTATCTCATACCTGTACTTCAATTCGCACCACATGTGATATTCACATGCAGGATCGTGCCGTGCTTGCCGTGCCGTGGCCCGGATCTGGCCCGAGGGGTGGTTGTAAAATCGGGTCGGTAGGGAAGGGCAACAGCTGGACCGACCGGACTGTGAGCGAATTTGTATATATACGGCTTAGCCCGAAGCTGCCCATTAGCTCAATGGGAGACAGGAGGAGGATTCTTGGTATACGCTGGCGACATGTGATTGTGAGAAGCGGACGCCTCGTCAGATATTGGACCAGAAGTTATCTGCATAAAGGAACAATTCTGTAGCGAATGGACCATAGGGTACTCGGGACAGGATGGATGGGAAGGAAAATATCGACGATCTGTTTGTCAGAGATATGAAATAACAAAACAACCCGGTGAAAAACTATCTCCGATTCGTGCCTCACGAAGTACGCAGTCCACCTGGCTTCGCTAGAGAGCAGGCTCCAACAGCAGTCAACCGCCTGATGCTTAACACGCCCTCTCACTGTCCAGAGGCAGACAAGTGAAGGACTGCATTCCTGGCGATAGCAAGTCGACGACGGTACTGTGGTGAGCCTTCCCCGGATGCTATCCCGGCCTACGAATGGAGGCCGGGATAAGGTGCTGACTTAGCAAGGCTGGTTCTGTTGTGCGGGCAGTATTCATCATCCAGCAGCCTTAGGTCCTCATGCCAGACCGACACCGATAGCATCACCACACAGCCTGCACTCGTGGCAACGTTGGCGAGATGTCTACAATATAGCCACCATCATGTTGGATACTGAAGATGCTTGGACGGCAAGCTGAACTGCACATTATACACAGCCTCCAGGGACATGAATGTACCTAGATTATATGCGTAAGCGCAAGCTCTCGCCCCCGTAGCCCGCATTTCACACCCGCAGATCTCACCAATGGAGAAGAGACAGATATACATGATTCATGAATCGATGCACCGGCCTCAGCCCGAGTTATTCTAATATCCGCTATATATCCCATCACGACACGGTAATTTACCGGCTTGTCTGCTTTAACCTATGGACGATGCACAGCTCCAATGACAACACGTCTACACAACTTATGGAAGATGTTCAGCGAGCCTAGTATACATACAGACAGACAGATAGGTAGGGTTTCCTTCCACAATACCTAGCCCTGTGTCCTGGCCGAGACAGGCAGGTACCTATATGGCCGGCCACACCGTAGTTGTATTAAAGACATCAGCGACGTCCCGGTCATCCACCGCGCCAGCCCAAGCAGCCCCTGATGCACTCACAGGCCGACAGACGTAACACCATCAGTCCCAACAACCACGGACCGCACACCGACTACCGCGGAGGCTCATGCCTCCCACTCCGAATGATCTTCGTTAGCAGATTCCTCCCCGTTCCCCCCAGCCCCGAACGCCCCTTCTTTTCGGGCCCAGCCGCGGCGTCCTCCGCGTGTGGCGAGGGTCTCGATCTGGACTCGGACCCTGACGCGGAGGCCGAGCTGAGCTTCTGGAACCCGGGCTCGTGCCGGACGCCGCTAGTAGCAGTGTTGTTGTTGGAAGTGGGAGGCGCCATCGCGTGCGGCGGGTGGGGATACTCGTCCTCGGACTCGAGCAAATCGTAATCCTCCACGCCCAGCAGCGACGGCTTCTCGACAACGGTCGGGTAGCCGCCGCGGTATCCCAATTGCATTTCCGATGGCGAGTCACCGGACCTGCCGCCGCCAGCACTGCTCCTGCCGCTACCTCCTGGTCCAGATCCAGACACCTCCGCCTGCATCTTGGCGATGCCGCGCTCGAGGTGCTCGACCATCGGGGCCGTCCTGAGGGCCCAGTCGTTGTCGTCGTCGTCCTCCGGCTGCCGGGCGAGCCCCTGCCGGTACAGAGCGGGCTGTGCGCGCTCAAAGTCGTCCTCGGCGGCCTTCTGGTGTTGCACCAGGGCGCGGACGCGCTCGTCTTTAATCGAGGGCACGAGGTCCGTCGAGTGTACGCGGTCCTCGCCTTCGAGGAGGGCATGCCACTCAGCGTAGCGCTGGTGGTCGTCGGTCTTCTATATGTGATTAGGTGATTCTTCACAACATAAACTCCCCTTTGAAGGGTCTGGGTTTACGGGGAAACTCACATTCTTCCCCGGCTTCTCACCCGGCGCCAGACCGGTCAGATACGCCCCCGCATTCTCGGTCGCGCCCGCAACGACGATATGCCTATCGAACGACTGCGAGAACTCGCGGTAGTGGCCCTTCAGCAAGAAGCACTGCCCGGCCCACCCCTTGCCCCTGAACTTCCTGAACAGCGCATCTGCCACCGGCGCCTCCCACGCGTACTCGACCACCTTGTCGTAGAAGACGATGCACTTGCTGGTGCCCCACTGGGAGAACGAGGTACGGCTGGCGTCGTCTGGCAATGCGCGCTGTTGCAAAATCACCTGTTAGTGTGTATCCGATTATAGAACGCTTCGGGCATGTGAGGGCAGACAGAGGAGATAAGACTTTGACATGACGTCTCAAGGGCAAACATGCGCCCAATATCAGGAGAGGTAAACAGTAGATTAGGGCTACTAACCTCGATCATCTCCAGGTCGGCACGTGCCACGAACGAGGCCGGTACCCGCAAGTTGATCGCGCCGTGGATATGGCTGCGGTCGTACTCGGCCGCGGGACGCAGATCAATCAGCACGATCTGGTTGCCATCACTGGCAGGTTTGTTGCTACCGCCATCACGACTAGTCGGCGGGAAGATCTCGAGCAACGTGTTGAGGTGGCCCGGCAGGATCATCTGCGCGCCGTCCTTCGGCGGGTCGTGGCTGTGGTCGTCGATCTTGAGGCTCTGAAGCCGGTTTGACACCTCTTGCTGCTCGCGGCGGTGGTAGAACCAGATCTGCGGTTGGTCAATCAATGACATCCGATGCCCTTGGAAAGGGGGTAGGCCAACTCACTTCGATGTCTGAAGTTTCTATGCCTAGGTTCGATGCTAGGAATTCCTTGACGGCCATTGTCGGCCTCGGGCTGGTGTGGAAGTACTCCTCCAACCGAGCCTGGACGTGAGGTGCGAGATGTGACCGACTTGGCAAGTCGTCGATCGAGTTCATGAAGATCCTCGTCGAGTTCCGTCGCTTCTTTTGTTGCGCCAAACTATCGTTGGACATGCTCTTGGGTATACTGCCAACTGTCGCTGTGCGCTTTCTTATAGGCGCACCTAAGTTTAGACCTGGCCAGCCGCGAGGAGGCTTCTCTGTGCTGGTTGGTGGCGCGTTTGAATGCGAGCTGTACCTGGGCCTCTCGACATTCCTGTATATAGGATCCATCGGGGCTTTACCGTTAGAGAAGGAAGATATGGTCGATAGCCGGACACCACCGGCCCAGTCGACCGGGGCTGCCGTGTATGCAGTAGTGCCGGAATATATTGACCTCAGATCCGCATCTATGTCGGCGCCCGTCGGGACTTCTTCCGCGACTCCCTGGGGCTCCCCTGGGCATTCCATGGCCAGGTTGTTGGACCGGATGAAGGCCACAAAATTGCAAGCATGGTTCTCCGGGAGCAGATCCCAGACCATCACCGGCAGTGATAGCAGGAGTAACGTCGAGTGGCTCTTGAAGACCCCCTGGACCTTGACGTACTTTGCTATTGCGGGTATGCTTGATAGCCAGTGCTCCCAGTCGTTGATATTGAGGCGCTGGTCATCCTCCAGAGCTAGGGAAATCATCACGTGCGGTACGTCCTCGTTTGGCTCGGAGCCGATAACATCCTGGGGCCCAGCAGATCTACCAACAAGAGAATTTGGGTCGAACGCCGACTCTTGCGGAGGAGAGGGTGGCCTCCTGTCTGCTGGTACTATTCGTGACATCTCGATACTGGGTGCTCTATGATTAGCGGTCATCATGAAATGCACCGGCGTGGACCGCGCCTCAAAGTGTTTGCCGTTCAGCATGATCGGTCTCGGATGCTTGAGGCGGGCCAAGACCTCGGCGTGTAACATGGCGGCCGAGAACGACCTTCGCTTCCATTCCTGGAGGACCTCGATGAGTGCATTCGTGAACGAATACCGCCCGGGGTCCGGCGCGATGGCGTCCCAACTCGATGCTGATATCGTCTCTGTGATGCTGTTTCCGTTGGGGAATGTGGCGCTTGCTGCTCCGGCACAGCAGTCTAGCAGTATCAGAACGTCTGAGAGAGATCGTTCTAGTAGAGTCTGAATGGCAGACCATCTGTTATAAGGGTCAATATCGACCTGCAGTGTGTCTATGACAGACACATCTCATCGCAACTTACTGTAACCAAGGCGAGTCTGAGCCCCGAGTGCTAGTCCCAAAGTCAGCACATGAACCACAACACAGAGCATGAGACTAAGACGTACGCGCACCACGTGCTCTGCCTCGACTCATCGATCCTCGCATGGCCGCCGTAGTAGACAATGAACAGCGTATCGTTGGACTCGTGCTCCTTGATCATGGCGCCGATACGCAGCATGAGCTCCAGGTGCGCATTGTCGGACGGGATGGGGAACGTCTCGGTCTCGAAGTCGAAGTCCTCGCGGAAGCAGCACTCGAGGTCCTGCAGCTCGGGCAGCACGAACAGGTCGTCACACTTCCAGTGCAGCAGGATGGCGAAGACCTTCTTGTATCGCTGTGAGCCGCCGCGTTGGTTGGGAAAGGCGCGCGCGGCAGACTGTTGCGGGTTGTGCACTCTGATTAGTTTTTCTGTTCATTCATGAAGACTACATAACATACGGCACCGCCGGGAGCATGTAGCAACGGCAACATGAAGTCACCTCGGGACGGGATGGGGTGGGGATGAGCACGCACATCTTCGAGCGTCCTGGCAAACTCGGGCAGACACCTGACATGGTAGTTCACCCGACTGATGTCGTGGGTGGCGGACGGCGTCTTCTCATCGCCGACGCTGGAGCCGTACTGAGCAGAAGATGTGATTAGACGGGAGCGGGCTTGAGGAGGCCTGATGCTGGACCTGGCTGTCCTGTTGTCTCGACGTACGGCAGAATCCCCGCTGCTGAAGCTATTCCCATCTGTGGTGGGCTGCCGCGAACTTATAGTCACGAAAGGCGGGGTATAATCACCCATGATCGCTTGCTCTCAGCCTTTCTGTTTCGGCCAGGCCAGGCCAAGCGATCAGAGCTGCCGTGGCAGATGCCTGGCTGGCGAAGAGAAGCCGCCTAAGCTAGGCGCAAGGCTGTGAGTGCTGGGAGGGAAGGCAGGTATGGAGGTAGGCGGACGGGATATCGTAGACTGCGTCTTTCTTTTCATGTGACGGCGCCGCGCCTCATGGCGGCGGGATGATAAAGTTACGTGAGACGGACGCTCTTTCTCGGCTTTGACTTCGATATGAGAAAAGCAGCAGAAATCACTCGCAAGTTGGGTGCTTGTTAGTATGCGGTATCGTGTATCGTGTATCGTTGAAAAGGATAGCAAAGATGAAGGTGGACGGTTGGACCCGAGATCCTGCCGCGGCTGATCCTATCGATGTTGTGTCTGCCTGCCTGTGTACTACGTGCACGGTATTCACGGGTCCGCACCACGCACATACATACACACACAAATACGCGGCACGGGATTTCTCACGCTGCTTGCTCAGCTAAAGGATTCCAGGGTGCAAGGCAGGCGTGTCGAGCATTGAACCAGTGAGCTGAGCTGGGCGTCTGGGCGTGTGGGAGAACACCAGAGTCAGCATGCGTCTGGGTGGCGGCTGAGAGGGGTCTACCACTGACCAGGACTTCCTTCGGTAGAAGGATCAGGTCTAGCGCGGGGGTTTCGCGGTGACCAGAATAGGATAGGGGGATAGATAGTAGAGAGGGCAGTCTGCAGAATCCGGGTTCAGAATCCTTCGGAGCTGTCAGGCTGCGTCATTACCCCTGTCCATCTCCTTGCCATTGCTTCTAGAAACGAAATGGAAGCGAAATGGAAGCAGGGCAGCCAGCCAGCCAGCCAGGGCCTGCAGGCAGGGAGTCGACTGGTCACTGATCAGTGAGGGTCCATAGAACTTCTCCGTCGCGAGAGTTGGGGAACGATTACCGGTTATCACTGCAGTCTGATCGGTCTCACCGATAGGAAGGCAAGGGACAGCTGAAACTTGGCATTGGGGACATATGATCTACATCAGCGTGGACGGCAATTGGGAAGCTGAAAGGAGACAACGCTCTTGCGTATGAAAGCATAAAGCCCTGGACATATCATCTCAGCCAATTGTTGTATTGTGGTTGATTATCTTTGGTCAACCTTTGACACCTGCTGTGTGGTTTGTGTGTGTGGGGTGTTGCGGTGCTGCCATTGCGCACTGCTTGCTGCCTAGAACACCCGAGTCCTGTCGAGTCAACCTCTTCCCCGTGCTGTTGCCACGAGAGACTCACGAAGAGACCAACACGGCATCTTCAAACAAGACATCAAATCAAACCAAACCAAACAACTAAAAACTCCCCTGAAGCAAACGCCCCGAAGACCGGACCTGGCCAGATGCAGATTGACGAAAATCAAAGCCTTTATATGCCCGAGAACCACACCGTCCGGACCCTGACGATTCTATGGACACAAGTGAAGGGAATAAGTCCTCACGCAATTCCGTATGTGCTGATTTAGGCATTTCTCTGATGCAAATTTGCCCCACCCTTGACGACACCGAAACCAGAATGACCACCTTCAACGCCGTGGTAGACGGGATCGGGTGCTCAGATGCGGAAGTCGATTCAATGCCTGGTCCAGAGGGAATGAGGTCTGAGTCAACGAGCCGTATATGTGGGCCAGCCAAGGGGTAAGATAGCCTTGTGATCCTCCAGCCCTAGTCATTCGAGGTGCCCGAACTTCGTTGTGCCTCTTCTAGCTCCTCCTTCATTAGGCGTTCGCTGAAGCTCCTCGGTCTGCCGTCAAAAGAAGTCGGTTCGGGTCGATAACTACTCGACTCGTCCGGCCCACTTCGACCATCAACACTGCCAACGAAAGAACTGAACTCGCCCATCGCAGCAGCCCTCTTGTACAGCTCCTTGTCGCGGACGCTACTGATCGAAAATGGCTTGCCCATGTACGATCCTACAGAGCCGGCTGCTTGTTTGGTACTTGCCGGTGCAGGTGACGAAACTTTAGGCTTGGCGATCCGAACTGCGGGTGACCTAGAGTATTGAGCCAGTGACGTCTCCCCAGTTGGAGTTTCGGCCGTCGGGGTGATCTCGCTTTCGTCCTCATCACTATCCTCATCTTCGATATACTTGGGAACCACCTTGGCTTTGCCGTTCCTTTTTGCCGAGCCACCACGGCTGTCCTCAAAGTCAAACATGTCCTCAGCGTCGGCTTCCGACTCATCATCCGCACAAGTGGCGACAATCTTGGGCTTCGGTGGTTTCATGGCCGATTTCTGTGGGCGTCCTGCATCTCTTGATCTATAAGGTTCAAATTCGGGTTCGGGTTCGGCCTCGAAGACGGTATCCTCAGGGGGCGAAAACCGTTTCTTACCCTTGAACGAGCTTAACGGATGCATCTCGAGTTCACCATCGTCGCCGTCGTCGTCACCGCCGTCGCCATCATCATCACCACCATCGTCACCCTCGTCACCCTCGTCATCCTCGCCGTTTGGTGTGCCCACATTGGGCTCGTACAGATTCTCCAAATCATGTCCAGGTTGAGTTGGGCGGCGAACATCACTATCTAAATCAGCCACTCCTTCGGTGTGCGACTTGGCCTCTGCTGCCAGTTTCTTGCTGCTCGAGCGCGGCATGATCAACTCGTCTTCCTCGTCATCCGAGGCCTGCGAGTTGCCGACAATGGTCCATTGCGAAGTGTCTTCGGTTGAGTTCCTCGTCATTGCCTTCAGGCGGTCGGTCGATGTTACCTTCTTCGGCCTTGGGGGAGAGCTGCCTAATAAGCTGATCTGTTCATCCACGAAGCTGGCGTTGGGTGACTCATTCAGCAGGCTTGTGGAGCTCCCTGGTGGAGCCGGTAGTAAGATTGCTGATCGAGGCGAGACTGCAGGCGGCGATGCGGTCGGTAAGACTTCTTGGCCTTCGACCTCGAAGCGGACATGCCTAGGACTGGTCTTGGCGGATGAGCTTGAGGACCGACGGAGAGCACTCCTTCTTCGAGAGCGGGATGCACTATCATCAGAGGCTGTCGAGGATATGGTCTCTTCGGTCGCTCGGCGGACAGGATTGGGGCGCGATGGCTGAGCCTCGAGCTTTGGTGGAAGAGACGCGTCTTCGTACTTGTTAGGATCTCTGTTTTCACGTGTTTGAGGCGGTGTAGGAGGTGTGTTGATGTTGGTGGTGGTGATGGTGGTGGGCTCGTGGCTGCTGCGTTGCTGCATAGCATCAAGCAAGGTGAGGTAGCTCGGCGTGAACACACCGTGGAATTCGCGTTCGCGTTCGTGTGGGCTGCGCACACCGTCTCCGGGTGGCATTCCAGATGTGTGAGGCAAGACTGGCGGTGGCGAGCGACTGCCAGATGTTGCGCCTCGGTCGTCGTCGTCCTCAGCTGGCGGTGGTGAGTCAGTCGCGGGTTCGAGACGGAGGGCCGGTCTCAGTGCGGGATAGTTCTGCATCTCGCTGGCAATGGCTTGTTCGACTTGTCGGGTGACATGGTCGGGCACATGCTGTAGTAATTGGCGTGAATATCGGTGGAATTCTTGCGCCATGTCTAGGCGGTACTCGTTGACCTTCTGGTCGAGCTCGGCAAGCTTGTAGAGCAGCTCGGATGCGAGCCTCGTCGTGCTGTCCTCCATTGTGCTGTGCCACCCGGATGGGCCAACAAGTGATCAATCGAAAACGGCTGATGGACAAAGAGGGTGCATTGTAACGCGGGTCGGTTTGTTTCCAAGTTTGCAGCTTTGACTGCCTGACTGGTTGATTGCCTGACTGGTTGACTGCCTCTCGCTCTCGGATGCAAACTCGATCTGCGCAGGTGGAGATGACCATTGACCAGGCAGGGGATTGGCCTCGCAGGTACGTACTGTACTGTTACTACTGTACCAGGTGAGTAGGTGAGTCCTAAGATGCTAGGCCGATGCGCCAAGGGACGGTCATTCCGATGTTGTAGCTCTCGACTCCGCAATTCGGCGAAACGCTGTTGTCATGCTTTGGCTGCTGACATTGACTCCTTGAAGGGGACCTGCACTTCGTGTTGACACTTGACACGATGCGTTGATATGAATGTGCAGATGGTCAAATAATATTTGATGAGTGTGTGGCGGTGTCTGTCAGTTGCCAATGTCAATGTCGAAAAAATGGAAGATTCCGATGTGGGGGAGCGAGATAGGTCCAGACCGACCCACCTTCCAGGCCGCACCTACCATTCCCAATGCCCACCCCATGTCCTCCTGAATCCGACCGCCTGGCTTGCATACCTTACATGTAGATGTAGGTAAACTGGAAGGGCAATTGATAAGCTGTCCATCATTGGTCCCTACAGGCTACAAGTCATTACGTGACTCCTGCTGATCTTGCACTGGGACAAAATTCGAGGTACAGTTCCTACTTGCATAGTATCTCTATCCTATTCTAACAGGATGCCCAGATCTGCTTTGCATGTGAAATCCCCTTGCTCACCGTGAAATTCAAAATGACGAATAATTACTCCTATATATCTCGTGCTTATTACTTCTCTTATCTCTGCAGTCAACCGCCATGTACTGTCATGGGCGCGTCAGCTACACGTCGTCTTCCGAGATCGGCAGATAAGTAGAAGGCCCCGACAGAGTACCACATGAATACGACGGGATAACAGAACAAAGCTCGGAATTACCCCGGATCCGCCTTTTGCCAACGGACTGCTACGTGAAGCCTTGTGTGCCAAACGGATTGTCGCGTGACTTAGTCACCCACCAAAAGTACTTTACGACGCATGATTCAGCCCATCTCTGTCATTCTTGGTAAACAGTTGGAGATAGGTTCTAATTCATCGGGCGGAATTTAAGTGAACAAGCTGGGGTTCAGCGACACACTGTGGGATTAAGGTTGGCACTTTCGGCAGTAGTCTACAGAATTGCAGTAAGAGTATACACGTCAGATAGCGTGATGACCTTGCTATCAGATAGTCACTTGATCTGACGCGAGTGAGAGGGTTGCCATATTGGGTACATGTATCAGTCTAGCCATAGTGTCAGGCTTTCGGGTTAGCTCTTCGTATTGCCCCTTTATAGATGTGCCGGGTTTGCAGTCGCCGTAGCGCGTGGTCAAGCAATAACGACAACGTCTGAGGGGGAATGGTGCCCCCTGAAGCCTCAATAACCCTCGGTTTCACACCCGCGTGGCACTCACATAACCTCAAGACTGCACACCATGCACACAAACCAACCCATCCTGCCTACACCCTACCCTACCCTACCCCCTCGCCCTCCTCCTAACCTCCAGCACACAATGCATACCAACCCTCCGACTAAGCCCATGGCGCCCGTCCCCAGGCCTCCGCCCCTCGCCCCCCTCCCCCTCGACGTCGCCCACGAGCCGTATATCATAGTTACGCAGCAGGTCGATCAGCAGCGCCTTGACCTCAGCAACAGCAAAGAACCGGCCCGGACACGCGTGCGGGCCGTGCCCGAAGGTCAGCGAGTCCAGCGACGTCGTGACGACCTGGTGGCGCGTCTCGCGCCCCGGCACCGACCGCAGGTTCGCGAACCGGAACCCCGCGAAGACGTCCGGCCCCGGGTTGGGCGTCGGGGCGTTGTAGGCCGGGCTGAGGGTCGGCGTGTCGGGGGAGGTGCTTGTTTGTTTGGTTAGTCGGGGATTCGGTAGGTAGCGAGAGCATGGGAAGCAAGTTATTGAGGGCGAAGGGACTAGACTTTGTTGGTGGTGTTATAAAAGGGGAAGGGCTGTACTCACTGCACCGCATACTGCGGGAACGTGATCATCGCACCCTTGGGCAGTGTGAGCCCAGTCGAGAGCGTGACATCCTGCATAATCATGCGGCTCGAAATAGCTACCATCGAACGAACACATGTCAATACCATGCCGTACCAACTCGATCTTTCAGACCTGCAGGCCCTTCATTTATCCCAAGGAGATGCGAGGAGACTTACTGTATCCCATCGGGCTCCAGCGCTGGCTCTCCTTGATGAAGCTGTCGAGCTTCTTGAGCCTCGCCATCGCGGGCTTGGGGAAGACGACGTGGCCGTCGGCGTTCTCCTCGATGCCCTCCTCCGCCAGCACTTGCTCGATCTCCTGCCGCAGGGGCTCGATATGCTGCGGGTAGGTCGCCAGGTCCATGATGGCCGCCGTCGCGGTAATGGAAGTGGTATGTATGGCAGCAAACGTAAGCAACAACTGATCGTCCCCCAGCCGCTGCGCCGTCTTGATATCCCACGGCATGCGCGCCACGATCCACGACAAGAACGAGCCCCTGGACGCGCCCGCCGACTTCTCCCTATTATCGGCGGCATCAGACAACAGCAGCTCCTCCAGCAGAGGCCGCATCAGCTCCCTCGCCCTCCTCCTCTGCGTCCGAATCGCCCGCACCGCTGGCAGGAACGGCACGACGAACGGCCTGACCAGCGCATTCCACTCGTTGGCCTGGTGGCGGATGCCGGCCGCGTTGACGGTGTAGCGGATGGACGCGGCGATCCACTCGGGCTCGCGCGCCAGCGGCAGCCCGACGAAGACGCGCCCACTGAGCCGCGCCACGACCTGCAGCACCTTGGCGAACGCGTTGGTCTGCGTCCACTGCTCGGCACTGTCGGGAAGCTCGGCGGCGAGCGCGTGGTGCGTCTCGTCCTGGACGTCCTCGATGACGCGGCCAAGGTTGCGCATGAGGTCCTGGCGGATCGCATCGAGCAGTTCTGGACGCTCGGTCCCGCCGATGTCCGTGTACCGGCCGTACATGGTGTCCTTGACAATCTTCCGAAAGGAGACCACCTTCTCAGGGTGACTGTTGACCTCGGTGTAGAGGGACATCGGCAGCACCAGCGTGCGGTGCTGCTGGCTTGAAGTCACGAAGTAGGGCGAGTCACCACACTGTGATCCCGTCAGCAAGCGGGTATCTAACATGTACTTCGATTTCCAGTGAAACCGCAGAGAGAGATCCATACTTTGGCCTGTCCTTCAAGTACGGCATCACGCGGGTTGGGATCACGAGGCGACCCGAACACCGGGAAGTCGAGTCGCGTGCGGAGGAGATACTGCCTCACGAAGCCCAGGCCCACGCCCACAACTAGTCCGAACAAGCCATAAAAGAAATGGCTGGCCCTGAGGCTCTGGAGGCTTTCGATCGTGCACATCGTGTAAGACAGACCGGCGCGGCTTCCTCGGAGTGAATGAAGATGATGAGCTGTGGACAGTGGCCTCGCGTTCAAGTAAGGGACTCAGCCAGACCACCTACTTCGACTGAGTCAGTGGACCTGAGATCAGATGATGTGGCAAGGTCGTACCGTTGCTTTGGCTGTGACTGAGTGCATTCGGTACCAACGGGTACAACTCGGACGACTGGGCGAAGGTCGCGTCAACCCGGACACTCCTGCGTCGGACAATAACAGGAACCAGCTTGAGTGCCTCGAACACGATCACATAAGAAGCCCAGGTCTGCGGGGTCGGACAACCGAACCGATGCTTTGTTACACCCTGTAGAAACATAGCAGCGATTTTCTGGCTCACCCATGCTGTGCAGCTGAAACAGATCCGTGACCTGCCGGTTCTGGTGGCGTACATGCATGTACCACCTACTCTTCCCAATTAACGTGCTCGAAGTTGATTACCGGCATATTCATGAAACAGGAAACGATTTGTCAGGCTTTGATGTACAGACCGTCCCGTACACTGGTAGGACCGGGTAGCATTTCCCCCATATATATTAAGATCGAGTAAGTCTAGCTTTGACGCCTGGCGTGACCTTCATTCGTAGCAATCCTCCATGCAAATCTTGCAGTGATAATTGACGAGATCTGCCGAGTAGAATGTCGTAAGAAGGGTACCCAGATAGTGAGTACGCTCTAACATCTATAGTAAGGTGGACCATCATGGCATGGGCTGCTTCGAATAGAGGCCCTGTTGTGGAATCATATGCTTCCCAGAACAGTAGACCACGGTGAGCAACCTAGAAGGCAAACACTTGGTCCTCCAGTTTGCTGACCGGACGGGCTTTCTGGAAACCAAGAGCCTCGGTTGACTTCTTCAGTCCACTGATCATTGGTGGCGGACCACAGAGCAGTATCTTGACGTCGTCTGCGGCTTTCGGTAGCCATTTCTGCGTCTTCGTCAGTATTCACGCTTGACAGCAGCCATAAGAGTCGGGACTTACAGTGATCATGTCAGGGGTGACATATCCAACACCACCAGTCCATCCCTCAGGAGGCTTGTCCAGAACGTAGTGAACTCTGAATCCAGCGTCCTCCTTGGCCAGGGCATCGAGGTCCTCCTTCAGCAGTATATCCTGGGTCGTCACATTTGCGAAGATCAAGTCAACCTCGGTCTTGTCGTCAGCAGCCCGTCCGCGAATGATAGCCCGGACAACCTGGAGCATGGGCGTGATGCCAGTACCGCCCGCGACCATACCGAAGTGTCGCACCATGTTGGGAGTATAGACAAAGGCACCTTTTGGTCCCTTTACCTGGATCGATTGCCCAACGGCCAGAGAAGCCATATGCTTGGAGATGTTTCCGGTGGGGTAGGACTTGATGAGGAGGTCGAAGTAGCCGGGCTGGTGGTCGCCAGAGATGGGAGTGTACGACCGAACGATTTCCTTAGTCGAGCCATCAGGCTGAGCGATAGCAGCACCAATTGAAATATGCTGGCCGATAGGGAGGCCGAGGATGGAGGTGGAGGTTGGTAGAGAGAATCGGTAGCTGCGTGGCTGTCAGTCTGGTCCTTCCAAGTCGGATCCCACATCACAAACATTGCTACATTGTGGGAGATGATGGTCTTCTCCTTGAGCTCGAACTGCTGGAACTTGTCTGGTACGAGGACCTTCTTGGGTTCTACGTAGCGGGTCAGTTTAGACTCTCAGTAAAGGGGAACAGCCAGTTGAACATACGCGAGCTGAAATATTTCCACATCCCTAGGGTAATGGCCACCAAAGCAGCGTATGGCACCCAGTCTCTCTTGACGATGAAGGTTCCGAAGACCAACAAGGCGGCTGGAATGTAGATGCCGTCGATGTACCGCTTCGAAGTCAGAGGTACTTCGGACATTGTGAGATCCGGCTAGCGACGTGCTGAAGCTTGCAGGTTGGACAGTTGCGGCGGGACGCAATCGAGTGGGATGAATGGCAGAGGTCGAAGTCTCGTTTGCTGTTAAGGGGAAGCCACTGGACAGCTGCACACTCGGATGCAGCGAGGGGCTTGTTGCGGAGTTGGACGCTTCGAGTAATGTAGCGAGCGATGAAGGACCCGAGCGATCTCCGGGGTATTTCGTGAGATGCGCCTACACGTGTAGGTCTGGTTCTGGTCGAAGAAAACCCTACTGGGGACAGGAATTGAGGAGCGAATTCGGAGACTGACCGACTGACAGCTCGCTCACTTCCAATTAAATGGTTGTTGAGCTTCTTAGCGCTAGGCTCTAGCACCTCTCAGCCCTCTGCGGCGGCTTGGTAACCCCCTAACCCCTCTTTTGATCTGTGCTGCGATTGGCTGCAAGTTGAAGAGCTTAAGACATCCGAGTCAAGACTCAACCGATTGCCGACCCCTGCAACCTCGAAGGTCCATCCAGTCCCCCGTCGCTTTTCCACTTGCGACTGTGTCCGAGTTGGAGCCAGACAATAATAAAATTCATGGGGTTTTGGACCATTGTCGACCTGCTCGAGGGTTTCGAGTTGCCAGTTAAAATCCAAACATACCTAACTGCGTTTCATCTGTCAGGTGTCCAAAGGTCTTACCTTACCGTTCCAGGCCGTGGAATAATCAGTATGGACCTGCTTAGCCCAATAGATTTAGGTGGGATAATCGCAACTTCCCCGTAGTCCGATCTCCGTTCTCTATCCTCGTATCACCCTCTTCACCTGCTTCGAAACAAGCCAAACCCTAGGCATACTGTATACTGGACACTCTCAAATGCAAGCTCTCTGGAACTGGAACTTATAAATCGTACATTCACTTTCAAAATCGTCGAGATGGGTGACCTTCCGGTCAAGACATCTCCCGAGGAGGCGCCATTTCCCTTGACGGATGTGGACAAGTGGGTGTTGTCTCTGACAGACGAGGACTTTCACTGTCATGATTGGGAAGACATGAAAAATATCGTCGGTAAGTACAGAGATTACATTCACATACACTGTCCAAGCTGGACCTGGAAGAGGGGGTCTAACTCTGACATGAGCCACTAGCTGAGAACAACCTCTCTGTTCTGAAGCGGAAGCCCTCTGATTTGCAACGATACATGACATGGACGGCCGAGACCAAGGCCGACTATGGCTCCATGACCAACTATCTCCTAACGCATCGTTTGCCAAAGACCTGGGGCACACCTCCCTTCACGCCAGCCTCCACCATTCCATTTGACGACCCTTCTGATTTCCGCGTACTGATCAACGACTGGCCATACGGCTTGACGTCTGACATAACCCATATCGTCGTGTGGTCCCGAACGATCATCGAAACCGACCCGCAAACTGGCGATATGACACCGCGTAGCCGTCAAATTGTCGCCAATTTCGTGAAGAAGTTCTTCGCTGACAAGCTCGGGCCGCGTGGAGGTGAGAAGGTCCTTTGGTTCAAGAATTGGGTTGCGTTACAAAGTGTGCGAAGCCTGGAGCACATCCACCTCATGGTGAAGGAGGCCGGGGAAAGTGTTATCAATGAGTGGACCAAGGAACTGGACTGCCACAGGATGCAGAATTGAGCCACCACGTCGCTAGCATAGGTGACCATCATCGAAGACCTTGATATCTCGAGCGAGATCACGTGGTATCATCAGAAACATGATCAGGCCGCACGTCGTTGCTTGCGGTTTCCGCCTGCTACTGGCGTACCCTCCGGCTGTTGCTGCTGTTGCTGCATGCCCGCCATGCCCCGAGCCGCACCGAACAGACTGTAGCCCTTGACAGCTCCGTAGGCAGGCACAACAGCCCATAGAAGCCATCCCCAATTACCGAAGAACATGACCAAGACTGCAGACGCCCATGTGACCCAGATGACGTCGAACATGTAATCAGTGAGCCCAGGAGCAGACAGGTCCTCGCCCGCCATCTTCAGTGCGTTTGTTGATGGGTCGTACTTCGGTCGACCTGACGACTCCAAGACATATTCGCAGATAAAGCTCGGGATTGAGAAGAGGACGTAGAGTAGCAACGATCTCCTCCGGAACAGCAGGTTGAATAGTGCGAACAGCGTGTTGACCACAAGGCTTCCGATGTGGAGGTTCGTCAGGGCCGCCGCGTTGGCCCTTGCCCTGTCCTTGCGTGCCTTTTGAGCCATGGTGGTGTGGACGAGTGTCGCAAGCAGTGTTGGTGTAAGATGGCCGCTGTCGTCGAATCGTACTGTGAGAAGGGGGATGTTCCGGTACGAGAACCACGAGCTGGAGTTTCGCAAGAAATGTTCCGATTCTGGGATACCCTATCTACCCTATGTGGCTTGGTCAATGAGGCTTGAAGTCAAGTTGAAGTGTTGAACCTGCCGGAGACTAAAAGGTGGCGGCGGGCGGTGGCAGCAGGCGGGTGGGGTCGACGACGGAGGCTTTTAGCGCCGAGTTTGTTGTTGCTGTGCCAGTGCAGCGGCGCGTAGCCAATCACTTATCCCCGTCGACTGGCCTCCACCACAACACGGACCGCCAGAAGTGTGAACGAAGACGCACAGTACCACTTTGTTGTTCACGACGTTGGCAGGTTGGATTCACGCCCACTTGATGGTATTGATCGCGGCACTGGCACCACTGGTACCGACTTGGACTGGGAGTTGGACATCATCGCCGGAGAGCACCATACTAACCGAGCCCTGCCTGCAAATGGGTCGGCGACAGTAGCATATCCAGAGTCGCTGTCTAGCTTCATCGCCGCTCACGTCGAACACGTCGAACACACGGCTATCCAGACAATGACCGTTCAAGACAACCGAGACAGAGTCGAAGCCTATTCTGCCCTTAAGGTTCCTCAGGTCTTGCAGCCTTCCCGTTTCGTCCGAGCCGCTGTCCCGACTTCCTTATTGCCTGCGCAAACCCACTATAACTCTAATCATTTTCCAACGCCCGTTCAACATTCGGTTGCCAGGTCCCAAAGTATCTGGCTCAGCTGGTTCCAACTTCGATTTCCACACGGCTATACGAAGAGGCTAGTTCTTTTCACCTAAAGGCTGCCCGAAGTTCGTGACAGCCTATTTTCCCGACTTTCTTTCACTGCGTACTTCGAGGAGAGAGCTTTGCCTCTAGCTCACGACGACCCCATGGCCATTCGATAATAGCCTCAGCCATCAGACCGTCGAACCGAGTTTCCTCCTCTCCCATCGTCCAGTATGGCACCGACAAGCACGGCCATCACCGGCCAGCTACGACAGGTCATCTACTACCATCTCGATAACCTCTCCTACGAGAACGCCCTCTTCTTCGCAGAACGACTGGTCGCCCACGATCCCCGCTCAAGCGAGTCGGCATACCTTCTTGCGGTCTGTCACTACCGGCTCGGTGATCACAGATCCGCATACGAGGTTAGCAAGGCCGCCGGCCATCGTGGAATCCATCTGGGTTGCTCCTACATCTATGCGCAGACGTGTCTCATAATCGAACGGTTCAAAGATGGCATCACAGCCTTGGAGAAGTCCAGAGGCCTCTGGTCCCACAAGACCAGCTTTGGGAAGCATACGGCAACAACCAGGGCTCAGCACCCGGATCTGGCCAGCGTCTCGTGCTTGCTTGGGAAGCTATATCGTGTCTATGATGACAAGAAGAAGGCGATCATCAACTTCGAGGACTCGTTGAAAGCAAACCCGTTCATGTGGGATGCGTTCACCGCCCTATGCGACATGGGTGTGAGCGTGAGGACGTCTAACATTTTCAAGCTAAGCGAGGCCTTGCTGGAAGGTGTGAATTATGACCAGCCAAATGGGATATTGTCAGAGCAGAAGGACAGCACTGCAATAAACCCAATGGAACCATTGCCCAAGAAGACCACTGTCCGATCGGCGGTATTTGACGCCATGGACCCCTTTGACCCCAAACGGCCAAACGTATCACAGGAAATGCTTCTCGGGAACAACTTCCTCACCGTGGGTTCCGGAGAGAATGACTTCATGTCGAAAATCAACGCAGCTCGCTCTAGAATGGCGGCTTCGACAGAAACGGGACCCGATATTGTAGAAACACCGTCCTCCACAAGTATCGATACGAATATTCCTCGAATTGGATTTCCTCCAGAACCTCCGCAAGCACCAAGCAGGAAGACGAGGAACGCTCAGCCTGTTGAGTCCAGTTTGGTGGATGCGGCCCCTAGGGTGGGATATCGACTTGGCGTGAAGAGGAGTCAGAGGGCACAGGACAAGTCGCACGATGAAGTCATGGGCGAGTCAAATCCAACCCTGCTCAGGGCATCTGCATCTGCGGTATCGGGAATCGAAAGGAAACGTACAGTCTCCGGACACCCAGTCCAACCGAGACAACAATCAGAAGAACCGGGTGCCCCACAGAGAAGGAGTGCGAGGATAAATATGTTCAGAGGCACCAACTCGAAGGCCAATTCCGGTGCCTCGACCGTTGGGGCCGCAGCGACGAGGGAACTGAAAAAGGCTAGGCCCCCGATATCCAAGATCATGCGACCCAACTCCAGTGGTGCTGGTGTTGGCAGGGTCGTCAGCGGCAACAGGAAGCCCCTTGAGGAGAACGGCATGGACGTGGATCAGGCCGAGGCACCAAGGGTGAAGGAGGTTCTTCCCCAGCCCCCGGCTGTCAAACCCGTAGAGCCTGATACGGTCAAGACGGAAGAGACGTTGAAGTACTTACTTGAGCTTTTGAAGAAATTCGGCTCGGGGTATTTCTCTTTGTCCCAATATCAGTCTGTTGATGCCCTGGCAGCCTACACTGCACTCCCCCGCGCGCATCAAGACACGCCGTGGGTTTTATCCCAACTCGGGCGGGCATACTACGAACAAGCCGCATATGCCGAGGCAGAGAAGTATTACAGGAGACTACGCATACTGGCTCCAACGCGCCTCGAAGACATGGAGGTGTACTCGACGATCCTGTGGTTTTTGAAGCGGGAGACAGACTTGTCCTTCCTTGCCCACGAACTAGTCGACTTGTCGTGGCATTCCCCTCAAGCATGGTGCGCGCTTGGTAATGCCTGGTCTCTCGCCCGAGACCACGAGCAAGCATTGCGATGCTTCAAGCGGGCAACCCAGCTCAACCCTAAGTTCGCCTATGCGTTCACACTGCAGGGACACGAACATGTGTCTAACGAGGAGTACGAGAAGGCTCTTACAGCGTACCGCCTAGCCATCTCAGCTGACCGTCGTCATTACAATGCGTACTATGGCATTGGCCGAGTCTATGAAAAGCTCGGTAGCTATGACAAAGCTTATACGCACTTTCACTCTGCATCGTCGATCAACCCCACCAACGCTGTCTTGGTCTGCTGCATCGGCAATGTCCTGGAAAAGCAACGGCACATTGTCCAGGCTCTGCAGTATTTCAGCAAAGCCACTGAGCTTGCCCCTCATGCCGCGCAGACCCGATACAAGAAAGCCAGAGCGCTGCTGGCCCTCAACCAGCTGGACGACGCCCAGAAGGAACTTGAGATACTCAAGACCCTTGCGCCTGATGAGGCGACGGTGCACTTCCTACTCGGAAAGCTGTACAAGACTCTCAACGAAAAAGGCTCCGCTGTTCGGCACTTCACCATTGCGTTGAACTTGGATCCCAAGGTATGTGTGGTGTATCATTCTCGTGTCTGCCTTGTACTGACAGCAATAACTAGGCGAGCCAGCAGATCAAAGAGGCCATTGAGAGCCTTGAAGACGAGGACAGCTATGACGACTCTATGATGGCATGAGATTGGACGTGGTAGGCAACTGTGTTTGTGTGTTTACTGCAGGACAGCGGGATTACATTGTGATGATTACTGTGTGATGAGGCCAACCTTTGGTGGTCGGCTTTGGCATGGTGTTGATGTGTTGGACTTGATTACGAGGTATATGATATACCCCATTATCAAGGTTGTTGTCCAGCATTGCTCGGCCTGGTACAACATTAGCATCGGCGTTCAGGGAATACGAGGAGTGCAGTTGGCGCTCCCAGGCACCGGGAAAACGGTGTTTTGTGTATAGGTAGTAGGGTATGCATCGTGGAAAAGTGTACATTAGAGGCCCATCATGATGGGTTATCTCGAGTGGTGCGGGCAGGCGAACAAGTCCGCGCTATATCTAGTACACAATCAGTATGAACACTACATCGGACTACGCGTAACGTCCGTCTGCCCAGCTTGTGACTGTACTGAAGATGGACAGAGAGTGAAAGCAGTTTAGGTACAACGAGTTGGAAATCGCAAGGAGTACATAGCGAACTTCAAGGAATGACTGCCAAGGACACCGTCTCTGATATCGACGCATTCCACTAAGTACTTATTAAGAGTTAACATGAGTTCACCATCTAACATAGAATTATATTCGCAAGCAACAAATGATGCAGTGCCTTCCTCAGGCCGGTCGCCCTGAAAAAGGATGGTCTACAGCCGAGGCTCTGCGACTGGACTTCAACGCGCTGCACAGGCGTGACGGGCTAAGGAAACAGACATGTGAGGTTCGGACCAATCAAGAGCTTCGTGCTTAATAAGGTATGCCGCTTGCCGCTTGCCGCTTGCCGCTTGCCTTCTACGGAGGGCACGGACCCGCAGCCGCTGGCCTCGTCTGCAGGGAACCCGCGACAATGGAATTCCGAGTTGGAAGCTTCAAGCCACTCCCCGCCTCCAGCCTGCCCGCCCCAAATAACACCGCCAAACTCAGGCAGGGGAATGCCGCGCTTTGGGAGTCCCAGATCAGCCCGGTTTGAACTGCGAAATCAGCCAACGTTCCATTTTTCTGATTGGTCCAATTAATCGACGCACCTGCCATAATTCCTTGGGCAACCGAGCTGCTGCTGCAACAACCAGCAATTGCAATCAGCATCTGCCCAAGTCCCCGGCTTTTAAATCACTGCTTCCCCTCTCTCCCTGTTCTCCCATTCTCTCTCTCTTCCGATCCAATACAACAACACAACATCCACACCCGCATCCATACTTTGACATCAGTGTCATCAACGAATCCATCAACTCCATCACCAAACACCATCTACTACATCCTCAATCCTCATTCAAGATGACTGGACGTAAGTACACTTCCATTGTCAATCTGACCTCGCTGTCGCGTCACCTTGTCGTGTTGGACCCGACCGTGGAGGTTAGTGGGGCATCGTGATGGCCTCACTTCCTCGACGCGTCTTGCCTGCACCTCAACACGCGACATCAACATCCTTGCTCGACACCATCCATCACCCATTTCCTCAAATACCCAGCATTCGTTTATACTGACGCATCATTCCTGCAGGCGGCAAGGGCGGAAAGGGTCTCGGAAAGGGCGGTGCCAAGCGCCACCGAAAGATTCTTCGCGACAACATCCAGGGTATCACCAAGCCCGCCATCCGACGTCTCGCTCGCCGTGGTGGTGTCAAGCGTATCTCAGCCAGTAAGCTTACCTCTACCTACTCGCTTCTTCTCTTGGTGTCCCTCCTAACCATCCCGTCTACAGTGATCTACGAAGAGACCCGTGGTGTCCTCAAGTCCTTCCTCGAGGGTGTCATCCGTGACGCTGTTACGTACACCGAGCACGCCAAGCGCAAGACTGTCACTTCGCTGGACGTGGTCTACGCCCTGAAGCGACAGGGCCGCACCCTGTACGGTTTCGGTGGTTAAGCGCTCTCCACGCGCTTTGCCTCATCATCACCTTCCATCATACTCTCGACACATCTACTGTTGGGGGCGGCTGCGGTGGGAAGCATGGGCAGAACGCGTCTTAGGCGGTTTGGCTTGAGGATCTGAGTTTCTACGGTCGGGCATGATACACACTTTGAGTGACATATTGGCGTTGGTGGTTTACGGTTCACTGGATCACGCGATGATTTGCAGGGGCGTCTAGGGAAAGACTGCCCGGGAGTGCTCATGACAGCACGATGAATATACCTGCATTGCTTCGGGCTCTGCGATGAACAAACAAACAACCTGCTTGCTTCTTGCCTATGTGATTGCAGTTCTCATGTGACATGTGCTGAGTCCAATCTGCGAAACTAATAGGTCCAATCTCCATCTCAACCATGAAGCTATATTTTACCTGGGTATCTTGACCGAACCCCTACCCAGTTGTAGGCTCCAAACGCCGCGTCGCCCAAATGATCCTGTCTGTCCTATTGCTAGAACCTGCCCACACGGTATGCTATTTATACACGACACCAAACCCACGATACTCCCCGAATCGCTACCGCGGGCCGTATTATCCATCTTCTTCATAAATACTTCCTGCCGGCGGCAGCGACGCGCTGGCGGAAGACGGGGCTGCGGACCTCCATGTTGACGCGGTAGAAGGGGCTCATGATGGTCTTGACCCAGCTCTCGTAGACCTCGGCCATGAAGCTGCGCACGGCCTCCTCGGTCTGGGGGCTGGTCGGGTTGGCGGCGATGGAGGTGGACGAAGAGCGGCCGGCGCCGATCATTGCGGCGGCGGACAGCGCGGTCGAGGAGTTGGAGGACGAGGTGGTGTTGGTGTTGTGGGAGGAGGATGAGGAGGTGGTGTTGGTGGATTGAGGCGGCTGGTGGAGGAGGAGGAACTTGACGTTGCCGGCGGTTACGTAGGCGCTGATGTGGCTGTTGAAGAACTTGTCTACGTGCTTTAGGTACCTGTTCATAGGGGAGGGTCAGCTAAGCACGGCTGGGTTTCTTTCGGGGGTGTGAGGTAGTATGTGTGTTAGGTAGATTGAAATTGAATGATGCATGGGATGAAGAAGAGAGACGCACATCTGCCCCGTCCCCCACTGCACCTCCTCGACGATGTCCAGACTGCTGTGCGCGATGAACTGGTTCATGTGGCGCGCCTGCTCGCCGAACCGCGACTGCCCGTCGCCGCCCTGCTTGGATGTGCCGAATTCGTACTCGAAGAGCGGGTTGTCTTGCGTGCCGACGATGGCGAAGTAGTAGGACATTGTCGCGGGTTGGGCCTCGAGCGGATGGGGTCGGCGGTGGGTGTTGTCGTTGTATTATGGGCCGACGGGGGTTTGGCTCTATTGCTTGGTTGACTGGGGGTTGTGTTATCTGTCTGTCATTTGCGAACGTCGTCGAAGCTGGGAATCTCGGTCGGTATGGCGGTCGTGGTTTGCGGTGCGATTTGGTGTAGTAGCTCCAGGTAATAGCTCTCTATATAGTCTAGACTTCAAACTGCGCGGGTGAGGTCTCTAGCGGCCGGTCCGCTGGCTCCACAGTGGACGCTCGGAGGTGGCTTGTGCTGCAGCAATTCCCGCCGGCCGAAACTTTCCTAGAACCTCGCGCTTCGCCGCGCGCCCTGGCACCCTGAACACTACCTAATTGACCCGAACTCCACGACCATCGCCGGACGAAACATCAGCACAGCATGTTCGGCGCATTCAGAGCCACGAACGCCTTGTCAGGCGGTCTTCTATGGTGCGTCTTCCTCGTATGCGCAATCGCTGCTCCAGCACCCTCAGCTCCTGAAGAGTCCAGCGGCGTCTGAACCAGCTACCTCCCGTCCCTCCCATCCCATCCTGATCCCCATCCCATCCAATCCCTGCGTCGTCGAGTCGGAACTCCACCCATGCACGCACGAACTGCAATGCTGACCATTGGATGAACGTGCACAGGAAGACGCCATGGCGACTCTCGAAATTCCAGAAGGCGCGACAGCGGGAGCGGCTGCGGGGCGTCGACGCCGTGGTGGCGACGCTGGACAAGGCGCTCGCCAAGAAGGGCGAGACGCTCAAGGCGCTCGAGGTCTGGAAGGACACCATGCCCACCGAGGCCGAGATGCTGCCCAAGGACAAGTACACCATGTTCGACCGGAAGGAGAAGCGGTATAGGAAGGGCATTCACAGTATGTTTGAACTTGTCTTGTCTTGTCTTGTCTTGTCTTGTCTTGTCTCGTCTCGTCTTGTCTCGTCTGGATGGAGTCTGGACTGGGTATGTGTGGTGGCGACGGTGCTAATGCGTTGCGAAACAGAGCTGCCGAAGTGGACGAGGGTGTCGCAGAGACTCAACCCGCCTGGATACTGAGCTTGGTTGGGGGTTGCAAGGGACATGCTCTGTGGTGGGTGGTTCGAGATATCATGGAAGAGTTTGACAGCTCGAAAACGAACGGGCATCCGAATCGCCCCGGCTGTATTATATTGTACAAAGCGATGGAAACTGGGGAAGGATGATATATGTATATGCATTCGCACGAAAGACGGGACCAGCTGGAGTCCCTATATGAGACTCTGATTCCTATCCTGGGATATTATCATGGCGGCCATGTTCTGATCCCATGATGCTGCAATATCGTCCTAGTTCTGCGCGCTGTTGCTACATCCAGGGTATCACACCAAACTCCCTCCCAACCCTCATCCCACCTATCTGAGGCGACCATAGTCATCATCGTAGTTGCGTTCCTTCTCGCGATTCCGCTCGTTGTCGCGCATGCGCTCGTGCTGGATGGCCCTGCCGAGGCCGCCGCGGCCCTCGTCGAAGTCGTCGCGGTACTCGTCGCGCACCTGGCCGCCGGACTTGCCGCGGCCGTACTGGCGGCCCTCCTCGAAGCCCGGGTCCAGGTCGGTGCGGATGACGCGCTCGTCGAGCTTGGTGCCGCCGATGTACTTCATGCAGTCGAGCGCGTCCTGGTGCGTGTAGTACTCGACGAAGCAGAAGCCGCAGGGCGTCTTCTGGAACCTGTCCAGGCCCATCACCAGCCGCTTGATCTCGCCGCACTTGGAGAAGAGCTCGTAGACCTGCTCTTCGGTCGTGTAGAAGGACCTGCAGGAGTTATGAGTGATGGGCTCGCTCTCATATGCTGTTGTGAGACTGGCACTCACAGGTTGCCGACGTAGAGGGTGGTGGCGTTCCTCAGGGGGTCCTCGGGCGGCTCTTCTGGCTGGGCATTGGCCATCTCAGTGTCGCCGTCCTTGCCATCTCTCCCGTCACGGCCGTTGTCCGTCCGTCTCCTCTTGTTGTTCTGTGGGCGGAAGGGAGTTTCAGTCAGCCTACACCGACTCAGTCGAATACACACACGGGTTGATAGGCACTCACGCGGCTGTGGTAGTAGGCACTGGGGCGGTCCAGCCTGTCCACCGTTGATCGGAGTTCGGTTCGCATTTTGAAGTGAGACCTCAATGCGGAATATATAAGTGAGCAGATGATGCTTGCTGTACTTGATGTATGTGCAGTGGAAAAGGCTGAGACGACAGAGCAGTAGCAAGCTTGAGTTGAATGTCAAGTTGTAAGGAAGGCTGCGAGGTGGCCCGCTCTTTTTTGCGTGGTAGCTCCAGAGACGTGCCTCAGTGGCAGATCGCGCTAAAGCACGTCGCTGGGTACGTACCTGCGCTTCTCTTGGCACCAGATTCCTGAGCTGGAGGCTGGACGTTGGCAGCTTCCCTGGTAACTTTATAGCTCCCGCAAACAACCTTCCTGTTAGCTGGGCAAAACCTCAAATCGTGGCCTTCACCTTCATATGTGCCTGATCAACAATAACCCGCCACCGTCCAGCGACGACAGCGCATAGCAACAAGTCGATCGACAAGGGCACCGCCTGCTTCAAGTCCTACCTCGGGCGGAAATGCACTTCTGATTTCCTACATCATTGCCAACGAATCATCCCTCCAGCCGTCATGCCAAAGATAAAAAGCTACACCCCCGCCTGGCTCTCGAGCCCTTCGCCGGGCCATGACCTCTTCACTCCAAACCCGGACGAGGCTCAGCATGTCTCGTCCTACGCCTCCAAGTCGGCTCTCAAGTCCGGTCCCCGACGAACAATCGCCCGACGCGGAACCGAAGTCTACATCGCTGTTGGGAAGGAGATCAGATGGGCCGACCTTGTCTACCTCAAGGAAAGATGGCAGGAGAAGGCGGCGCGAGGTCGTGCAGGTGTTCGCGTAAAGCGTGAGGACTCATCTGAGCCCAGCGACAATGATTTAATCAAGGACTCAATAGAAGACGGTTGCGCCGAAGGTTTTCGTGTATGCAATCTCCCCATTCCCCAGCACCTTGCAAGCAGGACTAATCCCTCGTAGACGATCAAGACCTCCGTCGGTAGCGACATCCAGCAGCTTGCCATTTCCCCCTACGCGAACTTCATAGCAGTCCTCACCACTCACACCGTCCGCATCATTTTGTTGCCCGACCCGTCCCATCTGACAGCGCCGAGTCTCGACGTTATCAAGCCCAAGTCGTGGACACTGGGCCCTACCACACATGTCATGGACCGCTCACCCATCGCCTCTTCTCTGTGGCATCCTCTAGGAGTTAATGGCTCTGCTCTGGTGACTGTCACCAAGGATGCCCTTGTAAGGGTGTGGGAGCTCTCTCAGAAGGACCGCTGGTCGTTCGATACGCCCTCTCTGACCATCGACTTGCAAAAGCTTGCGGACGGCACGTCCTTGGACCAGAACTTTGGAGCTTCGTCTGATATCACGAACAAGGGATTTTCACCCGACTCTTTCGAGATGGATGTGGCGGCAGCCTGTTTTGCTGGCAGGGGCTCGGGAGGTTGGTCGCCCATGACACTCTGGATCGCTATGAGGGAAGGGGACGTATATGCCTTGTGTCCGTTGCTACCAAGTCAGTGGGCTCCACCACCAATCTTGATTCCTTCACTCTCGATATCGATAGTCGGGAATCTGGCTGCCATCGAAGATGATCCAGGCGTATCTGAGCAAGCCAAGTTGTTGGCGCAGCAACAACTAGACTGGATGTCGGACCTTGATAATCAAGAACCCAGAGTGGTCGAGGGCCCCCCTGGAGAAGCCCCCACTGAGATATATGCTCGACCTATGCGGCCAGGGATAGTGCCTCGGTTGCAAGGACCGTTTGACCTCGAGTTGAGTCCCTATAACACCGACGACCTTGACATCGAGTTAACAGACATATTTGCTATTGGCGAAAAGCTTGATACAGATGAGCTCATGATGGGCGAGGATGATGACCTGGAGATGGAGGACATCGATGGGGAAGGCTTGTCTCTCTCCGTGATATGTCTGCTTTCATCCAGTGGTCAACTACGAATCTGTCTAGACTTGGATGGCGTGCAGGCACAATGGCTACCACCTCGAAACAAGTCAAAGGCCATGGGCCGCCTGGTAGGATCGCCTTCGCTGCTGACGTTCCAGAGCTTGGATGTTTTGAACGCAGTGGAGGTCACCGAGGATGGTTGGCCAGTTTTCAGTCCCGATGTTACCTCTCGGTATTCTTTCTTCATTACTCATTCCTCTAGCATTACTTCGGTCTCTCTGCCATGGGTCTTCCGGCTCGAGAGCGAACTACAGGGCGATTCGCAAGCTGGGTCTGATTTCAGAATCGATCTACTTGTAAAGGGCCAAAGCTCGACCCGAGAGCGGCTTTACACAAGCCCGTCTCAGGTTGACACGCAACTCCAACTGAGTGCGGCAGTGGCGATTCGTGACCCCGATCTCGGCTACTTTTTGCTATCTGCAACTCCCTTCGTGCCGATCGCGATAACATTCGAGGTACCTCAAGACGATTTCGCACCACCGCGGCCTGCTTCGCCCTCCTTCAGTAAAGATGCCGAAGTGCAACCCTTGGACTTCTTTGAACCTCGCCCGGTCTTCCAGCCGTCACACGCATTCGATCAAAGGTCCAACCTACCAGAGCTTCTCGACCGGCTCCGCACTAGCCGGCACAAGACGGTTGTCAACCAAGAAGTCCGACTTTCGCCGCTGACCTTGCAGCTTTTCACCGAGGTCCACCAGATCCTCAGTGATGAGACGCATAGACTCGGCGTCGCAGCATCCGAAGTCTTCCGACGATGCGTCAAGTTGCAAGGAGAGCTCAGGCAGCAAATCACCAAGGCAAACGAGGTCAAGGCGAGGGTTGAGGCTGTCACGGGAGAAGATCAAGGAGAAGACGGCGAACCAGAGCCTAGCAATGCCGCCATTGAGAGACGGCTGCAGGCCGCCAAGGAAAAGGGAGAGGCTCTCAGCCAGCGACTGGAGAAAATGCGCAGGAAGGTCAACAAGGCGACGAGTCGAGAGCTGAGTGCCAGGGAGGAAGCATGGATGGACGAGGTCAGGAAATACGACGCAAGCATCATGGGATCTGCAAGGCCGGCAGATGGAGCGGGCCGCGCAAAGCAGGCTATGCATAGGTACCAGGAGGTGATGCAACTAAAGGACGAGCTCGCGGAGCAGGCGTACAAGCTAGGGGCCACGGACGACGGGGAGGAGAACCTAAGCGCCTCGACGACAGACTTACGTATCCCGTCGGAACTCAGAAGAGCCAAAGTGAACCAGGTGAAGGGACTCCTGGAGCGTGAGACAGCGCTGGTGGATGCGGTGAAAGCTCGTCTCGAACGTTTAGCGGTTGTTGGATAGAGAGAATCAGGCGGAATGCCAGGCTGTACCCCATCCATGAATGTATAATCGCGGAACAATGCTGTCATGTGCCATCATTAACGAGGCAGGCGATTGGGCATTTGTTTTGTGTGGGATGTTTGACAGTCGCCGAGTACCTAGTGTCAGCACTGCAGATTGTCGTGGCGTTTCCCCTATGGGATCCTAACTATCTCACGCAGTACGTCCAGTCCACGCGCGCACCAAGACTGCAACAGGGGCCGGGCCCGGGAAGATGCTTGCGTTGCAAAGCTGCACTGCCGATCCCTTTCGCCTATGCTATGCCACTTATACCGGCGGAGGAGACACGGGCCAGAGACTCTGTGCCGAAGTGGTGCACATGGTTTGCGTGTCTCCAATGACATCTGGTCAAACATGCAGCCTTGCAAGACAGCGCTGGATGGCTGCTGCGAGGTTGACAACGGCTGAGAGTGACGCCTTGGCGACCTCGGATGGCTTTTCTCCTGTGCGCTGAGAGGACCGTGGTCCCAGAGCTGGGATGTGCGCGCAGCAAAAAGCAATGAGTCTATTCTGGCACTTTCAACGCCTGAAGTTTCAATATATTTCTTCCGTCTCTAACGTCATCTCCAGGCTTCACTGTATATCTCCAACTCGGTGTTCGGCATCTGTCGGCTGCATTGCCACTTGACGAGTCTGACCACAATCTCAACAATCGGGGATGACCCAAACGCCGGAGGTTCGCCCTGTTTATTCATTGGTTGGCAGAAGCTCTTCCTGCGCCATTCTCGTCCAGCATGTTGTTTTCTACTACCCGGGGCCCTTCCTTGGACGGCTGAGTATGCTGAAACTACCAGGGCATCTCGTCCTTGAATTGCGAATCCACAACTCTGAAGCCTCAATGGTAGTCGAATATGAAGATATCCGGTGGCACCAACCATCCTGCCGTGGCGAAATCGTGCCCTACTCGATCGGCCTCAGTTGAGGCATTGGCTTTTGAAAGTCAAGGTGCATCAACTACGTGGTATCTTATGACAACAGATGTAGCACTGAGGCCCGTGTCCGCACTCTGCCGGTGAAGGGATTGGTGTGCCTCGTGCGACCATACGCGACAATGTTTGCAGAACCTCACGAGCGCCGAGTCTGCTCTAGCAAACGGCCACGATTGGATGCCCCTCTGACGCAGCAAACGGAGACTGCCAGCGACGCACGAGCCAAGGCAAGTTCGTGACTGACTGGCTTGCTGCTCTTCGGACGAGGCTTGGAGTCTCACATCCTCTTCCTACCTCTGCTCGTAGGCAGGGAGACAAAGTAAACATTACCAGCACGCTGCGGTGTATCTTCCAGGGGGGCCCTCGGTCTCAGCAGCTCGTTTATGCTGTTGGCCCGGGCAGTCTATGCAGGTATCCTGTACGGCCGCCTCACTCTCGCACAGAGCAGCTCTCATGGACGCGGAATCCCGGTAATTGGAATGTGCCTGCATGCACTGTCCCACCAACACTGGATATATAAGAGTCCTTCGATGTTCCGAGCGGATCCCCGGAGGTAGAAGCATCTAACAGACTTTACTAGATGCTGGTGTATCTCTACGACCCCTTGGCCCCAACGACCCTTCAACATCGGTCAAACTCCAAAATGGCACCACCACCATCAACGTCAATAGTCTTTGATTATCGGACTCAGGTGATAGGTCAGCAGCTCTAGTTGTTACTCTACACGTTGCTCCTGGCCGTCCACTGACCGTGATACGCAGATAACTGCGAGTTCTTCGTGGGAAGAGATGACATCGTCACGGTTGTGACCGTCAAAGAGCCCACGGGGGACTTCAAGGCGTACGCGATACGATGCAACGATGTCGCTCGAGATGCCTTAGTGTCATCCGACTCGTTCGACACGGTCCAGAAGGCCATAGAATCCCTGCATATGAAGTCGGCTGAGGCGGTGCACCAGTACATCACCACCAATGGCTTCTCCATGCCGCCCGACCTCAAGGGCGCCAAGCTCGACTCGGATGCCGACGACGACGCTGCGTCGCTTGCCTCCTCCGGCCAGACCGCGTCTTCCACCGCCGCCCTCTCTGAGTGGGATAGTTCGGACGAGGAGGCTATGATAGCCGAGGGTTTTGCCACATTTAACGGCGGCAGACCCCGTCCCTCAGCCCGCAAGAACCGCAAGCCAACCGCGCATGGCAAGAAGCCGCGCGATCTTGGCGACCTCGAAAACGAGTCTGATGAGGAGCAATGGATGCAGCCCATGCGTCTCCGTCACGGCAGCCCCGTGCGCTCGGCCTCGAGTGCGAATCATCCGCCGCCAGGGCCGCCGGCATGGCCTGGTGGTCCCCCACCACCTCGTGCGCCTGTGATGTCGATGCATCCTCAGCATGCGCATATGCAGCACCATCCGCCACCGATTCAGTTTGCAGGCGTTTCGCATCCGGGTCATCACTACCCACAAGGTGGCCCAGCAGTGTCACCACTATCCCATCCATCGCTGAATACCAACATGCTTCCCCTGCATCCTCCTGGTACTCTTCGATTCAATGTCCCTCAATCTACTTCTCCTCCCACCGCAGGCCGTGGACCAGTCCACTGTCGGTCTATGGCCTCCCTCCCGAACCCAGCGGCCGCAGCCCCAGCAGCAGCACCCAGCCCTCCCGCTCCCGGTCCCCACGCCAACAACACTCAGCACAAATCCATCGCCACGTACGCCTTCCCCCACCCTCTCGACAGCACCCGCGTCTACGACGTGCGGCTCACGATCCGGTGGGGCCACCACGGCGAGCAGCGCATCATCGAGAGCTGCCGCGCGTCGGTGCGCGCGCTGCAGGACGCGGCGCTGGCCTACGTCGCGGCGCACCCCGACTCGTTCGACCAGCAGCCCCCGCCGAACCCGAACCCGAACCCGAACAACCAGCAGCACGTCACGGCGCGGTTCTGGAACGAAATCGGCGCCGTCGCGGACCGTGGCGCGGCGTGTCTGCGCGCCAGCGTGCGCCGCGCCTTCTTCGGCGGGCCCGACGATAAGGAGGGCTCGTATGATATGAGCGCGTACCGCGGCGACGATTTGACTAAGCTTTTTAATGTGCTGGGCGCGGGCAGTATCCCGCGGTTTGAGATTGAGGTCGAGTTTGTGGGGTTTGAGGCTCAGGGGGGTGGTATTGGTAAGGGTGTTGGTGGGCATCCGGGACAGGGACAGGGCCAGGGCCAGAGAATGATGTCTCTTGGTGAGTATCCCTCTGCAAGGCAGGATGCCTTTCTAAGGCAGGGGCGTGGAGGTGGTGGTGGGAAGGGGGGGAAGGGGGAGAAGGGGGAGATGGGGGAGATGGGGGCTCGTTAGGGGGGACGTTTCCTCTCCTTCTCCTACTTCTCTGGGTGGCTTCGTCATTGCTCGACACAACGCTACACTAGTTTTAACAACTTTCGACGAGCTGTGTCTGGAGGCAGAGGGAAAAAGATAGCTTCAACATCGATGGGTTTGGGGGTCTCACTTCTTGGTGTTTTTGGATGCGGTGGCATTGAAGCTACCTTGTGTGTTCGGCAGGTCGTTGTCGCTGCTCTTCCCTATTATGGGGTGATGATAATGATGAATCGGATGGGATGAGGTCGGTACTAATGGGCTGATGTATCAAGATGGGTATGAGGTCGTGTGTACTGGATGAAGACCGAGATTGTTCTTGCTGTTCTGGAAGGTAGATAGGTGCTTGCTAGCCCTATTGTGTAGTCTTGTATCTATGTCCACCGCCTCTGAATGAGAGAGGCTTCATACATACTTGGCAAGCTGTCTTTCTTGATCCGTCTCCCCTTGATCCGGCTCGTCAAGTCCTTACGGCAGCAAACGCGCGGCTTTCGCGACGAGGTCCCTCTACGGTACTGTTGAGTGTTTAGTCGATCGGAATGGCTTCGCGCTGAACACGCTGGCCAAACTGTCATTGACCCTGATGCAGCAACCCACCGTTCTTGGTATCGTGGGAACAAACAACTCCAACCACTGTACCTGCAACACTCACACGCGGCCGGCAATCTTGTGTCGTAGTTGAAGCGCATATAACACTTGAATGGGTCAAAGAATCAAATTGCTAGCTAACTACTGGTAGGTCATACGACAACTGGCCAGCGGTCGTGCGAGGACCGGCACGAACCACGTCTCGAACGTGTCCTTGCGCTTGAGATGACATGTGTTCATCGGTGCATTCCCGCCACCGATGACTTTTGTCCATTGTCCCCTTTACCAGCAATTGTGAAGGCAAGCCACCACCTCAAGCCGATGACCAGGGGCATTTCCCATCTGCAGCTAGCCGGTCAGCCATCTGCTTATCACCAGTGACTCCCCGAGCCCATCGAACATAACAGCCACTTCTTTACAAGCCTACAGAGGCCACGGTTCCAGCCAGCACTCGACAGCATCCCGCGTCGGACCCAGGTGCAGTCAACCCAGTATCTGCTAACACACACACACACACACTACACGAAATGACATCCGGCATCCACCACAAGACGACCCAGTCCAACCTCCGAACCAAAGCAAGACGACCAGACCAGCATCCTCAAGCACCCGAACCCGCACCCGCACCCCACCGCCCCTCATCACATGCCAGTACACACCGATACACACCGGACGTACACACAAACGGGACGTGACAGACAGCTCAGCCGCTACACAAGCGCCCGTGCTAGACAGATACGAGATCCCACCTCAGATCCTAGGCTAGATTCCATATTCGAGGCGGTTAGCTGCGTGCGGTGTGACATGCCAAGTTCATTGTTTGGTCATGCAGCCAGCCCGGAAGCTCAGGTATGGTAGGCAGGTACATAGACAGAGTCGTCGAGGATCCTTGGATCTCAGCACAGCTATTATTACGGGCAGAAAGGCGAGGCACATAGGCGGGCGGGCAGGCGGGTGTGGGCATGTTACTCACCGTGCTGTGGTTTTACAGCGTACGCCGATGCCTTTCTAAGGTAGGCACCTTACACATGAGGGCCTGGACTACTATGTGTGGCACAGGAGTGAGTGAGTGATACAAGGGCCCAGATACCGGGTCGGTCGGGCAGGTGCTTGGGGCTGGCGGCTAGGCAGTGGGATCACGGCATCTAAAGCCTCCACGGACTATCACGGGTTTGAGAAGCTTGTGTTGTCAATGTCTTCGGGTTTAGGTGCAGTGATTAATCCTTGCCCTATCTACCAAAGGTAAGTAAGTAGGCGAGGTATCTATCTACACGCCGGCCTCTGTGGGCATGTATCCTGTCCCTTCCTAACCTATCCTGTCTTGTGCTGCGTAAATCCTGTGCAGAACGATATGCTGTGATCCAGCATGTGAAGATCACCCATGATCAGGATCAGGAGAATGAAGGGCGCCTTCTTGGGGGGTATACTGTTGTTCCTCCGATCTTGAATGACCAACGGAAATGGGGAGAATGAATAACGCCTTCTGGGGTATACTGTTGTGCCTCCAATGTCGAACGACCAACGGAAAGAGGGAGAGATAACGGACGAAGGAACGAATAGATGAACGAAGGAAGGAAGGCGAAAAGCAGTATAGGTTCCCACGGTAAGTGAGGAGCAATGAAACCTTTCATCTGAGATCTTGCAGACAACTCTTCGTCGTTGGATGATTCGAGCCGTCTTGCAGAGATTTCCAGAGATTTCCATATCGCAGCATTCGAAGAGACTTCCAGGCCGCCAGTCCGTTGGCACGTGCTGCGATCTTTCATCCCCTTTGTCCTTGGACGTGGAATTGGACACTGTAGACATCATCAACCGACCAACCGACTGGTTGGTGTGTCAATGACGGCCACCGTCCACCATTCTGCGACGCTCACCAAAAGCCGCGCCCGGATCAGTTGTCTGCCCATAGCCCCCGTGCTTCGGTCCAGCACCCCATCCCCGATGCTGATGCTGATACTCCTGCTGATGATGGTACGGACCAGTCGCCTGCGCCGGGCTCGTAGGCGAGTACTGATGGTAGGGACTCGTCGACGTCGGCTCCGCAGGGCTGGTCGGCCTGGACGGGCTCCACGCAGGTGCGCCTCCTGCGCTTCGTGGATGCAGCTGGAAGGGCTGGAAGCCGCTGATACCACGGCCATCACCGTAACGAACGGGATCGTCATATTGCAGCTGCTGAGGCGAGCCACGGTGCCGCTGTTGATGGTCTGGATGCGAATGTTGGTTGTGATGATGATGATGCCCCTGGGCGTGATGAGGTTGACCCTGGGCGTGATGATGAACATGACCATGACCGTGAGCATGGGGACCGTAGTGCTGAGGCGAGGAGGCCGCCATGCTGGGCGACATGGGCCCCGTGGGGTGGATGCTCTGTCGAAGATCGCCGTAGATGCTATGCGGGCCCGCAAACATGGGCGAGGCGGGCGAGAAGACGTCGCCGTAGCTGCTGTTGCCACCATTACCACCACCGCCGCAGGGGGCGGGCGGTGGCGCCATGTCCATGTTCACCTCGTGGTCGACGTTGTAGCCGCCCAGCATGCCGATGGACTGCGGACGGAGCGAGAAGTCGGGGACGCCGGGTGGCTGGTAGAACTCGTGTCGGGGCTGTAGATGGTGTGCGGGTGCGGGTGCAGCAGAGTTGGGATGCTCTGGTCGCTTGGCCCGGGGACGGTCGGCGCTGTTGATGATGCGCTGGATCTCGGCCATGCGAGGCGTCTCGGGCGGCTGGTTGCCCTGCTTGCTGGATGGGTGAGGGGGAGAATCTCCATCTATACCATGAACAGTCAGCCAACATCATCATCACCATCAACATATGATCTCATCTTCGAGATCAAGTGTGGACTCACCTTTGGCACGAGGCGGCGCACGAGAACCGCTGACATCCCGCTCCTTGGAGCCCTTGCCCTCATCACCATCACGTCCACGGCTCTGAGAGGAAGCAGCAACGCCATCCTTGTGGTCAGGTGACTTGCTCTTCTCCCGACCACTGGTGTTGTCCCGACGCTGCTGCGAAGGCGACGACTTCTCCCGCTCCTTGTCAGCAGGGACGTAACGATCGGCATCGCGCGGCTTCTCCGCAGCCGGCTTGTAACGCTCGATCTCATGGCCAGCCGCAGTCTTGAAGGTCGTCTCAATGCCCCCATCTTCCGCAGAAGAAGACGAACTCGACGACCGACGATGACCCCGTCTCTCAATGTCACCGCCGCCGCGCGCCGAGCGGATGAAGCGCACCCGCCTGCCATCTGAGTCGCGCCTCGCCGTGCCGACCTCGATGCGCCCCCGGCGGGTCTCGCGCTCCTTGGCCACCATCTCCCGGCGCTGGCCGACGACCCACTCCTCCATACTACCATCAAACCCGAGCTCGCGCATGAAGACGCGCTTCTTGGTGCGCGTGAGCACCATGGGCGTGCCCTGGCGCTCCAGGAACGACATGGCGCCCTTGCGGTGGCGGCCCAGCGCGCCCAGCAGCTCGCGCACGTCGCGCACGGGTATGTCGCGGTCGTAGTTGCCAGGCTCGGCGCCGTTGAGGGCCTCGTTGAGCTTGGTCGCGAAGGAGAAGATCATGTCGTTGCTTCCGTCTCCGTTCGTGTGGCCGGTGTAGCGTCGCTTTCTGTACTGCGAAGGCGGCGCCTTGTGCTCGCCTTTGCAGATCAGGGCCAGCGCCGTCGTCAGCTCGAAGTCGTTCCAGGTGCGTTGCTTGCGGCGCTTGGGCTTCTGCTGTTGATGCTCCTGCTGGGGAGATCGGGGCGAGGAAGTAGCGGGCTCGGTCTGCGAGGAGTGCGCCATGATGTCGGAAGAGTCATCCATGGTGGTGGTGGATTGCTAGATGGATGTAGCACTATGACTTGAGGTCAATCTTCGTAGGTGCGCAGGTGAATCAGGAGGATGTGTGATATGTGAGAGTAGGAGGAGGGTTGTAGTCACTGCGTGTTCAGCAGGCGGGTGAGGTCCTTGGTGAAGAGACCAGGGCAGAGGTGGAAAGAGGTGTGTGGAAATACCGAATGTGTGTGAGAGTGGGAGATGGAGTCGAAAGGCAGGGGAAAACAGCTGAAGTATTGATGCCTGAGGAGACAAGCATGGGATTCAGGTGGTTGGTGATGTGCTTGGTGAAGAGGCCAATGCAGAGGTGAAAAGAGGTGAGATGGAACATACCTTATTGTAGAATCCGAAGAAGATACCGAATGTGTGTGTGCGTGGAAGATGGAGTTGAAAATGCAGGTGTTGCAGGATGCGTGATATGTAAAAGTAGGAGGAGGGTTGTAATCAGTGTTTGTTGAGGAGATGGGCGAGGTCCTTGGTGAAGAGACCAGGGCAGAGTTGAAAGAAAGAGGCGTGATGGAATTGCAGAACCGGACCAAAGTACCGAATGTGTGAGTGGGAGATGGAATTGAAAGGCAGCAAAAAAGCCGAAGTATTGATGCCTGAGGAGAGATACCTGAGAGAGGCCTGAAGAGAGATGCCTGAGGAGAGATGAATGGGATTTTTCTCCCCAGTGTTGGCGACCGTCACTGGGATCTGCTGTAAGGTGCAAGCACGCCTAGATCTGGCACTCGAGATAGCGTGGCCCAGGAACAGAAAAATTGAGGAAGATTCGTATCAGGGAGCAAGATCAGAGTGGAAGAGGGTGGAAGGTGAGTGTTGCGTAAGTAATGGCGAGTAAACAGACGCACCTTTCAGGGCTGAAGGTGCAAGTCAGGTTGGGTAATGGACAGGACCGCGCAAGAATTGAACCGTGTGTTGATTGCCTTGTGCGGGTAGACTTGGTAGCAGGTTGTTCCAACCAAACAGGCCCTTGATAAAGGGGAGTTTGGATGGACGAACCCGAGTGACTGAATCCACCACTGCTCACTCACTACTCCTCCTACCGTCGTCCCTCCTGCGTGCACGACCACAGAAAGCAATGAACGTCCACCTGACAACGAGCGAGCCTTCGTACATGGAGAAAGTCCACTTTGTATTCGCGATTCTATGCTGGCAACCCCTCTCATGACATCGAGATCCAGTCAAACCAACATGTCTCGGATATGGAGATATTCCAATCGTTAGTCTATCAGCCTACAACGCCGCCCAGATGCCTCAATGCTATCATCTTCCACCAAAGCCTCCCTCCATTTATGGTGCGTCTCTATTGACTGCCTAGTATATACCCTGGGTCCGATATTGGAAGGTGTCATAACTAGCAAAGTCAGCACACGGTCGGACGAAAGGAAGATCGGGCCATGCTTACAGTCGTGTGTAGTAGCTGCCGAGAGACTTCGCGACGAGGTCGGTATCCACGAAGTTCTCAGCCTCCTCAGCACTCAGATGCAACTGGAAGCGCTGCCGTAGGGTGGCCGTAGCTTGCACCACACCGGATGAATAGCAGGGCATCTTCGAGTCCCTTCCCATCATACTTACAAGGTCGATGATGTTGTCCGCAGAACGGCGTAGCGCTGAAAGGTGTCAGATGAAATGGTCCATAGGAAATCCGCCAACATGAGTCTCACCTTGGAAAGCTTGCTTGCACAACACCTTGAAATCCTCGTAATCGGGGGAGCCGACCCCACCGAGCACATCGACATACTCCTGAGTGAATTTGAAGGGAGCTGCCTCGAATCCAACCGATCCAGGTGAATTCGACAGCATGAATCCAAAATCAATATGGATTATATGGCCCTCGTTGTCAATAAGTAGGTTGCCGTTATGCCGGTCCTTCAACTGTAATATGTACGATATCATACTGTACGCTGCAAGTGAGCGCTTGAATGCATCCACCGCTGCTTTGTACGGCTCACTATTCGGCTTGCCAAAGGTCTTGACCCAGTGATCCTTGAGCGTCGCAAACCGCCGCCGAGGATTTATCCCAGACTCGATCGAGGACAGTGTCAAGCTCCGCTTCAGCGAATGAAGCGATACACCATTGGTGATCGTTTCAATGAGCCCCGAGGACTCGCCGGTGACCAGGATCCGCATGAGCTTAACCCAGACAGGAACGCGCGCAACTTCCCAGATCTTGTGGCAGACCTGAATGAGTTGGCAGGCAAACGCCTCTTGTCGAAGATCATCCCCCGTCTTGACAATGACACTAACGAGATCCCAGTTCTTCATCCAGCCGTACGGAGAAGACTTGCGGATTCGTTCCTTCTTGACCTGCCATGCCTCGCCAAACACTGCAGCGCTTGGGTCGTCTCGATCGCCTTTTCTTTGGACTCCTCCAGTCATCGCGTCGTTTTCCATCCTGGCAGCCCCAGCACTAGGGTTGCTTGCTGGATCTAAATCGTCTTCAGGGTCACCAGCATCCGAGGCAGAAGATGCTGTGCCCGTCTTGCCTATTATCATATCGAATGTGGGCCCTTGGGCGTCATCCAGGTCAAAACTCTGCTCCTCCAGACTCTGCATACTTGCGATGATCTTGGACCTGATGGCGGCGACTTCCTGTCTGGGCCGCTTTCCGCTTGTCGCATCAAGCTGAGCCAACATTTGCGAGGCTGTCCGCATGTGCGTGGCCAATGCCGAAAAATCTGGCTGATCGCCGGGCGTATTGCGTTGGCTTGCTATATTCGTCTTCTTCAAAGATCCGGGGCTATTGGATCCCGATGTCGATCCTGCCGAGTCCTGCGGCGTAGGTTCGGGTATCGCAGAGATATCTGTTGTACCGTTTGGCAAGCTCTTACGGTGCGCAGCTCCCTTTCCATTCTTTTTAGTATTTGAGCCCCAATCAGACGGTTTGAGCATTGGCGAACTCCCTAGGTCGCCCGAAGTCGGCTCGAATATGCTGTCGATCTTGTCAACTACAGGCGAAGGCACCCGCTCGCTAACCGGGGCGCGGTGCGCATCTGAGAGATCGAAGACTCGTTTGCGGTCACCCTGTTCGGACAGAAGCGTGCCAAGTAACCGTTGATTGTCCACGGAGACGGGATCAAATGTAAAGTCATCGCGGAGTATCTCTACCATCAGAAGATACGGTACCTTCTCAGCACTATTCAAAACTGTGGCCTCGGCGGGATTGACTCTCACGACACGGTGATGCCGACTTCTCGAGGGTGAACCATCGACCAAGGTGGGCGGGCAGATAATGGGAATATCTAGTTCGGCAGGCAGATCTCTGGCAATGAGTGCAAGCTCAGCTCGCAACGCGCTCAGACGAGCCGCCTTTGGTACCATGACGAGTCGATTCGATATGTCCTCCAGTGCCGTCAAGAACAATGTCTGAACGCGAAAGTAGTTTTGTCGCAGTAGCCTGCCTTTGTGCTGCGGTGTCATCTCAGCCAAGGTAAGAAGCGTCTTCACATGGTGGGAATGTCTGCGTGAGATGCCCTCAACCGGGCGCGGTAGCCTGGCGGATAGTGGCGTCGCGGGTCGAGTCACCATCTTCGGCGATCTCATCTCCGGAAGAGGCAGGGACGAGGAGCTCAGACGAGCGTCTATCATTAGGCCGTCGATAACAGCTGGCTTCCGCGCCTCATGACCGGCATTGATGCTGTTCCCGGAGGGCGGCGGTGATGAGATGATAGTACGGGGTGACCTTTCCGGAGGCTGTGTAACCTCTTTCGCATCTGGCAAACTCCCGACCCGAATCGCATCTCGCGCCCGCCGTGACCTCGAGCTGTTTAACGTCACTGTCTGGCTCCTTGTGACTTTCATGGCCTGACTCGCTTCGGATATGACATCGCCCTCGGGTTGGGATTTCCTTGCTTGCGCAACAGCAAGCGGGCCAGCCCATTGCGGCAAGATCGGAAGTCCAACGCTCGCTAGAACAAAACTCGCCAGGACTGTGACCGGCAGTATGTTCTCCTGAATCTTCTCGTGTCGCGCCGCGTCGGAATGGCCGAAGACGATGTGTTGCACTTTGTTGTAGACTCTCCGGCAGGTCTTGAAATCTTGGGCTTGCGGCGTCGAGGCGAGGTCGCGCAGGTAGGTTTGGAAGAGCCAGAATGTCTAAGCACTACTCAGCATTTCATCTTTACCGAGTCGTTTGGGTTGGGCAGGGCAACTGACCAGCAGAGCGGCGGTGACGGACTCCTCGCACAGATCCAGCAGAAACTCCTCCAGGGCCATAGACTCATTGTCGACGCTGATTATAAGGTGGCATAGCTGGGGCAGGAAGAACTCGATATCCTCGTAGGGGAACTGCCGGAGCTTCGAACATAGGACGTAGTGGATGCCGACGTGGTCTGCATATCGACTGCAGACACACGAGACGGGGTTAGAGCTCGCGGCGGACTGGTAGGACGCGGACAGGCTATAAGTACTCACGAGAGGTATGAAACGGAGAGGAAAGGGTTCTGGTTGAAAACATCACTCTCGATAAAGCGCTGGAGCAGATCCCACGACATGGCGAATTATCTTCGCGCGGAGGGGAAGAAACCATGTCACCTATACTGGACATACGAAGGGACCATCGGAAGGGCGTCTATCATGGCTGTCGGGACAGCTAAGCTCGGGGGTTCAGGTGTCCAGGTACTCGTGTGCTCGTGTGCTCGTGTGATCAGTTTGTCGCATACCAGGACTTTCGCAGAATGACGGACGGAATTGGAATTGGAATTGGAATTGGAATTGACATTTGTCCAAGCACAAGCACCAAAGCCAGCGCTGCCAGCGAGTGTCAGATAATTGGATGGACCCCTTCTGCCACTTCTGCCACCCGCCGCGGTCGCAGAGCTGTCCTTAGCGCAGAAGCTTGCGTGATTGGCTGCTGCGCTGATTGATAACTGGCTCTAGGGCCGGCCTGACCGACAGCTCTTTTCCGCCGACGTATTCTCCAAGTATCGTCTGATAGTTTGCTTCTTTACACCCTTCACTTATTTGAGAGTGACTGTCGTGGTCGTCCATCTTGAGCGAACGATTGTTGTCCCAGGACGATATGCAGCGCCCTCCAAGTTCAGATATCTTACTTCTGCTAATGTACCCTAGACTCCCTTCCATGTTTTCAGGGGCATAATTCAGGGGTAACTACTGGAAGCGGGGCCGCGGTCTACCACCACCAGCAGCACCAGCCCTCCTGCCCTCATGCGAACTACGAAAACACCAGAACATGCGGTCGGCTCTCCGGTTCGGTCTGCTTCACTTGGCCAGAGTTGTCCCGAAACAGCTTGAGGCTCTTGCGCGGGAGGGATCGATTGCACTGTAAGACGTCAATACTTTGGCCAAATCACAAATCACAAATCACAATTTGCGTCAATCAACAACTCGGAGCGGCTTCAGTGGTGAGAGGGACGACGGTCCGTCCCAAGGTATAGTCCATTACGAATGCTGCAAACCGTCAGCAGCCCCAGTACTGACGCAGCTCCCATATAACTACCGCGCTAGCACCAATATCTACTCCGGAAGCTCCCTGAGCAGCAGCAATGCAGGATCGCCCATAACCGCCAACGCCGATATATGCCCCCCCCCATGCTTCTAAACGCCGATGAACCAAATCATTCGTCATGATGCCCAGGTTCTAGCCGTCGAGTCAAATCGTCAAGTCAAGCCAAGTTCGCTGCCGTCAGCTGCTAGGAAGCAGCCTTTTTCTTGCGCCCGCCTCTTGCCTTCTTCTTGACTTCGGCGGGTTCTGGCTCGTCGTGACTCTCACTCTCACTCTCCTGTTTGGCTTTCGCTGCGCTCTTGGATCCTTCCTTCTCCTCGCCCACTTTGGCAACGATATCTTGCAGGAAGTCCCACTGATCGGTTGAGTCTATTGCTTGCTTGAGCATGTGCGCCGTGATGCGTTTCGAGTTCTTGTCCTTGGCCACCTCGGCGCTCTTAGTGACGAGCTGCACCATGAAGAGCTCCAGTGCCTTACCGACAGCAATGGGCGTCTGCTGGGCGACCTTGCCAACTTCCTCATCTGCCTGCATTATTCGCTTTATGCGCGCGGTGGGGAACTTGGTTCGGACAGGCGACTGCATGATCTCCTCCTCTTTCACCGCTTTGGCAGCCTTTCGGGGCGGCATGATGTCGCGCGTATCCGAGGTCTTCGGTTGGTCTGGAAGGAGGGCCTGGTCTTGTCGAGGACTCTGAAATTGCCGGGGTTGCGTTATTGGTTGGTAGCTGGTCGACGACGGCGTGTCGGTGTAGGCCGAGTAGTATGGCTGGGGGGCACTCGGGGTTTGTAAGTGGTAGTCGAGCTGGGGTGGTGCAGGCGCAGGCGCAGGCGGTTGTGTAATATGTGCTTGCTGCTGCGGGAAGTATTGTCCCTGATGTTGAATGGGCTGAGGTGAGTAGGAGTTGAATGTGTGACCGTTGTTTGAGATGTATGCAGCTGCAGCAGCGGGTTGCTGTTGCTGTTGCTGTGCAAGGGGGTGATGCTGCTGGTGCTGGTGCTGGTAGCTATTGTGGTATTGATTGTAGTATTGCTGCTGGTGTTGGTGGTGGTGGTGGTGGGGCTCTGATTGAGCGTATGCGCCCTCTAGAGGAAGAGCTGGATGTCCTTGTCCAATTTGGGCCTGTGGTAACAAGTTTGCTTGCGTCTGGGCCGAGGCCTGGGGCTGCAAGGGATATGCACCTGCAGCGCTGGTTCGGTTCGGTGCAACGGTGTGTATGTCGGCGGCAGAGTTTGATGCTGAGTAGAAAGAAGACAGGTCGGGCGACTTTGGCGCATATGATGAGCTGTCTCTTGACATGGTCCAGAGGCCAGAGGCGCGAGAGGAAGGGCCGTGAAAAAAAAGAAGGATTAAATAAAGAAAGCGGGACAAACGGCGCACGGGAGCCACCGGTCTTGGAATGGCGGGGTCAGCCAGTGGGGAATCCTGAACTGTACTCAGTCGAGAAGTGACCGTAACCAGCAGCCTTCTTTGTCTCTTTCAGGTCGCAGGAAGGACGACTCGGACTGTGCGGCTCTCCTCTCAATGCTGACTTGGTACTGGACTCTGGCGTGGGTGTGGGTGTGGCTGGTTCAAGGCTGTTGAATGGGACAAACAACCAGACATGGGGTACTGTAGAGTCTCGAATGGGCCTTGAACACTGAAGATGGATGGGCTAATGCAGGTCTCGAGACTTGGAGTTGAGTCTGAAGTCGTGACTGCTCATCCAACCCATCGCACAAGGTGCCTGCGACCTGCTGCCTGCTACCTTCTACCTTCCTACAGTCATACAATCAGATGCCCATGATGATGATGCTACAGGTGGCAGAGACAGAGGAAGGTGTCGGTCGGCTGTCAAGGTAGGTATTCTTATTGCCGGGCGGTGAAGGTGGGGTAGTAACGATGATGGGCGGCTGGCTCGGGTTGGCTCGAGCTCGAGCTTGAGCTTCTCGAACCAGGGGGCGGTCGGGCTTCGGTGGCTTCGGTGGTCGATTCTGTGTTCGGACTCCAACTTTTTTCTGGCCCAGCACGGGCGGCGGTCGGCGACGGGCCACTGGTTTTATATTCGAGCATCCCTCGAATCGAATCAGGGGTTCACGCTTATTCCAGCTGGCTAGTAGGCTAGTCGCCCTAATAAGGTAATTGTGACTGACACCCGGCCGCAGACTGCAGACTGCACCGCCACCGACGAAGAAGCCACCTGGCACCAGTGGCCCAGTGCATCATCCTTCATCCGTCATCCAATCCATCAGCCATCAGGCATCCAGCCATCTCACCTCCACTGCATTCTTCTTTTTTCACCCTTCACCCCGTCGTCACACATGGAGAGGTGTTTCCCGACTCGACTTGTTATCGTCGCCTCCGACCTGCATTATTCGCTGCCTGCCCGCCGCCTGCCCGCTTGCCGCCACGCATGAGTCGTGGGGGTGACCACAAGGCTCTGCATGTGTTATGCACGCGACACGCCCGGCATGGGTGGTGTCCCGTCCCGTCATGAGAGGCAAGCTTCCGCAGATCACCAGGCGGCCACAGCTGCAGGCCGCCTCGCAGTCGTGAAACGCTTCGACCTAGCCTGGTCACCCACCATGGCCAAAGCTTCATTTGATCAAGCTTTCATGCAATCACGGAACAGCTCTCAAGCTTCGAAGTCTTGCCGAGCAAGCTCTACTTTGCGACTCAAGAGACCAGTGGACAGAAGTGTCAAGTTTGGGAGCCTTGATGTTGGCACACAGAGCTGCAGGCATCCCGTCTTAGTCTCTGTTACTGATAGTGATGGTTTCCTACTCGACAAGGTTAGGTAGGTTGCAAACGCAGGTACCAGAGCTCTCAACCGAAGTGCCTGTACGCTAGCGCGTAAGGTAGCTTGAGCAGTCAGCTCGCAGCACGTGAATCACTGACGAGAGCATCGCAATGTCATATGCGCGTACACCGTATCATGGATGATGATAATATGCAAAGAGCCTTTTCGGAGACCACAGCTATCAACAGATTAGAAGCCGAGTGCTCACGCGCTATGGTTCCTTCTCTGTTGTGCGGTCTATGATGGAATTACTTGATCTAATCTGACATGATACGAGCGCAGAGCGAGGCAATGAATACCTTTGGTCTATTACTACGTCAAGTAGGCGTCTTGGTACGAATCTATCAGCTCTATATGTTAATTTTAATTTCTCCAACCAGCGCTTTCAGTCCTTTTTGGCGTTTCTCGGGCTGGCTGCTAAGGAACAACGACGCGACAGGCCAAGCGTGGATGCCTCGCGCCTCCTCTCTACTCCCGACTTTCACATCATTATCCTTCAAGAATCTGACCAAATCTTCTACTTCCGGCGCGAAAACCTCTTCGGCTCCATACGCCACATAGATCCCTCTGGTTGGACAGGCTTTTCTCCACCAGGAAACATCTCTGCAGTCACCCGGAGACAGGAGAGGATCATCCGTCGGGGCATCCTGGCCAGAGTACTGATGAGCATATCGATGCAAGTGTCCGGCGTCAAGGTAGTCGCTAGCAGTATTTCGGTGCTTGTCCGATACTAGCGTTACCCAAGGCGAGATGAGCACAGCGAAACCAGGCTTTGCAAGTTGCCAGGATCCTACGCCATCCATCTTCTCCGAATGTCGACCGAGGTTGCCTAAATGCAGCAACAAGCTGAGGACAAGAGTCGCCCCTGCCGAGTCTCCACTCAGGCAGACTTTGTCCGGATCGCCCGTCATAGATAGCACGTGTTCGTAACCAGCTATTGTCTCCTCCAGTTGTGTGGGAAAGCTGCTGTCGGGAACCAGTGTATACTCTAGAGCAAAGATTGCTGGATTCCTGTAGCCTGCCTCACCCAAGAGGCTCAGCCATGTGAGAAGAAATTCGAGGTAGAAATACGATGAGCCCATCGAGAAACCGCCGCCTGCGCTGCTATCAGTAACGTATGCTTGCTTCATCCTGTTGGTCGTCCCTTACCATGAGCATAGTATATGCAGACGTCGGGTTTCTTCATCGGATCTTGAATCATCCAGATGCCCTTGAAACGCTTCTGATAACACGGTCGCATGAGTATCCAAAAGACAATACTTTGGTCGCGAAGGAGTAAAGTGCACATACATCATTGTACTCGTGCCAGTGCACGGGGCAGTTGAGATAGCCATGCCTCAGCATTCTGAACCGCAAGAACGGCAGAGCCACGGGTTTGGAGAAAAACACCCTCCCAACCTTGGGCGGAACGTTGGCGAAGGCATATCGAACGCAGCGGATGACAAAGTCCTCGAACTGGGACGCCTGCTGCACAAAGGGCGTCTGGTCCGCGGGCTTGACCAAGTAGCGCTCGTGGATGAAGCCGTAGGGCAGCTTGAACACTAATGCGTTTCTGCCATCAGCTCCCGTTCGTCTCTCGCGTCCGCGTTTTATTGAATGAATGGTGCTCAGACCGAAGTTTAGGTAGGGTAGGTAGCGACTTACACAGGAAAGGCAGACACTGCAGCACCACGCCGACCGTCTCGATGAGGCCGACGTGGATCAGCAGCTGCAGCGCGAGGAAGACGCAGAAGACGATGCAGTCCAGATACGACACCGGGCCCAGGATCATGGTGACGGGGACGGTAGGGGTCAACGCCGCGGCGGGCGGCAATCCATGCGGATTGGATGAACTGACAGACAAACAAAACAAGTACCAATAACAGCGACTCGATGTGGATGAAGACAACACAATCTCAGGCTTGCTTGGAATTGCTTTGCTTTGCTTTGCTTTGGTGTGTGTAACAGATCGAACCAACCACGGAGCTCCGTCGAGCTCTTGTTATTACCTCCCGAGGTTCCGGTTTCTGCAGGAGAGCTCGACGAAAGTCAATTGCTGCCCGCTATTTCAATGTTTGGCTGGCTTGGTGACGTCGAGGATTTGCACGAGCTTACTTTTATTCCAGTCCCTGGCAGCTGGCCGTAACGCTAGATCCATCAAGGTTGGCTTGGTGCGAGCTGTCATCATCAGCGTTTCTTCGGCAAATCAACATAACCGATAGATAACCTCCATCGTTACCGAAAGGCGCATTTGTGGGTTTCCAAAGAGAAAACAAAAGCCCAGTTCGATACTACATGTTGTTGATCAGCGATGTTCCATGGCATGAGACTTTACAGCAGATATCCAATGCCTCTGAACATCTGAAGCCTCCAGGCTGTCAGTCATCAGGTTCCGGGTAAGTTCTCCGGGATCACTTAGGAGCTGTGCCGAATCAAGAGCTCTGGAGTTGATGCCATTCAAGAATGGTTCAAAGCTTCAAGGAATGTACTCTTCTTTGTCAGACCTTCCTACGATTGATATTACTTAGCTCACGCCCCCCCTTATCCCTGGTGGAGGAGTGTCGCCCATGAGTCTCACCCACCTGGCACCCACACCTCAGCACTTGACGCAGTAAACCCCACCAAACTACCTCGAGAGTCCAATGCAACTTTGATGAATTTGGACATCGCCATGCCGTCATCCACGTCCACGTCTGTCTCGTCGTTCTCCCACCACTTCTACACACTCCTCCTCCTCTCGGTGCTTCTCGTGGCCTTCTTCCCAGGAGCATTCCATTACCTCTCGTCGCTGCCTTTCGCCTACCTCAGCGCCGCGTCTTCTCCGTCTTCCACCCATCAACCCTCCTCCGACCAAGGCCCCACCACCACCGCCACCAACACCATGTCGTGGTTCCAGAAGCAGTTCAGCCTGCCGCCGCGGTCGCGCGGCTCCTACCTCGTCACCGACCACGTCGCCAGCGCCGTGCCCGAGATCGCCCAGTACAAAGTCGGCCTGTTAAACCTGTTCGTACAGCACACCAGCTGCGCGCTCAGCCTCAACGAGAACTGGGACGACGACGTGCGCGCCGACATGAGCGATGCGCTGGACCGCATCGCGCCCGAGGCCGGGCCCAAGGGGCAGGAGCTGTACCGGCACAGCGCCGAGGGGGCTGATGACATGCCGGTAGGTTAACCTATATGAGTCGTGTGTGTGAGGACGGGGAGCACGGGAGGACAGATGGCTAATATGGTTTGGTTTTGGACTAGGCACATATCAAGAGCGCGTTGATTGGCGCCAGCATCACGATTCCGATCAAGGATGGCAAGCTTGTGAGTCTCAGACATCCCAGCTTGTACTCGAGGTACTCGAGGTTGCTAATTGGACCTAGGCGACGGGAACCTGGCAGGGTATCTGGTACTTGGAGTTCCGACAGGTGAAGCACACGAGGAAGGTGGTGGCCACGATTCAGGGCGAGAAGGCGTAGACACGGAAGTAGGGCTGCAATGTAGAGGATACCTCTCTATGCAGAATTCATTTGCTGTATCATGATACTCATAACCCTGTCAATGAGGACGGCATACCATGCTGTCGTGTGACTCCGCGCCAGACGCCTTCTAGTTGGCAATTCATCCGTGCTGCCTGATGACAATCAGCTGGTGCCATTCTCCTCCTTCGCATCTTTCATGTCCTCGTCACCTCCCGACAGGACCTTCGTTTTCGGTACGAACCCTTCCGGCCCGTAGCCTGGCGTCGCAGCCACGGGTTCGCCGTTCTCGTTCACGAACTCGAAGTTGTACCGGCTGAGCAGATGTGGTATGGCAGAGAGCTGGGGTCCGTATCGCGCCGTGTTGTCGTAGAGCTCGAAGAGGGGCACGGCTAGCAGTTTCATATTCTTTGGCACGCTGAGGATCTCTATAGCACGGGCTTGTTAGTATCATGCTAGCAGATGGTGAGATATGGGAAATAGGAAGGTGAAACACATACTGCTCTCGGGTAGCTGGATGAAGTACAGCTTCTTGCACTCCTTGGGGCGGGTGACGTGCGCGGGGATGAAGGGGTACATGAAGGTCTCGAAGTTGGGCCTCCACCACTGGGCGAGGCAGTCACCGATCTCCCAGCTGCCGGCCTCCTCGCCCTCGCCGAGGCGGCCGACGGGCGCGAGTCGCTCGTCCAGGCGCGCCTTGAAGCCCTCGCTCTCGTCGTCCTCGGGCCGCAGGTAGTCGCCCGGCAGCTTGAAGAAGGCGTTGGCGATCTGCAGCATTAGGATGTGCGGGTGGTTGTGCTCGTGGCACACCAGGATGCCCTCGCACGTCCGCCGCATCCCGTGCGCGCTGTAGTGCTCCTCCAACCGCTTCAGTCGCGCGATCACCGACGGGTCCTCCTCCGGCTGTGTCTCTTTCACGCCAAATGTGTAGTTGGACAGCGGGTACAGCCTGATCGTCTTCGGCTGATTCGAATTGAAGGCGAGCGGTATTGTGGGCGGGTATGCGCTTTGCAGCGCCGTTGCTGTGACTGTAGACATGTTGGTGTAGCTGTGCCAATGACTTGAGTTCAGTGTTGTTGGTGCTGTGTTGGAGGACGTTGTTGGTACTGGCAAGCTCCCCGAAACCGAAAGTGAAGCTCTCAACCAGCTGGCAGCCAGGGTTCCACCGGCCGACGAAACCGCGTCAAGCTACACTCAGTCCCCCATAAGTCCGTGCGCGTCATGTTGATAAGATTTCACACCACCCGTGGAAATTTCGAAATCTAGAATAATCATACCGGAATAAGTAGCTATGTTTAATACGCCATTTTTAATACTTATTCCAGTGCACTAATTTTGATTCGATAGATATACCGTTGATTTCTATATGGTGTTGTACGTTGAAGGTAAGCACGTCCCATGGTAAAGTCTAAAAAGCGGGTCGAGCTACTGCCAGCTGCGAGAAATGCTGGCACTGCAAGCTACTCGAACTAAGGTATCTGTTAATAACCTAAGCTTCACCTCCATCTCCTTCTGACCTCCCCCGTCTTCAGGATACACGATATCTCGCTCTGAGAAAACACATTGACCTGCGGGTAACCGCGTAACTAGCAGTGCTTCCAAACAAGGGTCAGACTATTCGCATCACCGCAAGTCCAACTATGGTTCTCTAGACCACATTCGTCTGCCTACCTTGCCTACCGCCGGCACCTGAACTTCGCAGCAACCTGACAGTACTTAACGCATATCTATTCCCACTTCCTCGTGATGCTCATTCTGCCTGGAACAGACACCAACACATAGGGTAGTAACTTCTTGACTTGTGAGCTTCTGGTGCTTGTCGACTACGTCCACTACACTCCAGGCCATCTCACTCCCCGCATCTCCAATCTGGAGCTCCCTTCTCTTGCACTGTCACTTCGACATCTACTCTGAAATATTTTTACTCTCTGCAATTCCCCATCTGGGAATCCCGTCTCTCCTGTCAACTGGCAACTCCTCGAGGCTCACCTCACTTTCTGTTTCTGCAACCTATATCTCTCCCCCCTCCATACACTTTCGTACGATTGCAAGCACACAAAGGCCACTTGCAACCTCACAATCTCACAACCTTCCAATATTCGCCAGGTCGCCCTACCCGTTCATCGCAGCATGGCCCAGGCAAGCGGTTGAAATAATCATTTGCATAAGCAGTTGGCATAAGCAGTTCAGTCCAGCTACAATTGGCTGGAATAAGCACCCACCACTGCTCATTCCACTGCAACTGAGGTTACAACCTCGCAGTGTCCTTTATCCTTTGACGCCGAGTCTTCCAACCCCGAGGTCTCCGGTAACACGACGGAGTACCTCACTGGCAAGCACACAAAGGCCACTCAGGTAGCTACATAATCTACCATATAATCTATCTACACTTTCACACTTTACACGTCTCACACTTAGACTCGGAGTGCTCACTCATCCAGATATGGCGGAACTCGATCGCAGTTTCTCAGCTCCAGCGGGTGAGGGGGCTGCCTAGGCTGATACTGCCTCCATGGTAAACCCAGGCACTCTCGCTCGCGGTCATTCAACGCCAGCAGGTGAACAGACTATTGCACTTCCTATCAGCCTGTCGACACCGATACTCAAAAACAGTTCACCATCTGCAAGTAACGTAACCGTCCCACCGGCTACACATGCAGCAATGCCTCTAGTCAAACAGGAGGAACAGGCTGACGATCAGTCTTCTGAAGCCCACGCCGTCTCAGGTGTCGTTCTCGACTCTGCCCCTGTACGTGTCAAGACTGAGCTGGCCGTGGCGGAACCTACCAAGACAGCCAGCTCGCAGGTGACTTTCTCTCACCTCCAGCAAGCAATCACCCAGGAGTCCGCCACAGTCCTTGGTCATCACAAATCTACTGGACCTGGCATACTCCGGAGCATTTCTCAAGTGCTGGACTCGATTAAGCCCGGCATCGATATCGATCGCTGGTCACAATCTGTCAAAGACCTCATTCAGCAAGCCAAGACTCCCGTGACAACGATCGGTGTCGTTGGTGGTACGGGCCAGGGCAAAAGCTCAGTCATCAATGCCCTCGCGGACGAGACCAAACTAGTGCCAACGAACTGTGTCCGGGCTTGTACTGCAGTCATAACCGAACTCTCTTGGAATCCTTCCGAGGACCCTGATCATCGCTACGTTGCGGAGGTAGAGTTCATCACGGCGGACGAGTGGCAGTATGAGCTGAAGCACCTCTTTCAAGACCTCATGGGTGCTACGGGTGAAGTCTCTGACGAGGGAAGTAACAGGGATGCCGATGTTGGTGTCGCGTGGGCCAAGATCAAAGCTGTCTATCCCCAACTCACCAAAGTCTCGTTGGCTAACACCAACGTGGAGAGCCTAGCCAACGATCCCGCGGTGAAGTCTCTCCTCGGTACCACGAAATCTGAGCATAGCCCGACAATCGATGACTTCTACCAGGCGATCCGAGTCTACATCGATAGCAAGGAGAAGCTGGTAGTATCAGATACCGCGGATGGCGAAGATGAAGGTAAACATCGGCACATGGAACTCTGGCCCCTCATCAAGGTTGTTCGCATTCGTACTAAATGCGATGCGCTGTCAACCGGTGCAATAATTGTTGATCTGGTAAGTGAATGATACCATTACACTGCACGCTCAGAAGTCTCTGTACACCCCGCAATCAAGGTCTTGGATACACAGCGACATTCTTTATGTGTGAAATAAGCACTATGGAATAAGCGATTAACACGGCTCGTGACAACATGATTGCTTGTTCCAAGCTGCTTATTCTACTGTCTGTATCCTGCCAGGGAAAACGAGTCTCGAGTGCGAGGACGGAGACTTATGAGTGGTGACTGTATCCGTCCTGACCCCTACTAACTGTTATATAGCCCAGTGTCGAAGACTCCAACGCAGCCCGATCAGCAGTTGCCGGCAAGTATGTGGAGAGATGCAATGCAATCTGGATTGTGACTAGCATCACCCGCGCGGTTGATGATAAGACGGCGCAAAAGCTGCTTGGGCAGTCTTTCAAGCAGCAGCTAAGATTTGACGGCAATAGCTCGAACATTACCTTCATTTGCTCCAAGACGGACAACATTCTGGTAGATGAGGCAGCAGACACTGGGCTTGACTAGAGATCTTCATGCGCTCGGGAAAAAGCGAGCAGAGCTCAAGAAATGGGAGTCAACACAGGAAGCAGAGCTTGAGAACGACAAGAAGCGTACCGGATCTCTTTCCGCCTATGTGACGGAGCTCGACAAACGCCTCCGGCAATGGGAAAGCCTCGCGGGACGTCAAAGCACGGGAGTAGCTGTCTATGCTCCGAAGGAGACCACCCGGAAGCGCAAAGCCACGGTCCAGGGTGCCCGAACCCGCAAACGACGTCGGACAGCAAACGATGAGATATCTGAAGACGTATCTGCCTATGTCTCTGCTAACAACTACTGGGATAATTTGGAGAAAGACATTCCCAAGTTCGGGGATAAGCAAGGCCTTACTGGAGAGAACATTCGATGCATGCTCGAATTTCTCTGGTCTCAGAAGGCTACTGCATCCGAAGAGAAGGAGCAGCTCGACGAGAAGATCGAAGTTGCTGTTGCACGTGGTGGTGAGGTTGCAGATGCATGCTAGGAGCTGCAGGCTCGCCTCACATCCCGGTGCATTGCTGCTCGCAGTGAGTATGCCAGAAAGTCTATCCGTAGTGACTACGCGCTCGGATTGAAAGAGTAAGTCGCCCTTATGTTCTGGTCTGGTACAGTCACTCCCCAATGTCTCAATCCGCGCGTCTCGATTCCAGGATATGTACCTGTTGTGGTGGAATAAGCACACTGGAATGAGCAGCTTTCGGTCCACTAGGGGCTCTCAATGCTTATTCCAAAGTGCTTATTTCAGCGCTTCAAATACTCCCACACGTACACCGCATGGGGCCAAGTGGTGTGTGCGTGACGTGGCAAGACAGACATTCTTGAGGGTTCAGTATAGAACAAGTAAAGCTAACTGGGCGATGGCAGACTTGACCAGGATAGCTCTCAAGGAGAGAACCCCGCTGCTTGCGATCCGGAACATGAAGTTCGGGATTACAACCAAGTTGCGCGGTCATTGCCCGTCTTCTGTGTCAGCAGCCGCGCATACCAGGAAAAGTGCGGACGATTGGATACTGAGGATCAGTTTGAGGGTTTCGAAACTCCAGAGACGACGGAGATCCCGCAGCTGATAGCCCACGCGAAGAAGTCAACCGAGGCTAGGTGTATCAGCAACGACAAGGCATTTCTGAATGACCTGCTTCAGGTTCTGAACTCCCTCTTCATATGGTCCTCGAAGAGTGACTTCGAGATCCCGCTCACCGACGAAGAGAAGAAAGACGAGATGGCCAGCGTCAAGTTCGCGCTTGTAGGCCTGGAGAAGGTAAGCTCCTACCACCCCCAAGCCGCCAGCAATGTGATTAACTTGTGGGATGCAGGAACTCAAAGCTGCTGTTAATGAACTTGTACGGAAGTGCAAGAACATCCTATCGAAGCGAATATTCGACCTGTTCGAGTCATCCGTCACCAATGCTGCCAAATGCGCCCCGTCTATTGCACAGGAATGGCCACGGGTACAGAAAGGTGGTAATGGCTTACCTTGCGTTTCATACAAGGCGGCTTGCCGTCGAGAGTATGTTTTCCCGTTCCAACTGCTACAGCCTAGGCTGATCAACTGTAGGGGTGTTTACTCGGGCAAAATGGGTCCTCGAGACTTCAATGAAGGTAAGGAATGACCGCGACACACATTTTAGCATCGATCTCTGCACCCGAAACACATCGCCGGAGTCGCTAACCAGCAACCTAGAACCATCCACGCCCCTGAAGAAGGGCCTTGGTGCCGCATGGGAGCGCACATTTTCGAAGAAAATCCCGCAAGTCTTGAAAGAGTTCACCAAGGTTTCTGCGGTTCAGTTCCAAAAGCTCCATGACCACATGAAGGGCCGACTGGAAGCTAAAGTTACCTTCACCAGCCTGAACATGCTTCAAGGCCAGGTGAAAGCACGCGCGCGTGAGGTTGACAAGATGATCAATTCTTTCGGCGATGAGATTACAGCTGTCCAGCGCGAGGCAAGCCGGGATTTCACTCCCGCGATCAAGCAGAGAATGACGAGAACATACACCACGTGCGCCCAGGATAAAGGTAAGGCCTTAAAATCTACAACGACACATAGGAAGAGAATGCTGACTCTTCCCAGAGGCTCTGGCGTATTCTTCCGCATCCAGAATGCCATGATGCAAGAAATTAGGGAGCAGGGCAAGGGGATCTTCAGTGCTGCCACTGACCCAGTCAAGAAGAAGCTGATCGCCATGTGCGACAAGCTGCAGTCCGACCTCGAGGCCCAGATTGCGACCATGCTAGACCGAATGAACTCAGACTACGCCAATCTGATTCTTGGTCCAGACATGACGGATGGTTCTAGAGCCGGCAGAGAAGCAATCTTGCAAATCTTGAAAGCGGTCAATGGCCAGTTCGAGCCTTCTCAGCTGGACGGTCTTGAGCTATAGCTGCCTCAACACCACATACCATCCCCTCCACCCCCTTCGGCATTCTCTCCACCCCCTTCGGCATTCCGTCTCACTCGGGTCGGACTCCTTTGAGGGTATTGGCTCAGTACCACTACCGGCTTGCGCAATATCTGGCCGGTGTGTCACTGACCATACGCATGCGTTTATCTTCTTACTTCTGCATACTGTGGTGGACTGATCTGGACCTGGACTAGATCTGACTCCCTGAGGTTACAGGCCACCAGGCTAGGAGGACACTCACCATATAGGCGCCGCTGTCCTTGGTGGGTTCCACCATCATCTACTTTACGATCACATAGATCTACGGTGATGTGCGGCAGTGCAGATGAAGCCAATGAGGCTAGGGGCAATCCATACTTGTCATATACTGCGCAGATTTCTCTTTCCATAGCAATGCGTTCTCTTACACCCTAAGCTCCCTCAATGCCTGTGACGCCGTTTTCATCCTTTGGACTCGCTCACAGTGTCAGGAGGCCTCCTGTGGTTTCTTTCGGGGCAAAATGACTTTGACTGGAAGCCTCGTATCAGGCGCTGTGCAGTTCTGGAGATACAGTAGTACCCCGACAGTTCGCCCGCGGTGCATTGCATATCTAACACACCCTGTGGCTCCTCAACCCGTTTTCCATCCACAATGACGGATGGGTCACGGACCAGGATACAAGGTACCTTGGAGCCCAACGGGTACCCGTTTGTACCTGATTTGTACCCAACTGGGATAATAGCTACTTCTGGGATGGGGACACCACCCATCCCTTCTTTCAATCAAGCAACTTCCAGAATACAGACCAATAGCCACCATTCGTGACCCTGGTCCTTATTCTGGATACCGCTACCACAAGGCACAACCCCTCGCCACGCCCGTATAGGCAACTCTACAGCGGTGACAGTCATCCAGGAAGATGCTAAGTATATTCTCCAAAAAAAACAACGAAAAAAACAACGAAAAAAACAACGAAAAAAACAATGGCGATTCACAGGCGTCCGTCCCCCGCCTCGTCGTGGCAGAAGCACCTCCGTCTGATTGACCACGACGCGCCGCCGCCAGCCCGATCGCAACCCCCGTCGTGATCGCGAACTGGTGATTGTCATCGGTATCCCTGCGGTCCGCGCGCGCCTGCCATGTCACGTCGCATTCGGACCCGTATTGGCCCACGCCTTGCCGGTCGACCGGCACACCATTGGCCATGACGCGTGATGTAGATGCCATCTCCTGGATCGCGTCGTCGTCGTCGTCCCCGTCGGCCTGCGCGGCAGCGCCGTGTCTTCGGCGTCGCTGATCACCTAATGGACGTCAGGAGCAAGGAAGTTCTGAACGAGAGGCTGTAGGGGAAGAAGGAGAGGTTGGGAACAGGGGCTGGGCCCAGGAGGACTGGAGGGCTGGAGGGCTGGAGGGGGGCTTCCATCTTGCAGGCAACAAGATTAGACCATGATGTAGGCTGGGACGGGATGGTTATACTGGCAATGAAAGTCGTTGTGTTTGGCTATGGTCGATGGATGGCACCTCCTAACTAGCATAATTCTGACCGAAAGCTTGAAGAGCTTCTCACACAGACGTGTATTGCCACTTGGGTGTACTTGATGCCTTGAGCGTCCATTGGACACCCTGACACTGGAAACCCGACAGCACCACCGACAGCGATAGAAGCCCTCATCCGGCATTGCCTTCAACGGCAGACTTCCCATGTGGTATGTGAAGAGAGTCTGATTTCTGACGAAGTCAAGCTGTACCAGACGTTCCCCCGCTTGGCGCCGGTAATCTCCTCAAGCGTGCGTAAGGACCTTTCATCGCATTTTTCCTTGTTTTCGCATACATAAGGATGTCCTCGACTGTAGTCGCGACGGCGAAAATATGGGGGAATTTCGCCTTCCCCTGGGAACAATTGGGGTGTCTGAGATGGTAGTTATCAACACAATACACTATTCGCGCGGACTCTTCGTGGTTCAACCATAGACTTGCGTCCATGAAGAAACGCATACCCATAAAGCGAGGGTGGTCAAGCTTATATCCTGGGGCCAGATCGAGCAAGTAGTTTCTCAGTTTGAATTCGGGCATTTGCAGTATCTGCAAGGACTGGGGTGTAGTCGGCGATGGAGGTCGTTCGACTTGTTCGGGTCCCGTGGCTCGGCCGAGGTCAACGTGTTCCATTCTAGCATTGCGCTCGGCGGTGAACAATAGAGCGAAGCGGTGTCCTTTGGGGTAGGAGTAGACAAGCCCCAGGTTAATGCCGTCCATGTGTTGTCCCCAATTCACCGTGCTGCTTGCCGGGTCATATATAGCCGGAGGAACGGTGATGACTGTGTTTAGTTGGGACCCATCAGGAAACGCTTCAACAAGACTGGTCTCGAGCGTTAATCCTGCTTCATGATGTAAAAGGGATACAGCCCTGGGCTTGATGTAAATTATGGTTAGATGAGGCCACAAGTCGCTATAGTCCGTCTTGAATGGCACTCGAATGGCGCTCAAAGTTGTTGGCCTGCCGTAGAGATTCTCTCCCCAGCGGTGAATTACTATGCCCAAAGCAACATTGCCGTGCCATGACTTATGTCGAACCCCTAGCACTGCTACCGCCATAGGCTCTGCCGGTCCTTGCCCATCGTCGTCATCTATTATGTAATCAGAGGACTTGAGCTGGAGAAGGAGCACTTCGATGCGGACCCCCCTACTTGACAGGCTGGGGGCGGCAGAGCCAAACTTCGGCCATCCTGGGATTAGCTCCAGAGTGTGTGCGTGGTGGAACCATTGCGTCCTATTGGCCAGAAAACCATGGAGTCTGTCATTATCGGCTAACCAGACTTTAAGCGGTAACGCAGACATGCGTTCTCCCCTCATCCCAAAGCCGAAGAGTGTTGGATCGTCAGTCGCCGCCATGATGGCTTCTTGAAGGCGAGCAAAGGCCTTCTCGCCTTCTCCGTATATCAACGGCATATTCACGCCGAATATTCCAAAAAGGCAATATGCCTCATCTTCGCGTCGAGTGGTGGATCGAAGGGATGCCCAGCTCATCTTCTCACCCACATTCGCAGAGTCCAGATTATGACTTTCGAGGATCATCTTGTCGATACCTGTTATCGTTGATATCCTCTCAGCAAGTCCAAGTTTATCGCCAAGCGTAGTCCAGTTCTGGTCGTAGAAGACGAGATGCTGTGGTGCCAAAAGCTCCTGCAGCGTCCACCCCCTTTGAAACCACCTGCTTTTGTCGAATAGCTCCCACGTTTGGGTTGGCTCCAGCTGGTTCACGTCAACGAGGTATGCATAGCAAACAGCTGCATCTTTGTACCATTGAAACATCGAGTTGATGGCCTCGGATAGTTCAGCACTGTTTGATTTGTCGATGCAACAGCTACAACATGGTCAGTATCGTCCGGCTGTGAATTGAGATAGGGAGAGGGGTCTTACGTGTCGACCCACGCCCAATCGATGCGGTCCTTGACAGCTTGATCACACGTATACTTTATCTTGGTAAACCCCGATTTGCCCTGCCCTGTTGAGTTCGTCATGTCGTGGAAGGATACCTCTTCTTCTCCCCATGTGTGGGACAGTATGGCATAGTATGGGATCTCCCTGCCATAGTATGGAATCTCCCCGCCACTGAACTCCTGAAACTGTAGGGTTTTCGTATTGATGAGTCGCATCTTGAGTGGTCGACGCCTCCTCTGCAAAAGGATATCCCGCTCTTCTGATATCTTGAGACACAGGCAAATGGCGCTGACACTCGCAGGGTGCGAAGAGCTCGTCGAAATCCTCGAATATGAATACACACCTCATCCAAACGACGCAACTTGTGCAATTGATACAGCACCTAACCTTGTTAGAATAGAAGTTGCACAAGTTGCGTCGTTTGGATGAGGTAAGTAGAACAATGAGGCACAGTGAGGTTCTCCTCATTTGGGGGCTAAATGCTACCTTAGGAACTGTGATGGGATAACCTACTATGGCATGACTGCATATAACGTTCCTCATCATGGGAGGAGTCTGGCTTAACGGGGACTTCTCTTCTGGAATTAACATTTCTCTTTCTTTAGCCCCACCCCATTGCACAGGTGGCCGTCCACCTTCCCCCTTCAGGTCGTCGCAGCCTGAGTCTTCAGATGCACAGAGCCAGTCCGCCACAGGCTGCGCAATGACGGCGATGCCGCTTCTGACCACCCTAAGCATCCATCCCTTACGAAATAGCGACGCCGTCGACCCCCCATACTATGGCCGATATCGCTCACCCAGTTGCCACGGATCTTACCATATGCATATTCTCCTCGCCAGTTTCTCCTTGCGCCCACGAACTGAATTCCTGGAAATGGCACCGCATAGATAAGGATCTCTACCTACATACGTCTCAGCAGAGTGCATATCTCTATGTGGCGCTAGCAAATAAGGAAAAGCTTGCAGCTGAGGACCTACTAGTCATGGATATCAGAGTCGGCCAGGCGCCATCTGACCCTAGCCCAGGTCATTCATGGGAGAGTCGACCTGGCGGGATCTGGGTGCTGAGAGGCAACTTCTCTGGCAAGATTGATCAAGCTGTGACAGAGGTAGACGTTCTATTTGGTATAGATGCCGTCGACCCCCGACCACAATGGGATCTTATGCGATCACCGCTTCAACTTAATGCTCGCTCAAAGATACCGGTTGCAAGGCTCAGCGTGCTCCATGGCAGGGCCAGGCCAAGACCAGATGCTCGCGCGGCTTTGAGAATCAAAGAGGACGGCAAATTCAAGATTGTCCAGATCTCTGACACGCATATGGTCACTGGTATTGGGGTATGCAAAGATGCTATTGATGCCCATGGAAAGAATCTGCCGGAAAGAGAGGCTGACCAACTGACGGTAAACTTCATTGAGGAGATCTTGGATGTCGAGAAACCAGAACTTGTGGTTCTCACAGGAGATCAACTGCACCATGACATCTCTGACAGCCAATCTGCCCTCTTCAAGGTGGCTGCTCCTATGATCGAGCGTTCCATCCCGTTCGCAACCGTCTTTGGCAATCATGATAGCGAGGGTCTCCACGCATTATCACGTGAGTAGCCTCTCTCCTAAAGGTTGGCAATACACTCGAAATGTCATACTCTCGCGAATTTTATAAATTGCTTTGCCCCGCAAGATACACTCCCCGACCAGAAGTCTCCGAGCCCACTTTTCGAGCAGCCCTACACGCCTACACCCTCCAACTTTCAGCATTCACCACGCACACATCTCTCACTGTAATAATATGAAAAAACCTGTATTATATAAGCCATTTAATAGTGTGTGTACCAACCACCTGCCCTTTTCACTGCGGCGATTCGGTTGCCGAGAGATTCGACAAGAACGCGTACATCCTCAGGATCGATCTCTGACCACGCCCTTTTGATTAACTGTCTGGCATATGCCTCGTGGGCAATATTAGCCTTCAAATCAGCGAAACCAGGCTCGATTCTCTGTATCTGTTTCTTTAGAAGTGCCCAAACGTGCTCGATCGGGTTCAAATCAGGGCTGTGAGCAGGCCAGTCGATCGTTCAGATGCCGTGCTCCTCTAGCCACTCTGGAGTGCTTCCAAATCGATGGATGCGAGCGTTATCTTGCATAAAAGGATCCCCAGCCTCGTAGAACGGAAGGAGCCCTTCCTCAAGGACGTCTTGATATGAAGCTGAAGATACTCCTCCGCGAGGAGCATCCTCATTGGGCTCGCAAAAGATGATTTTGCCTAGGCCACCTTCTCCGCTGCGTAACCAGATCAAGGCCCAACACATAATGGATATACGGGGTCTCCCATGGCTCCGAGGGTTCACGAGATCCTGCCTGTAACGTTCAGAAGAGAGGCGGATGACCTAATCGCCCGGATTATCAGATGAATTCTGGACCGTGACTTCGTCTGAGAAGAGCGTTCGCATCAGCTCCTCCAGAGCCTCCGGGGAGTCGTATTTATTGTAAAAAGCGAGCCTCTCTCGTGCGTCATCTTCCGTAAGCTCGATCCGCTTCGCCGCCTTCCACTTGCGAAGCCCGTGAGCGCGAAGAACGCGCTAAATAGTGGTATGGGAGCTGAGGACCCTCCCTGCTCTCTTTTTTGAGCTCTCTATAGGTGGCCCTGGGGTACTTTTGTGCCGTTTCAACTAGCTGAGCTTCTTCGCGCTTGTTTAGAGCCCTTGTGGCTCCCTCTCGAGGTCGAGAGACCGTGGTGTTATGTTCTCTACCAGTGTTGATAATGTCGGTCACGGTTTGAGGCCGATCCAGATGGAACGCGCTCGCGACATCGTCGCGCCTTGCGCCTGCCGCCCTGGCAGCCACAATAGCTGCACGAGCTTCGGAAGTAAATTCATGGTTTGGCTCGCGATTTGCGGTCAGAATTGTACCAGCCTTTTGTAAATCCATCGTTTTGGTATTGAGTAAATAAAAGGTGAAGAAGGAAGGGGGTCGCGAGCGCGTAGACGCGTTTTGAAACTAGCGTGGTGGATGCTCGGAGACTTTTGGAGGGTCAGTGTAGCTATACCGTACTAATAAGCTGTGTATTGTGAATAATATCTGCCCGTTCTTACTGACTAGGTCACAGGCACAGCACAGATGTCAATACTTCAGCATCTGCCTTATATTCTCTGCGAGGCAGGCCCAGAACAGGTCGACGGCATAGGCAACTTCCACCTTCAGGTCCTGGCTCCCGCCCTGGCATAACTCCCGTTATCAACTCTATATTTCCTAGATTCGCACGGAAAATTGCCGAGCAAGATAAACGACTACGAATCTATCAAGCAAAGCCAAATTGACTGGTTCACGAACATCTCCCAAGCACAACGAAGCGCGCGTGAGGAAAGCAATGATGATAACCGCTTGCATCTGTCTCTAGCTTTTCTATATATTCCTCTACCCGAGTTCGGAGACCAACATATTAAAATATACACCGGCCACCGGAGGGAACCGACTGAGAGCCCCAGCTTCAATTCCCATTTCTACGACGCTTTGGTCAAGGAAGGCGTCTCAGCGTTGGGCTGTGGGCACGACCACGTAAATGACTTTTGCGCTCTGCTACCACAAAAGCATGGCAACAAAGCCCTTCAGCCTGGCCCTTGGCTATGCTATGGGGGTGGCAGTGGGTTCGGGGGATATTGTTCGTACGGTGGAAAGCGATTTCACCGACGAGCGCGGGTTTGGGAAATCGATACAAATACTGGGAACTTGAGGACCTGGACTCGGGTCGAATATGGCCAGGACAGAGTCAATGAGCTGGTGCTTGTGCAGAGTGGAGCGGTGGTTGTTCCACCCGGAGAAGATACAGACAAAAGCTGCGTATTGAGCTGAAGCTGATATAAGTACGCCGACAGCAAGAAGTGTAGGGATACCCGTTGTACCTAGCGCGTTCCTATTGCGTATTCTCCTTGGGGCTACTCTCTCCTTGCTGCTCTATCCAAAACGACCTTTAATTACTCAGCCTGCTTGGTAATGTATAGCAGTAACCTACATGATTGAGCACTTGTGTCGAGCGTGCAGGGGGCTATGGCCTAAGGCGCCCAGAGGGACTCCCAAATACAGAAAACCAAGTCTGCCGCCTTTCCCGCGATGAAATTGGTAGTACGCCACCCTACTTCACTGCCTGTTATCAGATCATCATGATCTCCGTCTGGGAAGTCAAGGGCTCAATAAACACCAACACCTATGACCAACAGGCATGCGAGGGGGGCACATGACCCCCGAGTTCCGAGTCCAGAACCTCGTCATGGGTGTTCCTCACGCTCCCAATTTGAAGGAGAACAGCCAGTCCCCATGATATGCAGGCGTTATCACCACCCTTGCTACCGTCGTGACTTGCCCATCCTGCTGGAACAGGGCCGAGCCCCTGGACTGGAAGGACTCACCAGTGACTTGGTGAAGAACCGAGTTCAGGGGCTCTCCACGAGGAGAATGACACGATCAAGACGACAGCTTGTCCACGACGAGGAGCTATCCGATCGCTAGCGGCGGCCAGATCTCATCACAAGGCCCCAGTCCATCTGTCCTGACAGCCGCGCCTCTCATGTCTGTCGTATCTGCCATATCTGTCGTAATCTGCCCAATCGGCCATGTCATCGCCCAGGTCGAGTAACCCACAACGCAACCTCGTCAACGGGGAGCCGCAGGGACACTCATTATCGGAACAGCCAAGCCGAGAATCTGCGCGGGATGAGCTCGATCATCGGAACAGTCAAGCCGAGCATCGTGCTCTGGATGAGCTCGATCATCGGGCCAAACTAGGGTATCACGGTATCGAGATGAGGGAAAGGGGAGAGACGGACGTCGGGCTGATATGAAGAATATGACAGGTAACTTTTCCGGATCACAGGTGAGAGGAAGCCGACGAATAGGGGCGGCAGATAAGCCAGGTAAATACTACGCATTACAGGGTAGGGATGGATACGGATTCATTCCCATCTGCAGCGCGCTCTCCAATCTGTGGTCAAGCCAACAGGAACGGCCGACGTTCCAGCGGCCAATATTCCGGAGCGGGTACTTCCCTCTGAGGCAGGTTGTATCCCAGATAGGATAGAGACTCCGTGTCAGGGGAGCATGTGGAATGCCCAAGGCAGGCAGTCAGGCAGACAGGCATACACGTGATATAATAATATAGCGCGCGCAGCGAGGCCAAGGCTCGTACGACCATTACCACATAAAGAGGCACATATAGGGGAGACAAACCGAATGGGCGCCAATATCAAGGCAACCGTCCACATCCGGCCACCCCAAGAGTTCCGCAGCCGAGGCAACCAGATCCGTCCGCGGGTGCATGGCATGCAGTCGTAGATATATCGGCTGGCGGCAGGTAGACATGCATACATCATCCCCTGTCGAGCGTTACCCTCCACAGGGTTTGGCGGAGGCAGAGCGCATAACACACACCTCGGGCCCTGGTGTGGTACCATCGCATCCCGCGTACAGGGGCTCCCCAAGGCACAAGGGAGAGGGTCGCGCCGTGCCGGCACGGCGCGGAGCGAGCCTCGGCGGCTTGCTGCTGGAAGTCTGCAGCTATCCATCGCTGACGGGGATCGCGGTCCGTGGGGTTCCCATCTCGGTGGGGTGTCTCAGGTAAGACCACAGGCTGGCCGGCCGGCAGGCAGGAATGGGAGGGTATCCGATTCCAAGAACCGGGAATGTTTCTATAGATCTCGGGAGCCTGCAGGACGCGGAGGGCATGGTGGGGTTGGTGGTTGGTCGGTCGGTCGGTACCCTGCCGTGTGACGACCCGGGGGAGAGTCGTTAGCAGAGACCGGACGGATAGGGGCAGGAGCACGAGCAGGAGTACCAGCAGGGACACACGTCGTATGTGCGTGTCTGGAGTGCATGTACATGATGCGACGTACGCGCGTTTGCTTGCTTGCTTGCTGTCGTGCTCTGAAGAAAACGACGTCGACGTCGACGCGCCGTGGCTGTGTGGTGTGATGGGTTAAAAGGGAGACCGAACAGAAAGGAGGGAGGGAAATATGATAGCTCGCAGAGCTTGTGGTATGGCTTGCTGTCTGTCTGTCCGTGCTTCAGACGTCATGGCCGAAAGGGGGACAGCGTGCCGCTTGACCGAGAACGCTCAGACGATAGCAGCGTGGCAAGGAGGAGGGATGAAGGTGGTGATGTTGTGTGGTGAAGACGGCAGGGAGAAGAAGCGCCGTATCTGGCTGCGATGGGACGGCGTGAGTATCTGTGTCAAGAGAGGTGAGGGTTCCTGGGAGACGACTGATCGCAGAAATGCACGGAGGGCGTCTGACTTCGTTCACGTCTGGGCATATCTTAGGTGATAGTTAAGGAACGACTTTTAGTACGGATATCTACAGTACATAGACAGGTGAATATTGTAGTAAGGACAGTTGAGCCTCCTCGAATAGTGCGTGCCCCCTCAAATTACAAGTGGTCTTGCCGACGACGACCACCCGAAACACAGTGAAAGAAATAGTATCCAGAGAGCCCCGCAAATCTCCATCTTGTCAACGGCAGGAAGCCATTAAAGCCTCTCCCGAGGACACCATAGCAAGTGACCACTTAGTGCTTCCTGCCGGACTTCTTCTCTTCGTACTTCTTCGACGAAGAGGACGAGCCGTCGGCGATGATCACGTTGGACTTGTGGGACTTGTGGGACTGGGTCTTCTTGTCGCTGGAGCTGGACACCTTGGTGCTCTCCTTCTTGTCCCGTCGATCTCTGTCGTCACGCCTTTCCCGGTGATGGGAAGAGGAGGAGGAGGTATGGTGGCCGGAGGAACCCTTGGAGCGGGAAGAAGAAGACTCGTTGGCCGAGACGCCTTCCTTGGTGTGTTCGACCCGCAAGGTGCGGCCGTCGTACTCGTAGCCGTTGAGCTTCCGGATCACCTTGTTGGCCGCGTCCTCGTTCTCAAAGGTGACGAGCGCGTAGCCCCGGTTCGATTCCTGGCCGTTGGATAGGGGCAGGTCAATTTGCTGAAGCTTATCAGCATCGGAGCCGGCCTTCTGGCGGACGAGATGCTGTACCTGATTGTATGTGGCCCAGGAAGGGAGTTGCTTCATGATGATCTTCCGCCTTCTGGTGGGGACCGTGGCGGTGGAGGTTCCGCTGGATCGGGAGACCCCGGACCCCGGAGCAGACGTACCGTTGGTGTACGTACTATAGCCGTTATTCCGGTAGTCTTCCGCTTGGTATTGATGCTGGTAGCTAGTGTCGTGAGGATACTGGCTCACAGGGATTGCCACGGCTGAGTGGTCATAGGCTGACTGATCGTAGTATCTGCCGTTCGACGCGTAGTTATGGTACGTAGCCGCGCCGTAATCGAGTGGCATCGACACTGGTGCGGCGTAGGTACCGTAGTCCATCGCCGTAGTCCTGGCGGCAGTGGTAGTCCACTAGAGACAGTGAGCATGAGACAACCAGGCCTGAGAGTAGACACTGCAGATAGTAAAAGAGGCACCTACATCATATCCGGGAGTGGTTGGCGATACCATGGCTTGTGTACCAGGAGGTGGTGTGGGCCTCGAAGTACGTGGCGTTCTCGGTGATGATCCGCTGCCGGCGGGGACGAGTTCCTTGATCCAGACCGGCTCGGTGGCATTTTTGCCATCGGCGAAGAGCGCTCTTCCATTGAAGACGCCACCGTTGAGTAAACCTAGGCCAAGTCAGCAACGCGTGATAAATGGCCAGCATACTTCAGTGTGATCATACGGAAGGCTGCGTCGAAGTTCTCTCGACCTTGTAGGCAGACCCAGCCGGAGGTACTATCGTTAAACACTTCGACACGGAATACCTCGCAGATAGTTCGCACATGGTCTTTAAGTTGTTGCCAAGATGTAGACCACGGTAACTGTTATCAAAATTGTGTCAGACAAAAACCCGTTGGTGGCGGATAGTAACATGAACCGTGTCCAAAAAGAATAGAACTCACATTCGAGACCGTGATGTAGTACAAGCCGGTCTGGTTCCCAGGCTTGACTATTTGCTGAATAGTCCCGTTAATGGGAGTTTGGCGAGAGATGGCTTCCGACGACATCATGAGCGGGCAGCTGCAGCACAGAATAGTTCACTTGGGACGGTTTGGCAGGAATACACTGGATGGAATGATCGGGTGGAACGAGCACGGCAGAGGCAAAGATCCGATGGGGCTCTATATATGTTGTGTACGAGGAGATCTTATTCTGAGGAGAGTGACGAGTTCGACTGTGCCTTCATCGATAGAATGTCTTGCGCATGTCACAATCCTCATGAATGCAAGCCAACAGCATGCACGGCATCCATTGTAGACAGGCTTGACTGTATAGTATGTGGCCTGCAGGAAACGCTGACAGGGAAGACCCAGTTGGGCGTCTATATCATTACAAGATGGGCAACGCAATCGTCCTGAGCTGGATACATACGGCCAGATTCAGCAGCCTAACGGCCTCTCCATGGAGTAGGCAGCATTTGCGGGCTGTGGAGCAAGCCATAAAAGCAACGAGCCAACCTGTGACGCAAATGAGCAGTCTTGCAGACTGGGAACTCGAATTCTGTTGGGGCGCGGAGCCGGGCGTAAGGTTGCTCGAACATAATGAGATATGACCAACGAACCGAATTGCTGGAGCTGTGCAGACGGTTGAAAATGGTGGCCGCAGCGAATAGAGTTGCGATACTCGTGCTTTAGGCGAGATTGAACGTGCATGGAGCTGCCGATGCACGTCGTCCATTGGCACTTCACGTGTCCCACCGAGCGTCTGTCACAGTCCCGGGTACCGGGTTACTCTGCTCTAACATGCTAACATGGATGGCTTGAGATTGCGGGTCGTGGGGGTGAGACAGAGCCGATCGAGTTCGAGATTGTTGACCGTCGCCATCTCACGCCACTCCGTATTTGAGAAGCCGGGATGGACGCTCGAGGCCACATGCGGACAGCACGTCTCGGCTTTTCTGGCATTGCCTGGTGGCGTCCGGCATAGCTTCCCCGTGCTGGTACCCCCCGAGTCTGACCACGATGCCTTGCAGATATTCCGACGTGTAACATCGTGTGAGATCGGTAGCTTCAAAGACAAGGGGCTAGCTGCAAAGACAAGGGGTAGCTATGCTAGGTCCGCTTATCGTCATTGTCAGCAAACACATCATAATATATTGAACATTTCCAGGAGCGTCTTCCTGCATACATGCAGCGCATTAAGTGCAAGTGACATAAGGGCATTGTGCTACTTTGTGGGTATGGTGGGCATATATAGGCTGGTAGGGTAGTAGCGGGCTGGACAAGCCGCTTCCAACCACCTTGTCGTCTCGACAGGGAACAAACCGATTGGCTAGGAACCTTTAGTGGACAGGGCAGGCTCAAGCGTCTTCGCCGTGTAAATGTGCCACATTCCTTTGCGATATTGCAGAGAAGGTGTCCATGCAACGAAACTCGGGAGGAAAGCCCAGTCGTCTCCATAAGCATCCTGTCTCAGAATTGGGAGTCTAGCGACAAAGGAGGGCCTTGATTGCGAACCTCGGATGCAGTGAGCTGCCTCCCAGGGAGGCTACGACGGCACTCGGGCATCTCGTCCGCCTGGAATGTGATATAATCTCGGGAGGAAAGTGACAGAATTGAATCAGTGGAGTCTAGGTCATTTCTTGAACTGGAACGTGTCGTCCAGCTCACTCATACCCTCGTCCATGTCAATACTGCTGTCGTCCTCTGCATCATCAGCTGTAGCCACAGCGTCTGCTGGTGGCTCTGACTGCTGTCTCCATGGGAGAGCGTCATCGGTTTCTGCGAGAGAGACAAATATACAGTTTGAGTGGTCAGCACAGAAGATAGCTGCAGAACCTGGCGTCTTTAGCCATGTGGCCGTTGTCCTACCACTTGTCTTACTTCCCGGCCAGTGGCGTGCGAAGTCGATCGAACGCGGGCCGCCGCTAAGGGGATCCCAGACGAATAACACACCGCCGTAGTTGTCACCCTCGCATCTCATCAGGAGCAGCTCTGGTTGGTCAGGATGCCACTCTACTTTGGATACAGACGAGTGGTACATGATCACAGCTCGTAGTTCCGCGGTGGGGACATCCCAGATCCAGATCGTACTTGGCGCTTCCTCCAGCCTGGTAGCAAGCAGGGTCGACGAAGAGTCGAACTTGGCAAGATTGCAGCCAGATCGCACGTCTTGCATGTTGTTCGACGATGCAGCTGGTGGACTGACAGCTTGGGTGGCTCGCACAAACGTCGTTGGCAATGCGCCGGCAGTTGATAGCTTAATGTGTTCCTGCCAAACCTTCAATCACGGTCAGCCTTGCGTTCCACGACATGCCACCAAGGACAACCTACCTGCAGTGTATCCTTAGGCTTCACTGTCTGAGGATGACGGAGGCTCATCTCGTCTACCATAGATTGGCCGTTCAACATGAAAATGCAACGGGAACCGCTGGCTATTGCCGTGTGTCGGCCATTTGGGCTGAAAGCCAGAGTCTTGACTCCTGCACCGTACTCAAGACCCATGTCTTCAGGTGCATGCACGAGGGGCCCACGCCAGTCCTTGAAGACGTGGCCATCGGAGGTGTAGAAAATGACCCTGTAGTCCTGCGCGGCTGTTTCCCACACGACCAACCACCTTCCTTCTGGGGTCCAAGCTAGGCCCTGGGCGTCGATGGTGTTGGGCTGCCATGATCGTTGTATCTCTCTGGTCTCTGGACAATGAATACTAACCATGTCCTTGCCATCAGTCCTTGTAAGCAACGCCAGATGATGCGTGCGCGGCCGGAACGAATATCCCTTGTGTGCAGACGCGGCGTTGTAGAGCTTGGGGTTGCTGATCTCGACTGCCTTTGATGACGCGAGATTGACGATAGTCAGCTTGAGGCCCAAGGGCGACCAGACGCAGGCTTCGTTGTCGGTGGCACCACACTCGACGTGAGTTGGCTTGGAGGCCAATGATGAGGGAAAACGAACGGCGCCATGGAAGCCCCCGTCTTTCGCAGAGAAGAAATGAAGCTGGTCTGCAGCAGCGACGAGGATTCTGCTAGATGACGGCGACCATGTGAGGCTTGTCACACCGCCGGCGAGATCTGAGGGGAGTTTGACTGTCCGGACGACGTCGAACGATGCGATGGCCCGTACTGTGATGCTGGACGGCAGCAGTGTGGCGATGAGCGTCCCATCTGGCGAGGGCATGCAATGCGATGATGCTGTGGCTTACAGTCAGAATAGATGATAGCGCTCATGCGCCTAACGACGAGAGTAAGAGCGAGTGCAATGCTTGAAGGCAGACAACCAAGACTCCAAGATGGGTCGGGGACATGGCGTACATTTAAGGGGTGTGGAAAAATGCATGATCTGATGGACCATGTGCCAACTCTGTTGGTGTTGGGACCTGAGCGAGATATACTGCGTTCAAATAGGCCAACATTGAAACCGGCCAAAATGTGGTGTGAGGCTGGCTTGTCCCCGTCATCAGCACTGAGAATCGCACAGCCCTTGTCAGCTTTGTGGCAAAGAGCGTCTGCGTCTGCGTCTCGGCCGTAAGCGAAGAGTGACTAACTTGGCGATTGCATTTACCGGAACAGGGGGGCGCCAGTGAAGCCCAGAGACCGAACAGTCGGTTCCTTGGGATTGCAGCAGGTACGGAAGGCTGTACAGTATCTGAAACTGGTGAGAGCCTCACGACTTGTCACTCTGTTTTTGTTGACGTTACCTAAAATAATAAGGCAAGCACCGCCAGCTGTCACCAGCAGATTCCAAGACCAGCAGATTGGGCTCTCTGATTTTAGTGGGCCCCGCGCTGTTGGTAGCCCGTCGGGACTCGGCGCGGTTCACAGGCTGAGGCGACGGGCCGCCTTTCTCCGCCCGCTCCGGCTCCAACGAGCAAATACCTTAGTGTTGGACGAGTTGCTGGCTTACTCATCTCGACGATTTCTCTCCGCGGCCTCTATCGGAGGGTCTTGTGGCGAAATTATTACTCTACGTAAGGTACCTATCTACCTATCTATCTCATAGTCTCTACGTCTCTTCAATCATGCAACGATGGTCGATGGTCAGTTTTCCAAGGGCAACATGATATAGGACAGAAACCTTACGAGTTGAATTTGTTAAGTCTACACCTACACCGCGTTACCACTTCTTCCGTTCGTCATGTCGCAGAAGGTCTTCTCGGCTGCTCGGACTTGGTCCGCACCGAGGCCGTTGCCGACCCAGGCTGTCAGACAGCACCCTCCACCAGCACGGCAAGTGGTACGACGAGCTGCCACAGCCGCAGCGGCCAGTCACACCGTCGAGTCGCCGAATCCGAGTTCCAAGGCGTCCGGAATTCCTTCTCGTCGGGGGTTCATCAAGGATGCCAAACCGTTCTCGGACTTTCTTACCGACACATATCAGCGTCAGCACGACTACCTACGCATCTCACTCACAGAGAGGTGCAACCTTAGATGCGTGTACTGCATGCCCGAGGAGGGCGTTCCCTTATCGCCTGAGAGAGAACTCCTCACGACTCCTGAGATCATCATGCTGTCTTCGGTCTTTGTCTCTCAAGGTGTCAGTAAGATCAGGCTTACCGGTGGAGAGCCGACAATCCGGAGAGACATACTGCCGTTGATGCGGCAGATCGGCGCTCTTCGACCACACGGCCTCCGCGAGCTATGCCTCACAACCAACGGTCTGGCTCTGCACCGTAAGCTGGAGGGCATGGTCGAAGCCGGACTGACCGGGGTTAACCTCAGTCTGGACACTCTGGACCCGTGGCAGTTCCAGATCATGACCCGACGTAAGGGGTTTGACGCCGTCATAAAGAGCATCGAGCGGGTCTTGGAACTCAACATGCACGGCGCGGGCATCAAGCTCAAAATCAACGCCGTCGTCATGCGGGGCGTCAATGACCGCGAGATCATCCCTTTTGTTGAGATGACGCGAGAGAAAGACATCGAAGTCCGGTTCATCGAGTACATGCCGTTCGACGGCAATAAGTGGAACAAGGGCAAGATGTTCAGCTACACGGAGATGGTGGACCTTATTCGCGAAAAGTATCCCACACTGGAACAGATACAGGGTCACAAGAACGACACGAGCAAGACCTACAAGATCCCTGGGTTCGTCGGCAAGCTTGGATTTATTACGAGCATGACACACAACTTCTGCGGGACTTGCAACCGTCTGCGCATCACCAACGACGGGAACCTCAAGGTCTGCCTCTTTGGCAATGCCGAGGTCTCGCTACGAGACATATTGAGGCGCTCCAACAATGGCGAACCGATCGAGGAGGAGGCTTACGAGGCGATGAGACAGATCGAAATGGACAGGCGGCAAGGGCTTAGTGACCAGTCAACTCCACTTGGTCTGGCTCCGAACGAGCAAGAGCTGCTGGACGTCATTGGTATGGCTGTCAAGCGGAAGAAGGAGAAGCACGCAGGCATCGGCGAACTCGAACACATGAAGAACCGGCCCATGATCCTGATAGGTGGGTGAACACCCCAAGCTCTCGGCCGAGGCGAGCCTTCGGTGGGAATGGCGTCCATATCTGCAGAATTACTTTGAAATACCAATTATGCGTATGGATCCGCAACTGAACGTTCGTCTGGTAGATTCACGGAGCCCATGGTCTGCTCCTTACCACCAAGTCCCGGACTGGACCACTGTGAGAAGTTCGGCGGTGATGGGCGCGGCTACCCAGAGCTCGAGCCCATCTCTGCTAGCTACGCCGACATCTCCAAAACCCATACCACCTCACCTAGTCATGCCGGCCACCCATTTATACGGACAACAGCCCCGGTGCTTCTCGACCACCCGCCAGTTGCGCGAAGATACGAAAAGCAGCAATGCCACACTCACCCACGTCTCCGACTCGGGCTCGGCGCACATGGTCTCCATATCGGACAAGACACCCACCAAGCGGGTCGCCAAGGCCGTCTGCAGCGTTCACTTCACGTCGGCGACGGCGTGCCGGCTCATCGTCGAGAACCAGATCAAGAAGGGCGACGTGCTGGGCGTGGCCCGCGTGGCCGGCATCATGGCGGCGAAGCGCACGTCGGATCTCATTCCGCTGTGCCACCCCATCGCCATTTCCAAGGTGACCGTGGACCTGGCCGTCACCGACCGGAGCCTACTACATCGAAGCTCAGAAGGCGGCTCGGATGGTGGTGATGGCGGCGGACGCGTCGACATCGAGGCCACCGTCGCGTGCGAGGGTAAGACCGGGGTCGAGATGGAGGCGCTGACCGCTGCTTCGACGGCGGCGCTCACCGTCTACGACATGTGCAAGGCGGTAGATAAGGGCATGCGCGTCGAGGGGCTGAGGGTGGTGCTGAAGGAGGGCGGTAAGAGTGGTCGCTGGGTCGAGGGCGCTCGGGATAGTTCTACAAATACCACTTAAAATCAACTGAGTTCCTTGGGTCTGTCTGCATGCCGCATTGCTATCGTCTGCATATTTACCTGTGATCTATCTACACATACTTGCATCCACAATATCTGTGCCGATTGGTGTACAGGCTCTGGGGTTGGCGCTCGGTGTGCGCGACGCGGTCTGCGTGCATCTACCTACATTATCTACCTACATATGTCTACCGTAGTCTGGGTGTGCGACCTGCACTGCACCTTGGGGACGGTGAGGCCACGCTGAGTATCGCTCGCCTTGCCTTGCGGTGCCGGACCATGTGTCCGGTAGTTCACAGATAGGGAGACTGCATTCTGGTGTAACTTGCAAAACATGGAACATATTGCACACACATGTTAAGTCTCCTATCACATGTGTACCTACTACATTACCTAGTTACGTTGTATGTAATGACTTAGCTATACAATTGCGTAAAGCGTTCATCCCACGAATCGATAAGCTATGCCTTCGTCCCGCCCTCTTCTTGACCTCATATCAATGGCGGAATGAGATTCCGTACTGTGTGTCAAGTGTCTGCGTCTGCGTCTGTACCCCTCTCCCGTCCCAAAGCCAAAGTCCAGTTTACCTGCCGGTCTGGCCGAAGACCCGCCACAGACAAGACGGGTCGTGCGGCGCATGGGCTGGCATTTCCCCTCTGGGCCGTCGCTGAGTGAGGCGCCAATCAGGACTCACTGATAAGGAAATTGCCAGTTCTTGAGTCGGGGCCACTCTAGTAGTAGACTGGACCCTCTCCAGTCAACTAGAAATTCTGGACCGGAAGATATTCTGGGTCTAGGGGTCCTCCGAGTCTGGAGTTCGGAGTTCTTGTCCTTCGTTGGTTGAGAGACTCGTGGCTATCTTGTACGTCTTGTCGTAACTGTGCGGAGTGCTGACGGCAGGGCAAAGTCGAGGCGCGGGAGAACGAGAGGACGAACTATCAGACTGTTAGGCCTGACCATAATAAGAATTCTCACATGCATCGCAGGCGTTCATCGGAGCACGCTGCTGTGGGAGTAGTAGTATGACGCAGTGCAGGTGTGGCAGGCAGGTGTGGCAGGTCAAGCGCGTCCAGTTCTGCCAGTCCACCAACGAGGGCCAACCTTATTAGCCTGCAGTAGTTCGGACCGTCTGTCCATGTCCGCCTGTCCGTCTCCATGTCCGCTTCTGGTCCGGTGATTCTAGTGATTCTAGTGGGATTATTCGCCTCCTGTCTGCCTGTCAATACCGCATCCTGGCGGAGGCGATTGAGATGGGTTGACAGGGGACTGACACGTGAAAAACGGTGGGACAGAGGCCGACCGATACCGCAAAGGGTTCGTCACCAGCCCACCAGCCACCACAAGCGGTGCCAAGCCCACATGGTGCCGCAGTCGGCGGTCAAGCAGCAACATCCTGGGACCTTGACCGGCTGGCATTAGCTGCCTGTGAGTTGCCACCAATCAGCGCTGACCGATAGATAACCCTGTGGCAATGGGGACACGCGACACACTGTAGCCAGACTGTGCTGTTTGGAGTATCGTCCTCCAGCCCTCTGTTGCTGTAGTCAGCAGCCTGTTTTCCGATAGGCTACCTAGAAGTCTGATGGTAGTGGATGTGGCGATGCGACTGGAAAGTCGACCTAGTTCTGGCATCGTCTGCCGGCAACGCGTAGCTTCGGTCGGCTTCCGCGCAACGGCTTCGTGATATCGGCAGATCGGGCTAGCTGGTTGATTGTGGTGGAGTTTGCCAAGGACTTCCCATCCCAAGCTTGAGATCGACACAACTATCGTCTGGCCACTGGCCAGATCTCATCAACGAACGGCGAACGCAACCTGGATCCTGCGCGACATCCGAGCCGCGGTCTATTACGTACTCGCACACCTCCCTCCGCAGACTATGCGACGCGACATCGTGAACTCGTCTCTTGTGGTTCACCGAGGACTGACGAAGTAGGGAGGAAGGAACACTAGTACAGTGGAGTTACTGTCCAACCTGTTACCTTGCCAGCCAGCATTGCCGCTGATAGTTCGCTGCATGTCGGGCTTGGATACGTTGACATTGTCGCATGCCGCTACACGCCAGACACAATTATTACGCTGGCATGCGGTAATGAGTTGAGCAGGGTGTCATGACGAGGGGTTGCGATGCTACGTACAGATCTGACTGTACTAATAAGATGCAGCTCCATGACTTTTGCGCGCAAAGTAGGACTGGCTGACTGGTAGAATAATGTCGACTTTGGATCCGCGAGATATGATGAAAGTAATCGCTGAGAGTGACGGGCGACGGGTGACGGGTGACGGGCTCTTGGGAATACGAGTAGTAAATTTGCCTTGAACCGCAACGTTAAGGATTAGTAGATTGGGTAAGTAGCCACGCTGCAATGTGCCGATACTCGATAGGTGTCCAGTACCAAAGCCTCGAGATTTTCGGGAACGGGTCCCCTGGAATAGAATTGGAAGGGAACTGACGTATGCAGCGGCTTCCCTGGCGCCGACGGGCAATTATAACTTATCGGACCCAGCACCCAGCAGCGCCTATAATAATCACAGCCTTGAGCGAATGAGGCAAGCAGACAGACGAGCAAGTGCCAAGACAGACGAGCAGCGGCACCAGCACCAGCAGCGGGCCGCAGTCGGTCGTGATCCCATTTCATTCCAATCTTCCTGTTCTCTTCTCCTCCCGTGTTAATAATTCTTCCAGTGGATGGCACTATCCCAGCTGGAGGTGCCCAGAACGAGGACCCATCCAGCCATCGCAGGGTACGTAGGCGCAACAAGGGATCTCGCCGCCCCGCCCACTCAACTTGAAAAACGTGGAGGAGATATTCCCGGCATAGGGGACTTCAAGCTCAACAAATGATCAAAGTTTCGGAAAGGCCATGACTTGATTCGTATGAGCACACGCTGCTGCTGATACTTGTTGACGCTGCAGCATGATGCATTGTCACGATGCAGCGCCTGTGCGACGTGCGATCGATGGCAGGATGGGTGTACAGGGGGAGAGGGTGTGCAGGCCCAACTCACGATACAGTACAACTGGCACGGTGGGCAGGACCCCATCTAATCACGGCGGATCAGAATTAGAGGAGGGACCCCGGCCGGCCTGCTCTTACCTGTCCAATGGCCTGTCCCATGGCCTGTCCCATGGCCTGCCTCTGGTTTGACAGTCGAAGGTTGATGCAGCCACTGTCAGCGTGCTCGGGACGTCTTTCCCTGACAGCCTGAGAGGATTATTACTATTATTATTATTATTATTACCTGACAGGCACCACCACATGCGTGCTCATCCTACCCGTCGTCCCCTTTTTGAACCTCTCTGCCTCTTCACATGTCTTTCGTATCGTGACCGTACTACAGGCACATACAACTCCATCTATCCATCTATCCATCTATCTCTCGCTAGACAAAGATAAACCGGCGCCGTCTTTGCACGCATACCTTAGCTGCCTCCCACCCTGCCACAGAGGTACACTATACTATATACCCCATCACACAGCATCATCGAGAGACACGACGCGTCGAAACCCAGTCCACGCCTACTTATCTGGTGGCTGAGCGCCCAAAGTCGAGCAGAGAGGATTCCTATTCGCGCGCACCATTGACCGACTCAGTTCAGGGTTTCGCACCAATGAAGACCCAACTCTAGATTCCCGATAATACCCACGCCACCCTGCTACTCGAGAGAGTTGGCCAAACCTTCAGTCTGTCTGTGCGCCTGTCTGCCTGGACTTGGACTTGTACTTGGACTTAGTAGACTGGTGTCTTCAAGCTTTGGCTTATAACCTACTCAACGGCCATTGTCTCTGTTCTTTGCGACTGCTCCCACCCGTGTCTCGTGTCTCGTGTTCCACTTCCCCTTTGGATGGTTCTGGTCGCGCGACAGTTCCCGACACCGCCACCCGGCCACAGGAAGCTGCAAACAATACCGGGTTCCCCACCACAAGCCGAGTGCTCATCTAGAGGAACAAAGCAAACGACGCTGGTCGCAAAGGGTCAAAGGGTCAAAGGGTCTAGCGGGAATGGCGACAGATTTCATCATGCCCAGACTGCCTGATCAACAGCAGGCGCATTATTTCCCCCACCACCACCAGCCGGCGCAGTCCGAGTCGCCGACCTATTTACCCCAGGCCGCCCCAGGTTATCAGTCCCAGCAAATCTCACCGTTGAGCACGTCCGACAATGCCTCGCCAACCTCGCCCAAGTCGTTTAACCGCAAGCGATTACGGCCCCTCTTCATGCCCGCTGTCCTGAGGCCGACCGAGCACGCACCAAAGCAAAGCCCCGGCGGGAATGGCGAGGGAGGGGGCGACGACGACGAGACTATACTATCGTCAAATAATAGCTTCATCAGCTTGACCGGCCTGGGCGCACTGGGGCGATTGAGTCGACGATCGACAGGCGACAGCGGGAAATGCATGGAGGGCGACTGGAACTTGGATCTGTTTCCGAAGCCCACCGCGCAACCCACGCGACAGCACTGGAAGGTATGTTCCGGAGCCATACATCCATGTCTCGCAGGCTACTACAGACAACCTCAATGGATCTCCAACCTGTGTTCATAGCGAAGACTCAACTAACGCCTTAGCTAGTCTGATACTGAAGCCGCACTCTGCGACGAACCTTCCTGCATGCGCAGCTTCAACTACTTCACACGGCGACACCACTGCCGCAAATGCGGCAACATCTTCTGCGACTCGCACTCTGCGTCCAGTGTCCCTCTCGACCAGGATGCCAACTACAACCCAAAGGGCGTCATCAGCCGAGCATGCGCCCATTGCTACTCGGATTTCCAGGCATGGCGCAGCAGGACAAACAGCCAGGCCTCTAGCGAGGAGTCCTCCGTTGTGCGAGGCTCTCGGACGACTCCGGCCAGCCCTATGATCGCAACCCCGACCGGCTTGAAACCACACGGTCATCATCAAGAGGTAGCAGCGAGTGTACCTCGGGACTGGAACTGGAGCACATTTTGAAGCAATTTTGGGGATGCCGTTGCCGCCACGAGACTGGCATCGCCTTTCCGCGAAATACGGATCAATAGGGACGTACGTCTCTTCTGGTCTCTCATCAGCTCATCAAGCTCGAGCCGCGGATAGGGGCTCGGTATGCGCTGGATGACGACCATATCACGAAACTACGGCCAACCATAATTTACGACACTGATCTTCACCTTTACGACAGAAGATCGGAGGGAACATCTTACACTAGAGTCTCCCGTATTAGACTATACTCTGCCAGACTCGCGTCTTGCGCAAATCCATTGCACGGCATGGGATGACACAATCTCTGGACTTGGTTTCCGCGCGATGATACCCCATACATGACACGATGGATCGATACTGGATTTATTGGGAAGCTGGATGTGGAATTGACTCAGCCGGGTGTGCCATCTGGATGCCCCGCCTCTAGGGCTGGTAATTGGTACCCCTTGATGGGTAGACTAGCATGGGAGGATCGTTTTGGTTAGATTTGGGTAAAGGATACAGTGAGACACTACTGTTCCTGGCGTTCTGAGGAGCTGGCTTTGGGACTGGCTGCCGGTCACTTGCATGGGGATCGGCTGGGCTATGGCGTTCACATCAGCGTTGCTTTCCGGCTTATCATTAATAGTATAATCCTCAAAGGGCTTAATAGAAACAGGACCACACAACCAGACTGACTCTTGTATGTGAGTCAGGAGGATGACACGTCTATACTGACTGTACTAAGGCAGGTGAAGGGGAAATTATTTGTTATCTGATGTGCAAGCTATTTGCCCAGTTGTGAGTCCTTTGATGTTGCGTCCACATGACTCCTTTTCTCTGACTTGTATTTATAGGATCACAATGCTGTATTGGGATACCTCTGAACGCCATGGCACTCGAGTCTCTTCAAAGCTACTCCACCCAGCTTCAGCATTGCGATGTTGTCGGCTAGAATTGCTTAACTTATTCGTTAGGTGATGGGAGTGCCGTCTGCTTGTCCGTCATGTCCTGGGGTCTCTGCGTGCGTTGATAAAGAGACAACTACGGTCATTGACCACCTAGATACGAACGACATGAACGCCATATTGCAAGGAGAGGTGCAGCTGCACGATACACCATTCCCATCGGTGTTGTCAATGACCCAGAGCATCGGTCGTCGGGTAGCCAGACCACATACATCATGTGTCTACATACATGCATGCGTTCAAGCAGAAGACGACAAAGGCAGTTGGCAGAACAACCTGTATAACCACCGCAGTTATTCCAAAACAAAGATCGGCATAAGCACCAAGACTGCTGCTTATACTACTGCAGGTGTTGGTCTGGTCGAGCTGGTGCACGGGCTGCCGTGGGTGGGTCCATACCTCGCTGTCGAGCTGCCGACTCAGCGGCAACCCTCTCGCCTCAGGCACAACGTTCAAACTTGAAAGAAACCGCTGCCGAGCAACGACACATTTCTGGCTTTTAAAGCTCTTTTTAAACAACTGTTGTTGCCGTGCACATCCGAAGCCGGTTAGGGCTTTTACGGTTCTGCGGTACCGAGATTATCGGCATACAAATACCTGCGTTTTTATCTCGCCGCACTTGTCTCGTCCCTTCCCTTTCCCACCGCGCAACGTCGTCTGTGAGCCTTCCTTTTCGATCGGTTTTCTGCTGCTTCTGCTGCGAACCAACTTGATCGCCAATCTCTCTTCTCGATCTCGTTTGACCGTTCCTGTCTCTGGTTACCTACTTACACTACGTTGTCTGCGATCATCTTCCGCCACCCTCGACGTCGCATACGACATCTCTCATCTCGCAACGCAAGCTAGGTTCTTATCACCGCCTACGAGGCCTTCACACCCGCCTTCACACCCGCCTTGCTGCGCACGCGTCTCTCTTCACTTACACTCCGTCATTGGCAATCCGTCTTCCGCCAACCTTGCCGTCGCACACGACATCTCTCATCTGGCAACGCAATCTAAGTTCTCATCACCGCCTAGGAGACCATCACACTCGGCCGTGCTGCGCACACACTCGTGGACGTCTTTCTTCACTTACACTATGTTGTTGGTAAACCGTCATCTGGCCACCCTCGCTGTCGCATACGACATCTCATCTGGCAGCCTTTCTCGTCACCGCTTACGACACTGTTACACCCGCCCTCGCCACGCACGGGTCTCTCTTCATTTACACTACGTCGTTTGCGATCTGTCTTGGGCCAACCTCGCCGCTGCATACGACATTGTCGCAGCTTAGAGCCTTCTCATCGCCACCCACGACACCATCTCACCTACACTCGCCGCCAACGACATCACAACATCATCTTCTTCCGCCTCATTCCGACATCATCTTCTTCCGGCTCATTCTACTCCGCTCTTTTTCGCTGCAAGTGAGTTTTTTCAATATTTAAGGAAACCTTTCTGTGCCCTCCTCCAAGCCCTCTTCCTTTCCCTCTTCCCACACCTTTGCCCTGCTTGGGCACCCAACCAAACCAAACCACCACCTCCTCATCTTGAGGGGCCCTTCTGGGCTTCTTTTCCAGCACTTTTCTTCATGTCCTTTTCTGATTCTTTTTTTGAGACCTTTTTGGTACTCCCTTCCTGGGATGCCTTTTTGGTATTTTCTTCCCGGTGACCTTTTGGTCATGTTGGCTGCGGCCTTCTGGCGGTACTGCACCCTCCCTCTGCCTCGTTGCATTGCATCACATCGCGACAATCGCATTTTTTTGGGTACATTTTTGGATCAAGGTTTCTGACATTCTTCGTTTCGCTCTCTAGGCCACCAACGCTCACCATGAGCGACGACTGGCTGAGCCAGTCGATGTCGGAGGAATTCGCGGAGGGGGGTCACGAGCGTGATGACACGCCCGCCCCCTTCGACCTGCTCAGGTATGCATGCACTCTACTCCCATTTTGCACCATCCATTTCCACACCCACTTGCATCATTTTTCTGGCATAGTCAGTTGGATTGGGCGATTGATCCTAGCCCAACCGCCTTGAACAAGCGCTGGATCGCAGCTCATGCCAGAAAACTATCTGGTTCAACTGCTGCCGCCTTCATCTCACCCATAACTTCCCGCCACCTTGGTCTCAACCCCCACTTTCACCACACCTTTCACCACACCTTTCACCACACCTTTCACCTCATCTTTCACCTCATCTTTCACCTCAACTTTCACCACACCTTTCACCTCATCTTTCACCTCGTCTTTCACCTCAACTTCCACCTCATCTTTCACCTCATCTTTCACCTCATCTACCTACTCCATTACCTCATCCAATACATTATTGAGAACATGTCTCTGATACGGTCGATGGTAGCGAGGCAGTGTCGGAGGAGGTGGCGGACGTGCCCATCCTCCCCAGCAGCAAGGCGTCCTCTCAGGAGGTTGCCCAGGCTGCGGGGGAGGATGGCGTCTTGGGGGGTGATGCCCCCAAGGCCATCACCTTGTTGGCCCCCATCCACCAGATCAAGGGTGCCTGGAAACAGGCGGGCAAGGCGACCGACGCGATCTTCGACGTCGAGTCGGGTGGGGTGCGCCTGGGTGAGTAGCTCTTTTGACAACTGGTTCAACAACTATCACTGACACGATGTTCCAGTGTCATTCCCGGGCTTGGAGAAATGGCAGGTCCCACTGCCGACCAAGAACTTCGACCGAGCCAGAGACATCACCAACTGCTTACGTCTCGTTGGCGGTCGTCTCCGTTGCGAGCTCGTTCTGGGAGCCACCAATGGCTCCAACTGGGTCAAGCCCACCCCGACCGAGCGGGGCACTCAGCTCCTTGCGAACCCTGAGCGCATCGTGGATGTTGCTGAGAGCTTGCTGCGTGCTTACGACTTCCTCTGCTTCTGGCGTTCGCTCGTCGAAGAGACCAACAAGCCGCACACCTTGCACGTTGCTCTCGACCTCTACATCGACATGAAGATATGCTCAGGCATCCTTGGCAACAATGGCTCTGACACTATGGGCGCACCCACTACCAAGGTCGTTCGTTCGGAGCACACCACAAACCCCTCATCCGGACATCACCGCAGAGGCTCCTCGGTAGAGACTGTCAAGCCTGTCAAGCAGACCAAGCCTGTCGAGTCCACCAAGCCTGTCGACATCACCAAGCCGATCGACACTACCCCTACGGTGACCGCCAAGGCAACTTCCGGTCGTACCACCAGCCGAGTCCGCATCACCAACGAGGCCGGCGAACCTATCGACTTCACTCGTCTCCTGACTCCCGGCAAGTCTACTACTCCTACTCGAGCAGCTACCGACACCGCCACCAAGGTCCCGTCAAGCACCACTCCCGACACATCCTCCTTTCCCAATCATCATCGCCTTGCTTCTGTCTCCACCGTTGTCTTGTCCAACCTGCGCAAGGAGGAGCTCGTTCCCAGCAAGGTTCATGACGCCGAGGTTCCCGCGGAGCAGGCTATCATCAATGGTGTCCATGCATTCCCAACCCCTGAGACTGCCATCAAGCATCTCTCCGACCCGAGCATGCGTGATGCTGGCTTCGAAGTCTGCGCATCCTTCCTGAAGCAGCAGCTGCTGTCTCACCACAGGGATTGGGTTCTCAGCAGTGACTCCAAAGCTGCCCGCGCCTCTTGGTCCATCAAAGAGACGATGAACCAGTTCATCGAGGCTCTTCACGACAAGTTCTCCACCCTTCCCCATGACAGCGATGACTACTACAAGCCCACCCCCGAGCTCGAAGACTGGGTTTTCGAAGTCATCATCGCAGTCGACAAGGCCAAGAGGCGAAGTGGACAACGCGCTCGTGCTAACTCTCAGCTCGAGTACGCACTTGAAGGTTTGGAGATGGACCGCGAGGCGGAACAGGAACGAGAGGCTAAAGCTGCGGCTGAGCACCAACGACAGATGGAAGAGCAGGAGGCCGAGTCCGCGAAGAGCGAGACAGCAAAGAGCGAGACCGAGCCGCAGGATCATGACCGACAGTAGGAAGGTTGGGGTGAGCATGCCGAGCGAGGACGCAGAAACATGAACCACTGGCGACAGCTGCGGGGCAATCTTTCTGGAACACGCTCTGTGAGGTGTTAAGAGTTCTGCTCGAGCTTCTTCGAACGCCTAGAGGAGATGCGTGGAGGATTGGTCTCTTGCGTAAGTCACCCTCGTCTCACTGGATGCACGGATACACAATACTGACTTCTCCCAGGTGGTTGGGATGATGATTTGCATGAGCACACGGGGTGATCACTAGATTGCTGCTGGTTCAAGGCAAAGTATACCTTTCAGGCTCGAGATTCTGGGGAGACGGTTGCGAGATGATGAGGCGATCTGGGCTCATGATGGAGTTGACCCTTTACGTTGGCGGCATCTTGATACGTCCAGTTTGTGATAGATACTTCTTTCGGCAGAGACTAGGCTGTACTGCTCGCGACGATACAATTGAAATCTCTGATTTGACTCAAACATGTCGTGCCATCGATCCGTGAACTCGTGCTGGCGATGAAGTGAAGCTTGCACTGGCATCCTGGGGTAGTGACATGATGTAGCTTATCGTTCAAGTACCGTGATGATCAACCTCATGCTCCAATCCCTCCAGTCTGTTTCCCATAAAGGACTACCTAACAGAGATAGGTATCTCAGCATGGTCACGATCTTGGAGGATAGGTACACACCCACCCAAGCGGTTGAAATAATAAGTTTCATAGCCACTTGGGCCAAGCCACTGCAACTACCTACTCGTACTGTCAATGGCCTGCTGCCTCAGGCTCGTAACCTCTCGATACCTCATCCCCTCCCCTCGTTAGACAATTCTGAATTCGTGGTGCCCTTTCGCGCAGCAATCATCGTAGCCTACGGGTTGTACGAGAGATCAAGTGAGGCCCTGGAACCTCGGTTTTCTCACAACGTCCAAACAATGATTAGGGCCTCCTGCCCATCCCTAGGTACCTAACCCGGCTCCCACGATCGTGGCCGTCTCTGGTGTACTATCCTGCAAAAGCTGCACATCGTCGCTATCCTACCTTCGCCAATGAAGACCCCACGAATTCCGTCGTCCCCGCCCTTGACACCCTCCGTTGACTTGCCCAACAGGCCTGCCTGCATACGATCGCGTGGGCTGGCAGAGGATACGCGCACGATGCCTTCTCATTGCATTTATAGCAAACACCTTGTTGATGAGGTGAGATTACTTGGTTCTTGGATAGATACGGGGCAGCTGCGAGGACAGTCAGATGACTCAGATCAAGAGGGGGGGATTTGCGGGGTTATGTTCCCTGGACGTGACATGCATTGTGCACGGAGAAGATCGCTCAAGTTGCTCATTAACGTGTATTGCTAGCATGACAAGTCCAGTGAACATCAACTCTAGCTATGTACAGTGCAATTGATGTCCTTGATGGCCAAAATCTTGCCTTTCTAATCTGGTGCCATGCCTCTCGAAATAGTAGGTGGTATCCTTTGCAGCCATACACTTGCTCTCATAACACCATCCTCCACCTGAACTCCGTGAAACACTCAAATCAGATGCTATGCTTGAAATACGACAGTGTTGTGGCACCGGTAACTTTGGCTCTTCTGACAATTGGCGAGCTTTTGGCTGACCTTATCAGATTTGCCTGGTGTCGGGAAAGCGGTACCCCAATCAGTGTTTCTTCCCATTGGCCTTGCCATTCGCCTTGGCCTTAGGCTTGACCCCGTTGGTCATCGTCTTTAACGGCTGAGCCTTCTCGCTGCCGTTCGACTCATCACTATCCTCAATGATGACATCGCCATTGCTCGCACCATACACCTCACGCTCAACTCCCTTGGCTGCATCCCAGCTGGCCTTCTCAGCCAGGGCAAGTTCGCTCTGTCGTCTCTTGGAACCAGACTTCGCACGCACGACCTCAGCCTTGCTCCGTCGCATATAGCTCGTGACGAAGAACGAGGCGAAGAGATACGTAAGCGGGGCAAGGTAGAAAACGTTCAACCAGATGGCGAAGGTTTCACCAGAGGTAGTGACGCAGTCAATTTTCTGATACCGGGTCACGTAGCTGACATCTGGCTGCGCAGGGTCGGCGCCGGATGCAGACACCACAACACCAGCGCCAGCAGCTTCAGCGGCGCCAAAGAAAGTGTGTTTGAGGCCATCGAGGAAGCCGGTAGCAGTGGCAGAGCTGTGGGCAGCAGAGGCGATGCTCGACGCAGCTGCTGCAGCATCGGCAGTGGAAACCTTGCTCTGGACTGGGATCAGGTAGGAGATGAAGGAGTGCACCATGGCGCTGGAACCACCAATGATGAATTGCGAGATTTGGAGCGAGGTGAGGGAACGCTTGATTGCGTTCGGTACGCGGACGTTGAAGGCAGTCACAGTGTAGTAAGTGTACTATTTTCAGTCAGCATATTTCCATCTACGAAAAGGCATTGCGTGAGTTGCAGCTTACCATGAGCGCGTGGATAGCCGAGTTGAAGAAGACAAAGATCCAGATGGGCGCTGACATGTAGCGCATGCCAGCCCACATGGCCATCATAGCACCGGCGTGATGGTAGGTCTGGAGGGTTGAGCTGAACTTGCCCTTGGCAAGGATGATGAGAGTATCGAGAACCTCGTAGAACTTGCTGAGGTAGAACAGCCAGCCATAGAAAGCGAGACCCTCGTTCCAGAGTCTTCCCCCCTGGACTCGGCTAGGGGTGCCCTCTGCGGTCAACATTCCTGCTCCTGAAGGCGACTCCCATGTCCCTGATACTTCGTTGTAGGTTTGCCCATTTCCCAGACCTGCAGGCCCGTGGAACTTGCAGAAGCTGTCGACGGTGCCAGCCCACCCATTGGGTCCCGCCGGGCTGGCGATGGACTTGCGGAGCGCGTTGAACATGCCGTACCAGGTCCAAGCAGAATATACGGCGAGGAAGACGTTGTGCAGGACGACAAAGATCTTGAAGGCGCGGGTCTTGCTGATGGCCCATGGCTTCTTGCCCGTGGACCTGTTGTAGGCATTGAGGGCCTTGGCCGATACGGCGTAGACGGTTGCAATAGTGATGGGGACCTTGGGGTCCAATGCCGCCACGAACCAGCTGTCGGGGATCGTGAAAGGGAGGCCGAAGTGTGGTGGTGGGATCGATTCCGGCGCTGGGTACGGAGGAAACTGGAAGAGGGTTGCCGCTGGGGCCGAAGCGAAGACGATGGGAGTAGGCATCTTGCAAGATTCGTGGTATTCGGGGGTATCGTGAGTCTCTGCGTTCGGAACAACAGCTTTTGCTCTTGTTGTTGAGACCTGACGAGGTAGTCAGGCGAGCCGAGAGAGCGACTCAAACGCAAGATGGCGCGTTCCGAATTATGAGGCTGCGGGTGGGATAAGCTGCAGGATCAGGACGGGCAAAAAACAACGTCACCCAGATTGGAATGTGGCCTGTACAGAACAACTCCTGATCTACCAGAAGAATCACGGGAAAGAGTTGGCGAGAGGAACATGCGGTCTATCAATGGCAGCGGCGCAGGGCCGGGTGCTTTTGATGGGAAATAGATATCTCTCTCTAAAAGCCTACGACCCAATCAGAAGCCGTGGAATGCGGTCCCTGCAGCAGGAAAGCGCGGTTTGGGTTGGGATTGGCAGGCGATGACAGCACAAACACGCAAAATGCGCCTCCCGGTAGCCCACTGTAGTCCCTGCAGTCCCCTGTAAGCCTCTTGTGCTGCCCCCTCCTGGTGCCTTCCCGAGGTCCTGCTTGGTTCCACAGGGCTCAACAGTTGAAGTTCGGGCGTGAGGCTGCGTTGTCATTGGGCCGTACAAGAATGTGGGGAATCTTGGGTCGGAACGTTTCAGACTTCTTGGCCAATCAGACATCTCCAGCGAATGGCCAATGCAAGGGCCGGCCATGTCTCCAAGTCTCTGTGGTGCCGTTGATTCGGGTCCCCTTTTTGTTGGTGCTTCCATCAGTCTTCTTTCTCACTGCCGTCGAGGCCGGTCAAGGGTCAAGCTTGTCGAAGCTTGTCAACATCGCGAATTGAGTTTCCGTCAACTCAAGTATGAAAGCCGGCGCCTCGTACTAGACCCAACGTCCGCACAATTGGATTGCTCTGCCCTCAACTACAACCTGACGGCGTGGTGAGTTTCCGTATGCCGTAGAAGTCCGCCGCCGGCTTTGAGGCGTTTCGACGAGACTTGGCTCAACAACCAGGCAAAGCCTCGGTAGACCGACTTCATATCTGCAGGAGCCGGAACCAGGTGCCAATCAGAAAGAGTCGGTGACGGCCCATTGACGGGCTCGGGATGCCTGGGCCCAGTTATTGCACGGTTGAATGGCGCGATATCTCTTCTCCAAGGCTCCAGCCGGCTTGTGACAGTCTTGTCGATTGTCGTTGGTGGTGGGTATCATTCCGACAGCCTCGGAACGGAACCACACACCATGATGGGACGCCGATGAAGGGAACCGACGACCTCGACAGTCTTGAGGCGCCTTCACGAACGGCACAAACGATGCTTGCGTGAATCAACCAGAAATCAGGTCTAGTGAGACGCAGAGTCCGGGCAGTCCGGAATACTTATACTCTCGCTCACATTGGTATCACAGTAAGCAATGCCCGTGTCGGCGATTATCTGGCTGATATTCGGGCCATCACGCTGGAGGCGGCGCGGGCATTTCAGTTCAGCCCGTACGTGCATCATCAGCCTTCTCGTTGCACTCTCGACAGCCACTGATGCGGTTGTGCGTCGTGCAGTTGTGCGCCATCCTCCACTGCCGCCCGCATGCGGGGGGACAGGGACAGGCAACTCCAACATGGCCATTTCCCAACAAAAATTCGAGTGGCAGCTCTGCCCCTCACTTGGGCGTTTCTCTCTCGTCAGGGGTCTCGCTGGAGGTTGCAGCCCGCCATGCCAAGCATGCAAGATCTCCAAGATACCTCCAAAATAATTTGTCGCTTTCGGGTTTAGTCCAGTTGTCGCAAATTGAAGCTGGGAGGAAAGTCCGGCCGCTCATATTGCTTCTGAGGATTGAGGAGGTTGGCAGGACTCACTTCATGCTTTCTGATATGACTGTGCACGCGTCGATGAGATTGTAGTTGCATACAATCATTGCTCAAGCCTTTTCTCGCAACTCTCAACAATTACGGGACTACTTGCCGTTTACAGCTCAGTTGCCTGCATGGAGACGTCCATAGCTGCAGTTTTGGCCCCTGGGTCGGAATTTCACATGCTTATCGATTAGAGGAATCGCGATAACCATACTTCTGGAATCTGGTGATCCCGGACACTGACCCCTGCACCCTCATTGATGACTGCATTTCAAAATCCACAGGGTAATAACTATAACACCTGCGGCGTCTGGGAACGCATGAATGTTACCCTCTCCGTACAGATTACATGATGACGGCAGGATGCTGATGATAACTGCTTATAGTCATGAATAATAAGGTGAGGCCACGAGTCATCATAGTGTGCACAACATATGACACGCGAGAGTCGTGTCAGCTTGAGCGGGTGGTAACAATACATGAATACTCGTGCACTTGGCTTGGTTTGAGACACACTTTGTGGCTTCACTACGAGTGCCATCCTGCAAACCCTCATCAGTACTTACTATATCCTGTTCGGCGATGGGAAGAAACACAACCCTTCGGATGCATTCCCTCATGGTGGTCTCCTCGACGCAGAAAATCAGACACAATCTGCCCGGCCTCGTGGTGCGATACAGTCCCCGGTAGACATCATTACACCTGAAGCAGTAAGACGCTCAGATGAAAGTCTATCCGCAGCCCATACGTCCCCTTTGGTCTCCGTCAGGAGAAGGTGATCACTCAGATTGAGCCAGATAAACAATGGTCAACTATGTACTCGAGACCTGGCAACCCGTACGACTCTACCTGCGTTCCTTGATGTGTTCTACACAACAACGTACATACCCTTGTTTGAGGTAGCTAATACCAGCCTGCGTGAGGAGGTCCTCAAACAAGCGACTCTGGAGGAGCGGACATTGCGACTTGTGAAGGAACTGCACGACGAACATCTGGTCCTCGAGGAACTCCGCTGCCAGGTGCATGAGAGATTGAGAAGGCGACGAGGAGCGACTGGCGAGAGTGGCATGAAGAGCGACACAGGTACGCATACGTCGATGGGAGTGAGTTACCATACGGCAAGCGTTACCTTGACGAAGTCATCATTCTGCAAGATCATGTAGCCCAGCCGCACGCCGCCGTCCTGTTTCCCGTGGGCGAGGTCAATCTCCGCCCAGTCTTTTCCTCTCCCTGACAGCATCGTTCTTCTGCGCAGCCAGGTTACGATGGACTACGATGTGGTATGAGATGAACCTTGAAAGACAGAACTGTCAAGTTACTCTATCAACGGTATAGGTAGTCTTGAGGCGGATCCAAGGTGAGATCTACGGCTCGAGATCCGAGCCTACGACCAATGAGACAGGAGTTGACTGGCAACATCGAACTTATGCCCTTTCTAACAGACACATCAGAACAACCAGTTCTTCGACTATAAAGCATTCTTGGACATCTATCATTCAGGCCAGAGGGGATTGGCCGACCGCGAATCTCTCCACCGTGGCTACAGAATACCAGATGGGACGTGTTGACGATGTTCCGCGGGCAGCGAAGAAACGGTCCGCGGGTTCCGCGGTGGGGTTTGGTTTGTCGGCGCGCTGTGTCATCATCCAAGGGTCAAGCTCTGACGGGTGCAGGACAGCTACTTCGTGCAGGGCCGTGACTCATGTCATCCGCCGGCAATGCTATTGCTCACGAACAAGAGCATTGGGGACGTCCACTAGGTATTCATGTCATTTGGACGGGCGAACGGGGTGAGATGGAACAGAAAATGAAAACACCAAGACGAAAGTGCGGGGCTGTCGCGATCTCGAGTCTGCAGCGGGGCCCGTCTCCACCACGTGTCCACCCCGGCAGTGGCGCGGCCGCGGCCGTGTCTCTCCTTTGCGCCACATGATCCCACATCGTCCCCTTTTCAGCATGGCGGCTGGCCGGGGTAGCTGGACTATACTAGCTCGCGTCATCACTGCTTCGCGTGCCTCGGTATCTTTCGAATCTTTGACCTCATAGTTCTTCGTGAGCGTGTGGCAATTCAGGCGGTCGATCTCATACTGAATCACAACGGCCTCGACTTCAATATCCCTATATCCTAATCATGGCTGCCCCTATCCCTCTCAATGCGCCCATTCCGCTCCCGTTGCCGGTTTTCAAGTCTAATGAATATTACACCGACTCGCAGTGGCAGACGCTCTTCGCGCTGCTCGACGCCATCATACCATCCATCGTGGTTGACACCGAAGTCACAGACAAGAATAACCAATTAAGCATTACAGAGGCACAGTGTAGGGAAGCTTATGAGCGCACCAAGAGAAACTTGAAGCATGCGCCGAGTTATGACAAGTTCAAGGAGTATCTGCGGGTCCGACCTGTCGACAATCCCAACTTCGTGGAGGAGACCAAGCGCGTGATTGGGAACATCTCCAAGGGCAACAAGAAGGAACTTGGCGTTGTCCTGAGTGTCTTGAAGTAAGAACAGCCTAAGGCACAGCCGAAACCTGTTATGGACCATAGCTGACAGGTTGGGAAAAGCACCCGACTCGGCAGCCTGGTGGCCACCGGCTCCTTGCTACCCTTACAGGAGCAGTCCCTCGAGGTCAAGGAGACCATTTTACAGTCCTGGAACCAAGCCCGGTTGAACTTTTGGCCCATGCTAGGTGAATCGTTCTTCAAGATGGCCAAGTCCACTTTTTTGCAGACGGATCCCCTCTTCCACGAAATCAGTGGCTTCAAACACCACACCGAGGACTACAAGCCCGGCTCCGGGTTCGAGTACGAGTTCATGCAGTTCCCGGCCGGATCCGAGACCGAAAGAGTGACCGCGGATGTCGTCATCGTGGGATCGGGCTGCGGAGGAGCCGTGTGCGCCAAGGTCCTCACCGAGGCGGGGCACGATGTTGTGGTCGTCGATAAGGGGTATTACTTTCCTCCTTCCCAACTACCGATGACCCCTCAATCGGCGAGTGAGTACCTTTACGAAGGTAAGGGGGGCATGCAGAGCGTTGACCGCTCGGTGGGGATGCTTGCTGGCAGCTGTTGGGGAGGAGGTGGGACCGTGAATTGGAGTGCTTCCCTCCAGGTCAGTACCGAGAGCTCCTTATCCATCTCCTCGAAGCTTTTTTCCCTCTACAACCCTCTCAAGGCACGTCTCCGGGCTCCATGTGCTCGGTAGGCTTCTCGTGTGACACCAAAGCAGTCTTGAGAGCCCTTGAGTGAGGGTAAGAGACGCTGACAGATAAACGGGAACAGCTTCAAGGGTTCGTTCGTCAAGAATGGGCAGACCGAGGGCTCGGGTTCTTTACCAGCCAGGAATTCCAGGATGGAATGGACCGTATCTGCGAGTTTATGGGGGTCACTGACACCGGCCGGCCTAACCACGGCAACAAGGTCATTCTCGACGGCGCGCGAAAGCTCGGCTGGCACGCAAAAGCCTGTCCTCAGAACACGGGGGGCGCAGAACATTACTGCGGCTCGTGCCATGCGGGTTGCGGCTCTGCCGAGAAACGCGGCCCGTCCGTGAGCTGGCTACCCGCAGCTGCACAAGCCGGGGCCCGATTCATTGAAGGGTTCAATGTCTCGAAAGTGCTTTTCGACGAGAGTACCGGGTCTGGAAAGGCCGTTGGGATCGTGGGCGAGTGGACATCAAGGGACGAAGACGGGAGAGTCAACATGTCTGATTCTGAGGGCGTTTTTCGCAGGACAGTTGAAGTGAGGGCGAAGAGAGTCATCGTCGCAGGTGGCACCCTGAACAGTCCTCTGCTGTTGACAAGAAGCGGACTGAAAGTAAGATCATGCCCCGTCCTATACTGCCTCTCGGTTACAGTTGTGCTATGCTAATCTTGTCGCAGAATCCTCATATCGGCAAAAACCTCTACTTACATCCTGCTGCGGGCATACACGCAACCTTCGATGAGGATATAAAGGGCTGGGAAGGTGAGCAGCATCTAGCCCGAACTTCAAGTGGAAGCTTTTAACCCTGAGAGCGAAAACAGGCGGGATCTTGACGTCTGTCTGCACGAGCTTCGAAAATCTAGATGGTAAAGGCCACGGCGTCAAGCTGGAGGCGTCAGTCATGGCCGTGAGTGCCCCTGACCCCCAACCCCCTAAACCCTTAAACCCCTATTGCCCCACCTTATACCGCTGCCGTGCGACTGAATTCCCAAACCAAACAGCCGCACATCCTGCTCTACGAACACCCCTGGGAAAGCGCCCTGCAATGGAAGCTCGACGCGCTGCGCTACCGGCAGATGGCCAACTACATCTCGCTCGTGCGCGACCGCGACACGGGCCGCGTGTACGCGGACCCGGACGACGGCCGCCCCGTCGTCGCCTACACGCCGTCGGCCTTCGACCGCGCGCACCTGCTCACTGGCCTCGTCGCCATCGCCAAGCTGTGCTACATCCAGGGCGCCACCGAGATCTGGTCGCGGATCCCGGGCGTGCCGTCGTTTGTGCGGCGGAGGCCTGTTGTTTCTAGTGTGGGTGTGGGTGTGAGTGTGGGTGTGAATGAGGAGGGGAAGGGGATTGCGGGGCCTGGAGAGGGAGTGGGAGAGGGACATGCAGACACCGACGACGACGACATCGCCCAGGGCATCAACGACCCCGACTTCGTCGCCTGGCTCCGGCTCCTCGAGAAGACGGGCCTCGGCTCGCCTAGAGCGACCTTTGGCTGTGCCCACCAGATGGGCACGTGTCGCATGAGCGCGCGGCCCGGCGACGGCGTCGTCGACCCCCGGGGCAGGGTCTGGGAGGCCGACGGCTTGTACGTGGCGGACGCGAGCGTGTTCCCGTCGGCGAGCGGGGTCAACCCGATGATTACGAATATGGCTATTGCGGATTACATCGCTAGGGGGGTTTCTAGGGGGTTGAGGAGGGTGGAGTTGAAGTTGTGAGGATGGGTGGTGCGTTGGAGTGGGGGGCGTGCATGGAAGGGGAACGGGGCAGGCGGACGAGGAGGGTGGGCTGTGGCCGTTCTGGGTAGTGGATGTATTTTCTTTCTTGTATAACTCGATGGTTCGTAGGTAGCTGCTGTAAAAGTATTGGACGGTCGGCTTTGAGTTGACATAGGTGTGTGTATAATCAATGTATATGATAAAAAGCGCCTTCTATATGCCGATACTTTGTCAAAGTCTGACTGTCGATCAAAAGGGACTGCGTGCCATCCGCATCCGGTCTCGTTGATCCCATGTAGGCAGTAATTACGGTAGTGTCTAGACCATGCCGTCCATGGCTGGTTCTAGCTTCATAAGTGTGTGTAAATTAACGTGTGTACCCTTGTTACGGATTTCGGGGCGCGTATATCCTGTACGTATATAAACTTCGTCGAGTGGTGTGTTTGTCGTCCTACGCGTGACTGGTTGCCATAAGCAACAACCGTGCAAGGTACAGCTTCTTCTGGTTGGCTCACACCCAGAAGACCCTGCATACCGCGTCAAAGTACCTTGGTATATTATGATCCTCCCTGCATGCATACCTACCATTCTATACGCGTTTGTTCTGTTCGTAGCTCGCCCAAGAAGAAGACGCTGTCTCTCGGCTATTATCAACAGCGCAGAAGAAAGGAAGTCAATCATTGTGAATTCATTGCGCAGATAATATTGGCTGCAATACCGTCATGACCAGCCAATACCGATCGCGACAGGATGTCCTCGGAGAGAAGGACTACAGCAAGACAGGACAGCTCCGATGATGAGATCCTCCTGCCGATGAAACTAAGTGCCTTCACAAAGGCGCTGCTCAATGACGTACAATCCGAACCTGGCACTGTATGTGCTATACCAGACGAGCGGCCAACATGCCCATCGGCCCAGCCTCCGCCCAGGGTCTGCACACGGCGCGCCGGTCTTGCTGCCTCTACCTCGTCCACATCAAAGGATCGTGGCGATTTGCGGGAAAGTGAAAGTGTTCCGCAGCACCGGACTCGGAGAAACACACGGGCTGACAGCCTTCAGCTCCCGCCCGCAAAGCCAACGTCACCAGCCGCATCCCAGAGTCGAGGTAGCAGCCCGGCTCCGAGAAAGAGAGTCGTGCGTCTCAGTAGTACACCAGGGTGCGGTACCCTGCAAAACGGGTTGCGACGCTCCATGTCGGCGTCTACGCAGAGGACAAGAGCGGAGAGCAGGAATAGATCCATTGAAGGGGATTCGCATTTCCCGACACAGGCTGAGACGGACGATCGGCAACCCAAGCAAGAGTATGCTGCAACAAGCATGAACACGCCAATCTAATCAGTGCGCACCGTCCGAATTTCAGCTGGTTCATCCAGACAGAGGATCCGCTCAGCAGGCTCATCAGCTGTTACTTTCAAGTCTTTCGGGGCAGATAGCGACCCTGCCACACCAGAGAACCCTGCTATTGTCGAGCGGGTCGACGCTGCTGATCGTGTAGGCAACGCATCACGAAGTAACAACTCGGGCAAGAGAGATAATCTTGAGCTTCGGGGTACGTCGCGCCTGAAGCGAGTCAACACAGTCTCTGGAGGTCTCCTCAGCGGGCCAGCTCGTCGCGGCCGACGAAGGCAGACTGAAGAAGATTCAGAAGCACATTGCGAAGAGCCACTTACTGCCGCTCAGGATCCCGAGAGTCAGCAAGCTCAAGATCCTGAGCCTGCTGTGATCGATCAGCCCGCCATGGCTATCTCAACCTCAGAACTGCAGAACCCTGCCGCCCTTCACGGGATCCCTGCCGCAGTCGGCAAACGGGCATCTCCGGTCCGCCTCTTGGACATGCATGCCCAACGAGTTGCGAGCCACAACGAATCACCACACCATGAGCTTATTCCACTGCCAGAGATTCCGTCGGTACATGCCAAGGGAACTCAGGCTTCAGCGCCCGCAAGCTTCAGACGGGTCTCAAGAAACCTTGATAAGGAGCTTAGCAAGCCAGCTAGACCACTCAGTCTCGACATGGGGGACATGGGATCGGTTGCTCCACAGCCGGCCCTGATCTCCTTAGAGAGAAGAGCTTTAGCCGTCAAGAGCCAGAATGCTCCCTACCGGCCGGCACCATCACTGCCGCCTCCCAAGATGTCTGTCGTCGAGACCGCCGTGACGGCCACTCATTCGAACAAGAAAAGACAGCTCTTGATGAGGGTCAACGGCAGAGCCTATACCAGACTAGACTGCATCGGACGAGGAGGCTCGGGTAAAGTGTTCCGTGTTGCCACGGGGAGCGGAGTTCTGTTAGCCTTGAAGCGAATTTCGCTCGTACATATGGATGAGCTTACTGAGAAGGGCCTGAAAAGGGAAATCGAACTGCTTAAGAAACTGCGGAATGTCGAGCGTGTCATTCAACTCATAGACCATGAGATGAACAGAGAAAAGCAGTCGCTTTGTATCGTAAGTGCCGTCGTCTCCTATGGACATTTACCCTGCTCTTCATCTCAGAAGACGAGACAGCTAACACGGATAACAGCTCATGCAAATTGGCGAACTCGACTTCAACTCCCTCCTCAGGAATCGCCACAGTGGAGCTGAAGCACACAGCTTGGATATCACATTCGTGCGATACTACTGGAAGGAGATGCTTGAGTGCGTGCCAGCGATCCATGCGCAGGCGGTGGTGCACAGCGACCTCAAACCGGCCAACTTTGTACTTGTCAAGAGCAGGCTGAAGCTCATCGACTTCGGCATTGCCAACGCGATCCAGACCGACATGACGATGAATGTCCACCGTGAGACCATGGCCGGCACAATCAACTACATGTCGCCCGAGTCACTGATGGACTCAACCCAGTATGCTTTCACGTCGATCCACAACGGGCACTTCTATAACCCAGCCAATGGCGCGCCCAAGGTTGTGAAGGTCGGCAAGCCCAGCGACGTGTGGAGCTTGGGGTGCATCCTGTACCAGATGGTCTACGGCACGCAGCCTTTTGCAATGATAGACGAGCCACGGTTGCGCATCCATGCCATTGTCGACTGGTCCCACCGGATTGATTTCCCGGCGACAACAGAGGATGGGTCGCGCGTGCCTGTCGCTCTGATACAGACGATGCGACGCTGCCTGAGTCGTGACCAGAAGGACCGTCCCACGTGCGAGACCTTGTTGTCTGAGGGCAACGACTTGCACTACCCCAAAGAACTCAACCCAGCACCCACTGCGGTCAGAGACGGTGAAGCCCTGCCTATGACCGAAGAGCTACTTGCTCGCGTCATCCAGAATATCGTATTGCGCTGCAGGGAAGGGATGCCCGCGGACAACATGGCCCTGGCAGCCTGGCCTAGCGCCTACTGGGCGAGCATCAAGGAGGCTGTGGCACGACCGACACCTTGATTGCGAGACACTGAAGCTGAGAGCTCGTACGTCATGCTGGAGGGTCGCTCATTGATTGTCGGTCTGGATACTGTCATCAGTATCTAGTGTTATTCGTCGGTTTTTCTTCGCAGCATTGCGACGGAGTTCCATAGGCCCGGGGACGCGATGGTTTTCGTGGCCACTTCCCCATTTGATGTGGTCAGCAGACTTAGTAGGATATCTCTGTCTATCCAGTCCATTTAGTTTATTTGGTCTGGTCGGCCGACCTTCGCGGTGCTTTACGACCTTGATACCTACCACGACACCCAACGTACAGCCATTCCAAGGTATTTTTGTCCATCTGGTCCATCTGGTCCATCTGGTCTATTCAACTGCAAGTAGCTATTTAAATGGCTGTTCAACTGTGCGGTCGGTGCCTTGCGGTCGGTGCCTTGCGACCGTAATACCTGCCAGCGCACTCAACGTACAGCTATTCCAAGATATCTCTGTCCATCTGGTCCATCTGGTCTATTAGCAGTCGCTTCGTTTATTTAACTGCAGGTGTCTGGCTGAGTGGACTCATGTCTATCGGCTAGCTGCATCTTCCTCGCGCTTAACTGTTGGTCGGGACGGTGCAGAGAACGACGATCTGGCTAGGGCCTGGAATGGGATTGCGATGGGTTCATGCAGGGGACTTCGGTGCACAAGACCATGATCAGCATGATGTATCTAGCTGGATGCATATCAGATTAGGCCCAGAGGTGGTGCTGTGTGGTTCGTTACCTGGCTGCCTGCTTGTTGGTGACAGCCTGGTAGGCGCTCTAGTCGATCTTCACGCTTGCCCAACGTCAGCTCCCAACACCAACTCATTCATGGATGTGGAAGTACCGGTACATTAGGCCGGGCCATGGTGCGAAGTCGGACGCAATATAGAGTTCAGGCCGGGATAGTAACGCAGCCAATACCAGTCGAGCAGGTCCGACAGCCTTGTGCGTTGCGGTTTCTGGCCACAAGGCAACGATGGACGAAAAGGGGTAGCGGACGTTTGATGAAGGTTACCAGCCGGCTGGGAGGGACAGACAAGGGTCCCAGGGGGGTTCCCGCCAGGGGGGTTATTTTATGGGACGGGGTCGTAAAGTTCGGCCACTCCCGCGCCTATAGACTAGGTAGGTATAGTGCGACCCCCTTATGAGTAAGGCATGACAACAACATGTGTAAGTATGTGGTATGCAGGCTACCGCGAGGTCACCTAAGCATGTTGTGACCTGTCTCTGTTTCGTTTCGATTTTCGTAAGCTGGCCAATCATAAGGGAGTCGCGTTGGGCTTACCGGTACATATGCCGTGTTGGGTTCCGTTTCTAGACATGATCTTCCGCTGCAGTGCCAAGGAAACCAACGGCTGAGTGCAGGGGTTTCCATCTTGTTGGAGTAGACTCCGGGGGAGGCGTCGTCAGCCGCAGCACTTCATCGCATACCGGTATCCCCTCCACCGGATCAAAGGATAACACACACACACATGCGCGCAAGTCGAGCATACAGTAAGCAAGCCGTCCCCTGACGAAGCGGCTGGCGGACTGGTAGGGCTGTATTTCGCTACGATGTGACGACATAGTCGCGCCTGGGCCACCAGTGAGTCAGGATAGGTCATCTAGAAGCGGTTGTGCTCACCAGCACCAGCGAACAAGACCTCAATAACCAACAGACGAGACCATGGCAACGGGCCCCGGACAGCGTCGGTACACTGCTTGCTAGGTTCTGGCGTGAGAATCGATGCGCGCGCACCGTGCCACCTCGCGTGTCGCGTGTCGCCATCTGACCAACATCGACCGGACGTACAATCAATCTAGAGCGCATTCTGGAAGAGCTGGGCCGAAGGCCGAAGTAGCTGAAGGCTTTGATTACTGATCAGGTTGGGCGCACCCGGGAGGCTCAGACGCTCGTCTGGCCCTTTCTGCCGCTGCCTGTTGCCGCACCCTCGCCTTCATGCGGAATCGCGCCGCACTGCGATACGCAGCCACCATCGCGCAAAGTGAGGAAAGGTGGGAAAGCGAAAAATACGTCTGCTGGAAAGTCAAGTGTGGCTCAGCCGCAGCGGAAACACCCCCCCACATGCCTCGACTGCCCGATCTCACAAGTGACAGCATGAAGTCACCGTTCTAGACAGCCGGCTGGCTGCCTTCTTCACCCTTAAATCACTCCGTAACCACCAACGACGATGAGTCCGCTACATGGCAGCGCGCTGCGCCAAAACGCGCAAGTTGACGGACGGCCTACCTGCCTGCCTGCCTGCCTGTCTTCCTACCGCCCATCTCTACCTAGTCGTAGTAAGCTGACCACGCAAAGGGGTTTTCATATGCGAGCGTCACTCTCTTCTCTCCTGTGATGATCGCATACCTCCATACCTTACAAACAGCGCGAATAGTCGCGCGCGCGCAAGACTCGGCCTTCTTATCCATCTTACCCGTACGCAGTAGGTAGTCGAAGAGACATGCGCACTCACACGTATCTACACAAGGCTCTGGTTACCGTACCGTACCACACATCACACCCACAGGCTACTTACAGATTGGCGTTCGGCCCCAGCGTTGACGAGGCACGTTGAAGTGCGGTGGTACCGGAACCCAGGTCCAGACGCCGGGGTCGGTCGTAAACAGGCTCGGTCCCGATCATGATCAGAAACACGATCAAGTTTGGGATGGGATCAGATGTTCACACACACTCTACATACCTGGACATAGCTCCGATGCGGTGCTCGTGACACGAATACGTGCGCATCTACCTAGCCAAACCCCAGACAGACAGACAGACACAAGGCAAGTACCTAAGGTAACCCCATAGGTATACCAAAATCGAATGCTTGGTCGTTTGGTGAGACATACATACATCTTTCCGGCCGGCGCGTATGGAAGTGAGCGCATCGCACCAAAACCAACCTGCAACGATGGAAGCGTCGTGTACTCTACCTACCTACTCAGTCGGGCCATGAGACCAGGCCAGCGCTCGTCTCACAACCCATCAGCCATCAGCCGTCAGCGGCTGACGTGCATGGCCGTGGGCGGCACTCGGCACTTGCTGACACCTGAGCTTACCGTAGGTAGTGATTGATAAGTGATTGATAACTCGTATCGTACAGAGTATGTGAGCAGTGAGCAGCGATCCGGCCCAAGATCGGGGTTTTCTGTACCACCAGTCAGCTCATGGATATGTATGGCGCGATGAGACATTCCACAATGGGGAACGTGTCTGATTCGGTACCTGTTGGACCGGGCTAATCAAGGGCACATGCACGAAGACAGTCACTAAACCAGTGCATGTGAAGTTTGTACTTGGATGTCTGTTCAATTAACTACTAAGTGACGACAAACAAAACAAAGCAGGGTGTAGCAGCTGCAGTCAGCGAACGGAGCCGCCAGGGCCAGTCCGCATGGCGCAGTCCACCGTGAACCAGCATCTCATGCCACATATAAAAATATCCGGCTGGTACCCGCATTGCACGGCAAGGACAGGTACCCCCAAGTGGCTCTCCTTCACTCTGTCCCAGTGCAGGCGAAAGGTGTTCCGGTCCACCGCTGGGAGGGATCTGGATGTAGTGAGATGATGCTACGATGCCGCCTATCATCCCTGGCTCTGCTGTGCCGCACGAGGACAGCTCGCGTCCTTCCTGCCACGGGACGCGGCCGCTCGGGATCTAAATGGGCCCAGCAGGCTTGACGGATCGCTCCGAGCTGGCGGAGCGATCGGCCTGCTGGTTCCAACTCGGCGCGGCACTTCGTCAGCCCTCGAGAGCTGTGCTGCTCGAGGCACGGGATCGCAAAGCCAGGAAGATGTCGGCATTGACGGCGGATAAGGGGCTCCGCACCTCCTGCTCAGCAGGGAACTGTATCGTCGGTGCCCAGCTTCTTTTTGGCGACGGGTCGTGAGACCCTTCCCCCCTGGCTCAAGTCCCGTTGATGCGATCCGGATGTGTCGCCGGTCTTGCCACGGCTCGCATCGCGGAATGCGCAATCACGCTTGCTATATCGGCAACCAGTGCCAGCCTCCGACAGCAGTATCCCGGATACCTGCATGTGTCTCGGCTACGAGATGATGTGTAGAATCGACCGCGGGGATGCGCCCATTGGATCCTGTCCAGCGCAATGTCCGTTCAAATATTCCATCGTCGCTTGCTCAGCTTTCTTCGTTCGGATAAGAAGGTTCAACGTCGAGTTGAGTGTCGTTCTCTCGTCGCATGAAGGCGTCATGAAGCTCGTGAAGTATTCGTCATTAGGTCGTTCGTTCATTCGTAAACATAAGCCAAGACCCGGAAAAATGAAAAGGAAATCCATGAGCGAGTGCGCTGACCGGAGGAACGAGGATGTAAACCTCGAAGTTACGACGGGTCGGGGGAATCTTTCGTCTAAGAAAGCCGCTTTGTGCCGTATACCAAAAAGCAATAACAATATGGGGGAATCCGAGAATCCAAAGGTCGCCTGTCCCGGTCTTTGCCGGGAGATGGTTAGGGTGCATTGCTGCGTGTACCTCTTCTTTTGACATATAAAAGGAAAACCCCAGCCTCATATAACTCGAGGCCTGCCCTGGTTGTAAATGCAATAAAAAAATCCACCCAGTCCAAGCCATGATGAGATGAAAGAAATATAGCTTGTGGCCGAGCTAGCGGCTGTGGTGACTTGAGAGTTTCCTTCGTTATGGAAATAAAATAACAGACGCTCGCTTGCTGAAGGACAAAACAAAGAGAACCCGAGATTATAGTATGCTGAAGTGGTTGAGAGTTCGCTCCTGGGATATGCAAAAACGCCGACCTGCCTTGGAATGCGATGAGATCTGCACCGCGACTGCTCCCGCCGTATCGGGGGAGATGGAACCAGACCGCATCCGTGGTTGAAAATTGTTGTTATGAGGTTGTCACCACTGGATAGTGATCCCCCGTCACGGGCGGTGGTTGTCACATGGTTGTCGCATACTCCTGATACCTATCCCATCCGAAACCACCGTACCCAACGTTGATACCGCAATGAGGCGCCAGCATGCTGGGTAGCGGTAGTGCCGGAATGGGAGAGGCCACCATCGGGGAGCTGTAGAAGAACCCGGCAGTTGAGTATGGTTGGCTGTAAGACGGAGTCGGTGAGGGTAGCTCATGCAGAGCCATGCTAGCCCAGATGGGTGTGCCCGAGTCAGCCGAAGTCGCAGGGCTCGAGGGCAGCACACGCCATGAATCGACCGGCGCAGGCAGCGCTGGTGAAGGTGTTGAATGCGACCAGATGCCCGCACCTGCTGGTGAGCTGGGCAACAAAGGCGGCTGGCGGATGACATCGACGATCTTGGGCGGCGGCGGTAGGAGGGGCTTGTTCAGCAGTCCCATGATGTTGTTCTTGACCTCTTCACTCTTTCCACAGAGCAACTCTCCTGCACCCTCCTCTTCTAGTCCTTCGAGTGCGGAAACATGCGTCCGGTAGACGAACCTGTTGATTGCCTGAATGAAGTCCTCGTGGAGTTTCTTTGCATGTTGCTCCTTTTCGGGCCAATCATAGGAGTCGGCCTTGGCGTCGACACAGTAGATATCCTTGTGGTACTCGATGAGGGTTTCTATCGAGTCGGGCGTCAACTTGTAAGCGACCTCGTTGCGCAGGACCATATCAACATGGACGATATATGCCTCGATGTGGAGGAGCTGCCAGTTGAAGATGGCCTCCATTAACGGATTCGCATCCCTGCGCAAGTCGGACTCCGGGGCCTTGGGCAACATCATGGAAGTCAGTGTCCAGATAGCGTTCGACGACGACAGTGTCTCGGTCAAGCATCTCTGGTGCTGCTGTACGCTGTTGAGCGGTCGCTTGACCCTGTTGATGCGCTTGAGGGTCTGCGTCAACCACGGTTCAACCTTGGAGCCCAAGACGACGTTGACTGATGAGGCTCGGGGCGCAAAGGCGGCGGCGGAAGCCGGCAATAGTTGTGGGGGCATGGTGTGGTAGATGGACGACACCAAGAGACCGGAGGTATAGGATGGCAGGACAGAGGAAAGCCCTTAGCCGGCGACAGGAGGGCTGATATCTAAAGGGTGGTAGACACTGGAGGGCGCTTATGGAAAGAGAGGAGCGGTCAGACGGAGAGGGACGAATAATACTGGAAAAAGAGGTAACGGAGGTAGGCGGACCCGGCACAGGGAATTAGCTTGCACGCCTACAGCGGCGAATAGAAGAAGAGAAGGGGTGTGGACGAGTATCGTGAGGAAGGGAGAGGAGGGTAGAGGAGGGTGGGAAAGTCGTGCTGAGAGAGGGAGGTGGGGTGTGTTATAGTCATGCTGTCAGTCGGGTACGAGTACGTACAGACTAGACACACAAGACGCACTGCCGCTCCGACCCGGCGATGGGGTTGGCGACCCATGTCGCCTTCGACTAGAAAGCCGCCTACTGCAGTATGTACGTAGGCTGGTAGTTTCCTCCCTTCTCCCTCTGATCCTCCCATTCCTCGTTTCTGGGTCTGGGTCGGCCAGGCCACTGAGCCATCCCTCGGGGCCATCTGGCATCTGCTGGGTTCATGCTGTGGCGGCCCACCTGTCTTGCATGACTACGGTATACACGACGACGACGACGACGACGACGACGACGGTGCAGGTTTGGGGTTCCATCAGCAGCAGCACGGGCAGAGCGCAGGGCTGGCAGATCATAGCAGGGCAGGGCAGAGCAGGGCGCACCAGACAGGCATCAGAATATTCCATGTCCCGTCCTGGCCGGCGGATCCCTGGTCATGCGCGGCAAAAGAAAAGACAGAGGCAAGGAAGGGGAGCAGACAGGCAGAGAGGGCACAAAGGACGCAGAAGCGCATCTTGATGAGTGCAGGTGGGCTGTGGGCTGTGTTGCGACGTGCATGCCTACCTTATGTCCACTCTGAAGGGGGGCAAAGAGGGACTCTGGCGAGGCGAGCAAATGGGAGTGCTAGCGCCGAACCACCCGAGCTGAAAGCTGCAGATGGCAGCCGAGCTGGCCAGTGCAGTCTTGACGCCACCAGCCGCCGATGAAGTACCGGTACAAGTATCTCCACTTTAGGTTTCTCTAGACTCTAGGGGACCCTCCGCCCTGGGATTATTCCCACTTGTCCGATGTTTCTATCAGATGACAGGTCACAAGCAGGGCCTTAGAGGTAACTATAAGTAAAAAATGCAGAATACTTTCGCATCAATTGTAAATAGTCATGTATCCGAGTTAACCCAAAAGGAATTGAAACAAGGAAGAGCACGTTTCTTTCTGGCAAGACAGCACTCGTCATATCAATTCCAATTCGGCTAGCCCGGTGCCGCCGCCCTGGATTATGTAGATAGGCGTCTATCCAGGAGGCCAAAAAGCAACCCGATATCGCTCGTGACCTATCGGCCCATCTTGCAACGCGTGTGCTTCCAGATTAATGTCTTCTAGAACTTCCATGCCTCCTGCAGACAGCTCCCTTGTCAGATTTGATTAAAAACACATTTTAAGGTTGCATTGTAGCAGGAAATCGCCCGAAACCAGCCACCATCTCTGGGTCACTGCATGTGTAACAGTGTAAGCAGTGTGCCAGTCTCTGCAGCCTGTGGAGGACAGGCAAATGCTGCCAATAATATCACTGGTAGATCCGCGAGCTCTCCCCTGAAGTCACCCACAGTTCACCGTGAGCTACTTTAGCAGCCTGCCTTGCCGGCGCTCCATCCTGCAGACCGTGTTGCGTACAGCTCTAGTTGATATGTGCAATGACCGGGTTCATTGACGCGACGCTTGCGCTTATTGCCTGCTATCGGCCGTAGGAGACCAGAGGCTCAGGACGTGTTGGCCGTCTGGCCAGCCTGCACGCCGCATCAAATCCCCAAGTAGGGAGTCGATTCGCCGCTGGGAGATTATCAGAAGCCTTCAGCCACCTATCGAAATGACCAAATATACGCAACCGACCAGTGACCAGTTGCAGGAGAGGGCTGAAACCACTCGAGAAATGATAGATGGATACCACTGACGACCATCCCCTGATGGCGGCTGCAGTGTCCAGAGAGGCCGGCCTGCTAATCCGGCGCCGCGAAGCTGCATATCATGCAATGTACGCTGGGGAAGACTTCATGACTTGCATTGGTCCCAGAGGATGGACTCGTCGCTTACCCTGCAGGAAACGACATGAAACATAGCAGGCCAGCTATATGTAGGACGTTGAGGCGTCAATGGACGAGAAGAACTGGACCTCTTGGAGCGCATTGCACCCCTTTTGAGCAGCATGCAGCAGACCTGCTCGGTTCGAGTTGCTCGCCAACAGACATTGGTTCCCAGCATCTGCCCTGACCATCAATTCCCGGGATTCAGAGACGCCCGGGTCCAGCAGTCGATGCGGGCTCATAGGGGGCGCTTATCGTCAAGAAGCTAGATGGCGTGCCGCGCGGAGACGAGGGGCCGACGATGGAATGACACTGTGACCAACATGGCATCGATTCTGCCGAAATGGAGATGAACAGGAAAGGTTGAGCCTGTCCGACGAGGTGTAGAGCGACGTCGAGATTCAACGAGAGCCTGTGGATGGCATATGTCCAGGTTGCGGCCCAATGCTAGTGGCGGACGGTGAGGTGAGGTGTGTCGACCAGAAATGCCTGTTCTGTGGCCTGATTGGCTGCTCACGACGAGCCGGGAGGTGCTTCGAAGTGGAGCAGGTTATAGGTCGATTTTCGATTGGTCGTAAAATCAGCACAATCAGGGAAGCTCCAGGTCAACGTTTATTGACCTTTGCTGGGCATCTGAATGTGAGCGAGAAGGCCGAGCGTAGATCAGGCGAATGAGGTTGGGAGAAAACGCACTCACCAACTCCTGATGGATCTGGAAATTTTGGGTGAATCTTATCAGACAAGGTCAGGGGCACAGAAGAAAAGGGACTTCCCCAGACGGACGTTCAAGAGAGCCTCTCATAGTTGCCCTATCTGGAAGACGTCCGCCGGTACGGGACCGGCCAACTTAGCTCCCGCTTTTAGACATCTGGAAGTCGTGCGAGTTGCAAATTTGCCGTGCAACGAGACTCTAGATCACTCCAAAAGAGTGGTCATGATAGTACACAAAAGATTCGGAGTCCACAAAGTTGGTGCGCAATGCATAATATTGGGCTGGTGTATGAGTCAGTCTGTTCATGTTGGTCAGCTTGAGGCTTCGACGCCGTGAGTGCTCCTTCGGCTTGTCACAAATTGCGTCACAAGACGATGTGTTGCTGGACGATCCGGCCTCTGCAAGTGGACACCGAGAAGAACGCTCTCCAGGTTCCACATGGAACTGACCCGAGCTCTACCAGTGCTTGATTTGCAAAGCCTTCAACGGAGGATCCAAAGGTGGTCCGATGGCTTTGACGGCCTCTGATCATCTGACGGGCGAGGGCAGTGGAGGGACGATACGGGAGGAAGCGAGCAACGAAGATCGGCAGGGCCATGTGGGAGCCAGTGAAAGATTAGGTAGCATTCGGTCAGACAAGGTCCAATGAAGACGATGCAATTGGCCGTAAAGGTGAAAGAATTGATTAATGGGCCTGATGGACATTGAGGCATGGATTCCATGTCACAGGAGAAACCTGGAAGCTGGAAAGGGGAGAGGGGAAAGCTGGGCTCCCTCTCAGATTTGGGTCACTGATGGAGACTGTGTTTCCTGGAACGTGTGCGATGACTGCAATCTCTTGGTCCGTGCCTCAAAGACCCGCTTCAACCCGGTACGTACCGGTACACAACTGCCACCCGCCTCGCCCGCAGGTTCACACCCTGGCAGCCTGGATTCAAGAAGGTTGGTGGAAGTGTCGAACTCGGTGCCAGATGACAGGCTAGACGCGGCCTTTCCGTAAGCATATGTACAATTCGTACTTTGCCGTCTGGCTTGCTTCTTCCCAGCTCGAAACCACGCCGACACGCAAGGGCCGGTGAGGTTCAACCACCGCCGGGAACAGGCTGGTTTGACGTCGCTACAGGCTGGCTGGCGCAGCGGGCCGATGCCTCTAGGTCCCGTGACAGCTGATCCCGTCATCCCGCCACTCGACCACGATCACATGCGAGCATTCTGCAGACCGCAAAAAGTAGGCAACCAACAACATGTGTCGGACGGCTAGATGGGGCACTCCTACGAAACCCATTGATACTGGCTGACCAGAAGCCATGTTCTGGAAAGACTGACCGCATGCAACGCATCGTCGGCACTCACCGATGGGGAGTCCTGAGGTTTTAGAGCAGCCGCCAGCCGGCTTGGTTGAGTCCGTGGGTCACGACGTCGCGGGCCCTCTGTCGGGGGAACGCCTGAATCCAAGCAAGCGCTTGGTCACTGAATGGCCTGTCAGCATGTTCAGAACTGCAGCCTACACAATGGGGACGTCAGGAATCATGCTCAATGGCTTCCAATGCATAGCAAGTTGCAGTGCGCAGCCACACAGCTAGAGGGGATGTGTCGTTGCTGTCTCAACAGATACAGTACCAAGATATGACAGGCATCCGTCCTTTGTCCTGTCCCCGTCGATACCCGATCCTTCACGCGGATATCGTGACTTTCCTGGTGCTGCTCTTCCAACTGTGACCTGACACCCGTCACCTGATTTGAACCACTCGGTCAAAGGGGTCGGGCGAAGGCTTCAAGTCGCGCCTTGGACCACCGGTTCTCGGCGTTATCTGATGCGAGGACTGTTGGCTTTGCCTACAGTACCACTTTTTCGCCTGGATCCGCATACGAATACGGAGTCTCCTGCACTTTCGTTTTGGGACACGTCTGTCTCGGCTGGTTGCGAGCGATCAGTATGAGTGAGCTGTATCAACTGTGGCTTGCCACTTCTCCTGCCTTCAACATTGAGGCCTCGACAGGGAAAACCTATTCGTCATTGAGGCGCAGGCTCGGCACTTCATCGAGCGGTTGTGCCCGTACCAGTACAAGTCAATCTCGAAATCGGCCTGCCCAAGTCTTGACTGCATGTGCTGATAGCCATGCAAGACATGCAGTATCGTGGCTCTATGCAACAACATTTGCAAACTCTGCATTTTTGGGGGCAAAACTCGGTGTCTCCATGCTGCAGGTGCCCAAATAGCAAAACCTCGCTGCCAGATCCTTGGGGTGGAGCTGAAAGATCTGTAAGGTATTGCGGGGCCTGCCGATCTTGTGGCGATCTTCGTGGGGACGCAGGGACGACGGTGGCTGTGTTCACGGAGCAGAGCACTGCCACGATCGCATTCTGAATCTGCAGTCAAATACAACGTGCCAGCGCATCACCACATCCACGTTCCCATGTTTCCGCCACGTACTAGCCACACCTAGATCTCTGCAAGTCTCGTTTGCAGACATCGCGTCTCACCGACTCTACCTAGGTTGCTACTCAAGTCTGCAGATGACTTCATAGCACGACCCGTCCGTCAAGGCGCGAACCCGACCTTGATCATGCTTGGAATTGACAAGGTCAACCGCATAAGGCAGCCGCTATGATCCACACGCCACTAGTCTATGGGGCCGCCAGCACACTTGCACCGGCCCGTGGAGCGACTGACTTCGCCTCTCGTCGACATGGACTTCCGAACAAGAGGCGAGTATTCCGGAGGCCGCCCATGGAGAAACACATTGAGGCCTATCGCTGTTATGCCACAAGGTCGGAGAACCTGAGGCTCTTGGGTATCCAAGCCCTTTCCAATATGGCGATGTCTCGCGCCTAAGGACCATGACATAGGGGAAGTCAAAGCTTATACAGTTCATGAGGCTGGGTGACCTTTCGGTTGTTGCCCCAACGGTCTATCTACTATGAAACAGTGTGCAGTTCGGGGTCTATGGTCGAATGCTGTAAGCAGGCTGTTACATGCCGGTATACTGCCTGGCTCCCAATTGGGTTGAGGCAGCTTGCGCAGTTACATCCACGTGGAAGAGCGGTCTCACCCCACCCTTTCAGCAACTGAAGTTGCTTCCAGGGAAGTTGCGTCGCAGCCCATGATCCTGCAGTGATGTCGCAGATCAGGCGAAGGTCAATCTTCTCGGGCTTCTCGTGATCAGCCCAGACCGCATTCAATGTCATCTATCACAGGGGCCTACACCTCGAACGTCTCAACCTCACCCACCTCCGAGGTAGTATAATCGCGCTACGAATGCAACCATGCGCCTTTTGAATACGTCAACCTTGGACATTGAAGAATTTCATGGCCCTGAGTCGGCCAGCTGCCAGGCTTACGCGATCGTGTCTCATACTTGGGAAGATGACCTGATATCTTTTAAGAGGAGTACTTTACACAGACTTCTAGCGGCCAGATCTGGACATGGCGACTTTGCTAGATACCATGAACGCTTTGGGCATACAGACTCAAATGACCATTGCAGTTGTGGTGAGAAGAAAACACCACAACATATTTTCTTTTGTAAGAGACTGGGGAAAAATCGGCTACTGCCTAGGTACTCGCCTAGGACAGCTTGTTTACAATACTTAGGGGAGAGGAGCACAGAATGGGCAAAATTCGTGGAGAAGAGCAAGTTCTTTTTAACAATCTGTCCCGATAGATAGCTTTTCTCGAAGGACCAGATGGATGACCCAAAGGTCATACCGCCGCAACAACGGGGATGGGCCCGTGAGCGGGACTGACTGTACTTATTATCTTGAGACCTCCACAACCCTGCGATGCAGAGGCTCTGGGAGGCGTGGTTTGCACTACTGAGGAGCTACCCCCCACGTTAAATACAAAACAAACAAACAAAACAAACAAACAAACTTGGGAAGATGGAGAAGTCAGTTTCCCAGAAATGCAGAGACCGCGAGAGGCTATCAAACACAAGGCTGGCTATGCGAAGATCCGGAACTGTGAAGCAAATGCCAGCAGCGATGGGTACAACTACGTGTGGATTGACACTTGTTGGTAAGGAAGTGCTGCTTCACATACCATAGTGTGAACATGGAGATTAGCATCGACAAAACAAGCAGTGCAGAGCTGTCTGAAGCCATCAGTTCCTTGTACCAGTTATATAGCCTGGCCAACGTATGCTACGTTTACTTGACCGATGTACCGACGAGTATGAGTCTTCTCTTCAACACCATCAACCAACAGCCCGATCAAGTGCGCTACCCCTATATCAACACATCTAGCCCAGAAGTGGATTGCGGCACGTAGTTGCCCTGATCGGCGTGCGTGGGCAGTTGCAAGCGTCAGTAGAGCTTGACGTGGGCCAAGACAGCGGCCGTCGTCTCGTTCGAGAGGAGCTCGTTGTCTGTCGTAATTGCGAAGGTCATGCCAGGGAAGCTGATCCTGGGGTGGACGTTGACGGTCATGCTAGTGACGATGCCCCCATCTTCGCCGCCACGGATAGCCCAGGAGATGTTGATGTTGTTCTTCTCGCCGGCCGACGAAACGTCCGTTAAAGAGGACGACATCGATGCTGAGCACTTCTTCCGCACCATTCCGCATACCGATGAGACGGCTGAGCGCCACCAACGGCGATGTAACCGCCAGTGACGCCTTCACAGTTGAAATTGCCCACCCAGAGCCAGTACGTCATACTGGTTCGCGGCAGCATACAGCTCGCCAGTTCAAAGAATTTGACGGAAGGAAATGATATTACTGGGTGTCCGACTCAGTCCAGCTAACCAGAAGTAGTGTGCATTTTGCCTCGTTATAGTTCCCATTGGTGGTGAAGCACACAGGGACTGTCTCGGGCCCGAGAAGCGCACTCTAGCTAGGGTGCGAGGAGGTTGAAGACTTCAGGGCCTATAAATAGCTTATGCACATTGAGATCGGCCGAGTCATGGCCCAATGCACTCCCTCTTCAAGACGACTTTCCAAGGGCCGACCCCAAGTGTGCATGATGCAGCAGCAATCGAAGACAACAGACCCCACGTTTGGTGGTAGAGATAAACATGGATCATAATAGAACAAAGTCAGCCTCACCAAACCTAGCTGAAACTGCAGTACTGAACGGGCGCATCGGTCAAATCGACGTGCGCAAGGCCCCTTTCGCCCCCAATAGGGGGCTAATCAGTTTTCAAAGTACTTCTGGAAACTTTGTCTTCTCCTCCGCAGTCTGCCCTACATTCCACTCAAATTTCAACCGTGCTGCTTAACCTCAACTCATATGTACAACGGCTATCTTCCACTATTTCAAACCATATCGCCGCCCGCCGTGTTGCCCGGCAGGAGCTGCAGCGCACACAGACACGGACAACGTCTTACCTTGCTGGCTGAAGAAAGACCATTCGATCGGGGAACCTAAAAGTTGCCAGAGATATGTCCCGGCCTTTGTCAAGAGATCTAGACAAACCTGACGAGCGTAAGATACTTCCATTCAGTACCATCGCCTCACCTGACTCCCCTCCTTGACTCGTCACCGCACTCCAACACGGGTTTAAAACCTATGAAGTTCACCTGTTTTGCATATCCTGTATCTCATTTCAAGTAGACAGCTGATGGAGAACAGACGTCATACTAGCAGGCTGCACGGAGAGTGACACAGTCTCCGAGGCTGCATACTACAGCGGCAGCCCAGACGACACACCCGAGGATGTCGCGGTTTCCACGAGCTTGGACGGTGGCGCCCACTCGTGGGAAAACACCACGACATCTGTGCTCTTCACAGACACAAGTACCACGTTTACAGTTTCGCTGGGGCCGCGAGCTGGGGACGGGGATTTTGCCGGAACTGTGCGGAATAGCTGGGGCGTCAGCTTCGGATGTTGGCAGCGAGCATCTGCGTTTCTCTATACTAACGACAACAGGAGTTGCAACCTGGTATATGACTGCAACCATGGTAAGTCATGGCCCCAGGTACCCGTATCTCCCTTGCTATGCGACATGCTACAGGCATTCGATCTGAGCGGCTTAGCCGTTGCTGAAGCTACATTGACTTCAAGCCAGGGCAGCATACAGATTCGTGGCCTCGTACGGTGTTCATCATGTTTCATGTCACCTGCTTAAACCCCTTCTAGACCCACAGCCATCGACGCCTACGAAATCCTCCAGGTCCTCGCAAGATGTTCCGAGCACAGTTTCCATTCTAAGTACAGCAGGGTCGAGTACACCCACAACCACCCCTCATTCCACTTCATCTCTCACTCCGCCAGCAAACTCGAATCCGGGCTCATCTCCCCCTGGCACCGATGCACCCTCAGCGACTTCAACCCCAGCGCCACAACAAGAAAACCACAGTACCAATTTGCCAGTTTCGACCCTGACCGGTATAGTCGTTGGCGTGACGCTGGGCTCAGCGGTCCTCGCTGTAATGCTTCTCTCTTTCGTACGCAAGCACTGGCATCTGAAAGGCGGACACTGTAGGATTTCGTTGGAAAAGGCCACTGGTGCCGATGGTGCCGCGTCGGTCGACAGCGGGGATCGTGTTATACCGTTCGTGGAGGCCGATGGCGAGCCGGCAGGGGCCGAACTCGAAGTCCCACCACCAGTCTTTGAATTGGAGGCTCGATCGAGGCCTCGATGACCTTCGCGATTAGGTAGGGTGAACCTGAAGTGGGCTTTTGGTACGAGGCTACTCAAGATCACAGACGTCTCCATGTGGGAATTTAGAGGAAGTGTTATTTCTTGGGGGTTGGTATGGAATAGGTGTCTTGGAGTGAGAAGCTATAGCTGTGTACATAACTGGGGCTTTCGAGCTGCTCGTCCCCGGGGCTTCATTCCACCATACCAATTACTGATGGATATTGAAGTATACTTTTCTCTTCACTCTACGTGCACGTTCTGAAACTCAAGGTGTATCGGCCGATGTGATGTTTTATTGGGATCTACGAAAAGACGATAAACGAGTGTTGTTTTCCAATGAAAGGTTTTCCAAAGCCCCTGCCTTCATTCCAGACCAAGCCCCCTTTCCAGTTCCCTCCCGTGACTAGAAGTCACAACAGTGCTGCGTCTTGAGACCATGATCGATCGTGTCATCGATTGCTACGGACGTGAAGCCTCGGCGGTCGTTTTCCTCTAAGAAGAAGGGCAGATGTTGTTGTTGGTCAGGAAGTCGCCGAGGCCGGGGACGCAGCCAGCGCACGAGCAGAGCTACACGAGGTCAAGTCAGTGAGCACTCCTTCTTACTGCCTGGGATGATCATCGACGGGGAAGAAGGACGGATTTGGCATTTGATTCCGGGTTCCAGACTTACACCAGAAGCGCCGCTAGACACGCAGTCAACGAGCCCGGGAATATCGTCGGTCGAGATGTCCGCGGCGATGCAGACGGCAGCGCCGATGACGGACGCGCAGTCGATGATGCTGCAGCTGGCCTCGGGCTGCACCGCGGCGAAGCGGATCGCGTCTGCGATGATGTCTTGGTCGCTGCTGGCGGTGGTGCGGACAGCTGCGCTGTGCAGCGTGGGCCCGGCCAGGGCGTGCCCGGCGAGGAAAGTGGCGATGGCAGCAGTGAAACGCATTTTGAGGGCTGGGTGACTGTGTCGAGAAGTTTGGGGTAGGAAGGCTGCTGTGCTAGGAAGTCTGTGCCGGGTGGTTGCTGATGGGTTGGCAATAATCAGAGAACGAGGGAAACAGTCCCGTTTATATATCGTTCCCCAAATACCGTTCACCCGTTTCCGCATAATTTCCAGTCTCCCCGATCCTTATTCAGGATATGCTTGCCCGCAACATCATGCCGATCGAAACCGACGCTGGCCTAAACCAGGCGAAGTGCACCCACCGGTGAGGGTTTTCGAACCATCACCGGCTCTTGACGATGACTCCTAAACTACTACGAGTAACCTCTCTGACGAAGTCTCACACACCTTGGGAAAAACCATCAACGTATCAGATGATAGCCTACTGAAAGCTGACGCCAGCTTTCAAGTGGTTCGGTGTAGAAGTGCAAGAACGCGATCACGATGGCGGTGTCTCAGCAGCTCACGCAGGTGTAGGACATATGCTCCCAACATTCGCCGTTCCAGTCTGACAACTGTGACTAAACAAAGTCTGAACGAGCCGGCGTCTGACCTCCAGCCTCCTATTTGCATCAGGGAAGCATTGGCCATTTGGGGGCTTGATCGTTAGCAAAGGCGAATGGCTACCAGTACCGTGGCAGTAAACTGGTTATTCCCAAGATTGATTGTATCGTTCAATCTTGAATCCGATACGCGTCGAGCCAAGTCGTCAACCTGTTCTTTCAATATCGAATGCAGCTTTGTGCCGTGCTCGCAAGTCAATGTTGTGACAGTGAAATCCGCAGATGGCTGATGTAACCCAAGCAAGAAGCAACTGAGACTCCGTTGGCACTGGAGTAAAGAGCAACTGCACAACCCACGGCGAGGTGGTTTGTTCCACCCTGACAATTCCGGCAGGCTGAGGTGAGGTGACCAATCATACTAACGGTCGATATTACAACACCACCAGCGTCTTACAACATCGTGGTTGCTGACTACGCATTCTCGCGATGACGAAGGATATGAAAGCCGTAGGCTCGACAGAAACGTATGCTACCAAGTTCTTCTATTCTCCCTCAATAAGGTATCCAGTTCGTCCCCTTCACTAGCTTTGGGATTCGTCTCACCGCCTAGAAACACAGCAGGCCGGGTTCACTCCTTCCTTAAGGCAATCAGACTTCACAGACTAGTGCAGGATAACCTACAATGAAGTGCCAGAAGTGGAGGAGCATTGATTATTGTATCTGAGGGACCCAAGCGTATTATGGACTTCAAGGCACCAGGAGAGCTTGGGGTTCCAGGATAGCTTGTGGAAGACTGACTGGATCAAAGCCACGACTGGGAATCATCCACAGCGCAATTAAACCCACAGCGAGGAACATGACAGCCCATATCTAGAGCCCCCAAAAGGAACCATGGCCTTCATAGTGCGGCTGACTCACGATGCCCGTGCGCATCTTAATCTCTATTAGAGCCCAAGGGGAAATGATCGCCTATGTACAGCTGGTAGCCCTTCAGAAACGGCCCTGACGTGAGCCTGACAACTAGCCACACCACAGCCAATAAACAAGTCTGTCTGCCTCGCCCTTGAAGAATTGGTCTGTCTGCGGCTGTAAGCGAGTCTAGCGGCGCCCTCTTCGTCCTTGAGATGGTAGCTACCTGCGCGCTGTGTGTAGCCTACCCATGTCGATGACGGGAGAATATGCGTCAGTCCAAAGTCCAGACAAGCTTCTCGTACCGAACCTCGTGCTGACGCCAAGACGTAGCAAGGCTTGATATGCAAAGCATGTAAGACCAGCACTACTACCTGGCTAAGGACGTAATCTTCCGGAAAAAAAAAAGCTTGTATCTATCTAGCTGTCAGCTTCCTAGAGATAGATTGAGTTTCGTCCCGGGTATTTTCACCTTTACTTTGTATAAGCAACTGATATCCATCGCAGCCGAACCTAGCATAATTTATTAATAATATACTCATTTCATTATTAAGTCCTTTAACCGCACAGGAAAAGCCATACCTAAATGCTTTATAATACGACAAAAAGCAGAGCCTTTATGCTGTACACAAAGTCTAGCAGGATAAAACGCTACGGATCATCTTAGTCCACAGAAACCTTCAATGTCAACTATACCTTAGCATCCATAGGCTCAGGCCGATGCGTCACACGTCGAGCGGCATGCGCGCAAAGCCTTGCCCATAAATCCATGATGCATCATGACGACTGTAGCATCTTCAAAGCGAGTGGTGGCTCGTGCCCATCCGAGTTTCGTCCAGGCTGACGCGTTACCACTCACGACGGTTGCCACTCAGCACTTGTGTAGACATGGCATGTCAGGTGTTTGATTATTGGCATTTTCCCACCGAGACAAGGGAGGGTAGACCGACGAGTATAATCAGAACATTGTGACAATTACCTGCAATGAGCCGGCACCATTAAAGTAAGCGGCTGACCGCTCCCCTCACTGAAGCTCGTGTGCGCACAGTATCCGCAGCGAGGGAGCAAGAGCCGACACGGCGACCATTATATGGTACTGGGTGAGACGAAAGCGGTAAAGACCCACCTAAATCGAGACTGGGATAAAAGGGGCCCCCTATTCCGTAAGGATATCGACTTTATGCAGACTTTTTTCGATGGAAATCAAGCAATCCAGAGATATTCTGTTTGATTTGAAGGTAAGAGAGTATGAGCTAGTTGGAGATAAGTACTCGTTGTACCTGGTAGGATTGGAAGCGGACCATGGTTTCCATAGTCGTCCATGTGAACACATCGCGAATTGACCCCAGCTCGAAAATTCTGTACAGTGCCAACAATCTATAATCCAGGACACGCCACACCAACATGTCCCACCAGCGCAGACCCATTGACGGTAAAGACAGATGCCCCAAGCAATTGCTCGCATCTCAACGCCAGTCTCCCCCATTTATGATGTAACTCCGGACAGTGATGGAACGCGCTCTGAACCCGGTAACAATATCCTCTGAGCGGTTCCCAAAAATCGCAATATGTATTTTGAAGCGCATGCGTTGCGCCCCATCTTGCTCACATTACAGCGCAAGCAGCCGCCATAGTCCGCGCGCGTCGACGACCAGGAGCGCCAGCGGCCCCTTCTTCCTCGTCTGCGTGAAGCATCTGAGCCTCCCGAGCCCTTCGCCTTCGCCGGCTCCGACCTGCACCAGCTGCACCTGCCTCCTCAATCGCCTGCATATAATCGGCCCACTTCCTCTCCAGTCTCCCTGCCGCAGCAAAATCGCCTCTCAAAACACGCTGCGTGTGTTGCTCCACCGTCTGCTGCCATCCATAGAAACACTTAAGTCCAATGACTTCCGTAGGAAATGATGGGTGACCGCCAGATGGCTGCCGGATCTCAGCATTCCACGACAAGACTTCGCGTATACCGGTCCAGGTAACCATCTGGCAATCGTACACTACTAGCTTCAACCCCACGCGAAGACGGCAGCCGCGAGTCGATGTCCTGGCCGCGCGAGATCGAACCATAGCAGCGGCTTCAGCCAAAACAAGGTCACCGATCCTAGTGTTGTCCATGTCCACGCTCTTGAGACTGGTGCATTTCTTGATAACAGGCAGCATACCCGTATCACTGAGGTTTTCGCAGTAACTTACCGAGAGATGCTCCAACTTGGGTGCACAAGGGGCTTTGGCGAGGTGCTCGGATAGAATATCGTTGGTGAGCTCCGATAGATCCTCCAACTCTAAGTGAGTAAGGCGCGGAGTTGAGGCCAAGATAGGTTCAAGGGCAGAGTCGGTCAAAGACGAGCAGCCACTCAGCTGCAAGCCTTGAAGTTCAGGGACAAGGTGGGCCATTATCTTGACTCCTTCGTTAGTCAACTGCGAGCAGCGACTCAGGTCAAGATGCTTCAGTCTCCTGGACGAGACTATCGGCCGATCGGTCAAGATGTCCACCTCGGGGTTCTTCCCGTGGATCATGGTAGAAAACGATTCATCGGTGACTTCGACACAACCACACAAAACCAGGCGCTCCAGGTTGTTGGTCTCAAAGATAGCCTGGGCAACGTCGAGGTTGTCGAAGCCCCTAACTTCTCCGGCCCTAAGATCCCTCAGTTTCGGACAAGCGCGGACCACCATCTTGATGCCGCGAGCGTCCATGTGCTTGCACCAGGACACATTGAGGGACTCCAGCTGTGGACAATGTTGCGAGATGATCTTGCATGTGCTGTTCGTCACTGCTGTCATGCTAGTGAGATTCAAATTGGCAAGCTTGTCGTTGGTCCGAATAAGGTTGTGCAGAGTGGACCGTTGGAAGTTCCGACAACCTTCTAGAGTGGCATTCATGAGGTTTTTGCAAGCCTTCACGACGACCTCGGCCCGCTGATAGTGCTCGATCTGGAGACAACCCCGGATGTTCAGGTCCTTGATAAAAGGGCCCGCAGACACGATTATCTTGGCTAGAGATTCCGCCGGTATCTCGGTATAGAAATCGGTAGCGTCGAACCGCGTCCATAGCTGACCGTCGAAGCAGAACTTGTGAAAGTCCTTGCTCACGCGCGAGACACGAATGAGCTCTTTTGGGTGGAGGTAGGAGAAGACATGGATTCGAATCTCGTCTGGCATGTTCTTCCAAAAGTCATATGGAGGCTTTTGAGCGGTGCCCGATCTGGATCGAGTGGTTACGACATCGGCAGGCAGGCAAGCCGTGTTAGGAGTAAGGCATGTCGTGGAGGCATTTGCAACCTTGCGTGGTGCTAAGCGGGTTTCGATGCCTTCGAAGCTGGGAAACTCGACGGTCGGGCTGCTTGGAAATGAAGACTGCGCGTTTGGGAAGTAGCCTGGGGTGACATTGCCCGGGTGATATTGGGCAAAGGTCGGCGCTGCTGCGAGGCTCACGCAGGACAAGCTGCCCCGAGTACCATAGGGCGCACTCGAGGAGCGTGTGCGACCTATTTGAGCCAACGACGGAGACGAGGAGATGCGCTGAATGCCTCGTAGCAATCGTTGACGTCGTCTTCCCTTGGAAGGACCCTCGAGCGGCGTGGCAGGGGGCGAGTTCTCAGGCATTGGAGTAGGTGGCCGGCTCGATTCGGAAGAGCTGTCTGCTGTAGCTGTTGCAGCCATCTCGGGCGATGGAGCTTACACGCAGACGAGCGAAGTAATAACTCAATGCCGTAGGGGGCACGGGAAGGCTCAAGGACCATAGACGACAGGACGATCGAAATCAAACCAGCAGAGACACGGAACTGCACTGCAATGCTGGGAAGGCGGGAAGGCGGGAAGGCTGCTGGCAGAGCGGAATGCTGATGTGATGGTGATGCGGGGCTTTCAAACCTCCAACAACACACGTACCGATTGGGCAAGCCGAAAGTGGAAGTGACAGTCAACAAATCAATCAGTATAAGGAAGCCCGGTGCTGTAACGGCCTATCAGTTGTCGAGAAACGAGTGTGAACTGCGCGATGGTGAGGCAGTCAAAGGACACAACGATGGGAGGTGGTCAGGTTGGGATGGATGACGGGAATGCAGGAATGGAACTGCAAAAAACTGTTTCGGGTCCAACTGCTCAGCCGTCCGCCGGAGACAACAGAGATGGCTCGAGCTCTGCTGACAGCTGGTGAATGGGCCTATTCGGTTCGAGTTGGGTTTGTCAGGACTCAGCTTGAAGTCACGGTTGATGACTCGTGCTACCAACAGTCAAATGTGGTACCTATGTAGCTCAGAGTCGAGACCAGGTCATGTCCCGTCTCCCATTCAAGCTTCGTGGGGTAAACAGCCCGGAGCAGAGAGAGCATCAGTCAGTCCGAGGAAGACACTGGCCTTTCTACTATTCTGAAAGAGACGGGACGGCAATGGTGAAGTCGAAGATAAGAGAATGGGACGGCACGGGCTGGGAATGGCAGGATGGATGGTTACGGTCTAGCGATGGATGACTTTGCCCATCTGCCTACGTGAATGAACCCCTGTTGGAGGGGGAGGTGGAGGGGGGGAATCTATGGGGCTTATCGCGGCACATCAGCACAGACACATGGGCGTTATCGTCGCTAATCAGCGCATTAGGGTGGGGGGCAGCACAAGCCTCAACGTCTGGACCCTGCATTCTACTCGTAGCCTCCCCGCCTCCGTCTCGACCCCTCCACTGTGCATTACCTACTCCAAATCCGGCCCAACCAGGGCATCACCTGTCGACGAAATCACTCATCTTGATTGGACAGGATATCGACAAGCGTGCATCACACAGATGGTCACATCGTCGTGGCACGCTGCCGAAAGCTGACCAAATGGTGGCATGCAAAAGCACGTTAAACACATGTACTAGCTGAGACGGTCGTGGCACCGTCAAATACACAGCCCACGGAGCTGGCCGGAATTGGAAACAGAAGCACATACCGATTCCCGTACCACGGACCCGGCCAGCCGGTCGGGCAGCTGAAAAGACAGGAGAAGCGTTGCCGACTGCGGGTTCTGGGTAGAACGGCAGAATTGTCCATGTCCATATTCAAAGATATCCCACAGCAATTGAAGAATCGGCGAGTCCCTTGCATAGGTACAGCTGGACTGCCTTGGCTGCGCAGGTGGACAGGTCGGCAAGGGGCCGGCCACACCACCTTCTGCAACCCGCCACCCCACCAATCTCAGCTCTCTGCAAAACGCCATATCATGCCACTACCTCCAGGCTATCGACAAACACATTCAGGGTCCTCTGCCAGGTCCGTTCCGGCTAGCATGGACTCCGTCTTGAGATCATGACAGGATCGATGATGAAGGTAGTCAGCCTCGTAATTTATGACTTCTTCTCCTGCTGCATGCATCTACCCGGGCAATTGTCCCCGGGACGCAGCATGATCAGGGACTAAGGAAAAGAAAGGGGAGACCTCCCCGCTCACTCGGCAGCCAGCCCCGGGCCTTCAGCATAGCCGTACAGATCCCTGCTCAACCTTCTCGATTGCTCTTGCCTCGGGTCTAGACTAAGACGGCATCGCGGACACAAGTGAGCACAACTGACGATAGAGGATGTCATGTGCACTGACATGTCTCGCAGATAGCCTGATATGAAGAGTTTCAATGTCTCGGAGCAACCGGTTACGTCCTCACGTTGATCCGCGGCAAGTGGTTGTTCCCGTGCCCAAATCATGCCCGCCTGACGCTGGCACGCCTGAGCATCAGAGGCCCGGCTGACCCACCTCAACATACGAAAATCTGTTCAGCTTCAACGCACCCAAGATAACGGCGTGGCAGCTCCTGACTCGCGGGTCACCGAGCGACACCGTTAGCCAAGCGCACTGCGCCGGCGCGCCCGGCCAAGGGATTCAGCCAGACCAGTACAGATCGATCCCGCCGAGGCGCTGGGCTGGCTGGGTCGGCATCGCGCCGTCCTCGAGAGTCAGATAGATAGATATCCACATTGACAACTAACACAAGACCAAGAAGCAATCTGCCCGCAACATAACTACCGATTCACAAGTACCGCCTCATGCATTGTTGAAAATCTCGGATTTTTTGAGCTGCAAATACGCCACTGCGTGTCGGTGTACGAGTAGTGTGAACGAGCCCTACCCCATCTTGCAGACCATCAGCCCAAGGGCCAATAGCAGCTACTATAGCCACGATGCCTTCAAATCGGAAGCGCCATTCTGCGGCCCCACGAAATACAGCGTTCTTAAGCTCCCTATATCCGCGAGAGCAGTCCAGTGTCCGTGATCATTCGCATATCTTCCAATCCACAATCCAGCCATACCCCGGTGCCTCCCTCCATGGGTCAGATCAGGCTACCCTATATATTTCCATACTGCTCAACCCATCCTGGGGGTTGAGGCAACACGCGAGGACAACCCGCAAGAACCCAGACCCTCCCAGCAGCGATGCCGACCCTGGTTCAACCCAAAAGGTAGAATCATCACCTACCGAGTCGAAGCATCAACCAAGCCGGTCATCCGTCTCCCGTCACGCACACGCAATCAGTCTCGGGCTCTATGATAGCACCTTACTTCGTCGTGTGAACGACTATGCGAACGGGCGAGGACGACACCGCTTCAGTCGGTCGCTGATTCTGTCCCGTTCTGGCAGTGAGTACACAGGCCCAGCATGGAGAACCAACGGAGAAGCGCAGACCTCGCTTGTTGTACAGGGTGCTACAGCTGCAACCTCGACGGCAGTCATTTCTTGGTGTGCACTGACGGGGGAGTGTATACTCGCATCGGGCTTGGGGACTCGTACTGGGGCGGAAGACAGTCGCCTTCATCGATGCAACGTATCTGTTGTCCTGGGCTTTATTTTAGGGGTTTAGGCCTCTTGAAATGCCAGTAGATCGACATCAGAACGCGTCCATTCCATGATCGACCCAGTCCGTTGCCTTGCGCCTGTAAGGCTATATCACAATTGACAAATTAGGGAAAGACTTCAACTTAGTCTATCAACTCAATTCTCGCCTATTTTTTGGGGTTCTATTGAAAACATCCATCTCACAAATGCAGTAACTCATCGACCGCAGATCAGATGGAAAGGAAAATCGCAAGCTCGTCTGAATCTTACGCCCTCGGAGGACATGAAGCTGTCGATTGGTTCCGTCGTGTCAGGACAACCTGCGCAGACGAAGCAACCATGTATTGAGACGAGACTGTTAAAAGAGGTCATTATTCCTGCCGCCCAGGATTACTGACAGAGAATTCAGGCGGTGTCACAGACGTAGTAGACGACGTAACAACCTCCTGCGGATTGATGAACGTGGTCAGCTTCTGAAACTTGCACGGTACGCAATGAACGAAACATACCTTTTCTGTCATCTGTTATCGCTTAGTTCTCATTGTTGGCCACTATAGTTGTCGAATGAAGTGCAAACACTTTAACCATAGCGCGTGGACCGTGTCTTGTTTGCTGGCAAGCTCCAGGGCATTAGCATCTGCATATTGCCTCTCAATCAACATTGATACCACTCAAAACCAGTGAGGTCAATCGTTCATGAGAGTTGGGATCTTGTGCTGATGGTGTGTTTGGGAAAGTCGCCAGGTTGCTGACTATAGGCGGGAAGATGTGATCTCCTTAGCCACGGGCTGGAGTGGTGTCAAATCCAAGTAGAGAGATATCTTCCACCCGTAAACAACGCGAATTTTCCAACAACATGAACGATGTGGCAGAGCCTTCAAGGGAGTTCATGGGAGGTAGCTGTCCCGACCTCCTTAGTCCTCCCCCACTCGGACGAAATGAAGACGGCATGGTCTCAAGGTCCGAGAGCGCGGCAGACATGTCGGAAAGTAAGTCTGTCTAGCCACTCACCCCGTGGCTGTCTCTGATCTTTAAGGCATTTCTCGTCGTAATCGATGAGAATGAGGACAAAGGTGCTCTCCAGCCAGTCCCAGATCCACTTGAACTCGTCTCCCTGTCTCGTCATTTTCTCAGTCTTCTCCGACTTAATGTGTACAACCATGTCGATATACCACCAGTAACGAGAGTTGTACTCTGGCCGCATGGTTGTGCGATTCTGTAGAGGGTTGACGAATTGATGGCCCAGTTTGGGGAGGTATCGAGTGGAGCAGGCGGTCATGACGACGTCTATCAGTGCCGTGCCAACTTTCTTTCGGCGAAACTCAGAGTCGACGACGACTGTCAGTCGCCCTCCAGGCCGCGAATGGGTGGAATATGCCCCCATGATACCACGACTGATGGCATCAATAAATGCGAATCCGATAACCCGATTATCGGTGATATTAGGATCATGCCAGCCCTCGAGAGCAACGACGAAGGGCATCTTTTCCTCGCGGCAGCCGTTGAAAAGCTGGCGGAACCTGTCAGGGCTGACTTTTCCAGCATCAATCACTCTCCATCCTTCGTCAATCTCCTTGTTGTAGATTGCCGCGACGCCTGGCATGTCGCTTTCCACAGCTGGACGAAGATGACACGGAACCTTGACCTCGTGCGGGTTCGGCGCGTGCAACTCTTCCAAGAATGCCTTCTCGCGTGCATCTGCGGCGGCCTTTTCGGCTTTGGCAGCGTCGGCAGCCGCCTTACGCTTTGCAGCAACCGCTAGCTTTCTCTTCAGTTTTCTTTCGGGGTCGGTACGATCTAAGTGCGCTTCGCGAGCGGCCATCGCCATTTGAGACGTCTTGGACTGCTTGGACGATTGCGGGATGCCTAGTAGTCATTGTCAGCGCCCTCAGACTGAACTTTTAAGGAGAAGCTCTACTTACTTGGGTCTGGTTTTGTCTCTGGGTAATCGATCGGTTGCATGAGAATTCCGGTGAGTGTGTCGACGTCGCAATCCTCATGGTTTTCTACCCCGATAGTGAGAAAGTCGGTCTCGCACTCAGTTGTCTTGGCATTCCAGTTGTTGACGTAGTCCTCAAGATACGGGGGAATGACGAATTCTTCCTCGTCGTCAGACATTGCCTCCAAGGACTTCTTAGTAGGTCGTTTGGTGCGATTCCATTCCTGATTCTCCCAGATACCATCTGGGAAGTTGCCTCGGAAATCGCGTTCGGCATCCCAGCGATCCTCTGGCCCGTTGATATCTTCATCGAAGTTCAGCATTTCGATGCCGTCATCGCTGACCTGGCTAAGTATGTCAATACTCTTTGTCTTAACCTCAAGAGGCGCTCCGGTAACCTCGACCAGAGCTTCGGCAGTCAAAGGCAGTTGCTTGAAACCCTTGGCGGAGGCATGACCCTTTGACTCCTGTTGTTGGGAGTGGTGATCGTCTCCGTTGCCTTGTTCTGATTCATAAGCTGCCATGTCAAAAGTCGCGGGAAGCACATCTTTCTTCTCGAAGACTTTGCCTTGCCGAAAAGGATTGACATATGCAGATTCAGTTGGAACAGGGGCCTTCTGCTGAAACTCCTCGGTTGGTTGTCGGCTAACGGGTTGAGAACGTTTGACTGTGACATGCTGCTGGGGTCTCAAGGTCTCAATCGACGCAAGAGATTCCTGTGTATCATGGAAAGCACGCTGGGTTGGTCCCTGAGTGGTTTCAATCGACGCAACGGATTTCTGTGCAGGATGGAAAGCACGCTGGATTGGTCCCTGAGTAGCCCGATGACTTGGTCCTTGAGTAGCCCACCGACTTTTCGAGAGCCCCGGTGTAGGGTGAGGGGCTCTCATCGGTTTGTTGGCGCTGGGTCGAACTTGTCGGCCAGTGTTAACCTCGAAGAGCTCCTGCTGGAAGAGCTCCTTGCAGGCCTTCAGATCCCCAATTCCAGGTATTTTGGTCGAGCTTGCGCCATTGGGAAGTATCTTCATTTCTGTACCATTGACGTGTCCATTGGCGTCGGTGGCGTTAGCAGTCAGGGCATGCGGGTTCTGGCCACGACTTTCCGGAGGTGCGATGTCTTGACCCATTACCTCTTTCCACATCTGGTTCGGCGCAATGAACTTATGATGCTGGGGATTAACGATATGGGGCGCCTTAGATGAGACGGATGTGCCTCGGTCGATTCCGCTGTACTCGGTCCAGGTGGTGGAAGTCTTCGACTGTGGACGATGGGCCATACCGTTCATCCGCTTCTGGAAATCCTGCGACGACATGTTTTCCTACTGAAGAACCCGATGTTAGTTCACTTTGCGAGGCAACATCCCCGAATGGCTGATTACACGAGGACGCAGGGGTCGGCGCTTTCGGAGAGCCGAGGTAGGAAACGGGGGAAATTGAGTGCCTGTAGATTTGACAAGAATAGAGGTACCGAACGTGTCGCAAGAGATACGGAATAGAGATATGTGGCTCTAAAGTGCGCGGGTGGTAGGAAAGAAGGCGACAATGGACTTGTGTTGTGGACTTACTGAATTCAGCCCTTCAGAGGACAAATATATTCGCGGCTGGCTGAGAAGCCTCGAAAAGGTGAAAAGCAGGTGACCTTAAGGATACCTTAGTTCGACCGCGCTCGATGCTGCGCGCGGTGACCTGGGCTCTGCTTCGGACGCAGATAGAACGGAAGGGGTTGTAGTAAGGTGAAAGAGCAGGCGCGTGGTCGACAGTGCAGAGTACCGTCAGTGTACCGAGGCACGGAGTGTGGCTGTGGCTCACTCGTAGAGAGAGGGAGGTGGGAATGGGCCAGTAGGTAGAGGTACATGTTGGTAGGCCGATGCAACCTGAGGATGAGAAAGAACAGGTGCCTCGAAACGATTGAGGCAACCAGTGTGGTCAACCTGAGGTTGGTGCGTTTCCGATGGAAAGCAGGAACCTGGAAGGCTTGAATTGGTTGTTTGGGTTTTTGTGGTCCACGATGTTGTGGTTGTCGTGGTTGTGGTGAGGAAGTGCATGTGGGTGCCCGTGGTTGTTGCTGTGGGAGCCGTGGTTGCTGTGCCTGCCGGTGTTCAGGTAGGGCGAGGGGCAACAGGGAAGGAGGCATTGAGCAGCACAGGGCACGTAACGTTCAAAGCAAGAATACTAGGTACCTACCCGACTGAATCAGATATCTGCAGAGTCAGAATGATCAATTGCTGCCTGGCGTCTTGATTTGAGGCAGTACCGAACGGTGCCTGTAGGAGGTGACGAGGTGCATGGTGCCTGCCTACCTAGGTAGGTACCTGATAGCAGAAGTTTTGTACACCCAATCCTCATCAACATTACATATGCATGCACTACATACTAGTTATGCAGAGGCCTTTGGAATATATGCAGTCATTTGATCTCTCATTACAACTAATTTTCTGCATCTGCACTGAGAACATCCAAGAGGTGATTGCGAGATGAAGTAGCTCCGGCACGTGGAGAGTATCTCCAGTCTGCAGGTGGGTGTTGATTTTGCCGAGGCCTATGCGCAGGGCACAGTACCTGCCGAACCTCAGTCTCGAGGCCTTTCACCATCTACCTAGTATATACGGGCTAGCAAAGGTGAATACCGCTTGTGCCTTTCCCTGTTCTTTCTTGGTGTCGTTGGACCGCCCGACACATTACTGATGACCTCAAGTCATCAACGAGTACCCACGTTGAAGCAGTTGAGCTCCCTGAGCACGTTGCCGGTCACTGCGTCACGTAAAATCGACCCAGATAGCACGGGAAACGCCCGAGGTTTCGTTTACTCCCCATGAAAACACAGCCCCATCCAGGAAAAGGCAGCCGAACAGTCACGTCAACTCCGACTCGCGCATCACCACCGCAGTCGTTTGCATGTCCCCTTCAAGATGCACACCCAAGCCCGGCCATCCAGTCTGCGCACATCTTGTGCATCATGTAATATGCTCAGTCGTTCGTGGAGGATTCACATGCTCCATATGCCTTCAGGACAGGCCCTGAAAGCTGCCAGATGTCATATCAGACCGCCTAGGGGGGGAATTCATTAGTACTGGTAGCCTCCTTCTACACACACTTTACTCGTCATAACAGCTTAAGCTCGACCACTAGAGCTGTTTTCGACGATATCGATTCCTAGGGTATGTGCTGACGGAATGCATGCCTCCATGGTTTTCGGAATGGTCGAATTGCGTGCAGCCTAAAGCCTGCAGCGGTATTCGTTCATCTCCTCAGATACGAGGCTCTTCGAATCCCTTCAGGTGAAGGACTGGCTTGTGGTTGCAGAACCGGCCAACAGTCTCTTGTAGATGGTCCACAGTTACATAGAAACGGATGAGAACACTTGAGGCAATGTGTACTAGTTCACGGGCCTTTCCCCCCTGAGCTGACATACGCGATGTTGCGGCTGCTTTGAAATAAGAATGCAATGATGATGGTCGAAGTGCCGCCCCCTTACGAAATGAAGAAATGGTATGACCTGGGCTGTTGGTGTATATATACTGCAGCTAGCCTACCAGCCCGCCGCCTACGTTGCAACTTGCAGGTATGTGGCGCAATGCTTAGAGTATGGGCATATTCTGGGTGGCAGATAACCCAGCCTCAGAAGAGATGGATGCCGTTGGGGTTTCGCAACTATCAGCTGATATTGCGTCCTCCCTGTCAAGGAAATCACTGTTGCAGCGAACCACCTACACGGAATCTTATCATAGAGCTGAAGTCAGGACACCAGACCCCTATCTCCGCAGAAGCCATGCGCGGTTGGAGAATGCCAGCGTTAACATGTTCAGTGTGCTATGTGAAGGAGGCTGCATGATTCCGCTTAGGTACCTGGATAGGTCTGGACTCTGCAACTGGAAACTTCTGGACCAGTTCCCGATAGCAAAAACAATGCTCCGAGTTAGCGAGCTCTGTGTCCAAGCCGATGTCAGTGTTGACATGCAGCTCGATCCCAACAGTCCTGGGTTCCAATTGATCAGATGTGAGTTGACCTAACAAGTGAGCTAGGTACTTCTCAGGAGGAAGGACTACGTGCACCCGCAGGCATGCAACGCGACACTTCCATTTACATTTCGACAGTGGACACTGCCCAGTTCGTGGTTGAGACTATGCGCCGGGCCACCTAAAGCGACGCCAAAGCCGACCTCTGCCGACGAGGATCATGATGTGATACAGAATCCAGGGGAAGTCAGCCAGTCAACAATCGTACCAGCTGGTCGGTATGCTCTTTGATTGGATGCTCCACCTCAAACCGTTACTGTTGGTGCCAGATCCAGACTCCCACAGCCACCGTGGGGTTGCATGAGGCCAGTCTGCTGCGTTCAGAATGTTTCTGGGAAGCAATGGAATCAAGCCCATCGAATGGCTGAGTGGCTGACTTGTTCACGGTCTGTCCCTGTGTCTCAGGTAGGTAAATAGTTTTTCAGACATTAAGATGGTGTTGATTGATAGCATGGCCAGTTCAGATCCTGCCGCTCAACTCACTACTCGTCTGGGTGTGATGGCCACCTAACCCTGACCCTAACCCTAACTCCCATTTACGACGCCAAATGAATCCAGGCACAGGTCTCTCGTTTGAGTACCAGTGCCGAACGCTTCGAGCGCCATTCTTCAAGAACGCGTCCCACGCACCCTCTTGGCTGAGGCTGAATCTGCAGGCCGACGAAGTAGCATCCTGGAACAGCAATCACACTATGACCCCCCTCCACCCCTTACCACAACTGACCTGATTGGGTAGGTGCCAATGGCCGAGCTCGTGGGAGGCATTTTTCCCTTTGGGTCTCCAACCCGACATTGCCCAATCATCGCATCCAGTTGGGGCATGGGTGAGGGGTGTAGAATGTGACAGTGGTGACGGCCCGCATGCAGGCCCAGGGGTTGAGGCGTGCGCCTTGCGACTCCGCCTCCAAGGCTATGGTGGGAATCCTATGCAGGGCGCTCAGTTGCGTTCGCGCCGGCCATGTAGGTGCGCAGTCGGGCTTTGGTCGAGGCCATCACGGCTGATGTGTATAAGAGAATCGTGTTCGGCATCATCTTCGAAACTTCCCAGAGGCGGAACATCATCATCACTGTGCAGACCATAAGTTACTGCCTCTTTATTTGCTTGCCAAACCCCTTTTGATCTTGCGACAATGCCTTACAGCCGTGCACCATCCTTCTATTCCTCCAACCCGACATGTCATAAATGGGACCCGGAAACAGTTCTCGGGCTCATCAACCCGTGTAGAGGCTTCATCACCTGCGTGGGCACGGCACCTTCAATGGGGAGAAGATGCCGAAACAAGCCCGCCGCAGCAACCATCGGCTGCGGCCAGAGCATACTCAACAAGCTAGCACGCCAAGATGCGTCCAAGGCAGCCCTTTCGCCCGATCTCGAGAAAGCCGCCGAGCACATGCTGTGTTATCTCCACGGCCTCCGAGCTCGGAATGCGCGCGGCAATCAAGCTTCCCATATAGCTAAAGATTGGCAATCCGACCTGGAGGACTGGGCGGCAGACAACGAGACGGTCAGCTCATGCGATAGCGATAATGACAGTAACAGCGGAGGCGGCAGCGACCATGGCAGCCACGGCGCAACCGCGCCCAGTCGTTTTCCACTGAGCTTCAATGCCGGTGCCAACTTCAAGAAAGAGGCGGAAGACGATTGTTCCAACGATGAGCTCAAGGCCATGATGAAGCAGATGCAGGACAATCTGGCCCGGTTACAAGCCGAGATGAAGCGGAGAGACACGCACACCGCCCAGCCGACGAGCACCCAGGCACAGGAGCAGCGCCAAGACAGGATAGAACAAGAAGAACAGATACGGCGGTGTCGGGAAGACGAGGAGCGCAAGAGACGAGAACAAGCGCGTTGCGAAGAAGAAGTTCGGAAGAGGACCCAGGAACGCCAGCGCAAGGAAAGGGAAGAGCGCGAGAGGGCCTTCCAAGAGAAAGTGCGCATAGCCCAGGAGAAGCGCGAGCGCGAGGCTCGAGAGCAGGCACAGAAGGAACAGGCGGAGTGGCGCACGGCATGGGACCGGTATACCAGTGCTTGGGACGGTTCAGGGGTGTCAATCAGGAATATTCCGTGGCCTGTAAGGTCGGGGCTGCAATCGGATGTCGATGAAGCCAGTGTGACGCTATTCTTCACGAAAGCAGTGCCTGAAAATTCAGCGGAGCCGGGCAAGGAACGACTGAGACTGATCAACGTGGAGATTGGGAAGTGGCATACCGATAAGGTGATGCAGAGATTTGGGCCTGGTGTTGCGTATAGTGCTGTGAAGAACACTTTGTTTTGTTTGTTTGTTTTGTATTTAACGTGGGGGGTAGCTCCTCAGTAGTGCAAACCACGCCTCCCAGAGCCTCTGTATCGCAGGGTTGTGGAGGTCTCAAGATAATAAGTACAGTCAGTCCCGCTCACGGGCCCATCACCGTTGTTGCGGCGGTATGACCTTAGGATCATCCATCTGGTCCTTTAAAAAAAGCTATCTATCGGGGGCAGATTGTTGAAAAGAACTTGCTCTTTTCCACGAATTTTGCCCATTCTGTGCTCCTCTCCCCTAAGTATTGTAAACAAGCTGTCCTAGGCGAGTACCTAGGCAGCAGCTGGTTTTTCCCCAGCCTCTTACAAAAGAAAATGTGTTGTGGTGTTTTCTTTTCACCACAGCTGCAGTGATCATTCGAGTCTGTATGCCCAAAGCGTTCATGGTATCTGGCAAAGTCGCCATGTCCAGATCTGGCCGCTAGAAGTCTGTGTAAAGTACTCCTTTTAAAAGATATAAGGTCTCTTTCAGTTACTGTATGTGAGTATACTTCTTGATACCTAGGTTCTGATTGGTCTTTTTATCATTGGTTGAACTCTTTCTTGTCCTTTTTTTTGAGATCTCTCTTGACCTAAGAGATTGTAGGAAGGTTTGTCGTGTCTGTTTCTAGCATGGCACCCTCTTTTGTTAGTGTGTCGGCAGCTTCGTTGCCATTAATATCTCTGTGTCCAGGAATCCACTTGACGGTTACTCCAGGAGTGTGTGCTGTGGCAAGTTCTCAAAATCATAGAAAAATGTTCTGTGATGTCTCGGGTGGAGTCCCATTGAGCCCATCTACCACTAACATGTTGTCCAGGCAGACATATAGCTGTTTTCTGTGTCCATTATCTTGAGACCTCCACAACCCTGCGATGCAGAGGCTCTGGGAGGCGTGGTTTGCACTACTGAGGAGCTACCCCCACGTTAAATACAAAACAAACAAACAAACAAACAATTGCCCTGACTGCTGCAAGACCTTGGAGAACACTATGGACTTTAGTATCTATTACTTCTGCTTGGAGAAGTCTGCCCTTTCCCCGGTATACTTCTTGTGTAGTGCCGCCTTTCCTGATGGTATAACCCTATCCAGTGCGGGTTGTGCCTTGGTCGTCCAACTGTGATCCATCTGAATAGATGACAAGGTCAGTGTTCATGTTTCTCTGTTGTAGCCATTGCTTAAAGAGCTCTGTTTCTTTGTCTTTGTCTTTACAGACTGGGGGCTTTTTTTATGATGGCCTGGTAAGTGTTGGTCTCTGGAAATCAGGGACTAGTTGGAAGCTCCTTTGTAGCCTTGTTGGATTCTTGCGAGCTTGTATTTGGAGCCTGCCAACAAGAGGGTGTCTCTGGTCTATTCGTCCTAGTCAGGGACCGTGACGTCGTCTTATTGACTCTGTAAGAACTCCTGCTAGGGGAATCTGTGATTCAAAGTGTAGGATATGTCCAGGGTGTGTTTTCCAGACTGGCAAGATAGCCCTGATCGCCGTTCGTAGTACTGTCACGGCGAGCGTACTGAGGAGCTGGGACATGGCCGGCAGCAAGCAGCTATTACTCTATTGACGAGAATATCAAGACTAGAGAGGAAAGGAAGAGAGAGAGAGATAGGTACAGTGGGAGGTTGCCCCTTTAAGAGGATCCTCTGGTCAGATCCTTCCCCTATTAGGAAGTATCCACTTGTCATGTGGGAAGGTCTGTGCAGGCCGTCACAAGTACGGCATCTATTGTTCCAAGAAGCCCCTTAATGCGACATGCTGATGTCCCACCTTAGCTCCCAACTTTCTTGATTCCTGGGTACCAGGCTTCCAGGCCGTGTGTAAAAATAGGAATAACACAAGCTTTCACAGCCCTCTTGGTTGACTTTACTGGAAGTCCTTTGACTGTGTTGCATAGTCCTCAAAGGTGATTTGCTACCCTATTAGCTTTCTTGGCCAGTAGAAAACGTGATCTTTGAAGTTTAGTTTTCTATCCAGGAAGACACCCAGCCATTGCATGGAGTCCTTTGCTGTTTTGTTTATCGTCCTGTGGCGGACTAGAGGGTTGTTTGAGTTCTTTTTCCTTAAGAAGTGCATGATCTCAGTTTTGTCAGGGTCAAATTCAAAAGCGTTATTATGTCCCCATTAATTAAGCAAGTGAAGATTTTCAGAAGCCTCTTTAGTTGTTTCTTTAAGGTTCTTTCCAATGCAGAGAATTGCTAGGCTGTCTGCATATCCAAAGCGTCTCTTTTTTATACCAAGTCGGGCGCAGATTGGCTCTGTATACAGCATGTAAAGGATTGGAGAGGCTGGTGAGCCTTGTGGTAGCCCATAAATGAGAGCTTTAATATCGGTCACAATACTTTCAACCCAAACCCTTGCGGACCGCTCAGACATGAATGACTGGACCTATCTTATGAGAAAGCCCGGCCAGCCCTGTTCTCTCATGCGAACCACCAGCCGTCCCATTAGGGCAGCATCAAAGGCCCCTTTCACGTCTGACGTGACTACCGTTGCAATGAGGCCTTGGTCGTTGGCCTGCTCAATATCATGTATGAGTGCAGCTACCAAGTCAGTGGCAGAGCGCTTTGGTAGAGCTCCAAAATGTTGTGGAGCTAGAATTCCAAGTTTAATAATAAACCAGGCAATTCTTTTTGTGATGAGTTATTTTAGGCCTTTGCAAAGACATGATAACAGCGATATTGATCTGTAGGCCCGGGGGTTGGAATAGTCTGTCTTGCCTGGTTTTGTGATTATCACCACCTTAACTACTTTGAATGATTTAGGGTGGTGTCTGATCTGTAGACAGGTCTAAAAAAGGGCTCTGATATGTTTCCTAATGACTGGCCAGCAAGCTTTCAGAATCTGTACTGTGAGGGTATCTACTCCCGGGGAGTTGTTTTTGGTCCCTAAAGTGCACCCTTCAGCCTCTTCCAGTCCGACATGGTACTCAAGGGGGATGTGTGGCTTGGGTTGTGTGACCTGAGCAGACCCGGGGTCGAAGATATCGTTGTCTGAGGTACTTTGTTTAAGCGTGGCTGAGCGTAGTGTATTTGCCTTGCTCTCTTGTGACTCAAATATTTGGTCTCCTATGATGAGTAGAGGGGAACGCAATCCTGCTGATAGCTTGTGCCAAGAGACGATTCTGTATAGGTCCTTTGGCTCAGTTGCTGAATTGATTAGAGTCTGCCAGTACTCTCTCCTAGCTTTCCAAACCACGCGGCAAAATTCCCGTCGGGCTGAATTCCGCCTTTCTTGGTTTGTAATCTGTTTAGAAAGGGCCCTGTATGTCTGAACAGCTGCTTTGCAGTCATCATTCCACCAAACAGTGGGCCTCACGAGGACTTGATACCCAGACATGAGCATTCCTCTTTGCGGCGCGGGCGAGATCTCGGAGATGTAGATCGGTGAGACGAGGGTGCCAGCGCCGACACCCATGCCGTTCAGTAGTCGGCCCGTGTCAACTGTGAAGCATTACTTGTCACAGAATAGCAATTGACCACCACACCAATTGGCTAAGCTCCCCACAAAAGGATGTGGAATATTCAGGATGGCAACTGAATATTCTATGGTGGTAGATATACCTGACGTTCCACGGGCTCCAGGGCTCTGTCTCATTCGGACATACCTGTACCGTATTAGAACGTCACAAAAAGGGTTAAAACGACAAAGAAGCTTCCTCAACCACTCAAGCATGCAAGGGATGCCATTGTAAAGGGCACCACTTCACAGAGTGCTTTTACCTCTTCCCAAACAAGCGACCAAATGAATGGAAAGTCCACCACAGTGTGGAGCGAATGGTCAAGATACTGCTTAAAAAGGACAACAATCTATCTGAGAAAGTGGCACGAATTTCCAAGAGACAGACACCGCGTGATTGACTTGAAGAAAGGGGCGAGAGAATACAACATGTGCCAACACACGCAAAGAAGGCAACATCATCTTACCTAGTAAATAATACAAAGTCCTCTTACACAACCGCTTCTTATCCCTTACTCAACTGGTTAATCTTCGACTCTTGCATAACCTTACATCTTTTTAACGTTATTACTTGCTTTAACAACTTTCACAGAGCTACAATAGGTAATAGAATATATGCAGGAGACACCTTTATACCAATCTTAGGATATAGAGAAGTAGATATCACTGCTCATGACTCATTGGGACTATTCATTTTGACGCTACGGAATGTCGCTTTCTGTGAAGGATTTGCAACAAACCTTGTATCTTTATGGCAACTCAAAAAGCTTAGATACGACTAGGACAACAAAGCTTTTAATAACTATGTCAGACAAAAGGATGATTCAGTGGTGTTCAAACTCACAGATAAGTTTAGGCAATGGGTCATAGAGAACATACCCCTAGGCAAAACCAAAGCGTCTTTTGCCCTGCGGATAAGGATGATCAACTCTAGAATAGAAAGAGCTCCAAATAAGGGTGACAAGAACCTCTGGCACTGGCGACTAGAACATCCTGGCCTTGAAATAATCACCCAGATCACAAAGCATACTAAAGGAGTGAGAATCAAGGGTCCCCCTACTGCTCAGTGTAACAGGTGTGGCAAGGCCAAAATTCAGAAACAGACACGCAGAACATCTAGGTAACCATTAACCAAGCCAGGTAGCATCCTGTCTATCGATTTCCTTGACCTTGAGAAGGACTCAGATGGCTACTAGAGTATTATGTTTGTCATTTACAGATACTCTAGATATATGTAGACATACTTCCCGAAAAGGAGAACTACAAAACACATAATTGGCGCCCTCCAAAGCATCGTCAGTATACTAAAGGTACAGTTCCAGATTGACGTCGAGGCTATAGAAGCAGACAATGAGTTCACCAAGTCAAAAGACATTAAGGACTTTATCAAAGACAACCACATCCGAATCGAGCCCTCTACACCTCACACCCAAGACCAAAATGGAGGCATTGAACACTCGAGAGGTGTAATCAAAGCGAAAGCTCTT